GCCGAAGCCGAAGCAACACCGTGAACGTTATCCTATCCAGAGCTGGATTGGATTCCAGGAACACGGCACACGGCACGTGGCGGATCAAGACCACACATCTAATAAAGGCTAGAACGAAGCAAGATTTGTACTGTACGGGACATTGGTTGGCTTCTAGTCATTTTAGGATACTATGCTTATACTGCTTTCGGGAGACTGACTCGTGGCTGCGAGCATCAACGGGGTCTGAATCGACTAGCCTGGCAGTGACATCTAAGACATATCGCCAGAAATATAACGGCACTAAGACAATGAGAGGAGGTCCAAAAGCGTCTCACAGCGCTTACAACAGTAGTCTCGGCTGCCCTGATCCACGGACCTGGGCCGAGAAGCCAAGACCACATACCTCAAGGTTTCTTCTCATCCATAGCCGTATAGTAGCTGCGGCTGTGGCGGCGGCTCTTTTTTTGGCCCAGCAGCCATACATGTACACCTTGTCCCTTTCCTCCGGGGCACTGTAGATGCCTACATTATACGAGTGCCTCACTTGGGAACGGTTCCTTTTTTTTTTTTTTTTTTTTTTTTTTTTGGCTTTTGTCCCAGGCAGTAAGAAGGCTATGTACCTTGCCCTGTGCGGTGTGCCATAGCCAAATGCCTGTCTGTCCGCGTGCCTCGGCTGCATGTTCGCCTTTTTTTGCTTCTTTTGCCCTGTATATATGTCCAAGGCTGACATGTGCTTGTCATACCTACCAGCATCCCCCCAGCAGAAGGCCGGGTGTTACCATTCATCCGAAGGAGAGATATACATCAAACAAAACAAAACAAAACAACAAAAGCCATAACAAAAAGCCACTTTACTTTCGGTCCGGCAAGGGGAGGAGCCCAAGAGATGGACGAGGGGAGGCGTATACTGTAACTATCTAGGTATCCATCTTGCTGGTGGTGGTACGGGAACTCGTGTGGCCCTGGACCTTGTCTCTTCTTCGCTTTGCTGGTCCCTGTACCTGCTCTCGAACCCGCATGATCGCAGAGCAGGGAACATGAGAATCATACTGTATGTTCATACTGTAGCTTGTACATAGTAAAAAGAGAAGAAAAAAGACCAAAAAAAAAAAAGGGACATTGACCCAAAAATGGTCTTTTTGCGCGTATTTAGCATGAATAAGGTGATGGCGTCAAGGTCGACAAGGGGTTTCTTAAAAGACCGGTGAACACCAAGGCCCGGCGTGTAAGTCAACTCAGCAAACAGTGTGTAAAAAAAAAAAGCCCCAGCGATTGTCAATCCGCAACTTTCAGCAGCAAGGGGGGCCCAGCCCCTGGCTAAGTAAATTACAGAGTTCAAGGCGAGACTCCCCCAGTCCGTTTCTGACAGCAGCTATCCAGGGGGGAGGAGGGGGAGGGGACCCCCCCGCTTCTGGGAATTTTCATCGTGGGTGGTTTTTTTTATCGACCAAACGGCGGCCGGGCTGCGGCGGATCTGCAGATTCCACCAGTGCCTCTCTCTTGCGCCCCACGAGAAACCACACAAAAAGAGCCGTCTGTAGGGGGGCAATGAAGAGAGAAGGGAAGGGGGAGGGTGTGCACTGTCGTCTCGCTCTAGCTAGCTTGTTGTGTGTAGCACACTCGATTTGTGACCGGACATACCATACTGTATCACATCGTGTCATTGTTGGCGTTTTGTGGTCTCTCTCAGCTGCTTCTCATTGCCTCTTTTGATACCGTTTTTAATCTTCACTGCAATGCAATTGAGCGTACGTGCAGTAAGACATGGTTTCTAGGTTACATAAACCCACTCCCCCTTCTTCTGTCTTTAATGTTACGTCTTTGCCCTCTTTGCATGCATTTTTCTTTTCCCCTCTAAATATAGACCAGCGAAGATACTACCTTTCCTCTTTTCTCCCCCGTATTTTCTTGACGTCATTTATGCGACGGAAGAAGCTATGTGCCTACGTGTAATCGCCCAAAGCAGAGGCGGCGTAAAGAACGGGGGAGGGGGAGGGATAAAAAGGTGCATCTAATTAATACTACCCAAGACCAGGCACAGGTATTGGCCATGCCTGCTACTGTTCCTGCTGCTGCTGGGTTCTTACTCCGCAAAACTCATGGCTTGATTGGAGCATTGCATTAGAACCCGGTCTCGCTGCAGGAAGAGAGTCAGCTGTCTGTGCTACTGTTACTAGTGATACTCCGTCTGATTGATTGTTGTACATGTAGTATGAAGGGCACGGCACGGCACGGCACAACAGTGGTGCTGTAGTGCCGGTCTGTTGCGTATGCTGTTAGTTACATGTAGGTATGGAGATGTATGTATGTAGTCCCAGATACCCGTTTTTGACGTCGCGCTTTTAATTGACGGAATAAACAACTTCCATCATCCTTCGCAGAGGCTTCCATCGTTTCCGCGTCAGCCAATCAAGGCGCCGTCAGCCACCAACACTGGCCGCGCCTAGCTGGCGAGTCAAATCACCCCAAAGCAGGCTGGGCAGGTTCAATTTATCGATCAGCCATCTCGCTAGGCAAATCCTCTTTTTTTTGCCCTTTACTTTCTTTTCGTCTGCCAATCACTAATGACAGATGACCCATCATGGCTGTGGCTGTCGCTGCGTGGGAGTGGACGGGGGGCCAGCAGAGCCATGTTCGTCAAACGGCTCCGTCTCACTCACAGGCACACACATGCCGACCAGATCCAAGGGGACCCCAGATGGTTGATGCTGTCGACAAGCCAGCTCGGCAATACTCCGCCCAGGCTGTTTGCTCGTCTGGGATATGCCTGCTTGCCTCGTCTCTCTGCCCAGGTGTCTGTGCTAGCACCAGTCCCTTGATAGCATCGGACAAGGCCCTCCTTGCTCTTGATAACAACACCCTCTTTCCGGGGGCCCCCAGCTGCCTCTTCTCTCATGGCCCCCCCTCCCCATGGAAAGGCTCCATATGTAACCATCGCTAACGGAACTCGTCGTGAAGCTATGCCAGTGGTTCATCTGCATATCTCCATCACGCCCCCATGGCTCTCGCTCAAACCGATGGACTTACACGCTTGTGTCCAACCCTGCAGCGAGTTTAGCATATTGTAAGTAGTAGTAGCACTTTACAGTAGCAACTCGCTCAAAATTCCCCTGTTTAGCATCTTTCTAAACCCCTCCCCTCCCCTCCCCTCCCCTCCCCTCCCCTCCGCTCTCCTCTTCCCCTGTATCTACCCATTTCTCTCCGTAGTCCGATTTTCAAGGTGAGTTGATTTGAGCTAGCTGCATAGACAGGGGAGGGGAGTTTGTCGCCGTCCCCGGCTGCTGGAGGATGAGGAGCCACGTGATGGCGAGAAGCCGCTTCGCTACACCACTGTCTCGATTCGTTCGTCGGGTATTATTGTTACATATGGACACAGAGTCGTATTAGAAGTATGGGGTGCATCACTAGGCAGATGCGTTTCTGTGGACTGGGCAAAGGGGAAAAACATGCCAGTTTGTATGTCATTCCATATTTGCGCACGTTTGTCAAACACCAAGAGTCAGTTGCGGTAACATTGTCGGGTTCCGCCGATGCAGTCTATCGTTAGTTTTGTTTCGCACTCTAGCAGTGGTGTATCTGGATGAGGTAAAATATACCCAGACGCAATGTCTCTTGCAGCAGTCCGTCGATTAAAAACATCGTTGCTACAATTACTTAGAGTGTTGATTGTACAAGTGGCAGCAACTAAGACGAGCCGAGTCCTTTGCCGACTTGGCATCTCAACTCCAGCTCAGAGTTTCCACCGGGATTCAATCCTCATACTATTGGAATTTACAAAGTACAATGTACGCCAATTATCAAGAATAACACTACTAATAGTATCTAGTATAGCCCCCATTGCCACCATCGTGTCAAACACAGCATGGTTGCGTCGTCTGTATGAAGCACCCTCCGCGGCCACATTACCAGCTCTCTTTCGCCTACTATAGTTTTGTAACGACACTTCTAGTCCCCTTCAATATCAATTACGCCCGACGTGGCCCCGAGTGTGGAGGAACAAGCGCGTCGGGGATAATCGCCTACCCCCTTGGGCCTGACGCGACAAATGGCCCGACAGGCCAATCGCGAGCCTCGCTCTGCCGCAAGTTGATGGAGATGGAGCCGGTCCGGTTGCCTGTCCCGCATAATCGATTTGTGCGGTCCCGACCCCCATGTTTCCCTCTTTGTCTGTGCTCGTTTTCCCCGTTTTCTCTGGGATACAAGTAAGCTTCAAAGTTCCCTCTCCTTGTTAGAGCGGTATGCATTCTTACTCGTAGTGTTGACGTAGAGCCCCTGTCCTTTATGCGGAAATGCTTGTCCGGTGCCTGGTGCAGCAGTATGATATATCGTCAACAGCCTGCCAGCACTAAGCACTATACGATTATGCGGCGTTCCGAGCAACGAACCTGTGCGATTTGATTCTTCGCATCGTGGCAAGGACAAGGAGTCCCCTCCCCTCCCCTACTGCAAATCGAGTGGTCAGCAACAACCTCCCTGCCTTGACAACGATAGCCATAACTGCCGCCCTCTCTCTGCGAATTAGTCCGGGCTAGTATTATAGCTGCGCCTGGGTAAATTGCCCGTATACAGATGTAGACATTAAGCGCGTGGCTCAGTTCTCGCAATCCTAGCCTGGACCTGCTATTCCTTGTCTTGTGCGCTGTATACACTATCTTCACTTACACGCGATGCAACTCAGGCACGAGATTCTACCCAAACCCTGCCCTCTCATCTTTTTTTCTTCTTTTGTTATCTCTTTGCCTGTGAAAGCATGCACTGCAACATCTCGGCATCATGAACCCAAATGACTCGTCATGCACACCCTGCTTCAAGTGCACGGCTCAATCGTTCTCCTCCATACATGTACACAGCGCAGAGAGCACTTGATATCAAAGTCCTGCAGCTAGGCACATGCTGCATCACACCCTTTATGATTTGCCGCGCGCTGGGGAATATGCCGTCAGCCTCGTCAAGCCAGATCGACGCCTCTTTCTCCGCATTAGTCCACACGAAAGCCTCAACTCAACTTCAGCCAGAGCCGGGAGATGAATTTTCCCTTAACAGTTAACGAGCTTCGGCTTCCTTTCCCGGGTTATCTTGGCAAATGCAGCAGCTCTTCCTCGCTTTGGGCTTACAAGTAGTGTTGCCACCTGAAGGATTGCTGTCCCAGCGGTCGCAACTGCTTATGCGCATCTCACCAACGCCCTGCTGTTTGCGGATATGCAACCTTCATCCAAAACGATTTGGGCCTTTGTTTTCTCGTCGTTTCTTTTTCTTTTCTCTCCTCGGACTGCTTTGTAACAGTAGCCGATTCTGACCTGATGCTTACTGAACCTCCTACAGAGTGCTACACTATATTACAAACTTGTAGTCATTGCACGTTGCGTCCAGTCTCACTTCACACAGCCTCTCTTCCTGATCCTTGTTGCCCGCACGCTGCCCAAAATGGGCCAACTTGCTTCAACTTCGCCCCCTTTCGTCAGCGCCCTCCCACGCCGACTAACAGGCCACCATGCAAAAGTTCGAGGGCGGCTCGCTGTAAGATTACACATTGGGGGCTCGTTTACGGCAGAAGCGAGCATACAGCGCACTTTTGCTTCCTATCTGGTCCATGTCACACACGCCCGCTCAGAGATACATGTATGCAAGACAGAGAGGCAAGGAAATGCTGGGGGGAGATAATGAAGCCATCGAGAAAATATGTGCCCCCACTGACCCCCATCATACCAAAAGAGAGTCGCGTTTAAGCATCATCACAAGTTTTGTCCTTGTTCCTGAGCGGCAGCGACGCTCTTATTGAAGTGAGATGTGAGAGTAAAAGAGAGAGAGAGAGAGAGAGCTGTGCAGGCTCGATAAAGGGTACCTTTCTTTTTTTTTTTTTTTTTTTTTTTATTTATTTATTTTTTTATTTATTTTTTTTTTTTTTTTTTTTTTTTTATTTATATATATATTTTTTTTTTTTTACTATTTATTTATTTATTCATTTAATTTTTCTCAAAAAATTTATTTATTTATTTATTTATTTATTATTATCATTATACCCATTGTAACAACTATTATCCTCATTATTGCAATACTGCCTCCGAAGCTGATCTGTGCATCTGCACGTCGTCACTCAATTGCTCTTTATCCGCATGAGGAAATGCCGAGGCTAGAGGCAGCAGCTGAGACGTGACAAAACAGCCTCGCATTTCCCGTAGCGAATGAATATTGTAGCCCTTGTAAAACTCGAAATTATACCTACTAGTAATATGAGATGCCACACAATACGTCGTACTTCGTTCCGAGCACAGACATCATCGCTTCACCGTATTTTACGCTGTCTTATTTCCGCACTCCCCCGGCGGATAAGGCTTCCGGTCAATGCATCGCTAACACCAAAAGTCCCAGGCTAGCATCGTCTTGACCGAAACTCTTTCATCTATCTCGCGCGGTCCCTATCATTCATGAAATTCATCGCTTAGAACCAGGTCTTCGGAACACACAGCCGAGGTGTCAAAGCTGAAGCCAGGCGAAGCAAGTATGGCCGAGAATACCGGGCGTTTCATGTAAAACACCCTACCCGCTGTCGCTCTTCCGTCTCCAGAATACATAGATAAAGGATAAGAACAAAACAAAGCAGGTTCTAGTAGCACGCTAGAATCAAACGCATACAACGTAACAATGCATTAGCTTCCGATTGATGATATTGAGGGGGGGAATTCTGCTGTACTCCTTGCCTGTCATAGCCAGCCCCTCTGAGGTTTGTTTGGTGCCTCTGTTTCCAAGGCTCCGGTATCCCCTCTAATCAGCGCACAAGACACACATCGACTGATACTGCTTTAACCGAGCTTCGCATTTACAGTCAGACTAAATAGCCTGCGGCGCTTATACGGGGGTTTTTTTTTTTTTTGGAATCTTCTCCGATGCGCGCTTGACAGGTCACGTTCGTCTTACTGCGTTAAGGTAAAAAAAAAAAAAAAACGAGACACAAAAACCAACGATTGGGGGGGCTGAATATGACCAAAAAAGGGGGCAAATCTGGGAAAAATTAATGGCTTCGGCACTCGTTAGCTCTGGACCCCATACGGCACATGCGTGTCTAGTACCTGTAGTCTTGCTTTCCACATGAACGGTTGCATGAGTCTAGAACTCAACAAGTGTAGCCTCAGGAGGGTGAGATCTCCTACGCCCCTTTGACATCGTCTAGATTCTTGAGCCGCATCTGAGGATCGGCCCATCCGATGTGGATAGCCTCTCATTACAAGATGCTTTAGTCCACTCCCCAGTAGACGCTTGTTGTGTAATACGCATTGGGTTAATAGTAGGACAAGCTATGAAAGGGGCAAAACGGAGAATCGACGATGGGACGAAGAGAAAAAAATCGCATGATCTCTTATTTTCTAAACTCACACCGGATGAAAAAACATGATATCCACTATCAATGTTGGCATAAACTTCAGCAATCAACTGGGTTAGATCAAATCGCCATCTTGGCGGCCGTTGCGTTCTTTCAGGGCGCTTGATTCCTAAGTCTCACAACACCACTTCAACTTCGAGGGAGTTTACGGACTTACATGCAATCTTAGAGCAACCTGACAAAGGGCCACCGCTAAAAATCATCGTATCGTTTTGCTAGTTTTGTAATGACGGGTAAGCTCAACCCACGTCCCGGGAATCTTTGTTTCTTTAGCGTTGCGTATTCTATAAATGTCGGAATAATGACATATCTAGCGAGGTTCAGCTGTAGGCTGCAGCTAATCAAGTCCCTTAATTTCCTCTTTTTGCCGCTTTCTTGTCTATCTTGTGATAATGGAGCCTTACCATCAGTTACCTAGGTGAACCTAAGATAGGGGGTGCTGTTGGCAATGGAAGTTCGCCGAGAAGCTGCAGTTGACTACGCAGTCAGACTCGGAAAGTAAACCGCAATAGTAGCATCTGAAGTGGAGTATTGCAATCCAGCTGAGGATGATCTTTGAGCTATGTAAGAAAGCTAAGAGACGGTGGAGGCTTCTTAGTCCAAAAGAACTGAGATAGGTATAGGGAAGTGTAATGCGCGCGCCCGACGGAGATGGCAGAACAGAGTATAGGGGATGGTGAAGCAAGAGATAGGAAGAATAGTACTAGGAAGAACAGATCCATTATGTCTATTCATCAATATAAATGGGAATAAGATTAGAGAGACATTAAACCATGCCAGTCGGCATATATGCAATAGTTTTCTATGTGTAGTATTTATGCCAGATAGAGCGAAGAGTGACCATACTGTTTATATATCTTGTATAGATAACTAAATAATATATCTACAATATAAAAGAATAAAAAACAATATTATTATTTATAATATAACTACTTTAGTACAAGAGTATATAAATTAATAAACTAAAGTAATTAAATAACTGAACAAACTAGACGAACAAGACGAACAAGATAAATAAAATAAATAAAACAAGCTTTTTTATATAAAGTTAGGCTGAAATAACTTGTAATCTTTATATCTTGCTCTTTAAAGAAAAGTACACCCTGTTTTAATTATAAATAAAATATTAAATCTATAGTAAAACTGTCTGACTCTGTATGGAAAGGAGGTTTAAAAGATTTACTATAAAAATACTTGGAGAATATGCAACCGTTCAATTCAAATAATAATTATATAACGCCGCCCAATTCAAAGTCTCGCTAAGTATACTAAATCTAAATCGTAATCCCATTCGCCTTGAGGCTTAATGCCAACCACGTATCTCATAAACATTGGTCTATCACTTCGGCAACAATCAGTCGTAGTGTAGCACAAAAAAAAAACTATCCAACTTCTAGATGCCATAGAAATACGTCATTGGCTCAGAAGTACACCGTATGGAAGCTCTCTATACGGCTCATCAGCGCGGCGGTGAAGCCAAATGTTGCGCTGTTTGGAGTTGGGAGGTAAGTCGTGATTCCCGAGACGAGACCGGCGTAAGTGATCTTCGCACTAGATCAGGGCTGAGACCGCGAGGAAAGACTGACTGAGCGATGGTCTTTCGCGTGCCGTCAATACTAGCTGGGCTTTGAGAGCCGCTGGTCGCCTTTTCATTGGTAATGAGGCCCTTTGCTTGGACAAAAGCGCTAGAGCGAACGTGATATGGATCCCCTTCATAATATTTGTCCAAGATGGGATGGACCATGACAGTTTGCCGGTGAATCGTCAGTATCGAGTTGGTAGGAACGTTGACCCAATTTTCTAACACCGGAGATTAATACATGTTCTTGGTTTAAACAAGTGAATCCTCAGTTCTGTTAACATTCTTACCTCTTTCAAACGTAAGTGGCTCGCTTGCTACGAGAACAATATCACCTCCTTTATCTTTTCTGTCCATTTGATACTGTCTATCATCAGGCGAAGGAGTTCTCGTAACCCATTGTGTTCCAGACGAGTAATATAGACTGGCAGCCTCATCCTTGGAGCTGCTGATGTAGCGGGTGCAGATGACGCTGTGGCCGTCTGTTACTGCAAAGTTCAAAAGACTTCTGGTGTCCACATCCTCATTCTGCAGGATGCTCTGCGGAATGCTATCGGTTAACTCGTTGATCTGAGCAATTGTCTTCTCCATGGCGGCGCGAAGCACTGTTGGTCCAAACCCGTTAACCGGGCACGCGCTCGGATCGTAGCCTGACTGTTCAAGGGTGTTGAGAAACAGGGCAAATGCCCATTCGCTATCCGTTCCTCCCTTGACGCCGAGATACCATTTATCTGCCAGAAGGCTTCCCAGGCGCCGTTTAATGTGTTTCCAGCCGCCAAGGCCACCGTTATGCATCCACATCAAGCTTCCGTGTGTGAATGGATGGCAGTTGTCCTCGCTCAGGGAGCCTTCGGTCGTTGCTCGAACATGGCCGAATATTAAACGAGATGCAGTCTTGGAGGCGATGCGCTGAAGATTCGTGCAATTCCACGCGGGGATCGTAGACGTGAACAGGCAGGGCGCCGATCCGAGTTTAATATCGGTATAGAAGCCTATACCAAAGCCATCGGCGTTGTTTTGGCCTCGTCGCGTGTCCTATGGATATGAGAACAAGGACATGTCAGCCAAGTCTGATTGTGTAATTGTGGCGAGGAAAGCAAGGAGGGAGCTTTGTCTTACGAGTCGTAGCCGTGAATCAAATGACTGTTTAAGAATCGAATGAGTCGGATCGAGAATTAATTTCGACAGCAGGATTTCATCGCTGCCTTTGTAGACCTAGATATCGACCAAACTTGAGTTAGCCTCCTTTCAAGATCCGATCTCGGGATAGAGATCTCGGGATGGCGATCGCCGATAGAGATGCTTGGTGTCTGCGGTTCCCTAGGCGAATGACGTACCAAGAAGCGGCACATGGCGGGCAGTCGGCAGCGGTGCTGGGATAGTGGCTTGGTAAGGTCGAAGGGCACTGGACGATGAAACTCTGGCGATATCAATCAGCGACCAGCGATTTCAGAAGCAGCTGAAATATGCACAAGTACGGAGAATTATGGAGTTCAGAGGATGAATCATCGGGCAGGATGACACCATTGCGGATCGAATTGTGCCAGCGACCAGGCCCTATTGGGCTAGCCAGGCGGAAAAGACGGGGCATCTGTACATGCGCCTGGATGGCTTACCGCTTTTGTAGGTGTCAGCTCCTGCGAATTGAAGGATTAAAGGATTCGTATAAGGACGCTGTCTTAGGGCTGTGTTCGCTCCAGGTGAGTGAGGATTGGGGTCAGTCAACAGGTCAATAGTAGGACGTGTCTTGAAGTGAGCAAAGTTTGAGACGAGATGGCCAGTGCTGTAAACAAGTTGGTTACCAAGGTGCACGCGCCAGAGCAGAAAAACATGTGCACGTACCTGTACCATACATGCGTACTGAGATATGCGGTTATCGATCTAGTAAAAAGAGTACTTGTACCTACATGTAGGTATTGAACCTTAGTACCTACTAGACATGATGAGTTGAAATCCAGCAAAGGAATTGACATATCCGATTGCTGGAGTGTAATTTCTGCTGAGCCGTTTCAATGTAGTTACATCTACATACAGACAATGGATACGATACCGCTCTATCTACTTTATAGAAACGTTGGTAAGCAATAACATCTTTTTAAAAAGAGACGAGGGAATGAAAGAAAGGTTAGGCCAAGCATACTTGGCTTGTTGGCCCAAGAGCCAGTATACCGGCCAACATAGCTACCCGGTAGTGTTATGGCATGTTCATTTCGCCATTAATGAATGGAAATCGCTGTGAATGACCCAATAGTAGCCTCACTCTCCGTCTAAATCCTCATTAGCACATGCAGAATACATACGTATTCAATGATAAAACCACTTACCTTTTACCACCTCCATCGTTAAACTTAGCACCATTGCGAACGAGACTCAGCGGAGCGCGCGCGCAACTGTATATCAGACAGCTACTTTCAAAAAATGGACATATGGTTCTTGAAGATATGGCATTCATCATCACCACACCAGCGAGGGCACAATATCTGGAGAGAAACGTAGTTCGTAAGGTGTAGTTCGACCCGACACCCCAACGTTCACCTTGGCATCAAGCCCGCCTGTACACTTGCTCTAGCTGATTGCGGCTGTTGATATAACGGCGACAAACTCGCTCTGTTCACCCGCTAAGGGTTGCCCAAGATTGGCCATGAGCCACAGCTTTTGCTCTTCGGGTACTAGTAGTCACTTGAAGCGCATGTGGCCTTCCTAAGAGCAAGGACAGGGTGGGTGACATTCTACTACAAAAGATGATGTCTGTAAGAGGAGAAATCGGTGAGAATAAAAACACTGGGCTCGACCGTTGTAGGAAAAGACAAAGCAAGCTCTATTTCAGAAGGAAGATGGTAATAAAAGAAAATAAAATGGTAAAGCATGGCTGCATGTAGAGAAAATGTCCCCAACGATGTTGTATGGCAACACTTAATTCATAACACGTTTAGTTTATAAGCATTGGCATTCACCATGTCGCAGCGGCATTCTTGAATCATGCTCATGATTAACTATATAAGTAATGACATATTCGTGGCCATCTCTGCTTGGGCATTGTCTTCTACCTTGCCCAATCCCTTCTCTCAGATGACTCTGTTGGTAGTGTTCAAGTTAAGGCTTGACAAGCGTCTTCCTCTTGGAAAGGTGACGGGAGAAGAGCATTTGAGCTCTGCTGCCCAGTAACTTTACCAATTTCTATATCAATACATACTCGTCATTTTCTTCTGCTACCTCTGCTACCTCTGCTACCTCTGCTACCTACCTCTACTTGGGCCATTGCACTTGGGATGGCATCGGAAAATCACGCGCAGATGTCAACCCTTTTGTTGACGTTCGCAAACCGCCAGCGTTGATATTGAGATATGAGAAACGGACAATGGGCTCCTTCAACTTCGTGGTAAAGGATGCTGGCCCGGCCAAGCTGTCGGTGCTTCGAATTTGAGTACAAGAAACGCCGAATCTGGTACCACCAAATGGTCCAAGCCCTTTCCTTAGGTAGGTAGATTGCAAGAATCACGTACCATGACCAGAAAAGACTGCTACGAGACGCGTGTCTAGAAATGCATCGAGACAAGCGTTTTGCATGCCGAAATGTGGTCTTCCTGGGGCATTTTACGGATTTCAAAGATAAGGAAAAAGTACTGATTGAAACTACTGGTAATTGCCATGCCCTGACGCTCCCCAGTCTCATGACGGCATCACTGTCAAGTAGGTCTGCCAAATCGAAATAGACGGACAAGACAAAGTTACCGCTCGTATGATGAATCTGAGAGCCATTGACTTCCCTGGTCTGGACGTTCACAACAGCATGTACTTTGAGGTGCGTACCAAGCTCGCCGGGGCAGCAGTAAATAACCAGAATACCCGTATCGAAGAACGATTTCAAGCGCTCGAAACCTCTATAACGAATCTTTACCGAAAGGTCAACGAGGCTCTCCTCGCCATCTTCCAGAGACTGAGCCACGCCAACGAAGGCGCCGAGTCCCTGAGAGCGCAATGCAGCATCCCTTATGTCAATGGTTCCCTGCTGCAGGGAAGCAGTGGTTGTCTGTGGAAACCCACAGGCCATCATGGTATGCAATGTCGCCGGATTTGATCAATGCTGGCGCTACGGTGGTTGATCCCAGCCCGAGCGATTAACATGGCGTATAGTCAATTCCAACAGCCATCAATTCAGCCATAAAACACGTGTGCATTCGTAGAATACTGCGTGCAGCTGTCTCGCCTTCATCCGAACGTCTGCTTGGCAGACAATACTGGTGACATCCCTTCATGCACGGCGACACATTTGTGTTAGCACGCGACTCCGGAATAGTCCTGGTATACATGCAATTAATTACTCGTGACGCCACGGAAAGCAAAATTGCTCTATACGAGATTTTGCGCCCCCAAACATGTGCGTTCGAGAAGTGCAAGAAAGAGCAGCGGCAGAGGCTTCGCGCATCAACACGTTTCGCGGGAAAAGACACAGAGTCTAGGCTAAAAGTAGCTCATGTCGACAACAACAAACATTGATCGCCAGCTGAGCATGGATTGATTCAAACAATCCATATGGATACCTAGGTATGATATGCAGAGCAGAGGCAGCCCGGCTAGCGGTTTTAGTGACACGCAGCACGCCTTGCCAGCCCCTGCAGACCCGCTGTGACAGGCGCCGCCGCAGAGCCAATACAGCGCCCTGGCCCGCTGGAACCGCCCGGACGCCTGCGGCAGTGCCCCAGATTCGTCAACTCCCCAAAACGCGCCAAAGATCTCATTTACACGCTCCCGCGTCGTGAGACCGCGTCTCTCCACTTTGCCTACATGTCCCTAGCCTCACTCATTTTCGCTTATCCAAAAATCCGGTCTCCGCTTGTCCAGACTCTTTTTCCTCTGCGGTCCTGTTCCTCTCCCTTGCCATGATATGATTCGACACGGCTCGCCTAATCTCTGTGCATCCTCGTCATCTCGTCCAGCCGCATTCAGCCTTTGAGAGGGCATCTACGCCGCCAGCAACATGGTGCATTACCACTATGGCCCGTCCTCAGATCCCATCTACCCCTCGAGCCCGCCCACTGTCAATGCGTCCTCTCCAGCAAGCCAGATGCTGTCGCCGACGAGGTCGACCAGGCGCAAGGAAAGACGAAATCCGTCGGTGACGCCTAGGAGGTTTGGGCGCTTCTTTACGCCGCGGTCTTCTCTGCCCAGCGGACGGTCAGTATTGGGGATGCTGGATAGCGCCTCTGTCAACAACCGCCAGCTAGCATCCCCCATGTCCTTTCTGAGCGATCCGCTGAGCTCCGACCCGTTATGTCCGCCCTCTCCCAGTGAACGGCTAGGAATGAATGGAGAGCACAAGAGGTTATTGGAAGAAGAGATGCAGGCAGATGGCACAAAGAGGAGGAGACTTAATGGTGGTGCGGATTCGCCGTACGGACTTCAAGGGTTAATCAACGGCACTATTATCGAGGAGGATCTAACCGAGGGCCTTTCCGAGGATGGTACCAGGACAAAAGAGACTCTTGAGAGCTTGGGGGACAGGCGGAGAGCTACTCTGGTAAAAGATACTCTCCCTCTCTTTAGAAGTTGCATGTGGTTTGCTAACAACTTGTTAGAACCTCTTCTTCAAAGCTAGCCGCAATGGCTCCCGTGGGCTGCAAGAAAAGATAGGACTGACCCCACAGAGACTTGTTGCCGCAGACCCTAAAGCTCCTCTGGTATAGCTTACTTTTGCTTCCCCTTCTAACTATCCTGGAACTTGTTGCTAATCTTTCTTGCTACAGCAGCTTGAAGGATATCAGCCTAAGCCTGTCCGCAAGTTCCGGGATCTTGGTTTCGAATCTCACCTCGTCGACCGGGAGCATGGCTTCTCTTCGCACCACGGCAGCCAATATCTTAGTTCCCCGGCATGTGACCCTAGGATCGAGACATCTTCGTTTTATAGCCGGAGCAATGACCTTCACCACTGTGTTGCCTCTAGCGGAGGCGGCAATACGATTCCGTTCAGTCTGGCCAGCTGCCATAAGGCTTCTGTTACGGCCATTGGCGACGAGCAAGGATATGTTCGCCTCTTCAACACCACTTTGAACGATGCCTCGGAGGACTCCAAAGTTGACGTATACATCTCTGTTCACGACAACGCGATTATGGATCTGTCGTTCTCGGAAGATGATACACGGCTGGCGACGGCGTGTGGTGACCGCAGCGGCAAAATCCTCGACGTGCCGACTCAAACAGTTGCTTCGGAGCTTGGAGGAGGCCACTGGGACTCGTTACGGCAGATTGCATTCCAGCCTGGCGAAGCGGCCGGCAATGTTATCGCCTCGTCTGACCGAGCTGGCCGTATCCAGATATGGGACCTGCGGTGTTCTTCATCGCCGGTTAACAGCTTTTCCTGCCCTAGCGGCATTGGCCAGCGAGATACTTCGTTGGAACCATTCCCAGCCAAGGGCATAAACACCATCGACAACGCCCATGAGCGTACGGTACAGGGCAACACTTCGTCTGCATCAGTCACCGCTATTCACTGGATGCCACCTGGCCGTGAACACCTTTTACTCTCCGCATCTGAAGCCAATGCTTCGATTAAGTTATGGGACACGCGATATATCAAGCCTCGGCGGCAGGCTGAGGAGACACCTTTAGCCGTAACACAGGAACCGCGAGGCCACACGTGGCGTTCCTACGGTATCACTTCCATGGCTCTTAGCTCCGACGCCGCCCGTCTCTACGCTGTTTGCAAAGACAGCACTGTCTATGCTTACTCGACAAATCACCTAATGCTCGGGCATGCGCCCGAACTTGAAGATGGAGCAGTCAAGCGGAGACCCAACGGGACCCACGGTCTGGGCCCCATGTACGGCTTCAAGCACGACTTATTCCGCGCGCAGTCCTTCTATGTTAAATGCGATATCCGCCCTAGCATCAACGGCTCCTCCGAACTCCTCGCCGTGGGCAGCACCGACGGCTGCGCACTTCTCTTCCCCACCGATGAACGCTACATCCGCACCGCCTGGGCCAAACGATCTCACATCCTTCCCGAAGCCAGCGCCTTTGCCACTCCATCACAGAGCATATCGACCCCCTCTGCCTTTGGATCATCCGCCGCCACGCCCCTTCTCCCCATCTCACGACTTGGTACGCCTCTTATCCGTGGCCACAGCCGTGAAGTTACCACCCTGAGCTGGGCTCACGACGGCAAGCTCGTCACAGCTTCAGATGACTACATCGTTCGCCAGTGGCAGCAGGGCGAATCTCAAGCGCGATATCTACGGCAGGTGGGCGAATTCGGGGGCGAGCGTCACATGGCAGGCTGGGCCGACGTGGGAGACGACTGGGACACCCCCGATGACGACGATGATTAAATAAAAAATTTACAAACGCTTAAAAAAAAGAGAGAGAAAAAGAAACAAGGAGCGGTAATGATGAGTATATGAAAAATGAAGGATACCACGGTATGGAATATTCACTTGTTTTTTTTTTGTGGACACCCTTTCTTCCAACGCTTTAAAGAAAGTATACGGACATTGTGGCATAATATGCTTGGTTGAGCATTGTGTGGAAAAAATATTTTGGAGCTGTACTCCTTTTTGCCTGAGAGAGAATTGTGTTTCTCCCTCTTCATATTATCGTTAGAAGCATAGCAGTGGCGTTTGTAGGGTTAGCTGCGGCATAGCATAGCCAAGCATTGTTTTTGAGCCGTGACGGGCGAATAAGTGTTAAAAAAAATACATACTGCTAAAATCATAATCGTAACTCTATTGATTGCGGACCGAATATCCAACTATTCTAGGAAGTCTCTCTAGGAATTCATGTCTCCCAACGCACAGTGATATGCTAACAAACCTGTATCGCCCCCGTCTCACGCTCTTCCAATTCACTTTGGTATATCCTCAGCCAGTGACCCCCCCAACGCGATTATATAGTACATAAAGGAAAAACAAACCAAATACTCCCACCAGCGCTGGTCCTATCATAGTGCCGCTGGCATCACGCCGTTGTGGCTTTACATATAAATTGTGACTGGAACTGCCATCCTTTGCAGTAGCAATACGATGCTTGCGTGGTGGAATAGGGAGCAACTTTGCAAACCTCATAGATTTGGGAACATCAGAACACGCTGTGTCAGTGCTAGTTGCTGGAGTGTCATCATATTCGCCTCTATTCTCATTCTCGGGCGCGCCCAGCGATTGTCTCCTGAAGGGGTTTCCAATGCCGCGCTCTCGGGCTATAAGGAGGCTGTCACGCAGACGTGCCCCAAATTGATTGTTGCCAAGAAGGCCGGCCAGTGAAGGCCTCACGCGCATTTGGGTGGCTGGCTTCTCCTCCTGCACGTCGCTGCAGACAGCGTCCAGCTGGCCAACCAGCAGATCTATGCTCTCCAGGATGATGAGAGATTCTTGGAGGATGTCCTCCCTCTCTTCAGCCGTCAGTTCACTCTCCCACTGAAGCAGCTTCGCCTTATACTCCTGCTTCAGGTCTTCGCCGTCATTTTCTGAGTCAAACCTCCAGAACTGTAGCGGCAGCAAACTCTTGTCGTGAGAGTGTATATCATCCTCTGTCACCTGCTCTAAACGAGAGTCGTTGATCGGCTCTAGCGGATATGTAGTGGCAGAATATGATTTGCATGGCTGCATAGTAGGTTTGATAGGCTCAGGGACAACGCTCCAGAATTCGTGGCCGGCTTTCTCGAGGGTTGCTCTGATGAATCGTCCTCCGGCAAAGAGGGCCATGAATAAATTGTACGAATAAGCGATGAGGACATGTGGCTTCGCGTGGACGACTTGTTTGATATGTGAAGTAAAGACCGATAGCTGGCCTGTCCCCCTTATAGCCTTGATTTGGCAGTCGAGGACATCGTCTGACCAACCCGTCATGGATTTGATATCGGCCCTGAGGCGGTCGGAGCGGAAGAGCTGAGGGAGGTAGATCTCTTTGAGAATTGTATGTACACGCTCGGAAACCTCTAGTCTATGCACTTTGCCATTTTCTGCATTGGAGTTTGAATGATCTAGCGCGTCCGCGGGAATTGCATCGATAATATCCAGCCAAAGCTTCTCAAAAGTCATGTATACCGGGAGAATGTGCAGTAGGCCACAGGCATAGGGACCGGAATCAGGGGCCTTTGGAGGGATTGCCAGCGGCAGTCGGGACGTGATAAGCTTGTTGATTTTCGTATGCAACGGCCTTGTTATGCTGACCATGTCACCCGCGAGTGACTTTGGGGTTTGTGAGGAGACATTGTCGGGATAGGTCATCGCGATGGGAGAGGCGGCCATGAGGGAGATGGGCAAAGTAGGATTTTGCTGTTGAAGCCAGTCTGGTCGAGGATCGTTCGGTGCAAAACGGTAGGGCGTAAGACAGAAGGCGTAATATGACAAGTTGATATAGGGATAGTATATGATATTGCTGTGCCCTTCTTTCGAAGAGCGAGTAAGGATGAACAACAAGTTCAGAGAGTTGCGGTCAAGAAGTTTGCGAATGGAAAAGAGGTCTTAAACGAGTGTTCAAAAACGTAAAAACAAGCCAATGGCCTCAGTAATATGAGAGACGGGTATCCTAGGCAGGCGAACGGGTTCAAGACATGCATGTGCTTGTACTTGTGCTGTATACCATGTAATGACTGACACGCTTATAACCAAAACAGCGAGACCTGCTGCTCGCACTTTCCGAGAACACAACAGGGGAAATAAAAAAAGAATCAAACGGCGTCGAACTGCATGTGCTCTGCGCCAGGTTGCGTCATCTGATGAAAGGGCCTCCCTGCGTTTCCCTGTGATACCAGCCACAAGTCATGGGGTCCTGTCAACGGCACGACGGGGTCTGATCACGCCCTATTCGAGAAAAGATGGGAAATGGACAAACGGCGAGGCCCAGCCATGCAGAAAGCAAATCGACAATCTGGCTTTGGCCTGCACTGATTTGCACTGGTTCCTGAGCAGATCGATGGATGCTTTTTTGCTGATCTCCCGCGGGCTTGGGGCGCTATGCACTGCTTTCTTCCGGATTCTGTGGAGCACGAGTCGCCGGCCTGGGTTGGATGTTATTCGAGAAGCTGTTCAGCCCTCTTTGAAAGTTTGCGCAGTAGCAATTCCCCGTAGCAAGAGCAGCATAGCAGACAAATTAGCCAGCTCGATTTTTTTTTTTTTTTTTCCAGCAGGCAGCAGGACCGTCGGAAAGCTGAGCGTTGAATCACGGGCCGGGCAGAGAACTCGTCGCTGCCTCGGAGCAGATGCTCCCTTGCGCGGCGTGACCTCCGCCCATGATTTTCTCCCCATCATTCAGTAACGATCGGGAATTTAGCGCTTCATCGGGAGGAATTCAGCGTGGGGTCCCGCTAACAGACAGTTACGTTACTCTAGGCACAGCATAGCGTGTGTTATCCAAATTGCTGGCGCTAAGGCATTTATCTATCTCTAACAACCGCGTTAAGGAACAAAGTGCAAAATCTGACTAAACAAAGAAAAAGTCTCTCATCCTGGGGTATAATGTAGTTGAATACACGTATCTTGGTTCATATATTCATCTGGGAGCATTCATCCATACACAATGTCCTCGTCAACACCACCGGGATTAGTTGTGGTGGCGGAGGATGTGACTTTGCCAGCAGAATCGTCTTTCTTTGTCTCATGATTAACAAATACAAATGAGACAAAGACGACTGCGGCACCAATCCAGTAGATGAAACTGGAATACTGCTGGTACTGGAATATTTCGCCGATGAGTGACAGCGGTATGGTCAAAGACAGGCCTACCGTGACAACTAACGGGGTGGTCAGGAGCATGGCCAGCGCCCAGCAGAGGTCACTGACAAAGGAGGCGACGGCATTTACCTATGCAAATGTGAATAACTCCATCTAGATCAGGGTGAGCAGCATGTGACTTACAATGACGATCGTCCAAATCTGGCTTGTGGGAGGCAATTCAAACTGTATTAAACTCGAGTCAGTCCTCTATTCCGGGTGCATCTTCGGTCTTGCAAGCTCATTCTTGCTGCAAATGAAAGGATGGTGAACCTATACGTACCGGCTCCATTCCCGTCCAGTGTAAGACGAAGAAGAGCGGCCACAACAGCGACAGATTGAACACTCCAACCAGTCCGAAGAACAGCTGCATGTTGACCTTGTCTTCATTGCCTACCCGTCGCTTCATGACGGTCACGTATATGCCGTAAAGCACAGCGCTCATAAAAGCCATCGTGTCTCCGAGGGCAATCTGCCCGGGGGTTTTATGCGGAAACGATCCCCTGTTCTCGTCACTCTTGCCCGATAGATCCACCATTGAAATGAGCACAACACCGGTGAGGGATGCGAGAACCCCAATCAGCTTGCGCATGGAAAACGTCTCGACACCAAAGATGGCGCCGAATACCAGTGTCCAGACGCTGCTTGTGGATGTTAGGATTGTGACGCTGGCCACGCTGGTGTACTGGAGACAAGCAGACGACAGGTAATTCGCCAGAAACCAGAGGATGCAGAACTCGAGGCTCAAGATGGCCGTTTCGCGGAATCCAAGCTTCTCATCTGTAGAGTTCCATACGGGGTTGTGCTCGTTTACTAGCAAGCGCTCGTGTACTTCTGGGCCCTCCTCGTCTATTGTAGGGCTCGCGATGGCAGCTTGGTATCGGCATTCTGCCCACATACGTCTGATATCGCTTCGAAGTCCGTGGACTCCTCTTCGCGCTAAATATCGAATGAACATGGGTATCAAAGAGATGGCGAACATGGAGGTGTTGAAATAGACGAGAAAAAAGGGCTTATCATAGGTCTGGTCGGAGAAGATGAACTATAACAGCACTGTTAGCTGGTGTCTTTGCTCCATCGTGTCCGGCAACGCAGGCTACGAACGCTGGCGAGAAAGTTGGACAGAGTCCACAGAAATACAGTCGTCAACAGGAAGCATATCCCCAGCGTCCTCCTGGCCACGCCTCCCAGGCCCAAGCCCTCCCGGAAGCCAACTGTTGGTGACGGCATCTGGCTGCGAATGGAAGATGCTGCGTGCGAAGGCCGCCTCACAGCCTGGCTGTCCAACGAAGACATCGCCACCACGTTATTCGTCTCGGTCGTCCGTCTCGTCGTCCGTCGCAGATGCTGGTAGTGGCGCCGCTCTTATCGACGACAGGCCCGTGACGTGTGTCAGATCAAGCCCCAGTCATACTGCGGTGGTCGCGTGCATTCTACCTCGGGCTATGGATCTTGGGAGAGTTGAATCATGCGTTGGCATATGCGCCTTCGGGCACCGAGTTCGGCAGGGCGAGATGCACGCTGAGACCTTTGCAAGCAACGCGCCAAGCGAGGCTTCTAGCCTGAGTAGATTTGCCGCAGGAGAGGCGATCTCGAATTGCGACAGCGATGGCAGCGGACAGAAACCAGGCTGACGCAGAGTTGCAATTTTGCTTACTATGGAGGGCTAGTCCCGATGTTAGTGCTCGCGTGGGGTATAGCGGGACAGTGTGCGCGGGCTTCGGTTTAGCTATTGATGAGTACTTGAACGCAATATTATTGCGAGAGTCTGTTTCTGAAGTGATTAGCTAAAGTCAAAAGGACATCACCGAAAATTGTAGCTTCAAGTAAGCATGAAATGTGGTATCCATAGGTGCAATAGCAAGCTCCATCATGCACTTAACCTACTACATGTACCCGGCATCACGACTTGGGCTTTAGAAAGCGTGGCATGCTAGCAAATGCTTAATAGACATCCCGAATGGTCGAAAATTGTTTCATCTTCTCTCAGTGGGCACATTAACTGTTTATTTAACATAGGCGTCCCATAATCAAGCAAGTGGACAGTGACTAGTTACGTATCTTCATTTTCATCCAAAATCCTCACGTAAGGCTTACTACGTGGATTAAGACCGTCTCTTACAAGCAGCTTGGTGATGATGCTTGTGATCGAATGTCGGAATCGAATTCTCCAATGAGAGTGCGCTCTGCCTGCATGACCCTCATATTGCTAATGAATGTGCACAATCGTGGACGTAAGTGTAGTGGTTGCGAGGAAAACAAGGAAGCCTACAGTAAGACAACCGCCGACGTGGCCAACCTGTATGGCGTCAGTTGTCTCAATCGCCCATACATGAAATGGTCAAATAAATTAGGTACCATTTAGCGTGAGTAAAACATATTAACGCCATTTCCCGATCAAGGGGCTGTCGACCAGCTGTGCTCGAATTCAGAGGTATCCTCTTAGAGACATGGGAAGTTCCGGAGACGCAAAGTCTCCAGTTCCAAAGTCCCGGGATACGAGTCTACTGCCGGTTCATGATTTGATTTCCACGTTACAATGTACCATCTGAACGGCGTTTGTAGGGACGTATTTGGCTCTTTAGCGCTCTCTAGCGTCGCATTTGGACCCTGAGCCCCCGTCACGGTCTTCGCTTATCTCGCGTGCTCGCTGCTGGTTACCGCTTCGGGCTCCAGAGAAGCTCGAATCATGCAATCGTTAACGAAGCTGAGCTCGCGAAGGTTCTAGCGCAACGAGCGTTTAGTACTCTATTCTCGGCCATGAGTTTGTCCTTTGCATCCTTGTATGTCGTATGTCATAGTCTGATGCTCCGTTCTCGCTTCGGGGTAGTTGTTTAAAGTGGATAGTGCCACCCTGTTCTGTAGATTTATAACATGATACTAGAAATCCATAGTCTGGCTTTTTATCAATGGCTGTTCTTTCCTAGCATCGTGCATCATCCATTTAACACCGCGGGTAGCTTGTCTAGTCCCCGAAAACGCAGGAGTTGTTCAGACTCTGCAATTTTACACCGATTCCTTACAACATGGTTTCGAAAATTACCACAGGAGAACAACCACAGCCTCCCAGAGACATCGCTGCGTCTCGTCTACACAACATGACATCAACACCAGAATCAACGGATTTCGACACGGATCGATATCTAAAGTGCAGAGACAGGAGACGCAAAAGAGTTTCCAAGGCTTGTGAACGGTGTCGGATGAAGAAAATCAAGGTTTGTCCACTACAGCACCTCGATTTATCAACAAGTGTGCTAATAGAGGCGGTTTTGTTAGTGTGATGGTGAACTTCCTTGCCAAAAGTGTAAAAACAATGGAAATGTCTGCACTCCCGGCTTCCGAAAGAGGACAATTCACGTGGAATACAAGCAGGTCCCCAAGAGGTATGTATCTTTAAGCATCGTATGAAGGCATAATGATTACTAAACTACAACGCAGCTACGTTGAGTTCCTCGAAACTACACACTTGGCCCTTATCGGCACTGTCCATAAACTATATACAATGATTCAGAAGAACAAGCCCTGGGATCTTGGTGAACCAGAGTTGAATGACCAAGGCGAATTGGTTATTCACGACATAGCTAAGAAGCTGGGATGTATCGGCCCCAATGACGAAATCGAACTACCCATTAAATACGAATTGCCGACAACTATTTCCGGTATGGAAAGCCTCGCGACCCATCCGAAACGACTGCAATATGGAGATTACGATATGGAGGTTGATGATAAGGAGCCAGATTCACCCACAAATGATTCTACAAACGAAAGCGCCCCATCACTGGAACCCATGCAAGGTGTCGAAACCGAGTTGAACAGCAGACGAGAAACTTTGGCTGACCGCAATCACCGCATGACGAAGTCTCGAAGCCCTTACAGTTTTGACGACCCAGACAATAGCCATTCTGAGTCTGAGGGAGCCAACTCCTGCGTTACATCATCACCATATCTTTCACCAGTAACAGACTACACCAACTTTTCTCAGGCTCAGCTGGTAACAGTACCTGATGACATGACGCTTTTCCTTCAACAGTACGGATCGATGCTGAATACAGAGGAAATCACTTGGGAATTGGGCGATTTAAATAATAATACACTCAAAAGTGACTTTTCAGAGACGCCTGCTATTGAGTCGTTACTTGTGGAGAACAAGATGATGCTTCCTGATTATAATGATTTTTTCGGCATAGGCATCACAGACATTGTTCACATAGAAGAAAGAAGTCCAATACCTATAGAGATGTCATGAATACGGCTAATTAAGATGTATATCTTCATGTAGAGCGATTAGAGAAAAATTCCCACTTTGATTTGGATTAAAAGTTCTCCGGTGTACTTGGAATATGGCAAGAAACAGTCTTGCGGCAATCTTTTGTTTATTCTTAGCAGTTTACGATAGTGGTATTCATTTCTACAAATCCCGTTGATTGGTATTTATTTACTTGTTTCTAATAACAGCTTTATGGCAACCTCGTGGCCATTTTGAACACCTTATAATGACAGTGCATTGGAAGATTCTTTTTTCACGTCGACATTTTCTTTCTTCTTTACAAACAGCAGATTAACAATACTCTCTACTCGACCTATAGCAACATAGCCGCAGCATATCAGTGGCGAGTTTTAGTGTTGTCGCTTTCCTTGTTTCATTAATCGATTAGTTTCCTCTTACCTTTACTCGGAATGTTTTCATTTACATCATGACAGGCGGCTTTGCAAAGAAATGACGCCAATCTGATGATCTCTGTCCTTTTGCTTATTGCGGTAAGTACAAAATTGGATTCTTTGGAACCACACTATGAGCTGATCAGCATATGTTTCGATAGTGTAAACAATAAAGTTTTTAGTGATTAGCAATCGCAAGAATCTCATTTTGTTTCACTTTTCATTAACTAGGATACTGAAGTCTTGATCTATATCTCTCTGTGTATTATAAGTTTGTGGTACTATGAGTTTCTGTCACTATCTTTAACTACGAGTTCCAGCTGAAGGACCTCCATTGTTCGCGTTGAAATGAGGGCTCTTTTGTCCATTCGCAGGTCGAAGGGAGGCGCTCTTTGCCATGCCATTGTGACAACCGTTGAAGACAAGCTCGCTGATACCAGGATAGCCGTGGATACCAGTAGCCTCCTCCAGTCTATTGGCAAGATCGTCAGACACTTCACGGAAGATGCCAATCTGGCGTTTAATAATCTCCTTTTCTGTGCAAGTGCTCATATGGCCGGCCACGTTGTTGATGAATCGCTCTTTGGCGGCGTCATCAAAAACTCTCTCCCAGAGGACACGAGGCTGGTTAAAGTCTTTGGGTCTGATCTCTGAGAGGAAAGCGACTGCTCTCCCGATGAAGGCTCCATGAGTTTTGTCTAGATTTATCTTACGTTCTTTGAAAGAAATTGGCTCGATAGAAGAAAAGTAGTTCGGTCTTGCGCCTTGGTTGAAGAAGGCCATGGGCCCATCTCGCTGGAAGTTGGCCATTTGGTAGCCTGTGCGAGGCGCATTGACAGGAAGCTGTTGGTAGTTTACTCCCAGACGGTGACGTTGAGTGTCGGGGTATGAGAATAAGCGACCTTGAAGAACAGGGTCGGCGGAGGGCTCAATTCCTATACAAATCCAAAATTAATTAGCATTTGATTACATGTACCCTATACTGATTATAAAAGTTTGGGGGCTTACCGGGAACGAGATGAGATGGGCTGAAAGCAACTTGCTCAATCTCGGCAAAGTAGTTCTTCACATTCTCATTCAAGCAGAGCTCTCCAACCTTGCGGAGAGGAAATTGGCCTTGGGGCCAGCAGTGAGTAAGATCAAAGACGTTGATCTTTTGGGTCTCCCACAACTCCTCAGCTTGCTTTGGAGTCATGGTTTGCACGCATAAATCCCACTGAGGAAACTCGCCGCGCTCAATAGAGTGATAGAGATCCTTCTGGTTTGCGTCAGGCGAACGACGCGTGGATTCTTCTTGGGTCAAAAAGCCAGTACCCTGCTTCGAGCGAATATGGATTTTGCAGTATACCCAGGAGCCCTCCTTGTTCACGAATTTGAAGGTATGGCCACTGTATCCATGCATATGGCGCCAACTATCCGGGATGCCGCGATCGCCAAATGTGTACATGACTTGGTGAATGGATTCGGGGTTCTGGCTGAAATATTCCCAAAACATGGTAGAGTCATCACCGCTGCCAAGATGGCTTGCAGGATGTCTCTTCTGAGTATGAATCAAATGAGGAAACTTTGCAGGATCTCTGATGAAGAAAACTGGTGTGTTGTTTTGCACAAGATCCCAGTTGCCTTCATCAGTGCGAAACTTGATAGAGAAGCCTCGGGGGTCTCGGGCATGATCATGAGAACCGCTTTCGCCACCAACAGTCGAAAATCGAATTGTGATGGGGCACTCTTTTCCTTCAGCAGAGAAAATGTCTGCAAGGCAAAGGTCATCCAGTGGATTGGTAGTTTTATAGTAGCCATGGGCACCACCACCCTTTGCATGGACTACTCTCTCAGGGATTCTCTCACGATCAAAATGTGATAAGAGATCAATGAGGTGGAAGTCTTGGAGCAGCAAAGGACCATTTTCTCCAGCTCGTTGAGTTTCTATTGGCCAATTAGTTCACTGTATTCACGTATAGTAAGAGGGATTGTGCCTGTAGTTATACATACCGAAAGGATGGGGCATTGGTGCACCATTGCTAGTTGTATACACCGTGTGCTGAGATGTAGTGTTGCGATCGTTGACATAGTTCAAGTGCAAGTCGCCTGATTCTCTGTTAGCCCCATTTACCTTACAAAGTTCACCTTCAGTGACTATAAAGCAGGTATATACACACCATTGTTGCGACTTGACACAGAATACGACGTAGAAGCCATGGTTGAATCTGTCGTAGTCTTGGCGTCTAATACTAGAGATGAAACAATTTGAATGTGATTTTCAATTTATCGACTTTATGAACGAGCGGCTCCGAATCTTTTTATATTTGCCCATGGTCAATGAATACTTGCTACAATACTATGACTGTCTCTGCTTTGGCTATGAGATTCCGTGTAAGTGCAGCCTGTGACGTAACGTACCGGCGCAACTCTTCAGCGCATGGCTAATCAAACAGCTTTGACGCCATTGGCCGAGGTGACTTAACCTTGTTTGCGTATCAGCAAATGGGGCAAGACTCGGACCTCCGACTGAGGGGACTAGGCTGTTCTTGGAAGCGCATGGCGAGGCTTTACTTTATTTGATGCAGTTCATGGTTTGGAAGTACATATTCACGCTCACATAAAATTTCGTAAGCCAGTTGTTTCCGTGCAAGTGCCGGAGGCCTGATAGTATATCTCAGATGCAGATTTTCGGTAGTTGAGTCCCCTGTGTGATTAAATAATCCTCGTATGTACGACGCACTGCCGACATCAGATGATGTAAGGATTCCAGGCAACAGCAGTGCATTTGGATCTCTAGAACCCTGAAAAGGGACATCTTGAGCGATAGTAGCGAGATTAGCCATTATATTGAATATTACAATGGAAGATATAGTCAAAGTATTCTTCGTTCTGGATGCAACTGCTTATTAGGGGTGTCTAATTCTGGACCGCGGCCAAGTCAACCCTGAGAGCGAGACACTATTCCACAAATAGAAGTCGACAGCGAACAGCCATAACAGCAGACTGACATCCTAGAAAGATTGAACATGATAGGGAGCAGAAGGATTTCCCGTGTCCAGTTGAGCATATATGGATGAGCTTGATAAGGCTAAATTAGAGAGCATTAGAATCCGAACTTGTCATTTTCAGGATAGTGTATGTCAAATGTAGACGCAAGGCTATGCGGCACAACTGGGGTCCCATTGAAGCTATCCAGACAGCTCACCACAAGTCTTTCTACGTGATTTATAAATGTATTGCCCGATTCACCCGGTTGCTCAATGTAAGTCATATGATAATCTTTCCCATAATTACTTTCTTTCATTAGTAAATTTATTGGTACCCAATTACGCTCCCGCCAGGTGTCCGTTGGTTAATCGGCAGTAACCGACTTCCATTCATATGGTCACGCAGAATGTCATCGAGGTTAAATCTCGCTTGTGAAGAGCGGTTCTTCCAACTACTTGCAATTGGACGCCTGAGAATCCACTCCCAAGTAAACTGCTCTTCCATTGATCGCTGTTCGTCGTAAATGTCAATCTCTCGCTTAGCCATGCTGTTATCGTCAAGCTCGGGGGAGAAGCGCGCGTGGGCGATGGGATAATACGTTAAAGTACCCCGATTGATCCAACCACTGTTGAATCGAGAAGGTTTGGCATAGTAGCACATAAAGCCTTGGGCGCTCGTCTCCGGTATCAGCATAGAGATGATCCGCAGCGCCGGGCTGGGATATCGCTCGATCCTATCGGTCGAGAGCAAGTTGTGGCTGAGTTCCATTTTGTGTAGAACTTTAAGGCTGGCAGACAGAACATAGCCGTTGAATAGCCCTTGTTCTCCAATCTGCTGCATCAGCTGCGCAATCCAGCGGAGCCATGATGGCCAAGGGCTGCACTGGCCAGTGATATATAAGATGGGTAAGAGGCTGTGATCCATCTCCTCGCCGGAAACAGGAGCATCTGTGGAGTAAGTAGAAGTGGGAAGAGTTCGTGAGTGATTGTTCATAGCATGAGTCGCCGCAAAGCGTATAGTCTGGTAAAAGTGTATGTAGGCTTCGGATTCTAGTTTCTTTGCGTCTTGGCTTTTATCATAAAGGCAGAGGGTCCACAAGATGCGAGCCATGAGGAAGTTGAACGTGGCCCCAGAGAGGCATAGATGAAGGGGCATTGGCAGGAATGGTGACGGGGGGATGGGAAAATGAACCTCTTCTGAGCTGCCGAGACTGGTTAGGGATGCTGTGTCCGTTTCAAGGTTCGGATGGAGATGGCTATGGACGCCCCTCCACTCTCGCAAATCGCGCTGTAATCGGTAAACCTTTTCCAACAGTACAGCTGGATCTTGTCGAGTTGGTGAGAGATTCCACATCTCATCGTGTGCCCCAGAGTCAACGAGAATCTGAAGCAAGCTGCGTTGTAGATCAAAGGCATTTAATGCAATATGACTGGTAGGCATCGTATGGCCAATAGAGAGGAGCATACCGGGAAGCGGTACCGCCATGTAGCAGGTCCATGCAAGGGTTTGCAGAGTAGTTTCCAAAGACTCCATTGCAAGGTCATCTACACGAAGCGATGTATTAGACCTGAGGGCTGTGAAGTAGTAGTGAGCTGTGCGGACATGGCCATAAGCAGCCGGGATGTTGCCCGCAAAGCACTGTTGAGATGATGCCATATTAGCTAGGACGACCACTTCCCGCACTCTCGTACTTATCCCCAGTACACACACCACTTACTTCAAAGTAGGCCATGAGCACCAACACGGCCGTTAAAACGTCTAGAGACTTTTCGGCCTCATCGAGACAGCCTGATAGTTCCTGTAACGCCTTTGTGTATGCCTGAACGGCAATCACCTTGGTGTCCAGCCCGCGGTTCTGGTCGTTCTCCCCAAGCATGGCAATCATGAGGGAAGCGCGATGCATACACCCCAGCGCCAGAATCCCTCTCTGGGCATACTCGATGATCAAGGCCTCTTCACATAGGCGGTCTCTCCAGAAAGGCAATCGGTCAGCCGGGAACAGCATGGGTAGCGTCCGGAAGAAGAACTGGTGGTAAGACAGGACCTCTCTGGCGGCGGCACAGGGACGATTCGACATGCGTGGGTTGCTGGGCAGACCAACCAGCGGCAAGCCATCGATACGGAACTGCGGCCGGGGAAGAGCGGGATGAGCGGATATGCCGGACGACGGGCCGCTCGCCGGGCCGGAGGGTGGTCCGGAGGGGGTGGAACCGGCGCCGAGGCCCTGGTTTTGCGGCGAGACCTGGAACTCGTCGTCGACGACAGTGCTGTCATTGTCATCGGCCGGCGAGTTCTGCTGCGAGTGAGACGCGCCGCGATGGCGGTTTGGCGCACGCACATCGATCTGCCTCTTGGGCGCGTAGCCCGCACACTCAACGTTGGCGATGGTGCACCGGTTGCATGTCGGCTTGCGCTCGTCGCACTTGACCCGGCGGGCCCGACACGTGAGGCAGCCAGTGCGCGTGCGTCTCTTGATTTCGCTCATGGTGAAGGGCTCCTCCTAAGAGGAAGGGGGTGCGTCACGTCTCTCCAAAGTATTGGGATGGGATGCTGCTTTGCTCGAGCCAAGCGAGCTAAGCGTTGGAACCCCAGTCAGTCCACCGCTTGCGTACATTAGGTAATTTTGGAGACACCACAGGCTACTGATTGGAACGTCTAGCCAGAGATGAACCCACTTTGAATCCGGGGGTCTTAGACGAGCAAACGAGATAGGCGAGTCTGCCGAGCCCGTAATCCTGCACTGCTGGTCGCTTTTGGGTTTGCTCTGGACAGTATAAAATACGCAATTCTCTGTATTTGACACCATATTTTTGGGTTTCAACTGTCACTGATGAAGGTATATGGATAGAGGCGAGATTGCCGAACGCCTCTTCTCCGCATTTCCTTATACGGTAACTTTCACTTACAACCTCATATGGCCATTGGCAGCGAGCATTGTATACTTATAAGCCTTTTGGCTTCTTGTAGGAAGGATAATTCGATGATTGAAAGCCATCAAACGATATAGTTCACTCTACTTCCCAAGCATCTTTATTTCCGCCCATATAAAAGAAAATAATTGAAATATTATATTTTGCACTACTTCCATCTTAGTACGATGTCTCATTCACAGATACAAACCGAGAATCGGGAACTGCCCTTAAATCAGCCAGAGAACTGGCAAGTCAAGTTTCCTCGTTACATGACAGAGCTTCCTGAAGGTGTCAATGACATTAGCATCACTTATATCGGTATCCAGCCTCGTCATGAAGAGAATCCTGCCAAGGGGATACACACCAAGCTCCACGCCCACGTCACTTCTGCTGTTCAGAGAAAGGTCGTAACGAAAATTGAGGATTGGATCCAGCAAGGATCCGGAGAACTTGCTCCAATCTTGTGGGAGAAAATGTATGTCGAAGCCGGCTACGATCTCCCAGATACAGAAATATATATTTGCTATTGGACCGATAAAGATGTTGCCATGGCAGCCACGAACAGTCTCAATCTACAACAGCTGTATAAATCACTTTCGCTTTCAGAACAAGAAGTAGTGGGCTTATGGCGAGAGTCATTTTCAGTTCCAAAACCTCGGATTGAAACAGTTTATTCTGGAAATGATTATCAGCCAGGCATCGCTTCTATCGCAGGTGCTACCCAAGTCGGCCACAAATTCACTGGATACTGGGGAGCGGCTCGCGATCGATTGCCAGCATCATCGCATGACCTTTTTGAGCCAGAGTATAAACTTGGCGCTCCAAACTTTGAAAAGGACACCAAAGGTCGTATCATTGAAGGAGAAAACAAGGTCTCCGTTGCTCATATTCGGTCCGGCCAGTTCTGGGAACGATGCAAGGACGATGAGAGAGAGGCATACGAAAGCACACTTGAGCCCATATTGAGAGAGGGAATGACATTTCTCGAAGAGAATGCGGAAGAGACAGGCGACATCGGGCTGCGCTTCTCTCGTCATATGGTCACGAACCGACTTCTCCAAGCAGAAGAGACAGAAAAGACGGCTACATTGAACGGCAATGGAAATACAGTGATCAATGAACTTACAAATCTCGTGAAGAATTATACCGGATATTTTAATGGAACAAACGGCACGAATGGAACAAACGGTCACTCCAGCACTGGCAATAACAACGACCCCGACGCAGAGAAATTTGGCCTCCTTGTAACAAAGGATCGTCGAAGGCTCGAGACGTGCAGCAGCGGCTTCTTCCGCTCTCTCAGGGACATCGAAGCGTGGTCTTCCAAGCACAAGACGCATCACAGAATATTCCACGGAGCTCATACCCACTCTACCAAATTCGGCAAGACGACGTTCAAGTTCCGCTCTTGGCATGAAATGTCAGCTTTGAAGCCTGGCGAATTGACGTTTGAGTACATCAACTGCCACCCTAGGACGGGCCTGATTCCATTCTTTGATGTGTGAACTTGTCTTGAGAGGATATATAGATGGCAAAGGCAGGGGTGATGCGGGATAAGCGCAGCTTGGCATAGCTTAGCATACCTAGCATAGAGTGGAATTAGACGTTACGAATGTATCTTGACATGTGTTTTGTATCGTGAAGAACATTGTTTTACACATTTCTTAAACTATTTAAGTGTAAAGGAGGTTAGTTCTAGGGTAAGGAGAATAACTTTACTTCATGGACATTGTATGTAATCGTTAATTAATTTGTTTTACATTTGTTGGCCAGTCTCTCATATTTATCCTGTCCATTAACATTTACTACAATAGAGTTAGAATATTCATTATTAATTCGATATCATTTTGTTAGCTGTAAGATTTCGAGCAGCTAATATATGAAATCTTATACCAATGGGCGTGGAATAAGATTTTAGCTGGAAATTGTTCCGTACATAGATGCCTGCAGCAGCATTTATGACGAAAAGATATCTCATAAGGAATGTCCAAAATGAGAAATACATGAATAATGCAAATATCAGACAATTTCTTTACGATGATTTTGATGGTAAATAGGTTCACGCCACTCATACACGCATTCAGTCATTTGGCTGATTTTTACAAACGAATAAGACATTAAACACATAGAAATAAGCCAAACAAATCAGATTGAGTGATTCTTTTTTTCTATCCTTTTAAATCCACTGCAACTGAAATAGTAAATAAACCTTAAAAGATCACTGCCGCTTCCCCTTTCGCTATGCAATTAGTTTAAACCGTTTTCTTCTTATACCATTTACCATTCCTACTTCTGCTTTGGTAGCAGAACAACTCTGTATTGCACCTTGCCCGCCTCAAGACGCTCAAACGCCTTGTTGATACCATCTTCTGTCATCTCAAACTTCTCAAGCACAGGCTTAATCTGGTGAAGAGCAGCAAACTCCAACATTTTACGGTGAATAGGGCGCGAGGCGACGAGGGAGCCATGAATTGTGATGCCGCTCATGATGAGAGGCATGTAGGGCATTTCCAGGTTGTCAGATGACACCGACAGAGGATAGATACGAGCACGAGTAGAAAGAAGGGGCAGGATCTTGTCCCAAGCTGGCTGAGCGGAAGTAGTAACCAGGAGGCGAGAGATTTTCCAGTCACCCAGCTGCTCATCAATATTGCCCTTGTTCATGGCGACAAATCTGTGAGCACCAAGCTTCGTGGCATCAGATTTCTTGCTATCAGAGCCAGAAAGCACAACAACACGGCAGCCAAGCTTGGCCGCAAACTGAATGGCAATGTGCCCTAGACCTCCAACTCCCATAATACCAACAGTGTCGTTGGAGTCCACATCGTGCAAAGCAGTGAAAACAGTCGCGCCAGCACACTGAAGAGGCGCAGCATCCTCGTTGCTAATCTCATCTGGAATGGGGTGGAGGAAAGCCTCTCGAAGAACGGCGTGAGTAGCAAAGCTGCCCTGGTCGGTGTTTCCTGAGCCGTAGAGAACACGCTCCTTGCAGAAAACGTCGTTTCCCTGAAGACACTCGAGACAGTGGCCGCAGTGGTCAGTCTGGTATCCCCAGCCCACTCGGTCTCCCTTCTTGAGATAGGTGGCGCCGGGGCCGGTCTGTTCAACAACTCCAACACCTTCGTGACCCAGTGCAACATCTCCATGTTTCTATAGATGACTCGTTAGTAATTGTTGAAGAAGTGGAGGGATAGTATTGTATACGAGTCGAACTGAGACAACTTACATAATGCACATCTGTAAAGCACATTCCAGAGGCCGTCACTCGCAGGTACACCTGGTCACCAGTGAGCTGATCGGGCTTGGTGGTGGTGCGAGGCTTAGCAAGGCCATCCTTGGATCCTGTGTAGACGGTGAAGGAAGGCATTGTGGCTGTTGGTGTATATTGGCGAAAAAGGTGTGATTCAATAGTAGTCGGTAGCTCGCTGTTGTTGATACTGCTTTGTCTTGAATTGGAGGTGTGTGAGAATTCGTGCAGCGAAGAAGCTGTTGAGTTGTCTGAATGATTGAAAACTCAGCTTCAACAGCTCCTCATCCGTGGTTATATACTTTTCCCCTCCCCGAGTCTCAGACCAAACAACCACTACATCATCATCTCACCTGTCTCATGGCCCTAGCTCAGAGGCGCCTCCAAAGCTTGCATGGATCCTGAGCTTCAGACTGGCCCGCTCTACTCGGATGCATCGCTTGGATCGGCCGATTGGCTACTAGAAACGCCAAGGTCGAATTGGGTTGCGCCAACGCGGAGCTCGGGCGCGGCTTCACGTCGCAGCTGCAGGGCTGCTTGTTCATCAATTGCGTGTCTCGGAATTTCCCATCAAGATGCGTTGCATCGAACGCTGGCGATGGACTTATTCGGAGCTTATGACGGGGCTCAATCGGCATCGGGCATCTGTGCAAGTAAAGTACTTACCTAGATTAGGAATCTCCCACTTTAGCGACGATGTTCTGCCACACGGACAGGGCGCGCGTCAGGGATGCTGATCCTCTGCAGAGAGAGACGCTTTCATCGTGGAGTAGGGCATGTTGTACGCACTCTTGATGTCAGTCGGTATAGATAGATGAGGAATAGAGACAAAATCCCACAAGTGCAAACTTTATAGCCCCCAATCAGACTGGACTTAGGATAGATAGACCCATCATGACCTCAATAGCTGGCTGCTGCAGTTGCCGAATTGCCTACCAGAGATTCTGCTTGTGACGCACGTCAGCAGCAGCCCGGGAGATTTTGCCGTCTCGGAAGTTGCCGCCCTTCAAAACAGCTCTGCGATAGGAGCGACAGGGCTCTCAGACTTGATAATGGCGATGACAAAGATGACAAAGCTGGAAAACTTGCGGGTTTGGAATTGTACCATTAGCCGCGCTTGACAGGTTTCTAGAAGCTGGCTGCCGCAAAGTTTCTCACTTAATGACAGCCACGTCGAATAGAAGAAAGACAGACCAATGACGCAACCCAATGTTCAGTGTTGAGACACCACGACTGTATCATACCAGCTACTCAATAAACATGTGCCTTAGTATTTGTAACAAATCGAATTATTACCAGGCACACAACGTTACATTTAGTTCTAGTATTGGAGGCTACTTCGCTGCCTCCCTTCTCAAGGTCTCTAATCCCTGCTGCAAGTCTCTGGTCAAATCGTCCAGCGCTTCCACTCCAACACCGAGTCTAACCAGCCTCTGGTCAATACTGGTGTTCGTCATAGCTCGCCATTCTATCAGGCTTTCTACACCTCCAAGACTAGTCGCATGCTGGAAGAGGCGCAGTTTGCTCGGCAGTCTTTTGGCTAGAGTCGCATCCTTTAGAGTAATGGAGAAAACAGCCCCGTAGCCTTTGGGCATTTGTTTCTTTAGCCAGCTGCCTCGGCCTGCAAGCTCGCATGATGAACGTCTTGGACTACTCGATGAGCCGCCGTGGATGGATCCTAAAGCTGGCTGCGGAATCTTGAGATCAACGCTGTTGCGGTAGCACTTTGCCTTGTGACTCGGAGTTCAAGAGTGCGTAGAGACCGCATGCCAAGCCAGCTTCCTGCAACTGAGTCCAGATAGACACGATCGCTATGGAGCCTCGTCAGCAAGTCGTGCTTGGGATTGATAGCCAATATGCCACACAACATACCAGAATGCCCTCCAAAATACTTGGTCCCGTTGTAAAGAACAATATCAGCCCCAAAGTCGAAGGGATTCTGGACCGGCGGCGGTCCGAAAGTCGCATCAACGGTCAGGAATGCTCCCGCCCTGTGGGCCTCCTCCGCGTAGTACTGCAAGTTGATGGCCTCTCCAGTCAGATTCAGGGGTGTCTCCACATGAATAGCGTTGCCTGACTGTAACTCTGCGGCATCGAAGTCCAAGAGGCAGCTTCTCTAGGCCGGCCATACGAGAGACCATTTGATGACAACATGACAGCCATGATATCCCTCGCCAATGGCAATGCGCCGTGGGTTTAGGAGCACAAGAATGGCGTGGAAGGCTGCTTAACCAGCGTCCGGTAATTGACATCTTGGATGGTTTCTTACAATGGCTTGCAAGAAGCAGAGAATGGCCCCTACTACAGATGGTTCGTCCCATACCTTATTCAATTGTGTCGGTAGGTCCAAAACACAGCGAAAACCATCTATTTCTGGGCTCTATTGCTAGGACAACGCCGCATAGCAGCTATAAAGAACCCTGTTGTGGTGTTGATATTTGATACAGAAGGAGCTCAGGAGACAAGTGGTTTTACAATGCGCAATGCTTTTCTCAATATTAAGTTATAATGAGAATGATAATAAACAAGCATCCATTCAGCCACTTCTTTCAGTCATTTTCTTTTTTTCTTTTTCACTGTCTCTTGGCGGTGCATCTCGAGGATTTGATTCATTGTACTGTTACCTTTATTACACTCATCTTTCTATTCTATTCTCATATTTTTTCCCCTCCCACCACGAACTTCTCATCACCAACTTGTATTTTGACATCTTATTCCTCTCCCGTTATTTTTTTTTCGAAGCCGTTTCATAAAGCGGCTCTCCCCTCCATGATGGCAGTGGCACCACATAGCCCTTCGGCTGTGCAGGAAGCGCTATCGCTGCCCGAGATCTTCGCCATGATTCTGGAAGCCGAGGAGTGTAGCGGTGACAAGAACTACCTTGTACCTATTTTGGACGTCCGTGATCTCAGAAATGCCATGCGGGTGAATCGATTATGGTTTGAGATCGCAGCAGAGAAGATATGGGCTGACTGGGGAAGTATTGATTGGCTTTTCCAAGTGCCGCCTAATTGCCGACAGATTTATGCATCAAAGATAGCTCAAGTTTCAATTACAGGGTTAAAGCCGGTGATATATCATCGTCAATACAAAGGCCTTGTATTTAGGAGGTTGAGGAATATCTCCCTTGAAGTCTACGGCAAATACGAATTGCGGCACTTGGAACCATATTTGGTGCCTTCTCTACAATCCTTCTCCTTGCCTATGTCCCCAAATTTGATTCCGAGGTGCTCTCCAGCTTGCAGAGAAAAACTCCGAACCTACGAGAAATTTCAATATCGACAGCAAGATTTAACACCACACATGATTCATTTTGTAGATTCATACGACACGCTCCATATCTCAAATCGGTGACAGTTTCCCTTTTTGGAGGTAAAACTATCGCGGCAAGCACTGAACTTCTCTCATGTTTAGCACAGAGCAGAAGATTGGAGATACTGAGACTTCCATGGTGTTGGACCGAGCATGTTTCACAGCAAGTTGCAGCCGAAATATTGCATTCGGACCTTCTGCCTTTCCCGCAAATTACAGAAATAACTTTGGTTGCTTCTTCGAAGGCTATCAGCAAGCTTGTTCCTCTGGTTGTAAACATAAGACAACTTGTACTAATAGTCAAAGATTCGACAGTTGATGTACTGGCGCCTGTTTCACGGCTACAAAATCTGGAAGAATTGACTATCGATTACCTGCAATCCAACATCATTGATGTCGAAGCATTGATGAAACTGGGCGCTCTTTCAAGGCTTTCAAGACTTCACTTGGGTCCCTTTCCCCACGAGACTAGAATCAGCCTCGTGCAGTCTGAATTTTCGGACCATGACTGTGAGGCGTTGGCCCGTCGATTGCCGCATCTCCGCCACCTTCGACTTCGGATGCAGTGCAATATCTCTACTAAAGCGGTGGAAGCATTTCTACGCCATTGTCCGAACTTACGGAAGTGCGAGGTGTTCCAGCCGCTCAATACTGATAATTTATTCACTGCTGCCCCTGGCGTCCTGGTATTTCCACAGCTAGCTACGTTGAACTTGAAGAGACTAACCGGTGAGGAAATTATGAGGTCGGTTTGAATCTTCTTACTCAATCACGTCACTACCTCCAAGCTATTGCAACTTATACTAACCGGGTTATTTCTGTGCGATTAGCCGAATGACACCAGAAGAATTTTGTGATTCATTCGAGAGTCAGTTTCCTGGTATAAAAGAGATGAGGCTTTGGTATGGCACTGTTGCAGAACACAACTACTACGAGGAAGCTTTTTCGATATGGCGAAGCAGGAGGGAAGGAAGAGCTTGGGATAGTGACGGTAACAGCGATAGTTCTCAGGAGGAGAGCGATAGCAGCGAATCAATGCAGAATGACTAGCTACATTGTCAACAGTCTTTTATATTCAGGCTTCTCTTGCGAATACATTCACACAGTCATTTCGCCTGAGCTCATGCCTTTCCCTTCAACCAGCACGCCAGCTTTCCGCAAAATCGACACACAGCTCGTTACAACCTCGGGCTTCACACCCTCTGTCTTGGCCGGAAACTTGACAGTCTTGAGCCACTCTCTTGCATCCTCGGCCGAGTAGTCTAGATTTGTTGAAATGTACTCGACTGCCTCGTCTGGGTTCGTGTTGAAATGGGCCACCCCCTTGTCCAGCTTCTCAAACAAATCCTTTACACGGGCGTCCAGCCCTCCCTGGGTGAGCTTCGTCGACGCCACAATCTTCCAGCTGCTCCATGGCGTGTAGATCTCGCCCACGCGGCGAATCTCGCCAGAGTCGTAGTACTTCTTGGACGTAAAGTGCTCCCACATGAAGAAATCCGCCTCGCCCGAGTTGACGGCGTTGCGTAGCCTCTCAAACGTGTTGAGGACGACGTGGTCGGAATAGGGCTCGGCGCCTGGGGCAGACAACCAGCCGTTCTTGTCGGCAAGGACATAGCCCATCACGTAGCTGCCGGAACCGATGCGCGAGACACCAATCTTGCCGCCCTTGAGGGAGTCGACGGAGGTGATTTCAGGGCGCTTGGCACCGGTCGAAATGGCCCAGCCTATTAGTGTTAGCAATTGTGTTGATTCTCCATGAGGCGCGACAGTATTGTAATGAGTCTTGATACTGTCTTCCTTTGATGCACTTACAGAGTGGCGTCTCAACGTAGGTGCCAACCAGGCGATACCCCCCATCTCCCTCAACTCCATCTTTGCCCAGACCTGCGATCCACGCCTCAGTCAAACCGATGCCGATATCGATCTCATTAGCCCGTAGAGCCGTGATCATGTGGCCAGTGCCTGAGGGAAAGGGGATGAGAGTAGCATCGAGGCCGTAATATTTCTGAGCAAAGTGCAGCGGGGTAGAAAAGTGCTCGGGCACGAAGCCGATGCGAAGGGGGGCAGCCATGATGAATTGATGAAGAGGATATCACCTGGTTTAAAAGGGGAGTTGTGTGAAGTTTTCTTTCTTCTTATGCCTTTTTCGATCACCTTGTAGAAACAGATTTGCGAAGGCGCTGAAGAGATTTTGCTCGTTCTTGTTTGACTATTGCGCGCTGCTGCCGCACTGAGTGGGGTTGAAGACATGGCAATGATGAAATAAGCTCTCAATTAGAAATTCAACATTTGCTTACTGAGCAACACTATGGAATGTTATCTGAGACACTTGAGTTTATTCCATATTTCACTTGAATTGGACGAAGCATATACATATTTTCCTTGTACTACATTGGCTCACTTCTTTTGCCATCTGGTTCTCGGTGATTGTTCGTAAAAGAGCTGTAAAATCTCAGTACAGACAGTTACAGGGATTTTCAGCCCCTCCATCAAATCCATTCTGCTACTAAAATGCTAGACTATTCGTTGTCAGCTCAGGTCAATCAACGAATCCTGCACGTATTACAGCCGGGAGGCCAGCAGCTTTACTCTCCGTATCTACTCTGTACTAATACGCATATACATGTATATCATATTTATACCAACAGCGGCACTTGCGAATCTGATTCGTTATGGCCGCACACACCGGAAGAATCCTCTTGCTTTAGCTTCATGGTGCCGCCATTTCTCGGTATTGCCAACCGCGGGCTTATAGAGGATGGTGTGGACAAGAGAAACGTTGCGCTGAGCATGACGGACCGGGGTCGTGATTACGAAGTCTGGGGGATTCAATACTGCTGCCATTTCGTACTAACTAGAATCCACCCTTTTTCTTTATCAATCTCCCCCATTTTTTTCGGCCCCTGTACCCACGACTATACTGAGCCACCCTAGGAATTATTGCTGCCGCGTGTTTTCTTACTCTTTCAATGATCGTCAATTGAAACACGGCTATTGTTGCAGCTCGTTCTTCACTCATGGCGAACGGCGAGATAAACGCTCATGAGGATGCACCTCTGCTGGGTGAATATGAGCGCGAACGCGAACCCATCTTCCCCAGCGATGACGAGGCCGCGCCTCCGATAATCAACGCAGCACGATGGCAGGTAAAGACGAGAAAATCAATAGTCAGAACCATCGCAATTGTGCAATGCGCCATCATCGGCACTGGCATGCTGCTGCTTATTCCTCTCTATCGCCTTATTGAGGACAGCGTCTGCCACGTTTATTACGGCGACGACTCGTTGGACTTGATCGATGAGATGAAGTGTAAAACGGACGAGGTCCAGGCTCAGATGGCATATCTGCTTGGATGGCTGGGGCTTTTTCATTCTATAATGAGTTCGTATTGCTCTGAATTGCTGCCCGTGAAATGATATAAAATAGCTCTCCTAACGCTTGGTGTCTTTATTCGCTCATCCGTATAGGCCTTCTCTCGACGTTTCCCTTTGGCATGCTTGCGGATAAGATTGGTCGCAAGCCGACGATACTATTAGCTTCCGTCGGCATGGCATTAGGGCCAATCTCTGGCCCGTTTATGCTCGGATTTTTCCAGTCTACAGTCCGCAAGAATCCTTACATTCTCATGATCAGCTCACTCGCGCTCTTGATCGGTGGCGGAATCCAAGTTGTGCTGGCCATGCTGTATGCCATGGCTGCTGATGTTAGCTCAGAAAAGGAAAAGTAAGGAACTCCTGATATCTACAGCGACGAGTATGTTTGATAAAAAAAACTAACCGTAAATCACTCAATTGCCTTCTCTAGAGCTGCTAGCTTCCTCCAACTCACGTTTGGTGCTACCGTGGGTGGTCTCGTCGGTCCCCTCGTCAATGGATTTTTGATGCAAAAGTATGGCCCCTGGGTCCCCATCTGGGTTTCCATCTCCTGCATGCCCTTCATCTTCCTAGCATTCGGTTTCCTTCCAGAGACGCTCCCGGTTGACCGGAGAATGAAGGGAGGCGACAGCGACCTATCTGTTGAATTAATCAAGCGAAAAGTCGGCGCAGCCCTGGTCGAGCTCAGAAAAGCTCTGCGCCTGTTTGCAAACCCCAGCATTCCTCTTGCACTCCTCACTTTTCTGTTCCAGGCCGCACGATATACCGCCTATACCAGCACCATCTTACAATACGTCAGCAAACATTTTGGATGGCGCCTCGCGGAGACGAGCTTTCTCCTGTCGCCCTTTGGACTTCTCAACTTGATCGTTCTAGCTGTTCTCCCTAGGATCTCCACACTTCTCGTGTCACCCCGTTTCGGTTACTCTTCCTTTAAGAAGGACCTGCTGTTGACACGATACTCTACTGTGTTGCTCTTTATTGGCGCTATTGTTGAAGGCTTCAGCCACAACATTGTGTTATTCATCATCGGTCTGTTCATCGAGACCTTTGGAGCAGCCGTTAGCCCTTTGGCGCGAGCCACCATAACACACTACGTCGACCCAGAGCATACTTCTACACTCTATGCTCTGATCAGCACAACTGAGATTTTCGGCACCTTTATCGGAGGACCGGCGCTGGCATGGTGCTTCGATATGGGCTTGCAAAAGAAGGGGCTCTGGATCGGCATGCCCTGGTTTTACATTGCACTGCTGTGTCTTATTGCCTGGGTTGGACTCTTATTTGTGCAGCCCCCGCCAGCAAAGCGTAGTTCAGGCAATGGAAATGGCGATGACGAGCTAGTTAGCTCTCATGAGGATTAGCTCAAGGTGCTGCTTCTGTAATAGATATATTCCTTTTTTTTTCTTCGTTCTTTTTCTCATAGTGTATATAAGCGGAAGCTTCAGACGTGAATAAACAGAGATAAGTAAACTCTGATGCATTCAATATCTCTCTAGCTACCTATCTCTTTCTATTCTATAAGAGTAATACTCAGCAGCATTCGCCTCGTCACTTGCTTACTGTGGAATGTTATCATTTTACCTGCCTAAAATGGCGTCGGCCAACTCATTAGTGCACGCCTCCAGTCTTCACCAAAATCAATTCGCCAAGCCAGCCCGCCCAATTACGCCTTAGGCCACGCAACAATCACGCGGCCTGTGACGAGCTCCAGAGAAAATAAGTTTAAACAAAAGTGCCCTGTAGCGGATGGCTCCTCCCCACTATCTGCAGGAACTAGAGCAATGGCGGATAACAAAAGGGCAAGATAAATGATTACTTACAAGGCTTCTGGTATTCGGGTACGGCTGTTTATGAGTCAACGCCGACGTAACGGGTACAACTACCGGAACTCGTCAGCACCGTTGGAGTCAGCTTCGCGATATGCTCCACGCGTTGGTTGGGCCTTTTTGTCATCAACGATTAGGCGGCGAATGATGTGTGCGTACTGGAAACACGTATATGGCCCCTGTGAAGGATCTGATATACAACGATAAAAGTGGCAACCAATTTCTTATGAAGGTTGATATAAACATTGTCTAAGCCTCCCCCACAACCTTTAAACGTTCTTTCAGCCCTACATCTTAAACAAGGTTTTGAGAAACACGGTGCGATATGAGGTTGTAATTACTATTGTAAAATAGAAACTCGTTTGGTCCCATCCATAAAATGATCCACCACAGGGCCTACAACGCCACGGCTTGTGGTGATGGCTTCCTCGGCCCAGGTGTCTGGGCTGAGGGCTGTCGAGGCGGTTTCGACTTCACATGTGCGACAACCACTTCCTATAAGCCAAATACAGTGTCATCACAGATGTTTCTTTGCTAACTTGATGTTTCTCGAGCAGTGTCTTTCGAAGAAAGCATCTTATCTGTTCTTCCCTCTGCTCTGTTTCTTCTGCTTTCGATCCCAAGAACCGTCTATCTCCTGCGAACCCCTGACAAAGCAAAGCGTCGATCAGCATACACACCAAAGCTTGTCAGTATAGCGCTTTTCAAAATTGCAAAATAAGGCCTCTAATCGAATTCCAATAGATTGTATCAAGTGCATATGCAGGCATCCAGGTTGGATGTCTAGCCCTCACAGCCTCCTCGCGACACCTCGACACAAGATTTTCCATCGCCGCCGCCGTTCTCAGCCTCGTCGCCGCATGCTGCATCGTCCTTCTTTCGCATATCGAGCACGTCAAATCCATTCGTCCATCCTTCCTCCTGACCTCGTATCTCTTCACCACTCTCCTTTTCGATGCCGCCCGTTTACGAACAGAATGGCTTCTCTCGGTGAATGTCGCGTACGCAGCGGTGCTCTCAACCTCGACAATCTTAAAGCTGGCGTTGCTGGTGTTGGAAAACATCGAAAAGAGGCGAATCTTGTTGGACTCGAACAAAAGCCCGTCAACGGAGAGCACGAGCGGGCCCTTCAACCGCGGCTTCTTCGTTTGGCTCAACTCGCTACTCATTACTGGCTGGGCGACAGTCTTGACACTCCACGATCTTCCCGCCATTTACGAAAAGCTTTCATCTGAAAAGCTTGCTGTGATTTTCTCGAAACGATGGGATAAGGGTATGTTTTACAGGTTATATCATCTTTATCCATTTCTCAGCTGACACGCCTATCCCAAGTCACTCGTGGCGGACGAAGAGCCTCTCTCTTTCTCAACACCGTTTGGATCCTCAAGCTCGAAATTGCCGGTATCGTGATTCCTCGTTTGGCCGTAGTTGCCTTGACAATTGCCCAGCCTTTCCTCGTATCTCAAGCGCTGCGATTTCTGTCCATGCCCAAGGATGAGCACTCTGACAATATCGGTTACGGCTTGATTGGTGCTTTTGCCTTTGTCTTTATCGGATCTGCTGTGCGTCATAAATTCATTTGATATATATATATATATACTGTGTAAGCTAATCATTCACATCAGATTTTGACGGCGTGGTACGAGCATCTTACTTTCCGAGTCGGCGCCATGATCCGAGGTGGCCTGATCGGTCTCATCTACCGCAAGATATTGAGGCTCTCAACCAGCGACTTAAACGAATCTTCTGCACTGGCTCTTATGGGCAACGACATTGAGACTCTAGCCGAACGTGCAAACGCTTTGCTCATCGAAGCGTATGCCAACTCTCTTACAGTCGGTCTTGCTGTCTATATGCTGTACGCGCAATTGGGTCCCGTTTGCGTTGCTCCAATTGTTATGGCTATTGGTAAGTGCTTCAACTGGGTCAGTTTCTATTCTCTTTAAATTACTCACAACTCATAGTCTCCATTGTGCTCTGCTGGTTTATTGGAAAAATTCTCGTCAAACGCCAGACCGTCTACCAAAAAGCAACGCAGGACCGCATCAATTTCACCTCCGAAGTGCTTGGCTCCATTAAAGCTGTCAAGATGCTGGGTTATACTGAGCGTTTCACCGACCTGCTCGAAGATAAGCGCGATCAGGATCTGAATGTTGGTAAACACTACCGAGAGATGATTGTATGGGCCAACACAGTCGGTAAGTCGACCCATCTTACTACATGTAGTATATAGCCTTTTCAAGAATTCAGTTCAACTTATCTCTGCGTTGTTCACTAGGAAATGCCAACGTCAGCTTAACCCAGGCTGCCACCTTCGGAGCCTACGCCATTGTCGCCAAGCTCAGTAACAACCAGTCCTTCTCCGCATCGCAGGCCATCACTGCGCTGTCTATTCTCAACGTCATGGTAAACCCGCTCAGCTTCCTCCTCGGCAACATTTCGGCCGCCTACGCCGCCTTCGGGTGCTTCAAGCGTATCCAGGACTTCCTGCTGCTCGATGAAAGAATCGACAGCCGGCAGATAAGTCCGCAGCTGGGAGTCCCCGCAAAGAATGAGGAAGCCGAATCACGCAGAAGCAGCATGGAGCTCCGTCCGCTTGATCGTTATACCGAGGAAGGAGAGCGCATCTTTATTTCCGAGGGAGACTTCTCATGGAAAGAGAAGAAAGTACTGAGCAACATCAACGTATCTTTCTCGCAGACACAATCCGGATCTCTGACTACGATTGTTGGCCCGATCGGTTCAGGAAAATCGAGCTTGCTCAAGGCCATCCTTGGCGAAGCAGACTCGACCGGAGGAAGAATCTCACTGTCAACGCCGAGTATCGCTTTCTGCGACCAAACCCCCTGGGTGATGAATGCGACAATTAGAGATAACATTGTGGCCGAATCCGGTTTCTTCGAAGACAAATGGTTTGATACTGTCGTCGAAGCTTGCGATTTGGCTCAAGACTTTGCGCGGTTGCCGGACGGTGTTTCAACCGTTGTTGGAGACAAGGGAGTGAAGCTTAGCGGAGGTCAAAAGCAGAGACTTGTGAGTGATTCCAATACCATTTTGATGAAATATGTCTAATACCTCAAAGGCAATTGCGCGTGCCGTGTATGCCCGCAAGCCTGTCGCCATGTTTGACGATGTCTTCAGTGCATTGGACAAGACCACAGAACGCATCGTATTTGCTCGAGTATTCAGCAAAGACGGACTCCTCCGTCGCAGCCGCACCACTATCATTCTAGCAACTCATTCCGGTAAGGCCTAGAGTCATCACAATTCAACAACTCTTTAGACAACTTACTAAAGTATTCGTCTCTAGTCCACCTCCTGCCCAGCTCCGACCACATCATCGCCCTTGGCCAAGACGGTCAAGTTATCGAGCAAGGATCCTTCGCCAAACTTCGATCCAGCGGCAAATACATTCAGAGTCTCGACATTACCGATCCACACTCCGGTGACGATAGCAGTGATGAAGACAGCCCCAAGAAAGACGTTGTCGAGGAGATTAAGAACCTCGTTCAGGTCAGCGAAGAAGCCGAGCAAGAAAATGAAGCCGAGCAGCCGGTATCAAGCGACCGCAGCACGTTCAAATACTACTTCTCCGCGATGAGACCCCTGAGTTTGGCTGTGGGTGGTGCATATATCTTCGGTCAAGCTTTCTCTTCTGCCTTTAGGGGTAAGTGAATCCTAAAAAAAAGAAACACACAAATTATGATGCCCGACTTTTGTCTAATAATACGTTGTTTAGCCGTCTGGCTTACTTGGTGGGGTGATGGCCGAGGACGATCCAGCAACGATGTGGGTTACTGGCTGAGCATTTTCACTTTCATGGCCGTCATAGAAGCTGTTTTGATCTCACTCGCAATCATGTAAGTCTTGTCCCCATCACAAATTATCAATTATCAGCTGATTGACATTTTTACCAGGCATTTCTTATTGATTATTGGACCTACTGTCAGCAAGAAATTTCACACCAGAATCTTAAACGCAGTTATGAGGTAAATTGTGCACCTAAATGATTTCTTCATTTTCTTGAGTGATAGCTAACACTGATGATGCTAGGGCTCCAATGTCGTTTCTTTCTAACACTGACACTGGCTCGCTCATTAACCGGTAAATATCTCCCCCATTTCCATTTATGCAATGTTTCAAATTTCTAATATGCTATTTTTTAAAACAGATTCAGCCAAGACTTGCGCCTAGTAGATATTGACCTCCCCGTCAACCTCGCCATCTTCCTCTTCGGTAACCACTCTCCTTTCGCGCTTCCAAAGCCAATTACTCAACTAACTTGATAATCACTTTAGATGTCATGACTTGCATCAGTGTCACCGGACTGGCCGTTGGAGCAGTCAGTTACTTCGCTGCCGCCCTCCCCTTCATTATCGTCATCCTCCTCCTCATCCAGCGATTTTATGTGCGAACCTCCAAACAACTTCGTATTCTAGAGTGAGTATTGGAACCGCTCTCCTCTTGCATATCTTAGTTACTAATCTTCCCATCTTTATAGAATTGAACACAAAGCGCCGCTGTACTCGCACTTCCTCGAGTCTATCAATGGCCTCGCCACAATCCGCTCCTTTGGCTGGACTCTCCCCTACTCCACCAAGACCCTCTCCCTCCTCGATAGCGCACAGAAACCCTCATATCTTCTCAACTGCATTCAACGATGGCTTACACTGGTCCTTGACTTGGTCGTTGCGATCCTCACCATCTTGCTCGTCGTCTTTGCCGTAACGCTAAGAGGAAAACTGAATCCCTCACTTCTGGGCATTGCATTGGTCAATATGATGAGCCTAGGTCTTAATCTCAAGGGCATCATCCTGGCATGGTCTCAGCTAGAAACCTCTCTCGGAGCCGTCACTCGCATCAAGACCTTTGAAGAAACAACTCCCTCCGAGCTACTCCCCCACGAAAATTACACTCCCCCCGAGGAATGGCCTTCTCAGGGCTCCCTCGAATTCGTCGACTTATCCGTACAATATGAGTATGTGTAAATCCATTTCATCTTCTTGCAGTCAACAGGCTAATCCATTTACCGCAGTTCTACTGCCCACCCCGTCCTCCGTAACATCTCATTCACCATCCGTCCAGGCGAAAAGCTCGGCCTCGTCGGTCGCAGCGGCAGCGGCAAAAGCTCTCTCATCCAAGCTCTCTTCCGCATGGCCAACACTCCTACCGGCCAAATCCTCCTTGATGGCCAAGACATCACGAAAATCCCCAAGCCCCTCATCCGCCAGAAACTCAGCTGCCTCACCCAGGATCCTTTCCTCTTTACAAACACGATCCGGTTCAACGCCGACCCGCTCGGCGTTCACTCCGATGAGGCCATCGCCGACGCTCTTCAGCGAGCCGCCATCTGGGACGTCATCACCTCAAAAATTGACGGTGGTAAAAACCCCCTCGACGAGAAAATGGACGAGAATTTCTTCTCTCACGGACAGCGGCAGCTGTTCTGTCTGGGAAGAGCACTCCTGAAGAAGAGCAGTATCCTCATCCTGGATGAGCCCACCAGCAAGTATGTTTATCTTATTTCCAAAAAGACTAAAAGAAAAAGAGAAAGAAAGAAAAAAGAAACTAATTGGTCTGACTAGCATCGATAACCAAACCGACGCGCAAATCCAACGTGTCATCAAATCCGAGTTCAAAGACCGCACAGTCATCATGATTGCCCACCGCCTTGACTCATTACTTGAATTCGATACAATTGCTGTGCTTGAAGAAGGTTCGCTGGCAGAGATTGGCACTCCCAAAGAACTATTAATGGAAGACGGTGGTGTTTTTGCGCAGCTGTATGATTCTGATAAAACTAATAAGAGGAGGAGATCAGACGAAATCTCACGAGAATAATCTTTCTTTTAGACGATTTACGACTTTACGCGTTATCATTAAGCGAGCATGATTTACAGTTTGAACATGGATACAAAAGATCATAGTTAGAATATAATTTCTCTTCTTTCATTTAAAGATTATCTAAGTTGTTCCATCCAAATCAATGCTCTCCAATATTTTGCATAAGCCAAATACGCCTTGCTACTTTCTTTCATATGCGATAGTAAATTCCAAAAAATATCTTTTCTAGATCCAAAAACTCTACAACATCATTATCACAACTGCGTAGCCAAACTTCGAGTGCAGCCCTCATATCGATTCACTATCAGCGTAGCATATATGTAAGATCCGGGATATCCCGTAAAAGTTTAGCCACGGTTTCCTCATCTTCAGCACTCAAACTAAGTCGGACCGGCGAAGATTGCATAGGCGACGCACCGGCAGACATTGTATGCGCGTGGCGAGTAGGCGTGGCTTGGGGCGGCGTCATCGGTTTAGATAGCGGGCTGGAGAACAGTGGTGTTGATGGTGTCTTGGCCCCTCGTTTAAAGGGCTTGGCAAGCGTCTGGCCCAGATGCCAAGACAAGGGTCGCTTGCTGGCTTTCTCTATCTTTGGCGATGCAACTCTGGGGCTTTCAAACGCCGTTTCGAACTGAAAAGCGGACTGGGGATCGATGCTGTTACGGCTGCTGCCAAAAGCTCCCTCGTCCTCGGTGAAAGATGGTGAGTCAATAGGTGTAGCGGTCATCATCTCGCCCCAATCATCATCACCATCCTCGTCTTGGCTTATGGGCAGAGTGGGCGGGATCTTAATAGGTGTGGGAATATGCCCCCGTGTATGAAGCGGCGGCGGCTCAAGAGCTAACGACTGTCGAGCCGAGTTGACTTTAGGCTCTTTAGGTGGTTGCATTTCTCGCTCATCTAGATTCTGAAATTCATTGGCCAAGGGATGTCTGGCAACCGCTGGCGAGGGTGGAACACTGCTCGCCCAGCCAAATGACGATGCGGTAGGTGATGGAGCGGCTGACTTCACGGTCATTGAGGAATTTCTCGAATGCCTCCCCAAAAACTCTCCAATCTCTACAGGTGCTGTCGAATTCCAGTTGAACATGACTGCGCCAGATCCACCAAGGCGTCTACCCAGGACCACACGTCCAGTGATGGAATCTTCTTCCATCCATCTCCTCACAGTCTGAGTAGTACGATCTCGAATTTGTGATCCGGACCAGCCGACACGTACATAATTATCATCGTCTCCCAAGTCATGCTTTCTCTTTGATCCAAATCGAGAGATTCGGTACCACGCCTTGCGCTCACTGCTAGAAGCAAAGGTGTCGTCTATGATAACATCCGGAACAAGTTCTGCTTCAGTCGTAATAGCAGGCGTCGACGGAAACAAGTCATCAAGCTTGGTGAGATCGACAGGGTATGATATACCCAAATCTTTCAACACCCAGGGTGTCTCTTGCTCAGCTGGCTGAGAGTGCAAAGAGGTGGATGGCGGTTTTAACTCTTTAGTTTCCCCTACAGCTGGCGACGCGAGAATTTCATCTTGCGATTCCCGACGCGGGTGCTGAGGTTCTGCAACCGTCTCATTTTTGATAGGCGGCGGCAGCTGGCCACCTTCCGGTTCTGGAACAACTGCACAATCATCAGTCGATTGCACAGTTGCTATTGGCTGCTCCTCTCTCGTTTCAAGTCCAATTGGAATACCAACTATATCCTCCTTCTGAACGGATTCATCAGTCGTAAATGACGGTTTGTCGGGCTCCTTGTCACACACTTCATGCTTAACGTCAATCACCGGTATCTCGACGTCGAGAGGCGAGTCAGGTTGTTCAAGCTGAATAGCTGGGATCCCGTCTAGAGCCGGCGCTTCCGGCGTCACTTCAGCACCCCAAGCATCCTCGGCGGCATCAATATCCAATGACGGTACCACGGCCGGATCCTTGCTCTTCAAATGATCCTCTCTCTGTAATTGGTGTCCGTCTCCAAGGCTGATGGCAGAATCCACGACTCGATCGTCCCCGGACGTCTCAGAAGCTCTCCTCGCTCTTGGCTTTCTTTCCTCGTTTTCTAGCGTCGCCGTGTCCAATCTTTGCAAGGCCACCTCTTTCCAGGGATCCGGCGACAAGGACCTCACCGACGGCGCCATCTGCAATGGCTGCAGCCCAGGACTTCTCCCCCATCCAGGACTCTCCTTGCCGACGGCAGCGCCGTCGGCACCACCGCCATTCCACCCACCCCACGCATCGTCGTCCTCGAATCCCGGCGATCGTGACGGTGCAGGCGAGCGAGAGTTGCGTCGAGGGAAAAGGCTGTCGGCAGAGAAATGCGCATTCTGGGGCGCGGCTGGGAGCTCTATTTTTGCTGGAGAGTCTGCAGCCCACGGCGAACCCCAGGGATCTTCCATTCCAGGCGACTTGGCATGTCGCGATGCCAAGCGATTGATGTAGAGAGAGGGGAGCCGATACGCAAAAAGATATTAAATTATGGCGCTAGATATCATAAACCGAGCCGTAACATTGCGAGCCTTGCCGTCGGGATCGAATTCCGATATTATGCGAGCAATCTCGCTTCTCCTAGGACGGTAATAGATTGTCCCTCCAAGGACAATTGGAGATAGGGCGGATAGGAGCTGTGGAAGTGATCGGATGGCGTCGGTAGTTTCGCAAAAAGTTATCGCAATGATCTAAAAGTCCCAACAAGGTTCTCACCTCATCATCTGGCATTCCTTGTATAAGCTGCGGTGAGAGTCGATTGAAGAGAGAGAGAGACAGAAAATAGGCGTTTGAAGGTTTAGTCGGAACAATAATAGGCGCCGGCGCTTCAGGGGGTCCAAGGACCTGCCTTAGCGAACTGCCTATATTTTACCTGCCCCGCGCTTCCGCGTCATCCACACACCCATATGGAATCCTACCAACGGTACACTTACGATAGGGCAGCGGCTTGGCTACTCCATCAATAAGGACTCTAAAAAAAAAAAGTCACATCCGCGAGACAGTAAATTTGATATTGAATCTCCTTCCAAAGAGAAGGTAGGTGGGGCTGCTCTTCGGCGCCCCCAATAGAATTGCCTTGCTTGCTATTCCCTACATACAATACATGCCAAACTGTATCGTCAATAAAATACAGTACTCCGCCCTTCTAGCCATGCCATGCAAACAAATAAGCCCGGCCCAAAGCTCACAGCCAGCTTGAGAAGTCTCAAAATAACTGGCTTAGTCTACTATCGTCCAAAGAACTCCATGCTAAGTTGGTTTCGTCAAATCGTAACACGAGAATGCTGCCCGCGACCTCCAAACATTACCATATCGCCTCATAGCGAGATCTCGTGGCCGGGCTTCAGCTCCCATTCCTTGATTCGACCGACACCTTTCTTCTCCGCAACATGCTCAATGGTGTTTTTGACTTCCAATCGGGAAGCGCTGTCTCTAAACTGATGAAAGATAAAATCCACAATGCCGACCTTGGAAAGAGCCTTGTTGTCTAAAATGGCCTGCTTGACGTCGTTCAAAAGCTCAGGTTTGACCAATTTACCTGGGGCTGAGTTCGAACCACTCGCACTACCCAGCGCGGCAAACGCGTTTGTCGGGACAGGCGGAAGAGCTTTGGCATCATTATCAGATTTGACAGTCTTTGCGGCCTTGCCCTTGGCAGCCTTGGTAACAGGTTCTGGCTCCCAGTATTTGGTTGAAAAGGGGTCAATGTCCCATTGCATGTCAAATCCATCTTGGACAAATATTAGCTTAGTCCGGAGACGGATTCTTGATACCAATGATAACTCACCATGGATAAACTCCATCTTCTTGTCGTGTAATGCCAGGGCTGGGCCTTTTCGATTCTGGTCCTCAAAACACGGGCCTATGATTTCGGGCTGTAGAGTATCCGCAAATATTCTTCTGGAGACACCAACATCTTCAGAATCATCGAGGAAGCCATCCATGTCGTCCTCATCATCCAGTTCCTCTTCCTCGTCCTCCATGTCAAGATCTTCGCCCTCTTCTTCATCCTGCCATTCGGCCTCTGAGTCATAATCATAGTCCAGTGGCAGTCGACGGGCCATGGATCTTCGCGCTAGCTTATACATGTTTCCTTTGCCGAGGGCAAAGGATTTGAAGGTTACTGTACCGTAGTAAGGCGGGCGCACGTCCTGTGAGAAAGCAATTACTTTCAATGGGATTTTGCTTAGCCCCGTTCGGATTTCCGTGAAAATGTTGCTAGCATCTGCACTGCCGTTCTTTTCTGAGTTTTGTGCAGCCTTATATGCAGTCTCCATAATGTGTCTGACTGGCTGATGTAGTTTGCCGCGAGAAGGAGGGAGACTGGAGAAGGAGAAGACGTCCACAGGGTCGAATTTGAGAGGAGCACCGCTATTCTGTTGCTGGTTCATGATATGGTCGTCCAAGGCCTTTGATTTCGCTTCTTGAATCGCCTTATCCATCAGTGATATCGTTGGTGCTAATCGGGCGTTTGCTTTGACAAAGAACGGCTTGAACATCTTTGAATATTCTGAGGCTGTTGGTTTCTCCTCTGCCACCGATGATTTGACCTTGGCGGGGCTATTGTCTTTCGCCGCATCGTCTCCTTCAACCTTCTTAGGAGTGCTAGGGATCTTGAAGAAGCTTCCTAGCGTCTTTTGACTTCTGGCCTTTCGATCCTTTTCCTCCTGAATGCGCTGTAGCTCCTCTTCTTTCTTTCTCTTCTTGTCAGCCTTGATACGATCTTCCTCCTCCTTTAATTTTCGCTTTTCTTCCTTCTCCTTTGCCCGCACTGCCTTTTCCTCCTCCTTCTTGGCTTTTTCTTCTTCCTTTTTTGCCTTATCAGCAGCTTTTTCCTCTTCCTTCTTGAGCTTTTCTTCCTCTTTCTTGGCCTTGTCCGCAGCCTTTTCGGCCGCTTGTGCTAATGCTTTCTCCTCGCGCTCCTTTTTTTTCTCGGCAAGCTCCTTATCCCGGGCTTCTTTTTCTGCTGGAGTTAGACGCTTCCGTTTCGGTGGTGGATTGGCATTTGTAGCAGATTTCGAGCTTGATTGTGGCGCGGATGTTCCTGATGTCTCTTGATTCGTAGTTTCTGATGATGTTGACAGTGAGAATAGATCTTGTGCTAATAGCGTATCGTCGCCTGCTTCTGATAGAGCTGGAGATGATAAAGGAGAAGATGGACATTGGGCGGCTGACACACATATCAGTACCGTCTTAGAAATAAAGATGAGCTCTTGGCTTAATACTCACAATCATCTTCAGGTTCTTGGATGTTCACAGGCGGGATGTTCTTAACATCTTCCGCCAGTTCAACTTTGCCTGGCTCAGCAGAGAACTCATCGTGATTTCTCTTTCGGCCAGAGGATTCTGACTCTCTGACGTTATGTGATACCTCCAGAAGAGGCATTGTTATTCGTTCCGTGGCTTAGAAGACTTGACAAAACTTTGAAGAAAGCGTTTGTATTCGTTTGGTCAGTAAAACACAGCTCTGGTGTTGCATTCGCCGTGCCGCTGCATGTACAATGACACGGGCATGCAAAAGGAGGGGAGAGGTTCGAGATTAGTCGATGCAGGCGAGATTTAGGCACCAATCTAGGCCCAGAAATTGTCCAGAGAATAAAGCACAGAAGCCGTATTCACCTGGGGTCCGGACACAAGGGGAGGAGCAATTGTGTGACTGCGGAGGATTGGTGGCAAAGGCGGCACTGTGCAACGACGAGGTTGTATAGATTATTGAATGTCGCGATGGCTCTAGAGACTTAAAGACGCGTAAATTTGGCGCTTCCACGCGTTAATCGCTAAAGAGAAGTCCTAACTAGTGCGGCTAAAGATCGGAGAGATGGCACCAAAGGCTTGCATCCTACCATTCTAGTCGATACTAAAACCAACCCCACCACTCCATCCATACTCTGTAACAGTGAATTGTGATAGAATGGAATAGCGTAAGACACTTGAGAGCATGTGATATTGTCGCAAGAGTTTATCATATTGTGGCTTTAGAGATCACGAGCAGCATCGACATGCTAATTTGTCCATGCATACTCCGTAAATTGAGGCAAATTGAGTACATATAGGTATTCGTTACTCGTACACTGCTTTTTCGACTGCTGGATCTGCCTACCATACCGTCGTAGACCCCGAGGTTTATCAAAATCTAATATCACTATTCATCCGAGAGAGTAGACATTTATTAATATAACAAGGTACTTATTTAGTATGAATTAAAGCCACTTTGTGTTTGTTCTGCGTTTTCTAATTTCACCGGTATAAAGAGTGATGCTTGCCGTGCACCGTCTTCAAGGAATGGATGACGACAAAATTACCAAAACAACGTTATGCAAATAAATTAACCACGGAAAACCCCTCTCAACACCTTACGAGAGAATATACTCGTCAAAAATCACCCGATGGAAGGGAAAATAAGAGAGGTTATTATTTATTAACCATTACGTCATGCTATATTCTCTTTTCAACTGCCTTTCTCGGGCATATCAAAAAATACGGTTTTTGTTTTCTCTCCCGAGTCATCCATGCTTTCCGCCGCCTCGCTCAGCCAGCCAAGCTTAATTTCAGAAGCGAAAGTATATTAGATAATAAAAAAAAATTCGAGATGTCCAAAGCAGAACGGCTCTCCTTAGCGACTGTAGATTCCTTCCTCCATGCTCAAATTGGTATGAACATATCCAAACGCCAAACAATGCGAGTAATAAAGCTATAGAAAAGAACATAATAAACAAAAGCGAATGATTTTTTGCTGTTAACAGTGATTAATACATAGCGAACGGAAGGTGGCTGAGGCGGCGTCGATCTATCGTCACGGAACGGTGTGGTATATGCTGAATATGCGATTTCCTCTCTCCGCCAATCGATGATTATCAATCGGGGTTGGCAATGTAAAGGCGCTGCGATGTAAGAGTGGCTGTTCGCTCGTCCACGCTTCCTCGTCTCTTCAGCTCTTCAGGTGATTTGACGCTCTTTTCTCTTGTGAGGGCAGAGTGCATCAGAGATTTGCTCGCAAGCCTTGGGGCCGTTCCCAGCTCGCCAACGTTGTCAGCGCGCTCAGCGCTGCTTCCGCTATGCGTGCTCTGAGCTCTACCGCTGGCATTGTCGTCGATGACAGGCATGGTGTCTTCGGGCTGTTCAACCAGGCTTCCGGCCCTTTCGGGAGTATCGCCAGGGCTCCATCTCCGTCCAGGCTGAGTTCCCGCTCCGGTGATAGTGCCTGAAGAGGCTCGGTAAGAGACGTTGCGGCGACTACTGCTACCAACGCTGCTTCGTCCACTACTTCCCGTCCTGCGGTGGTGCGAGCGCGACGCATAGTTGTCCTCTTCCTCGCTACTCTCCCCTTCCACCTCGGTGGCGCTCAGGCGCATCGGCACTCCTCCAACACCAACATGATTTTCGTTGGCATATCCAACCACAGGCGTCTTCCCGTGATGGCGGATTTTGGCGGCGACTTTCCCGGTTGCGCTAATGCCCGTGCTCGTGCGGCCACCTGACGAAGATCCAGCTGAGCCAGCCCCTCGGCTCCCTCCGCTGACCTCCAAGTTGGCGCGCTTTTTGGCAGCACGCTGCTGGGCGGCCAGCCTGGGGTCTTCGTACTGGGCGCGATCACACCATACTGTTGCTTTTTGCTTGCGCAGGAGAGCTACATAGCCGGTTGCTTGGGGCTGTCCAAAGGAGCGATTAGAGATGGAGCGTCGGAGGTCCGAGTTGGACGAGGTTCGGTACGCAGCGGGCGGCTGTATGCTCGAGTTGCTGAACGTGCTGACAGAGGGCGATCGCCGGTTGTTGAACTGCTGATTCGACATTTGGTGCGACAAAAGCATGGGCGGGGGGTGCTGAGGCTGCGCTGGAAAGACGTTGGAAGACGTTGTTCGCGAGCGGGAGTGGCTATAGACGCCTCCCTGGTCCATTTTCCTGCCCGGCAAGCGGTAGCCTGATCGGCCTAGACGCGAGCTCTTCTCTCCCCTGTTGACGTTTGGCGATAGCCGTCAGGAGAGAGAAAAGTCGAGCTCGTGGTGTTGCAGTATCCGCGGTCAGTGGGGGAAGATGCCGGCTGTTGGGAGTCCCAGCAGCGAAGTTCCCGAGCGAGGCTGACGTCTCCGGCCGCCAGGGTCCGGCCCAAAAAGAAAACAAAAAGGTATAGTCTGCTTCTGAGAACAGCAGTCCAGAGTCGTGCAGGCTAGAAGAGAGCTGCCGCACAAAGAGGATGCAGATTCATGGCAAGAAGATACAGAAGAGAAGTGGGAGGGAGGGTGAGATATTTGATGTGACTTTGCGTGGAGCCAATGCACTTTGGCGACTTAGCGCTGCAAAGTCCCACCGCAGAGCCTAGAACGGCACCTAAGCGCAAGGTTCTAGCCAGCTGAACCAGCCTGTGCAGTTGGGGGTGATGGCGCGCTAGCGGGCCTGGGGAGGGGAAAGGCTGCAGGCGTTGGCGGGCAAGGATTACTCGTGCATTCCAATCCTGCGGCCTCTCAAGATGCTGCGAGAGGCACCAGATGGCGACGATGGAATCATCCAGCGGGCTTCAGGAGACTGGCCTGAACAGTTTTTCGGCGTTACAAGCGTAGCTCAGCGGATTAGCAGCTATTTCTCCCCTCAATGGCTTGCGGAACACTCGATAGACAAACAGAGGCGAGAAGAGAGAAATCGAGTATACAGAGGGGCCCCTCTGGCTAGCTGCCCCATGGTGAGAAACGTATGCAGCCCGCTTGCGACATCGCGTGTTCATTAGCGGTAAACTATTCGAGCTTACAGCATGGCGCTTCCTCGGCGTGGGAACAGGCTCGAGATTTGATCCGATGGCACAGCGCCAGAAAGAGCCAAACAGGGGATAGGGCACATAAGGCTCTGGCACTGACGTTGATATGGCAGAAGACTGCAGGAGTCGATACTACTGTACGATACAATAACGTTGCACTCGCTAAAAGTCAGACTGCCGAGCAGCCAGCATGAAACGATTTTACTTCAACTTGAGCCGCTCAACAGCGTGATTCACATAAATTGCCTTCCGTGCTTCGGCTGCATCTGTCATGTTTGGCTTTGATGCCATCCCACGCTTCTCAAAAGCCAAAAAAGACAACCAGAAGAGCATAACTTCCCAATTGGGCGAAACCAAATTTCCCCCGTTTCATTTATCCAATCAAGGGGCTCTTGATTAAGGCCTGCCAGCGTTTCAATGTCATAACTGAAGCGAAACAAATCTGAGGGAAAAACGCCTCGGCAAATACCCATCAGGGTATGAAATCTGCCTTGCCAGGGCGCCGGCGTCTTTCCATTTTTTGTGGAGGAGCCTCTTTTTTTTTTTTTTTTCCTTCTTCTGCGCTCTTCAGTGGAGCATGGTGCATCTCTCCACCACTGATGTCACCGGCATCGCCGGGAATTAGGAGCAAGTTGAACTCCCATCAATTGGCCCTTGCGAGAGGCCCGGACTGCTTCTCCGCAGTGCCACAGGCGTAGCATCGGCTCCCAAGCTCGGGCATCCAGCGCACCCGTACCTAGATCTTTGCTGCCGCGCTCGGCTGTCACCTGCAGAGATTTAGCGCAAGTGTGTGCTGATTAGGACGAGTCTTACGATTTCCAACGGGGGCGCCCAGACACAGTCAGATCTCATTAAGCTTTGGAGTGGCCAGCGCAGCAACGGCGTGATGACAGGAACATGCATCCAGGAACACGCTGCGTGTAGGTAGGTAGGTATTACGTATATGGTATATGCTATTGTACAGCTAATCACACTACTAACTCGTTCGGCTCGGAGCACATCCGTGCCTTGTGGCTGCCAAAGGTAAAGAATCGGCGGTCATTCCCTTGCGGCACGATATCACTCGGGCCGCCTCTTCTCGGTATACGGATCATCGTCTAGCGAGGCTCACAAATTCCAGGAGAGTTCCTTGCCCGGCGCCGCATCCATTCCTTCCGCAGATCCCCAATTGAGACACCGCACAAGTGGAGATGGCAGACGACAGAGCTTCAAAATCGCGGGGATATAGAATCTCACAGCTGTGGGGCCGGGCCATTTTCTGTCTCTCGCAACGAAACGAAGTGGGAAATATATTTCGCTCCTATAATTGTGGAGTAATACTCGAATATCTTGGCTCTCTTGGCATTAGTATGCTGCATCCCAGCAGACATAGTTTACATTCTTGTAAGGGGTTGAGAGCAGCTCCCATGCTCCTCCAGGAACAAATGACTTGGTTTGCCCATCTCCATGCGGCATAAAGAATGCTCTGTCACGAGCTCAGAGTCATCCACTCGAGTTGTTGGCGATTTGGGCTAATAATCAGGCTCTTGCTCGCATCCCTTGCCAGTGCATGGATGTTTCCTTGTTTGTTGGTGCATATAGCGTACATATACAGGTGCTACTAAGTATTACGAGCATACTAGTCTAGGTACTACACAGGGAGGATAGACCTTTTCCTCGCACAATTTATCACTGGACTGTGATAGTATTCTTAATCCTAGGCCTAGTACCACTTGGTATGTAGATAGGCTGGCTCTTATGGTACCATTACCACATGCGGTATCACTGCTCCGTCCTCACACTTGTCCTCTTATCCCCACGGGTTACATTACACAGCTAGTGTATGGACAGTCTACTGTGGGTTGACGTAATTGATTTTTTTTGTCTTTCTGTTTTTCCAGTTGACGAGTGCCAAACTGAGCTCAAAGGACACGTCTAGACAGCTATGCAAGGCTCCAACTTACACCACCTCTGCCAAACAACAAGCGTTGCGCTGAACGGCGTGGAACTACCTTCGGAGGAATAGGTAGGCAGTTATTGGGGGCCGCGGGTTCATCCGCCGAAATACCAATTCATTGGGTAGGACAGAAAACTTGATTCGTAGCAGGCTAATGCAAGGGATATGCCCATAGTCACCGCCCCCAATTTATTACCCGATATCTCAAAGTATTTGACGTTTACGTTTTACATGTAAATAGTGGTATTGGATGCGTAGATTAGACAGGAAATGGACACTCTCCAAGTGCCTCAGCCACACGACAACTTTAAAGGGTTTTACATTCCTAAGAGAAATAAGTAATTATTCTTTTCTGCTGTTCCAAGCGGCTATTGCTTAAACTACCTACGGACTGTATGGGTAGATGCCTACTAATTGAAAAAGACAATCCTGGTAGGAGATTCGTTTCATTTCTACCTATGCATTCTGTATGATAAAACCAGGTTGCTAAAAATGATGCTGAATACTACATATAGTCATACATACACTGATATGTTTCCAATCTTGGCCTCTCGTTGCTTTCCATTTGCGACTCCCATTCCCAACTCCCAAGTACATTGGCAAACTAACCCGAAGCGAAGTAATCTGACTGCACAACGGAAAAGCAGCGTAGAACTCCGTTTTGGCCCGGTAGTATCTTTCGCCAAGACACCTGCCTGAGCCACGCTTCCCCAGCACCTCTCTTTGGCCGTTGAAATTTGGAACGATTGGTCCAATTTATTTTATTAACTGCATCACAAGACCTTCACAGGGGAGCTGGTCGTGCTAGACAGTCATCTGGGTGACCTGCTGACAGTTGTACTGATTCTGGGTATCCTGTTGGCAGTTGCATCGACAGTCCTTGCAAAGTTGATTAGCCACTGTCAGATACTGGGCCACTGTATGATTATCGCATATTATGGGAGTTTTATCCGTCCTAATCCATTGTGCGTCCTCCCAGGCGTCACACCTATATTTGATACTAATTTTTTCTTCTTTGTAATGGCCCTTTTTGTCTCCCCGAAGATTTTGGTGTGGCTGAACCTCAAATCCTCCCTTGGGGATCTTGGGGGTCTTGCAATTCCCATTTGGGCACGGGCAAAGCACGTAGGTATGATCGTAAGAACACATATTGGTGATGTGGGTTTTATGAACGATTGCTAGGTCCTGTATCTACACAATTGTTCTTCTTCTCCCCTTTTCGAGCTGCGGTTTCTAATGGCTTATGATTGTTTTTTGCAGCGGTTGATCTAAAGTGCACATGTCCCTACCTATATTCATGATACGTTGAGATCATGGGATTTTATATCCAGCTGAGCAGCGACCATTGGCAAACGTATAGGTGTTACGGGGCCGCATCAATTCAAAGACCAAAGGATTTTGGAACAAACGCTCCCGAACTCGACACTCTTGATTGCGCCTTGTTCAAATCTGAAAGTGCCGTGTCTCGAGCTGGCTGCCTTGTTCAGCGCCCCAAGTGATACCTGCTCCCTGCACCTTGCTCGCATCCTTTTTTTTTTTTAATTTGCTACTATCCGATCGGTTATCGTCTTCCGAAATCAAGCGACAACAAAATCGCCCTCTAATACTTTTATATAATTTATTGGCAAAGCGCATCAGCCGCTCATACAGTAGCGCGTGGATTGCGGCTGAGTTAGGATTGAGGAGAAGGGGTGGCGCTCGGGAACAGCGACATGCGCCTGGTAATATCAGGGGGTTAATGCACTAGCATTCCCTTTCTCCACCGCTCTTTAAAGCGAGATGGCAGACTAGTGAGATGTGATAATTTTACTTATAGAGAGAGAGCAGCAGGAGCACAGCTCACCTGCCAGCATCCAGCATCTCAATGCCTACCCGGCGATCAGGACATGTCGAACAAAGAATTGAGACATTCGAGCGTCACCAGCACGACTCCATAGCGCTAACCCGTTCGCTAACTCTTCCTTGAGCGTTTCATTTTGTTTTGGCTCTCTAGCGCCCCTGACGTCAAGCTTGAGACACCAAAAAGCGGGCCCAGCACGAAGCTCTCGAGACTGCAGCTTCGCACGTGTTGTCGCGGCGGATTCTCACAGGCCCGCTGCAGATTCACCTCATTCCGGTGCCTGGATCTGTGTATCCAAGACATTCCGTCAAGCAGCGGCAAGGGCTTGGGCACCCGGATTCAAGCCGGCTGGACGTGCATTTTTATGTCGCCGCTGCGCCGGGAGAGACTTTTCCGTGCATGCTGGAGAGCCCCGGTCTGACGGCGTAGGCCTCGCAACCATGAAGTTCGCAAAGGAGCTTGAGCGGGAGGCAGTTCCTGGTAAGAATGCCCATTTCTTGTCATCAGCATTGCCGTTGTTTGCCCTGAGCCCTGCTTGGATTCCCCTTTATTCCCTTTGATTCTTCTGATCTGTGCAGCCAGCCTTTGATGAGGCCCAACCGCTGACTTCTTTTCCGCCAACCCAAACAGAGTGGCGAATCAAGTATCTCAACTACAAGGCTGGGAAAAAACACATCAAAGCCATCGCCTCGGCCATTCAGAGAACCTCTGGCTCTACTCCCCGGACACGAAGCTCAATTCGTCGCACGCCCACTTTTTTCTCAATTGTAGATCCACAGTCTCCCAAATCCGGGGACCAAGTCGATCCTCCTGCAAGCTCGAGATGGCATGGGGCTACGGACCAAGACTCGGTGAAGATTGTGAAGCAGGCAGAAGATGAGGCTTTGACCAGCCATGGCAACGGCTTGCAGTATGGCAGCTTCGTGCCAGCCCCTGCTACACACTCGCGGCCGTTGACTCGGGATGGCCACCAGAGTGACGAGCACGACGACCACAATACCGTCGTGAATGGTGATAGCCACGAAGACGACGACGACTTCGAGCTGCCGGCGCCCGCGATGTATACGACATCATCATCTCCGGGCGTCGGACAGTCATTCAGCCCCGTTAAAAAATCTGCTCATTTCAATTTCCATAGATCAAATTCGTCCGGCCCTCTAGGCTCTGAAACACTCCCGCCTCTGGCATCGCCCAGCGCTCATGATGAGCCGCTTCGTCGCATCTTTTCTGGCGTTAAAGACTCTGGCCGAATAGCCGGGCTTGCGCGGCAAAGCCTTGATCTTGTCCGAGAACGAGAGCAGCAGTTTTACGAATTCATGGATTCAGAGCTGGAAAAGGTGGAGACTTTTTACAAGAAGAACGAGGACCGGGCTGGGCATCGGTTGTTGATGCTGCGAGAACAACTTCATGAAATGCGCAATCGGCGTATACAAGAAATCGTCAACGAGGAGACCAGCCGATCACTCTCCCGGCTGTCGAATCATGAAGGCAACCCCGATAAGTCAAATGGCTGGGTGCACCCTCTCAAGAGTAAGATCTTCCCGCTAGGGCCAAACTCCAAAAGCTTCCAGAGCATGCCCCAAACACCACATCTGGCGGCTGGGGAAAGATCACATGGCCGGATGGACTACGTGCGGCGGCCGGAAAACCAGGAGGTGGCCTATCGAACAGCGAAGCGGAAACTGAAACTTGCAATGCAAGAGTTCTATCGCAGCTTGGAGCTTCTCAAATCATACGCCATGCTTAACCGCACAGCCTTTCGAAAGCTCAACAAAAAATTTGACAAAACCGTCAACGCTCGGCCTCCGATGCGCTACATGAATGAAAAGGTTAACAAAGCTTGGTTCGTCAATAGCGATGTTCTGGAAGGCCACATCAAGGCTGTTGAGGATCTCTATGCACGGTATTTCGAGCGCGGAAACCAGAAGCTTGCGGTTGGCAAGCTGCGCAAACTACATAGAAAACCCAAGGACGAGTCAGGGAGCTCATTCCTCAACGGGTTCTTCATTGGCACGGGTGCTGTTTTCACCATACAGGGTCTCGTTTACGGTTCTCAGCTACTTTATGACAACAACCCGACAATTCGTATTCAAACGAGCTACCTGTTGCAAATATATGGCGGCTTTTTCCTCATGCTCATGCTCTTTTCCTTATTCTGCATCAACTGCAGCATTTGGCTGCGGAACAAGGTCAATTATCAATTCATCTTTGAATTTGACCAACGAAGTATGCTCGATTGGCGTCAATTGGCAGAATTCCCGTCTTTCTTCCTCCTACTTCTTGGGGTCACCATGTGGGTAAACTTTAGCAGATATGGAGACGATTCCATGTACCTCTACTATCCCGTTGTTTTGATCGGCCTTAGCGTCCTCATCATTCTACTCCCCTTCCCCATTCTTTCATACAAGAGCCGCAGGTGGTTTGCATATTCGCATGTTAGTAGCCTTCAAGTCCCGATAAAACGTTAAAGGGTCCTGCCCAGCAATGCTAACCGCTCGATAGTGGCGTCTCCTCTTGTCCGGGCTATACCCTGTAGAATTTCGTGATTTCTTTCTTGGAGATATGTACTGCTCTTTGACCTATTCGATGGCGGTAAGTTAGCAAAAACCATCTTCAAAACATCATAGGGTAATCAATATCTGACTGGTGGCTACGATAGAATGTGGAGCTATTCTTTTGTTTGTATGCCCACCACTGGGAGAATCCCGGTCAATGCAACTCGACCAGTTCTCGCTTGCTCGGCTTCTTCACAACTTTACCGGCAATATGGCGCTTTCTCCAGTGTATTCGGCGGTACAGAGACACACGCAACGTCTTCCCACATCTGGTAAATTGTGGCAAATATACTGCGACGATATTATCTTACGTTTGTCTATCTCTCTATCGCATCCACCAAACTCATTCAAATCTTGCATTGTTTGTCACATTTTCAACCATCAACGGTGTATATACTAGTGAGCTGCCCTCTTTGCGTCTTTCCCATACCAGCGTGCTGACAGATGATCTAGGCATCTGGGATCTATTTATGGACTTTTCCCTCCTTCAGCCTCAGAGCAGGCACACTGCCCTTCGAGATATCCTGGCTCTGAAGCACCGCTGGGTCTATTACTTTATTATGGCTGTCGACCCTATACTACGATTTGCATGGATATTCTACGCCATTTTTACTCACGACCTCCAACATTCAACCACTGTATCGTTCATGGTCAGCTTCGCGGAAGTCTTCCGTCGAGGCATATGGTCTCTTCTCCGCGTGGAAAACGAGCATTGCGCCAATGTTGCCCAGTACAAGGCCTCGCGCGACGTTCCTCTACCTTACCGTATTGAACCCCTAATGGAGCGCGCCAGTACCGAGTCCAGCCCTACGATACAACCTCAAGGACTGCCACCCCCGCCGCAGCCGCAGCCAGCAGAGCACCCCAGCTTCTACGACTCTGCAAGCTCCACCGCTGTTGCCGGGCCTCCCAGCGGCAGTCTTCTTCGGCGCCGCACCGATCTTCCCTCACCTGGTATTACTCGAAGCTTCTCTAGGGTGATAGCTGAGGCGCATAAGCAAGATTTTGAAAAGAAGCGGAAGCCCATCAATGAGGTCAGCGATGTGACTGCAGTAGGTGGCCAAAGCGACGATTTCGATGATGACGATGATGATGATGACGACGACGACGCCGCTACTTTGCCAGAATTACAGCACCGGGATGGTGGAGATGCCGCTTGATTCTAGCCTTTCTTTCTTTCTTTCTTTCTTTCTTCCCCCCCCCCCCCCCCCCCTCTTAAGTTGAAAACAAACTTTTTGCGGCCGATTGTTCTCGTCTTGACGCTGCATAGCATAACATGCATGGATGAATGGATGAGCTACATGACAGCATTATAATAAGGCATGCGAGATGGGTTGATGAACGGGGTGGTGTTATACGCTTCTTGTTAAGGAGTACATGTTTGGACGACGATAGAATTTAGGCTAGCTCATATTCGCGGTAATTTAGATTGGGTAAAGGAGAACAAGATTGGCGGCATGGAAAGGAATATTGTGCATGGTGGTTAGTTAGTGAAGGAAGTAATCTGATCAATGCATGGTATATACGCATAAGCGAAATTGTAATAGGAGGTTGGTGTGAGAAGAGAAAGGAAAGGACATTGAGTCATAGCATTCAATCATATCGCAAAGTTGATTGTTTTGCAAAAATATCTATTGGCTATTAAGTGTGTCATTGAAATGACATGCAAAGTCTAGGTAGTTCTCCCTCTACTTGCTCTCTCTCATCTATTTATTACATCCCCCGGCTAACAAGTCCCCTGTATATATATACTGTTTATCTAGTCCATCTATTCTTCCACAAAAGAAAATTAAATTTACTCCCATTCGCCATCAACCTTCTCCCAGAAGTCGAGGAAGCCCTTGAAGAACTGCACTCCCAAGCCAGGATCCAGAGAACCAGTCGTAGCACGGATAGAGTGCATGCTCAGCTGCGGCAGACCCGCATCAGCAGCACGGACACCCATCGCGCTCGACAACATGGGGCCAACAGTGCCGCCGCTGCGCGAGTCGTTGCGGATCTGGAAGTCCTGCAGCTTGGCACCGCAGAGATCGGCAACGCGGTGCATGATGGCGGATGAGACGGCGTCGGTGGTCATGTGGCCGTTGCTGTCGCCGCAGACAACCAGGCCGACGTTGAGCTTAGGAATGTGCTCGGGGAGATAGTTGCCGATGAAGTTGGGGTTGCCGGCGTGGGAAACATCAGCAGACAGGAGGAACGACTTGGCAAAGGTCTGGCCGATGATGCCAGGGCCGTAGGTGCTGGGGTTGAGAGCCTCGACGGCGCGTTCAACTGTAGAGGGGAGGAAGTTACCGCGAGCACCCTGTCTCAGCAGAGATCCAATCTCTTCGTCGTCAAACAGGGCCACCAGCTTGATATAGCTATCGTCATCACGCTCCGTAGTGTGCAGAAGACCCATAAGAGCAGACCATGAACACAGCTTGTCGTCAATTCTTCCTGCGGTAATGAACTCCTTGTCCAAGCCAAAGACGGACGCGGGCTGTGAGTCGAAGAGCTCGAGCTCCCAGTTGACGATGGAGTCGTACGATGTGATGCCGAGTTGCTTGGAGATGAGCTTGACCAGCTTGGGCGGCTGGGTGTTGACAAAGGAGCCAGCGGAGCCCAGGACCTCTGCGTCAGCGCCATTGGGGCTTTCCAGTCCAATAATGGGGACAGCCTGCGTCTCCGGGTTGTTCTGGCCCATCATGCCGACGCCAAAGTGCGGCGCCAGCGTGGGGATCTTGGCAATGGGCCAGTCCAGCTCGACAAGCTTGCTGGTGGTCTTGCCCGTCTTCTCATCGCGCACAATGACTCGGCCACCGATGCTCAGGTCTCGGTCCCACCAGGTCTGGTTGAGGGCCCCGGCATAGGGGGCGACGCCGAGCTGGACGTAGCCAGCGGTGTTGGGCTTGGTGCTGACGGGCTTGAGTCGGGCGGTGAGGGCGTCGATGTGGCCGGCGATCATGCCGACACCGTTGCCAGGCTTGTAGGACTTGCCAACGGCGAATGCGATGATGGAGCTGCCATTGCGCGTGACCCAGTACTTGCCGCCGGGCTGGATCTTGTTGGCCCAGGAATCGCGCGCCGGAAGCTATAGGGCTGTCAGCTTTTGTCAAATGCGGGATGAGTCAGCGAGCGCAAATACCTCTACGTAGCCAGAGGCATTCAGCTTCGTCTTGAAGTAGTCAACGCTGTGGAAGACGGTGGGGTTCTCGCGCAAGAAGTCGAGGAAGGGCTTCGTGAAGGCTTCAGGCTTGAGGTCCCTCACGCCGCAGAGCCGGCACTTGTTCTCCTCGTCGATATGCCAGTTCACCTGCTGGATCTCGCTGGGCGAAAGCTTGGCGATGCACTTGATGCAGGCGCGGTTATCGACAGACGGGCGGCCGTTCATATCTGCGAGGACAAAGTGCTTTGAGGAAGCGAGAGCCTGGGCTGGAGCGTTTGGCGCTGGGATCCGCGCCGGAGAAGCAGTTGATGAACTGGCAACAGAAGAAGCGGAGGTGGTTGAATAGGCGGAAGCTTGTTGTCGGAGAGACAGACCAGAAGGAACGCGGCGAGTCATGTTTGCGACGAGGATGGCGAGGAGAGGCGAAGAAGGGGATGCGCTTTAAAGGACGGTGCAGGAGGCTGGTTCCGAGCAGATCGCAGGGAGGAGTTGCGCATGCGCGGCTGACTGATGCGGTCCGGCTTACGGAGCACAAGCTCAGCTCCCCGGATCGAGGCGCAGCACAGAAGCTGGGGTAGCACCATCGCTATCGCTATCAAGATAAGCCCAGGGCCTTTTGATGGCGCTAAAGGGCGCCGTCGCTTGCCGCGGGAAAGCATCGCGGCCACTGAGGGGCACTGGAATTAGGGCATCTGTAGCGGATAAGGCGCGATGGAGGAGCTGCTGTGAAAAGGGTCTCGGTGCGGGCATAACTCTGTATTGCTGTAACGCTGAAGCAGGCCGTAAAGAAAAGTGAGACAGTGAAGGGAGCATCTCGTAATATTCATATATGGAAGAGGATGGCAAAAGCATATACAAGTCAAGATGCATAAAGAAAGAGGCGTGGATACATGTATCGTGTCCGTGTTGAGATGCTTCTTTAGGTTACTTTCATTAACCGCTTACAATTGCCCCAGTCACAAGGGCGGGCAAATGGCCGGCCGATATAACCGTTCACATACCGCATACATGTAGTGTCTTGCCTTTCAGCCTAAAGGGTTTGATCAACGTAATAAGTTTGATCGTCCAAAATTGTCTCTATTGGATTTTGTCTAATTCTAAGAAAAATTGCTAGCATACAGCTGTCAGGTCCTCTAGCAACGCTCCATAGCACGCAATATGTATAATTTCTACAGAAAACAACCGTCTCTAACGAGGGGTCTTGACGCATCCTTCTACTCACAGAGTGACGTTGCCGCATTCGAGTATACAGAGAGAACAGAGCTACGGCGTAGATTCGCCGGCCACAGATTTTCGCCAGCTCTAGGAATCATTAGCCACGGATTTAATTGCCTGTAGGAATCGACAATTGGGCGTGCAGACGGTCGATATTGATAAATACGTTGGTGGCGCCAAAGCATGTCCCCCGCTCTCTGTTGCAAAACTGCTATTTCTCACTCCGTAACCAGTACGGTTAATTTTCAGCTCCCTTAGACCAGAGATTAAACTTTTACAACATGCCATCATCCAGACGATCACCGACCTAAATGACCCCGTAATATTCACGCAAAGCTGTCTTAGACAAGTTCAAGCCTTTTTTTTTTTTTTTTCGAGAGCAGGCTTCATCCAGATTTATAAACCCAAATTTTCTAACCTTGAGCCATACCCGCCAAGGCCACCACGGGCGAGAAAGGTTGCTGTGGAAATGGACCCAGACACGGCATGCATTCCTACCGTATCCATACCAGATGTTGATGATGATGAGAGGCAATTGGGATGTGATGACATATTTGTGGAGTCTGCGTCATTGTTTATGGGCGGAATGCCCCCGTGATTCTCTACTCTTGAATAACGAAAACGGAATTTTATAGTGTCATGTATACATGGTATTATGAAGGCGTTTAATTAGTGATTTTACGTATATACAGCTGGCCACGCCTATAATATTGAGTCTATTGGAGAGACGTCAGTGTTTTCAGTCCATATTGTGCACGTGAAGCTTTCTCTACCGGTGCAGTCTCTATATGTAAGCCGTTCAAAGTCTGCATACTTATTACAGCAACCGAAATAAAATCTAATTAGCAGATACATGTAATTTGTAGAAGCAAAGACAGCACAGGGATTTTCAGCTGGTAACCGAGGCGAAGCTAGATCTGACATCCTCCGGCTATTACATGGAGTTTATGCAAACTTGTATCGCTCTACTTACACGTCATTGGGGCACGGAAGGACTTGGCAGCATTTTCTTAACCCTCTTTGGAACCCTTGTAAACCTTGATGTCCGAAATGGGAAATATACCGTTTCCACATTTGAGCTTACATCCGAGTGGCCGAATTTCAAGGCACAGAAAGCATACAATCAATGCAGTTTATGTGAGACTACCTATCTACAAAGAGAGGGGGAAATGAAAATACAAAGAGTATATAGGTAGTATAATGTATTACTGTGTATATTAAGACATTACTTTATACGCCTTTAGATCTAGGCAATTCAGCACTGTAGCACCATTATATCCGTCGCTTCCAACGCCGTTAACAAAGCTCGATCAATAAGATGGGTGGTATTCGCTTCTAAATGCAAAGAAAGAGCACACGTTTAAGGGCCGTACAGGCTCCAGTTGATGGAGGCAACATCAGCGTAGCATCCAGTCTCGAGGGCAAACTCGTGGCTGGCGTAGGATCCGGCAGGGAGGGTCTCGAGAGTAGCACACTCAGGGAGGAGGCGGACGGGAGCACAGCCGGCGGGGATGTTCTTCTCGATCTTGCCGTCGGAGCTGACGGTGGTGGCGGCCTGCTCGACGACGAGGAACTTCCGGCCCTGGTAGTACTCGAGGGGGGTGTTGCAGATGACAAAGGTCTCGGGGGTGAGGAACAGGTATGGCTCGGGGAACTGAGAGATCTGGACGCCGGGAGTGCCAGCGCCGCCGTTGATGTAGGCGGAGGAGAGCGTCTCAGAGCCGGGGTTCTTGCTCAGGGAGAGGCCAAAGGGAGAGAGGGGAGTGGCCTCGTCGGTGATGGTGGTGGCTCTGCCGTAGCGGTACTCGGCGGCGGTGCCGTTCTGGTAGAAGATGTTGGACGTGTCCTTGGGTCCAACACCGGCCACGTTGAGGCCAGCGCCGACGTGGATGCTGTCGACGTACAGGCCCTGGACGGAGGGTTTGAGATCCAGCGCCTTGTCGGTGACGTTGACGACGAGGCGGAAGCCGGTGGACAGCTGGTGAGGCGGGTAGTTGGGCACGATGTTAGCGGGAGCGGCAACAGCGGCGCCGGCAAGGCCAAGAACAGCAGCAGTGAAGAACATCTTGAAAAGAAGTTGGTTGTGTTGGCGTTGATGTTGTGAGAAAGGCTTGATTGGCGTGGCTCTTGTTGGAGGCGGCGGCTTGGATTGTCGAGGCTGTTGGAGGAAGAGGAGGTTCTGGTCCAGCGAACGGGCGACGCTGCCCAGTTATATACGCAGCTGGCCGTCTCCACGATCGCCAGATGTCATCTGGCCGGCGGATCTTCCGAGACCAGCAAGCAGGGAGGAGGAGAAACAAAGAAACACCGACAAAGACACTGAGCTGGCCTTGCCACGCCTTCCCCCGCCATAACCGGCCCCCAGTAGCCCCAAAGCACAGCGCCATCGCAGCGTGCTAGAGACCGTTGGCCTATACTGCTTAGGGGAGCAGGCCTTCCCAAACGGCCCCTAGCCAGCAGTAGCAGACGAGGCTAAAAGTGCCGATGTGACGCCACATCTTAATGATCGGCAATGTGCACTTGGCAGCGTCATCAGCTCGTATTCCGATTTGCATTGATCATGGCGGTGTTTGGCAGCACTTGATTCCATTTGCGCCGCCAGGGCGCCACAGCCACAGCCGGCACAATTGCTCCTCTACGTTTCTCTGCCTCATCTGACGGTGCTCCAGAGAATGCATTATTCCAGAACGATCTGATAGCATCTGGGTGGCTTCATGCATGCGCATTTACTCAGATGAGGGTCCGATCTTAGTAGCAGCTAATAAACTTTGCCCTTATTTTAGCCCAGTTAGTTTCGAGTCAGCCAAGACAAGTCCAGCCTCTATAGCTGCTCCGTAGCAAGAGAGCTAATCAGTGTTGCTCCATAATAGTGGTGTTATTGCCTCTCCAGAGTATGGAGTATAGATGCTATGGATGACTTGGGCAACTCTCGTGACTACCTAGTCCGGAGCTCCAGCTTAGAGCTCTCCAAAGTGGAATATCCTCCCTAGCGTTTTCCCAAAACACCACAAGATCGACCATCGCCTTCCGTGCTTTCCTTCTCCAAGTTTAGATGCCGACCTCTGATTCCACTTGCTCGTTACTGATTACTCGATCCAAAGCTACGATTACTCTACATCTCACGGCTTTCTTTTCTCGCTTCACTACCTCGTTTCCCATCTCTTCTTCCCGTATTCATCGGCTTCTTGTCGTTGTCCGTAGCCCCCAAATCGATACGATTCCATGCAACTACAAGGAGTTGACGGTGGAGCAATGCAGATGAAATGTTTTTTTTTTTTTTTTTTTTCCTTCACGGAGAATTTTCTTCATGCACCACTACCAATGATAATTCTTCCATGTGGCCAGACTCCTTGATACCCACTATAGGAAAAAGAAAGAAATAAAAGGGGAGATTGATAGTGGCCTCGAAGGGGCAAGTTGTGCGCTGTATGTCTTTCCTAATACTACCGAACATTCTACTTGTACGCTTTGTGTTGACCTGCCGTTGACGTCGTTAGTGACGTTTCAAACGGACAGAGTTGGTATTAAACTATGTGGGAAAAGATCAAGGATCATCATCACGCGGCCAGCCCGATTGGTTTTGCGGAATCCAAGTGCTAGTACCAGCGTACTACTACTAGTAGCAGTATTTTATTTTATATCAACGGGCAGAAAACAACCACAAATCGCAGGCCCACGGCTACTTTCCTAGACGGGCAGAGGTCGTCATGCGTAGGATCCGGAAAGCTATGCCGAGAAGACATGTACATAATGCTGGCAAACCTGCATGTAAGTCCATGACTTTTGACATCCGTCGGCTCTCTCTTGCGCCAGCAACAAACACGTTAGGCACTTATCCCGACTGCCGCAACTGGCAACATCTGTTCGGTAAAGACTACTCAATTCATCATAGCACACGCCTACGGAAGAGTTACTCCGTGCAATGCATTGCTACGTTTCACAAACGGCACATCACGAGTATGTTCTCCTGAAAGCTCCGCATTTAGCCCTGACGGCTGGTAGTAATACGACTGTATCTGCCAGCAGCCTCATCTGCAGACCTATCTCCCAAAATTGCTCGGGCGGCTCGTCGGATCTCTGTCTCAGCCTCATCTCTTCCTGCAGTGCCGGACAAGAAAGCCGGCCTGCGCCACTCCCATCGGCAGATGGACAAGTCAAAACAGACTAGATTTTCCTCGGCCCGTGATTTTCCATCGCTGGCACTTTTGACCGCCGCGATATTCGGGAGAAAATAGAAGAGCCACAGAATACGAGCTCGCTAGGACGGAGCTTGCGGGCGACACCCCTGTTCCTGTCGGCTGAGTGCGTGGAAGACGGTCTAAGCGGCCGAAGACTCCCCCCTTTGGCCAGTATTAAGTAACTGTGTCCCTGAGCACTGCATCGTGAATCATGATGATATGGCAGCTGAGGTTTGTTGCAGGCATCGCTGTGATGGTGATCATGCACACCGCTGCTTCTATCCCTTACATACATGGGAGTAGTGGCGTTCTCTAAGCTAGCGAGTACGAAGCAGCAGTGAACTCATAGAGCTGTGTGTAGAATACGAAATGCTCTTTTAGGGTTCTGCCCTTCTCCTTATTTCAAGAGCCTGCTTTGGACGTAACGTAATTTCATGGCTGGACATCTCAGAGTCGAAAGCAGTAGAAGCAGCCAGCGATCAGTAATCTTTTGACACTTTGTAATTCATGAATTCTATGATCACGGTATACTGCACACTTGCTCATGTGGGTTAAGTTGAAGAAGAAGAGAGAATAGCAATTCTACCGGGTAGCAGATATCAAAGTGTGCTAACGTAACAATAGCTTCCGTTAAGCTTCCAGACGCTTGCACTAGTGGTAGATCATCCTGTAAGGCTTTTGTGCATCTCGAATCTGTGCTTCATACATTTTGAGTCTCCTTTATGCTCTTCAGGTATTCGAGGTGCTGATCACGGTGATCTACTACCAATTTAAGGACTTCATATCCATACCGGCCATCTCAATTACAGCTGCGGCAGTGCCTTTCCGAGGACCAGGGCCAAGCACCCAGGTCGACATGCATTCCGTACTCGCTTGTCAGTTATCTATGATCTGCCACTGAGCCGCAAGACGAACATTCTCTCCTTGTTGCCATTTGGCTCAATATCATGCCCTCCTCATGGCGTTAATTTCTCCGTGGTTACATATTCGTTGCAGCTTCACGTATCCCCATCGGCCCGTCAAGTTGCAAATAGCGAGAGGTCCACGTAGCTTACACCACTAAAGCTTCAACCACTACACCAGCTGAGATATCGCTTACGCAACTTACTATTCGGCCGAGTGCATGTGCATAGCTGTGCCCTCTTCTAGGCCCAAATTCCAATCTGCTAAACGACCATAGGGAGACAACAAGGTGTTTTTCACATGGATAAAATATGAATTGCCGACACGAAGCATGATCAATCGGCCGCAATTACGGCATCGCACCTTTGCTTGACAGAATCGCAGTGCGCATCACTTCCAATTAAAGGCATTGTTCGAGCGCGTCCTCGTATTTCGCAGAACTGTGATAAAATGGACCAAAAAGAAGAGCGGCATGATGAATGCTGAGAAAACATCTCCTGAATCGCGCATCGCAATATCACATTCTCATCGACAAGTGCAGTCATGCAAAGCCTCATCCCATGTCCCCACCGAGGCATGCTGCTGTTTGGCGAAGCATCCAACTTGGATAAGTAGCATCCCTTGTTTATTTTATGTTCACCGAAATGAAATTGGGGCTTTGCAGCATCAACGGCCATTCAAGCATTGGGGGCGAGCACAATGTCGTTGAAGTAGAGGTTGCCACCGCTTCACTGCACTACAGCGGATGAATGCGCTCTTGAGCCCTGACACTGCAATGTCGTTGAACACGGTAACGTTGATGCGAGTTGGTCAAACTCCAGTGCAATCATACCAGGACACTGGCCGTTGATTCGTCTAGAAACTCGTCCAGACGTTCACTTGTGGCTGCTTTTTCGCCCGTGTCCTGTCTTGAGCTGCGCATGGCGCATACCATGTCTCCAGCAGCAAGTGCACTTCATATCATACCTCGATGACGCTCCGGCCGCCGCTCGATTCGATGCCTTATCGACACAGACGATGTGAACGGGAAAAATGAAACGAAAAAAACCCGCGGTGAGGATTTCGAGCCTTGAGAACATGGAATCCAGAGGAGCACCACCTGCCACCGTGTTCAAACATGTGGGTGTGAACAGAATGCAGACATCCGTGGGGGGATCAGCGTCGTGTAGCTTCCAGTCTCTCGAGATCCAATCAGCAACAGCTCCTCATCGCAGTCTGTAACGCGTCATTTTTTGAGCATTTGAGAACGGCCTAGACCTGCAACTTGGCCCGAAAGACCGACGGCCGTCCGGTATGACAAGTCCAAAAGGGTTCTCACTCGCTCGGACATGTCTCGCGAGGCGGAATAGAGGGGAGCTCTCACTTCGCAGTGTATTTTCTCTTGGGTCATTTGCACATTTGAGCTTGCAAAACACGATGCGGCAAAGATGCCATCCATATCTGCCGAACTTTGTAGGTCACGATGCGCTCCTCATGTACAAGTATAATCTCCAAAAACCCACGGCTCAACGGCATACGCAACGCCGAAAACTGAGGCATGGGCGATATTCGGGGAGGTGGGACATGGAGCCTACCTTAGTGCATATTTGGCGCCTAGGCACGCGCGAGATTGGCGCTTATATGGGCTTTTTGTAGTTACAGTAAACACACCAAAGCCTGCGGAGGCTTGTCGTAGGCCCGGTGCGGGTGAGGAGGTTCGGAGATTCGGGGAGGATATCAAACGGGTCCCCCGGCAAGCGGGGAACAACCCACGCTTAGTACCTGCATGCCTGAGTTGTCGATGGGGACCAGGATTGGGAGCCAGCGATGTGACGTGAGAGTCGCCTACAGTGAAGCAGAGCTCGTGCTGTTGTTGGTGCCCGCACAAACGGAAGTGGGTGTTTTCATCGGTGGCATGGGCTTAGAATAGGCCTAGATCTTCTTTTGTGACGGAGAGGAGAGTGGCAATGAATCGCTCGCTGCGGAGCAATGGAACAGATTTAGCTGAAACTATTAAGCTTAGCACAGCACGAATTATGACGCATGTTGAAACGGTTGAGAAGAGGTGACGAAAAGTCTCCAATGTGTAGATAGGTAACACAATTCTATATGTTTGTATCAGTACACGAATTCACAGGTATCTACTAGTCAATCGGCAGTGATAGCTGCAGAGCCGTGTTATAGTTGATACCTGGTTCATTCTTGGTAATATCAGTCTTATTTTCATACAGCTGAGAGAAAATGAATGATGGAAGGCTGCTTTGTTTGGGATCAATACCAACATGATAACAACTATGACTTTCTTTCATTATAATATATCAAGAAGGCCTGATAGATACGAAAGAGGGTAATGTATGAAGAGAAAGATGAAAATACATTGTCCATGTGGCTTAACCCCGAGTTTGTTGGAGTCAATGTATAAGAAGGCGGCGCCTCAGTTCATTCTCTTGATCGAATAAAATAAGATAGTTATGTTGGATAACTTTATATACAACTAAAACAATAAGTTGGAATAGGATCAGCAGCAGAAAGCACCCAGTGTTGCTCTAATGCGATGCTTAATAGCTGGCTAAGACGAAAAACTCCGTTGCCTATGCCGAGTCAGCTACCACACTAGGAGTTTCGTATAGATGTGATATATCTCGACATATGTCCAATTAACAACTAGCTCATGACGCCAAGGCTCAATAATGTGCATTTACAACGCGTCTACATCAAATTTGCCCTTGCTGTGATGATAATATAAGCTAGTGGGTATCGTTGCTGTGGATCTTTGTCAACGAGAGACGAGCGTCCAGCCAGTCTTTACTGGGCAACGAATCTTTCCAGAAGCAAGCTAGTCGTACGATCACCGAATCGACTTGACAGTACGGAGCACAGGACCCGTTGATATCGACCCGCTCGTTCCTGCAGGAGAGATGGGGAAGAGAAATGAGGCGACAAAGATGATGCAATGTACAGGAGGCTGCGCTTCAGCTGAGTGCGGTTCAGATCTAGCATGGTAGCACAACAGGGTCAGAGTTGTCGCTGTTATTATTGGTGGTGTAATCATTTTTTGGAGATATTGCCATGGAAAAGGGCGAGTCACACGATGACCGATGAGCAAGTAGTATATAGAATTGTTAGTATAATTTGATGATCACCATAGCCAGCATATATGCATCCTGTTGTGATTAGTGATTCAAGATATTGTAAAATACAATCATTTTAATTTTAATATTAGTTATACCATAACAAATCTCCAGTACAAAAGCTTAACGAACGATAATTGCAGGATATTGAGAGCATCGTGGACTCTTTCATACTTACTAGGGTAGGCAACATACATGTACATGTAGTCGCAATACTCCCAACCTGCATGCACAAGTACATGCATATATGGCTACTGGTATTTTCTTTTCTTGGCAGTCTCCCAAATGGGATTTGGGGTAGCAAGCGCGCTTACCTCGCCATTGCCATGCATTAGATGCTGAATATCCAAGCGAGTTACCGTTTCTAATACTTACATGCAGTAGATCAACACAGCAGGCTGACAGCAGCAATTTGGAGGTCTTTAGCGGAGAGAAAAAGAGCGGGGCCTGCCGAGTAGCGGGGATCTTTCTTCCCAATTTGTCTGTTCAAGCGCAGTCTTACAACGGTACTGTATGTGAGAACCCCTCATTAGCATCGAAAGTAACAACAGCCAGAATAAAAAGGTTGCCTGATGGAGGGGACGGCAACAGAGGAAATGAGGAGGTCGAGCCAATTACCTTGCATGCTGCCGTGTTAAAGAACGATTCAGTGCTCGTTTCTTGCATATAAGCAACCAGAGCTAGCAGGCAATGGGTGTCTCGAGCTGCGCCGAGTATACGTGCCGCCGGCCTAAACTTTTGGGCTCCGTATATTTGGAGTTTTGTTAGTTCGAAGCTTGAGATTAGCTGCCAATAGCAGGATCTGCTAATTGCTCTTGGCATACTGTACCCTACTGGATGGGTGGCAATTGGAGGGCATAAGGTATGAAACTAGCAACACTGTCTCACAGCTGGAAAATTGCCTCAAAGCAGCGCTCGCTTGGGGGCATCAGCCTCATACGAATAGGATTTGCATTTCCGCGGGTGCATTAGCGGAGTGCCATTGCGCCTGGTCGCAACAAATAACAAGAGCCTTCAACTAATCGAAATAGTAGTCGCTGCGGAGAGGGGTCAGGCATGCGGTGCTGGCGTACCATGGAGATTCGGTACATGTAGATGTAAGCAATGTGGTCGTACCAGTCTACATAGTACGGCACATGTATACTAGTACCTACTTACATGTATATAGGTATGCACCTTGTTTGGAGTAGGAACATGCATGCGAAGCTGCCATTGGGCCCGTATACGTGTATGCACATAAGGTACATGTAGTTATCATCACCAACACCACCACCAACTGCTCTGAAAAGGCAACTCTGTCTCTTCCGCCAAACTCGCAACCAAGACAACAGCAACAACGTCGCCAAAGTAGAGTTACATCCCCAACGCCCCTCATACTTGCAAGGGCCAACAGAGATCAGCCAGCACCTTGTCCTTCGCTCCGCGGCAGACCCCACATCTCCAACGCGGCCCCGAATCCCGAGATATGTACGGCCGCGAGCCTCGCGATGCCACATCTTCGGCTAGATTAACTGGAACCCGCCTGGCATTTGCGATGCTCCCCACCCTCTTGTTCTGCAATTGCTTACTAGCAGCGGCCCCCCTTTCATGCAGGCCAGTCTTTTTTGGAGACGCGTCGCTTGAAACCCCCTCTCTTGGACGCCTCTCTCCAATGCCGAGCCAACTGCGAAGCCGTCGTGGATCCGCCCAACTCGTCGACGGATGGATGAGCAGGCCGTGAGGAGAAGAACGGCATGGCAGCGCGAGCGATTTGAATTACGTAGCTGAGGGGCTTTTTGGTTGACTCGTTCATATCTGTCTTCTTTTTTGCCTGTGCTGCTGTAGTATGTGTCACGGCTACCGGTGGGACAGGAGAGGCAGCAGAAGGGCAGAGAAGCGTGGGCTCTCGGAGCATAAATAACGGCCCTCTCGTTGCGAGTCCGGCTGATGCTACTCTGCTCTGCCACTCTCATCACCTCCAACAGCCTTTGCTCCAGACCAAGCCTGCAGGCAAAAAAGCCGACCAAGCCTCAATTCAGCCGCCCGAGAGACGACAGGATCAGCCCATCGCTCTCCACCCTTGCTTCCGGCCTCTCCACCAACCATCTCGCTACCCAGCTCGCTCTTCTATATAAGAGTCTGTCGAGGACAAAGTTTATACGCTTTTTCCTTGCATTCCAATAACATCTTCTTTTCTATTCTTTAGAAACAAGAAAAAAACAACCGCCAAAATGGTATCTTTCCGCCCCATCTCCCGCTCTATTTCTCTCGCCTCGCGAGCTTCTCTTTCTGCTTCTTCTGCCACTTCTTCTATTGCCTCTCGCCAATTCTCCTCCCAAGCCGCAGCTGGCCTCACCACTGCCAAGCTGGGCTCTGCCATCAAGCCTCGCGTTCTGCCTTCCTCGATCCGCACGCTGACAACCGCCCGCGAAAAGGTCAAAGTTCTTCTGTGTCTCTACGACGGTGGCAAGCACGCCAAGGATGTGAGTATTAAACGCCCCAAATTGAAACAAGTTTTGTATATTCTTCTTCTTTCATGCATGCCTCTCTAAAGTGTTGTTGTCACTGTTTCTTCAAACGACGACGACAACAGCATGTAAGAGAGACTAGCTGAGCTGCGCTGAGCTGGGAGCTTCTTGTCTTGGCCCCCGCCGCATGTAATTCGGCCATATTTGTGGAGTCCGCAGAAGCCACTTTTTTCTTTTTTCGATCTGGGGGAAACCCAAAAATATCACCAGCGGAAAAAGAAAAGACGGGGCCGTTTGCGCGCCCCGGCTCTCAGACCATCTCCGGTTTCTTTGACAGAAATGCGGGGAGTGGCGCCGGCTGCCGAACGATGGGACTCTTCCAAGACAAGGATGGATCTCTCAACGCCAAGCTCATGAAGACGATGATATGCAAGCAGACACTCGTAAAAAGCAATCTTGCTAATCAAACATGAACTCCAGGTCCCTGCTCTGCTCGGAACAACTGAGAACGAGCTCGGCATCCGCAAGTGGCTCGAGGACCAGGGCCACACTCTGGTCACCACCTCAGACAAGGAGGGCCCCGACTCTGTCTTCGAGAAGGAGCTCGTCGACGCCGAGATCATCATCACCACCCCGTAGGTTTCTGACATGCTGGACCCTTCATCATACACACAACTCGTTGCTGACAGCCTCTCCAGCTTCCACCCTGGCTACCTGACCCCTGAGCGTCTCGCCAAGGCCAAGAACCTCAAGATCGCCATCACTGCTGGTATCGGCTCCGACCACGTCGACCTGCCCACTGCCAACAAGACCAACGGCGGCATCACCGTCGCCGAGGTCACCGGCTCCAACGTCGTCTCCGTCGCCGAGCACGTCGTCATGACCATCCTGGTCCTCCTCCGCAACTTCGTCCCCGCCCACGAGCAGGTCGCCAAGGGCAACTGGGACGTCGCCGCCGTCGCCAAGCAGGAGTACGACCTCGAGGGCAAGGTTGTCGGTACCGTCGCCGTCGGCCGCATCGGCGAGCGTGTCCTGCGCCGCCTCAAGCCCTTTGGCTGCAAGGAGCTGCTGTACTTTGACTACCAGCCCCTGTCCGCCGAGAAGGAGGCCGAGATTGGCTGCCGCCGCGTCGAGTCCCTCGAGGAGATGCTCGCCCAGTGTGACGTTGTCACCATCAACTGCCCTCTCCACGAGAAGACCCAGGGCCTGTTCAACAAGGACCTCATTGCCAAGATGAAGCCCGGCTCTTACCTCGTCAACACCGCCCGTGGCGCCATCGTCGTCAAGGAGGATGTCGCCGCCGCCCTCAAGTCCGGCCACCTCGCCGGCTACGGTGGTGATGTCTGGTTCCCCCAGCCTGCTCCCGCCGACCACCCTCTCCGCACTGCCGTCAACCCCTTCGGCTTCGGCAACGCCATGACCCCCCACATGTCCGGTACCTCCCTCGACGCCCAGAAGCGCTACGCCGACGGCACCAAGGCCATCCTGGAGAGCTACCTGAGCGGCCGCCACGACTACCGCCCCGAGGACCTGATCGTCTACGGTGGTGACTATGCTACCCGCTCTTACGGCCAGCGTGAGAAGATCAACACCAACAAGCAGTAAATTGATTTCTCTCAAATAATAAAAAACAAAGAAGTTTGTGAAAAGGAATTGAAAAAAAGCTTGATGAATACCGACACACACACTCACACACACACGCACGCAACAACAAAAAATAATCCTAAATCAACTATAAATACGGCTCATGGATATGATGACTCCGAATAACTACAATGTATACCTCTTGCATACCTAGCTACTAGCAATATATCTTTTTTTTTTTCTAATTTTTTTCTTTCCAAATTTTGATGAATCTTGTTCCACGTGAAATTAAAACATGTAGCATAAATCTGCATTCTACCTACCAGGAGATTTGCAGCAAGCTTGAGTATTTAATTGTGTGCCTCATAGAAATAGAATCGCAAATATTTCGTTAAAAAGCGATTACATAAGAGATGAATAGAAAATTCAAAAGTCTTTGCTTTTATTATACATGTATTAATAAATGCGTCTTTTAATTGTATTTTTTCAATGTCAAGAATCTTAGTATATACTATATAAGTGCAGGCTCCACTGTTGTACATGTGTAATACTTTACACATCACATTGTAAATACTAGCAAAAATACAGTTCATAGGTACTATTATAGTAGTAAATTAAAGAAGCCTTTATTCATTACACGTGTATAAATAAATGCGTCTGGTCGTTTGTATCTTCTTTTCCACCGCCATGCGTTACCTTCATTCTATTCCATGTCTCTCAATCATAGGAATCATTACCCCCCCTTTGCTGGCGCCGCATCATATAGATAAGAAAAGAAAACCTCCTTTTCCTTCCAAGTCACCAAAAGCCAATTAGTGCTAGTACTCATGTAGATAAAGATAAAAAAAAAAAAAGGAAGCATTAATACGTAGTACTTTGTGTAAACCACCGCACGCGAATCCTATCATTAGAAACGAAATATCTTTAGTTTTTCTTCCTTTCATGATTCATCTCCAGAATCGCCACCAAGGCTTCTCTGCATCACCAACATCGCCACTTCTTCGCGTAATTGACTTGTCTCTCCCCCTAATCCGCCAGTAGTAAACGGGTATACCTGCCATGACAAACGCCACGACAATGAGAGTCTGCAAGGGCTGCGCAAACACAGCTCTACTAAGTAAAAAGAGACTGACGCAGCAAAAGATGATGGGCGTAGCGATCCAAGTCTTGTATGGCCGCTCGAGATGCGGTTCCTTCACCCGCAGGATGATGAGACCGAGAACAGTGACAAAGTAAAACGTGTAGCCAGCCACGCCGTAAAACGTGACAAGGGTGCTGAACTCGCCTGCCATGCAATAGCCACAGGTAAGGACAGCGTTGAGGAGGAGGGCGTTCACTGGCGTGAAGAAGAGGCCGGCATCTTCGTCGCCAAAGCAGCTGCGGAACTTCTTGGAGACCCAGCTGCGAGAGCGCTGCGTAGACAGACCGTGATCGTTTTGGCCGCCGCTGGTACCGAAGCCCAAGCGCCCAAAGAGGTCGGGGATGTACCCTTCCTTGCCAGCAACGTATATAAGGCGGCTGGCCGTAAAAGTAGACGAATTAAGAGCGCCAAAGCAGCTTGCGCTGACAATGAGAGCAAAAATGAGAGCGCCTGCGGGTCCAAAGACTTTGGATCCGAACATGACAGCAACAGTGTTGGAAGCGTTGATAGAAGCCAGGGGGAGGACGAGAAAGTAGGATACGTTGGCAAGGACGTAGGAGAGGATAACCAAAGGCATAGCCGAGTGGATGACGCGGGGCAGGTCCCTGGAAGGGTTGCGAAATTCGCCCACCACATAATTTGTCTGGAAAATCATGTTAGGATCAATATTCAGGCCCCTTTCTCTCAGCTATACTTGGAGGGAACAGGATTCGCGCGCAACTTACGTTATCCCATCCGTCATAAGCCCAGAGTCCAGCGTACAGCGCAATCGCCCAGTTTGACGGATCTGAAGACGTCCCCTTGAACCAATCGTTCGTTTTCCATTCGGTGCTCGCCTCTCCCTTGTATGAATAACCCGTGATGGCAACCACAATGCCAATCACGGTAACGGCTATCAGCGCCACAAACTTGAGGAACATGAGAACGTCATTGACCCGGGTGCCCACCCTCGTCGATACGCAGTTGAGAAACGTCACGATAAAGATTCCCACCAGCGCAACAGCCTTGTTGATCCAAGGATTGATCGTCTCGGCCTCTGCGCCAATAATGGCCCTGACAAAATATTCGCCCATGATGATGGCGATGATGGCGGCGCTCCCGGGCTTTAGCACCAGGAGGGCTACCCACGAAAAGAGAAACCCAGACAGCTCGTTGAATGTTTTGGCGAGGTAGACCTGGGAACCGCCGTTCAGGGGGATTGCACCTCCCAGCTCGGCGTATGAGGCGCCGCCCGTCCATGCGAGAATGCCCGCCACCACCCATACTATGAGGGCCGCGCCAGGGGATCCGAGCCTCGAGCTCACCTGGCTAGGTGACGAGAAGATACCAGACCCGATGATCAGGCCGATGATCAGGGACAGTCCGTTCAAGTAAGTCAGCGTCTTGAGCTTCTCCAGCGATCCTCCGCCTAGTCCGCCGTTCGGCCTCCCCGCAGACGTCGGCGCGCCAATGGGTGCGTACCCGCCAGCGCCAGCGGTCGAGCTCAGAGGGAACAGGTTTCCCGCGAAGTCGAATGCCGATGATACCGAGTATGAGCGACCCAGCCTGCCTCCCACCGCCGGGTTGTTGTCGTTCAAGGGGTCCTCCTCCTCCACCATGGACAGCCGCCGCGAGGACGAGATGCTGGGGCGCGAAGACACTTCTGAGGCGGCGCCATCGTGGGCGACGCTGGAGCTGGCCAGCGAAGCGAGCTCTAGGGAGTCTCGAGACTGCGACTGGAAGGGCATTGCCACCAGTTTGTAGCCTGCTCTCTCTGTCTTGCACTTGTTGTACTCCTCCTCGGTTATGTATCCCTTCCCCTCTCTAGCAGAGACAGCAGCCCCGTATTATTCTAGGTGTGTTTTCGTCCGGCGAATCAGCAGAAACAGCCCATATCGCTAAAGACCCGATTTCCGAAAAGAGGACGAGGATATCGCAAGTATTTTCGTGCGAGAAGCTCCAAAATCGCAGGGTCCGAGAGTCGTCGGTAGAGGGAATGCTGATGTGCGTTTCGTAACAAAAACCGGCCCGCGCGCCTCGAAATTAGCAGTTAAAGGAAAGCCAAGAAAGAAGAAGAGTCGTAAGGCTTCGTAAACGGCGTTTCAGAAAAAAAAGGAGAGAAACAAGAATTAAATGCTGGAGTTTGTTCAAAAGATTTTCTTTCCCCCCCTGAATTAAAATAATCTGGCCCTAAGAAAAGAGAAGAGTCGGTGGACCAGAAGACGGCACTTTAGATCAATAGAGAAGAAATGCAAGGCACACGCACTGCCACTTAGAAGATCGAAGCAATTGGGGAACCCCCCCCTGCTGCCCGCTCTAATTGGCCCTCCCTAGTCATAGATTTGCATCAATGCCTTTAAGCTTTGCGGCTTAGCGTTCTATTGTCGCTTCTCTTCGGTGCTCTCCCTGATGACTAAGGCGGGCGAACCTCCATGCATTGCCGCCTTCTTCGTTCGTACAACCGACGATTTCTATCCTGAGCGTTCGCGACTTGCTCTCCCTTTGCGCCTCTTTCGAAGGAGAGAAACGGTTTGGTGGTTGAACTGGCAATGGGCTCCGACGACTACAAAGCCATCGGCGGCGGCGGCGCGCTCAAGCTGAAAGGCGCAAAAGTCAGCAAGAAGAAGAAGAAGGCCGCCAAATCTGACCTGGAAAAGAACCTGTCCGGCGGCGGCAACGAGAACGCGGCGCTCGTTAAAAGGAATGACGAAGACGCCCCTAAAGAGAAACGCGACAAGCAAAAGAGCTCCCGAGACGAGGATCGAAGAAGAGAGGATGGGGAAGAGAGGGAGGAAGACGACGAGCCGGTGGTGTTGAAGACGGAATCAGAGCGACGGTACGAGGAAGCAAGAAAGAAGAGGGTAAGCAGAGAAAAGCATCTTCACCATAATATTATGATTAAGATAAATGGCTGATATTTCTTTTTCGCAAACAGCTTCTTCAGAGCGCGCAATCGTCCGGATCAAGACCCGAATTGCTAAAGACACATAAAGAGCGAGTTGAGGAGTTGAATACATATCTGTCTAGGCTGAGCGAGCATCACGACATGCCAAAGATTGGACCGGGCTAAGCTGTTTGCGTGTGGTGGCGACGTGAAGGGATTACCTGCATGGAATGGAGTTTGTGGTGTTTCTTGTCTTTTAGGATGCTAATATTACACAACTGTTGCTGATATACCCTATGAAAATTGATAAGGGCAGCCCAAATATTGCGAGAATTATGAATTAGAAAATACAAATCATTTTAGCATCACAACTTAAAACCAAGTGAGGGAAATTTCCATCTTATGTGCCTTAACTATATGCGGCTGCTTCGTTTGTGTGCTTGCTTTGCTATATATGCTGAAAATACAATTTATATCCCCTTTTTGAGTGCCATAGATGCCAAAATGATGTATGCGTTACAGTTTTGCAGAGGGTTCCATCCCAGTCTATCAAGTCCGAGTGTGCCAAAAAGAAATCAAAAACAGGAAAAAAAAACAAAAAACAAAATATGCTGTTGCCCAATCTATGTGTCCCCCCGAGTTTGCGCTATGTATGAGGAAAAAAAGAGTGGTTAGGAAGCAGCCGTGAATGTCGTGATTACAATGAATGAATAATACGATGGTGCCAATTCCAATAGCATGGATATGCTGATGCAGTATGATAAAGAGAGTGAAAACGGGAAGAAAAAAAGAGAGAAAGCTAGCAAAGATATGTGCTCTTTTCAGCTTATACCAGCAGAACAGCCCCGACCAAAAGGCCAATGGCAGCAGGCATCATCATCTCGCCACGAGGGAGAGAGGCGGCGTTCTGAAGGTCAGGGCTCTTTGAGCCGTCGGCCTGGCTGGTAGGCAAAACAGCAACCCACGAGGTGGAAGTCAGGGTAGTGGTGCCTCCATCAGGAAGAGTCCTGGTGAAAGTGTGGGCAACGGGAGCGGACGTCGTCTTGGAGCCCGAAGTGATGGTTGATTGCGGAGTTTCGCTGGCCTCAGTTGAAGAGGGGCCGGGAGTTACAGAATTATCTACTCAGGAGATTGTTAGCCATTTTTCCTATATTACCCCTGAATGAATTTACGACTCGAGTAAAAAGAAAAGAGAAAAAAAAAACAGGCAAGGACTAATTTTCAGGTCCATGTAACAAATCTCGAAGCACTTGAAATCCAGACTGGTGACAGTTGTTTTCACATCCAGCAAATGATCCAAGACTACTACCAACGCTGAGACGCCTATCTCGACAATGTCAAAGTGACAGTGCGAAAATCTGACATACCAGTAGTGGTTTCTGCCGCGGTCGCCGAGTTCGGTGAAGTCGATGTAGGAAAGGAAGAGGATAAAGAGGAAGGGGAGGAAGAGTCAAAGGTGGTTGTTGCCTCAGACGAAGCAACAGACGAAGTAATGGTTGACGACAACCTACCAGAGGAGCTGGTGGACGCCGGAGCAGTAGTGGGAGAGGAGGAAGCAGCCGTAGTGGTCTCTTCTTCCGTGGTAGACGTACCAGAAGTTGCAGGAGCAGAAGTAGTTGAAGCAGGGGCCGAGCTTGGGGTGCTAGAGGGCGATGCGCTGGTGGATTGTTCCGAAGCAGTAGTTGATCCTGCGGTGGTGGACGCAGGAGCAGAGGATGACGAATCTGCGGTAGTGGACTCAGCAGTAGAGCTAGATGCCTCGCCTGTTTGATTCAACCGTTAGTTATGACAATCCAAGACTCCGACATGTCGAGATATAGCAAGGTACAACTTACTTGAGCTAGTTTCAGAAGCAGTGGTCGATCCAGCGCCGGTAGCAGTTGAGGATTGTGCGTCCGTTGTTGACTGCGCAGGTAAACTCGTGGAACCAGGAGCCGTGCTGGACGGTCCAGCAGTGGTAGTAGAATTGTTATTGCTTGGCCCATTATCCTGTCTCTTGGCAATCTGAACGATGGCAGAGGCAACAGAAGGATCCCTCTCGCTGATGGCATCGATAGCATCCTTGTCAGTGGCAAACACTCCATGCTGGTATCTCTCAGGGAGATAGGCATGCAGCAGCCGGTGGAGGAGATCAGGAGAGGCCTTCTGAAGCGCCTCGGCCAGCTCCCCGTTGGAGCCGTGAGCCTTGGCCATGGCCATCTTGGAGTTGTCGTGGTGTCTCTGGCAGTTGATGAAACTCGGCCGAGCGGTGGCAACGCCCAAGCCAAGGACGAAGCCCATGACAATGACGAGCAGCGCCCGCCTAAAGTAAATCATCTTGTTGCTCTTGCTCTTGCTCTTCAACGCAGGTGGCGAATAGTCCCGGTATCCAGTCTGCTTCTCTCCTTCGGTGCTCTTGAGTAGTCCAGCCTCTAGGTGGCCATCACGGTCGGTGTAACCGGTGGGAGCCATGAGTGCGGATAATATAGATATAGGTATATCCAGAAGAACGAGAGGGGGGCAGGTGTCAAACAGAGTGTGGTCGATATGCAAGCCTCGTGGACTGCAGTCAATAGGCAGGGCAGGGGTGTCTTGAAGTTTACGAGACTCGACGAAAACGAGACGCACGCCACCTCCGGCAGGACAAGCGGAGAGGTTTTGGGATTTTGGGTTCAACTATGCTGGACCCGGAAGGTCTAGCAAGAGAGAACGTTTGAGTGATTGCGGGTCCTCGTTCGTTCTGATTGAAGAATTGCCGTCCTCCTGGGGCCAAGTCTGGGGCTGCCGGGCAAAGACAGATGCAGGTCAAGCTCCTAGTCTCCGCCAGATAGGTTTTCTGTCAAGAAGCCACGGGTGACGGTCTTCCGGCCAACGAGAAGAGCGAGGAGAGCAAAGTGTCGGATGCAGGTGAAGGAGGAGGAGAGAAAGGTCTATCGACGAAGGAAAAGTATAAGTTTGGGGGCTGGTGGAGAGTCCCGGGCTTGCATAAGTCAACTCCGCCGGCCTCTGTCAAGATAAGAAGAGCTGGTGTCGTCAGTATCTGGTGCGACCTTGGCACAGGGCCCTCGTCTCCTCTTTCTCGTCTCTTGTCCGCCTCACTGCCTCTCTGCCTCTCTGCCGTGTCTACCTGCTGCGCTGCTGCGATCCACGGATACGAGATCCTCTTCCACCCAGCCCCGGCCTGGTCTTGCTGCTGGCCCGGGCTTTCGGCCCAGCCCACCTTGCGCTTCAGCTGCCATGGGAAACGCGGCATCATTGACAGCTCATCGAGCCTGCGACAAGGACCAGGTCAGTCAGGCATGCGGCGAGCAATGGCTTATCCGTGCGTCATTATTAGCGGCCGGAGCAGCGCGCTTGCGGGCCTTGGAGGCTGGCATGGCGGAGACTGACGGGCAGCATCTCGAAGCGCAAGCCGTCTGGCGTCTCTGACTGGCTGGAGCTCGGCCAGCCACTGGCGGCGGCTTGCATCATGGACATCATGGAGCGCTCTAGGGGGCTCCAGCAGGGCACTAGGGCCGCCGCATGGGTTGAGGTTTCAGTTGCGTAGATGCGCCTGTCGAGGCTCTGTGGCAGCTATACCGGAGCTATGGGTTGCTGAATGCCTTAGCGCCAGTGGGAGCTTACAGGGCGCCTGGCAGGGGTTGGGCGTAGCGCTGCGGTACCCAGGTAGCACCTCGGGAGTCGATGCAAGGAGATCAAGGAGAGATGGGTCAAAATAAACATCAATATCAAAGCAATGGAAAAACCAATCCCGATCTGCTGGCAGCCCAGCATGCCAGCACACAAACAGGCGTTACGCCACACCGTGCCCTGGTTCCTTGATTTAGCCTTTTGAAACCTTGGCTTTGGGTATGGAGTTTCGTCTAAGCTTATGAACTTCAATAGTACGTCCAGCTAGCACGACTCAACCTACATATGTATGTAATACCCAACTAAGATCAAGGGAGACATTCGGCGATAGCAGAGGAGAATTGGGCAAGGTGAAAAAAAAAAAAAAAGCAAAGAGGATTACTGTAGCACACAAGCAGTGCTTGAATCCTTCTTGCGTGCTATTATTAGGCACACCTGGCTACTGTATCTGGATCTGACGTTGCTTCAACACAGGGCTGTTTCACGAACCAAGCCGTTCGCTCTCTTCTTCCCCCGAGACAAAATCAGACTTGTATGGCCCGCAATGCTCCAAAAGCCATGGTAAGACATACTCGGCAGTGTTACCGCCTACAGAATCCACTTCCCGGCAGGAGTCGCCACCCTAATGCTCCGTCGTACAGGTGTTCAGGCGATTGGAGGAAGCGCACGGTCTGCGGCGTACCGCATTGGGTGCTGCCGATTGACTTGCAAGGAATAAACAGGCTGGCTGCTTGACATCTCTGCTCTATCGCGTCGGTGCCGAGCCGGTTGACCGATGATTGCATCGTGACTCTTGCTTTTATGCGCCTCAATTGAACACATCGAGCACCTACGTCTACCTCGGTATTGCTGGTTATGCGAATACTGCACTCGCATCCTCGTGTCGGGTCTTTTTCGTATCCCCATTTAGCAGTGCTCGTAACCGAGTCCCTGCTCCGCGATTGTACGAGAACACCCGCATTTACGAAGTATGAAGTAGCATCATCCTCTCCTTATGACCATCAGTTGGTCATATATCACCCTCCTCGTCCCAGGGTCGGATGCCAAAGAGGTGCGAATACACACCACGATGGTATGTCTGTAAAAGCTCTCTCATCTCATCTGCTAGCTACCTGCATCTTGTATTTGCACAATCACTTCCCGTTACTCGTACTTCGTATAAGCAGCACTAATACCTACTCTCCTTCTACTGTATTATTTTCACCTCGGGAAGCGTGGCGTGATCCCGATCTCCACAGACCGTCTGCTAACAGGTCTCGGTGCCGGCATTCCCGCTGCTTACCCATTCTTCGACTCGACCACATCCCAGCTGGGATCATGACAGGGCCTGTCGTGAAAAATCGGGGCGGTGCAACCCCTTTGTGGGCGCCTAGAAGACGGCGGAACATCATATCGTAACCATGACAGAGTTTCCCTAGCAATATGATGCGCACAAGTTCAAATGTGAGCATGTTTTGCGAAATTTGCTGCCAATGGATGTGTTCTCGCCTTGTGTTGTTCTCCGCGCGTCGCTTCGAGGCGGTATGAAGGGAACAAGAAGAAGAAGACTGCTGCTAGCAAAATCTGCTAAGCAAACACTACGTCGTAGCCGCTCCCCATAACTGACATCATCAGAAAGGCTCAGCGGAGCTTGCGAAGCCGCAGCTTCTACCGCTCGTATTCCAACTGGATGGAGGAATCGGAGACTTGGCTGACCCCAACTGGACAGCGAGACCAGAGTCAGAGCAGACGAGGTCTAGAACTTCACGTCTCTGACCAATACGCAAAGAGCGCAAACGTTTGGATTTCGGCCAAAGCTCATTTAGGCATAAGATCAACGTCTAGATTGGCGAGGCCTCTCAGCCTCATGGAGAATATTTTCAAGCAAGCAAGGGTATCCACGCTTCTGGAAACGCCTCACAGGTAAAAACATATTTTTAGCGTAGAGCTTGCGATGGGGCAAGAGAAAGAAGAGGAGAAAGAGCGGGACAGAAGAAGAAAAGGATAGGCATCAATCCTCAATTGTCGCTGGCTATCTAGATGCGTAGAAGCTGCAGATTGCATGCATGCAGTATCGGATATGTGGTTGCATTGAGCTGTGCTTTTATTGTCGCTGGCCAAATTTGTGGCTGGTGGCATTAGTCGCGCTTCTAAGGATTGCCAAAATACAGCAGAATAGTCGGGCCGCAGTTCTGCTTGCAAGACTTAGTCCCGGCCGCGGCCTGTAGCGCCAACTTTGTTTGACTTCAACTGCTTGCAAGGTTGCGGTTGTAAGAAGGCTAATACGTGCCGCTGGAGCTGAACAGCATCTAGACAGAGGTGATGTGTCTTACTCAACATTAAATGGCCTGCTTTGCTGCTTTGGGTTTCGTTTTTATCGACACATTATCTAGATACCTTGGTAGTACCTGTAGTACCCAAGGTAGTAATTGGATCATCATGTAGGTAGTACATATCTATATGTGTATATGTAGTCTGCTTCAGATCTCTCAGCCAGATAGTAAATTGACAACGCTGAGAAACAGATAGATCGCTGGTACTCCGCAATTTGCCCTTACTATCACATCTCCAAGAAACATACTTCAGCTAGCTTCAAATTCTTGAATATATGTGGCGCCGTAAAGCCTACCTCCAGCTAGATCGACCATGTACTTAACCTCTTGTGGGTATGTGTAGATCTTCTCCCGGCCGCCTATCCATGGCGTTGTCATGCACTAGCCACATGCTGTTTGGATGGCTCAAAAGTGCAGACCAAGCTGAAACTCTGAACAAGAGCGAGTCAGAACTCAAGATCTAGAAGCCAGCCGTTACAGGCACTGCGCAGCCCTAGTGCTTGAAAGCTTCAATCTAGAGGGCAAGATTGGCACCAACCCTCGTACATACGATGGCATGGAGCATTGCGATTGGGATGTTTATAGGTCCATCCTCATTGATTGAAATCACGTGCGTCACCTGGAATCTAACATTATTCCCGCGAACGCATATCTTGTCCAGGAATTCGTGATGTTGCAGTGTTAGGCATATGTGAGAACAGTGTCTATATTATTGAGCGGGATCTTCTAAGAAGTTTAGTACCTGTAGAATTGTTTCGCATATATGTGGCCACGATATTGGAGGACAATACACATATTCGCAGAGACAGCTATAAAAAAGCGACCGGTGCTGCGTACCTGTTTCGTTAAGTAAAAATGAGCGTATATCAGCATCCTTATCAAAGAGCAAACAAGCTTCTCACACGAACGCAAAGCTGGCTGGTCATGCAAAAATGGTAAGACTTTACAGTCAGCAGCTTCTATGATTCGACCGCCTACACACTCTAGTGCATTGGGTAGACTTAAATATCTTACACGAATAGAAGAGGTGACCTCTGTGCAAACATTTAGATATTCCACTTAGCATGCTTTAAAAAATCGAGGCTGGAACCTTTGCCTATGTTCTACCTTTTTTGTCCATTTCGGGAATGTTCAAGCAACTTGATAAGTCACTAGCTGCAAAGTGGCTGTTGCTAAGATGTGGCAGTTGTTGAAACAATAAAACGGGGAGCTCCCAGACAAGGAGAAGTTGTGAAACATGGTCTTCAGATAACAAAGATAAACGAATAATCCATAACTGTCATGATTTATTAAGACATGGGTCCATTCCAGTTCTTCAACATTCGTCACGGTGGTATTATTACTGCTGTTGAAGGTAGACGTTCAATTCTGGAGCGCTGATCAATGCAAGTACTATGCAGGTATGATTTGCAGCGGGGTGACTTTGGCAATCTCCAGGATTTCACGTGATGGTACCCAGCAAAAAGGACACCAACAATTCGGCCCATCCCAGCAAACGGGGGTAGCTTTCATGTGAAAGCGCAGGGTCATTCCACAGCATCTTGTTATTTTTCTGCTATCCGCTGTCTAGATTCTTTCCAATGTAAAGTCCTTTTGCTTGCCGAAGTTGCTTGAGTAGCAATCGTTTCTTTTCTCGAGCCTCGACGCTCAGCCACATCAGACGTCATCTAGCCTCGAGATATATCCCACCCCCAACCGTCTTCAATGGTTCCTAGGAAAGGTGGCCTCACACATCATGCCAAGCCACCTCAGCCCAGAGTCACGTTCGACTGAGGAGCAAGATAATCTTCGAGTATTGAACCGGTCTCCTCACCCGTATCATCATCAGAGCTCTGAACTCTCCCATTTTTCCGAGCAGCCAATCTCTCGCGGCCAAACGACAGCATCTTCGAGGTTGGCAAGCGACCCCAACCAGTCATCGCCGTCCGTTCCACCAAACTTTTCCAAGGAGTCGACGCCGGCGAGCGATAGTGGCACCGATGCTGACGACGAACATTTTCTCAAAGGCTTGCCGCCCCCCAAGCTGCGACCTCACAAAGGGCTGAGAGGGAAAAATGAAGTCATATCTGGCACCTCGACGCCGGTGCTATCGCCTGCCGTCTTGCAGGAACCAACGGCTGGTCGCAAGGTATCACTTGGTGGCAAAAAGCCTGAAGATAAAGCTATAGTGCCGGATGCTATTCGACGGAGGAAGATTCTAGTGCAACGAGCCCTCGAAGCTGGCATCATCATCACTTTGGCTAGGATGATCCAAGCGAATAAGCTGCTATCGCCGATATTGGATACTTGGCGCAAAGGTATGTAGCCCCCCTCCCCCTTTTGTCTTTCTGGGATAGTCTCTTACCGGTGGTAGACTTTTATCTATTTAGCGCTCTGTACGGAGGATTGCTATTGCTCTATCCCCTTCGGGTCTTGATATGGAGCTACAAGGTTCAGAAACCGTCTTCAAGGTTGCCATTGAAGATTCCCACAGTTTTCGACCCTGCGCCTCTTCTATATCCTCCTTCGATTACGATATTTGTGTCACTATTAGTTTCCGTTAACTGTCCGGCGGTCATCCTTCCGAACCTCATACTCAGCATAAGTTCGATTCCTCAACAAGTGGTGCCCAAATTCGATCAATATGCGGCATATGATTCTCTTCACTGGGTTCTATCTTGTCTCCCTCTGATTTGGCGATCCTCGTTTTCAAACGAATCTCGGTTTACGCCGACTTATGCTTTTCTCACGCAAGAAGATCTTGTCCTGTTGTATCCTTTGCATAGAACGGCATCTGCTGTATTACATCATCTTACCACGACTAGCCTCCTTACAGCCGAGCTTCAGCTTCTTTCGATTGCTTTGATCAACGTCTTGCTTCTAGCGTCTTCACCTCAAATTCAGATACTCAAAGCTTTGTTGTGGGGTGGTGGTTTAAGTCTACTTGTACTATGTGGCGCCGTGATTAGATGGGGAATTGTGTTGGCAAGAGTTCCCAAGTGGCGTTTTCGAAGAGAGCCATATCCGCCAAGGCGTCCGTTCTGGAAGTCTTTGGTCAGGATATTGTCTTGGCAGAAACTCAAGAGCGAGATTCTGGGCTCACCTCTGGATCAACATAGCGACGATGCGCTGTTCTCAACCGATGAGGACGAAGACGACTTGCGATTCAGTGGCCCTAATAGGGTTCAAACTCTTGGTGCAACAGAGAAGCCATCGCTCGATGCATCTGCCGAAAACGGATGGAAAACAGGGGGGGTTTCTCGAAGATATACAGTTCCTCATATGGATAAGGCCTCTCGTAAAGCAGCAACTCACACTCCATCTGGACGGAGAAAACGGACGGCATCCGTTTCTATTCGTGCATATTTCAAGTTTACTCCCGCACAGGCAGCGGTAAGAAAGTGGCTGTATGCAGGCTACGTATACGTGTGTTTGGCAGTCATCATAGTTGCATTTATTCGTCCATATGTGGGAAGATATGCCCTTGGTGGCAATGAACCTATTGGCTGGGCTCTCGGATACTTTTTTGGTGACCTGCCAGAGTTCAGATATCGTGTTGTCAGGGCTAATTTGGAATATTGGATCTGTCTTCCACCAAGGACCGAGGCTTGGGGCGAAAAAGAATGCGGCTTTGGTTGGGTACAACATGTTCGCCACAACGACTTTGGCGAAGCCAACACACGACTCTTCATCAGTGGCTATTGGATTGCGATTCTTATCGTTGGACTCGCAATCGTGTTTCAGCTAACAAACACATACGAGGTCGATACAAGGCGGAAGGTATTCCACTTTATGATGGTCGGCATGCTTCTGCCAGCAACGTTTATAGATCCGACGTTTGTTGCCTTGGCGCTATCAATTGTCTTGGCCATCTTTTTAATCCTAGATTTATTGCGAGCGAGCCAGTTACCCCCTCTCTCTAAGCCGATAGCCTCCTTCTTGGCCCCTTATGTCGACGGCAGAGACTTCCGCGGACCCGTCGTGATATCTCACATCTTTCTTCTGATCGGGTGTGCCATTCCTCTCTGGCTGTCGCTTGGATCCTTGCCACGGACTGGATCAGACTACTTGGCTGGCTGGGAAATATCTACCAGGGAGATTAGTATGATTTCAGGGGTTGTTTGCGTTGGTTTAGGCGATGCGGCAGCCTCACTTATTGGGCGCCGTTATGGTCACCGCAAATGGCTCTGGGGTGGCGGCAAAAGCCTCGAGGGAAGCTTAGCATTCACAGCTGCAGTCTTCCTCGGCCTCACATCTGCGAGCGTTTGGCTTCGTATAGGGAAATGGCCAATTACCGGTGACGATATAAGCATGACGACCAGAGCGGGACATGCCTTGGTGTGCTCCTCCATGGCTAGTTTGACAGAGGCGGTCCTGACGGGAGGCAACGATAACGTCATTGTGCCAGTTATTCTCTGGACATGCGTAAAGGCGCTTGAAGTTTAATATTATAGAAGCATAAATACGGCGTTTTTTTCTTTTCCTTTTCTTGGATTTATTTACGATGGGTATCCGATTTGGCGATAGGTGGCCATACGACGATATGATGCCTTTTTTCAGTCATCGTCTTTGTGTTTTATACATCAACCTCATATGGCTTACATGACTGAACGTGATGGGATAACATTAATATACAGAGAATCAGATGACCCAATAACTAGATTTGAAAAGATAGACAAGCGGGCTATAAAACATGGACACGTATATAAACGGCAATAAACATGCGCTAAGAGCCTAGAGAAGCTGTCACGGCAGTCGTCAGTTGGAGGTGATTTATGAATTAAGAAAATATAATCGCTTTTGGTATATTCATCCTTCTTGTGCTTCAACTTTAGTATATATATATAAATAAATAATTAGCGGAGCAACAGCTCATGATAACTGCTGGGCTTGGAATTAAGAGAAATCAAAGAGTCGTAATCAACATTTATGCAGTCAAATCTTCTAAAATAGCTTCGAGGTCTTCTTTCCTGAAAGGCAGGCTTAATAGCTCCGTTCCAAGATTGTCTTTGCGGCTTGTTAACATTTGATGGTCGTGGAATCTAAATAGCAACATCTGTGGTTAGCATCATCTACTGTAACCTTTTTTTCACGGTGAGCTAGATGCTTACTCTTTGAGCAGTGTCCTGAAAGCCATCTCGGAACTGCAAATGAATTCCTCAACGGCCTTGTTGTATACCATTCTATACTCTAGGCCAACATCCTCGTCGCCTTCGTCTTCCATTGCGATGAGAACCTCGCCAACGAGGAGACGGAATAGGTTCTTTGCGTTTTCTGTAAGACTCTTCAAAACGAATGCGACACCTTCGCGGCCATTGACGCGCTGGGATTGTCGGCCGAGGAGCTCGTGCACGTCATCTACGACGTCGAGCTCGACTTTGAACGGGGAGAAAGTGGTGCAGTCGTGGAAAACAAAGTTGAAGTCTGAGCGGACGCCAATGTCCCATAGTAAGGTGAAGTCGGGCGTGTCGGCGGAGCATATTAGATTGATTTGCGGATGGGCTGCAAGCTGGGCGAGGATGGCTTGAGAACCCGGCTTGCGGAGAGGGGTGGCGTCAATGGAGTTTACAATAATGGTGAGAGTGAGTTTGGAGGCAGATAGGAGAGAGGCGATGCTTTGTATCATGATGGCGGGCTGGGCGGTTGGTACCCTCTGGTTGGGATCGATGGCGGAGGCGACGACACTGAGGATTTCGCGGAGGTTTGTGGTGTGGGCGTAGCCGTTGACCACGACGATCTTGCCGGCTGTTTTGCTGGTTTTGTTGCTGGAATGGATGTAAGTGGCAAACTTGTGCAGCAGTGGCCTCTTGGATCCCAAGCCAAAGAGACATATGCTGAAGCCTTGCGATAGCTCGAACGCCCATTGTGGAAAAGATTCGGCGTGCAAAGACTCGAGATACTCGATATTCTCGGCATGGCGATCCTGGTGGTCGTGCAAGATGCTGAAGTACTCGTCATGAGAGAGCAAGTTGAGAGACGCCAACGTATTATCCGACGTCTTTGGCCGGCCGGGCTTGTTGTGCAGAAAGTACAGCTCGTGGGGAGGTAAATCTCTCGGCGGCGTTGGAGATCTGGCTCTCTTCGCCCTGCCTTTTCGTCGGGCTGGCGTTTTCGAAGGCGTCGCAGCATCGCCTTCTGCCAATCCGGCTGCCTCGCCGTCCGTTCTCTCCTCGAGCTCGTCCTCGCCGTCATCTTCGTCTTCGGCATCGCTCGACTCGTAAATCTGCCGCGTGATATCGACTCCGATTTGGTCGTCGTCGTCGCTCCCTCCATCGCCAACAACTCGATCTATCAGGGCTCTTGCACTCTTCCTCCGCGCGGATCGATCGGCGGCTCTGCCCGGCGTGAGGGGATTGAAGCCCACTGCTTTGGTAGGAGTCGCAAATACTGGCACAACGTTTAATTTTGCATTTGGAGTGCTGTTATTTGACTTGTTTTTTGGAGGACGGCCACGGCGTCGAGGTGTTGGTGTTGTTGCAGAGGGTTCGGGTTCTGTCGCTGTCTCTTGGATCTCAATATCCATTTTGTCTCCTAACTGCGGGGGGTTTGCGTTGTCTTCTTCGTTTGTATCCATTGTATTTCTATTGGGTCGTTTGGACTGGGTTGAAAGCTTGTGAGATCTCAATGCTGCTTCGTCGCCGTTGAGGTTGGAGGGGTTGTTGGCGAAAGTCTATACAGGGACCGGGAGACTTGAATATCAACATGTCCTAGCAATAGGATGCAGTGGTCAGCTGAGGGAGAATTGGTGCATTGGTACAATTTAGGTGATATGATTCTGTTCAGGACAAGAGCTCAGTGGCCAATGCTTCTGTTGAGCTGTAAATGTAGATGGTGATGAATCGCGAACCGGCTCTGACCTCATCCGAGGATTCTCCCTGGAAAAATGCACCACTCAACGCGCTGGACGCGCTGCGGGAGCTACAGAGCTCAGGGTTCCTGAGGCGCTAATCCAGGGAATCCATGGCGTAGCGCTAATCCGGCCCACTGAAGCTCCAGCGGTGCGGGCTGCCAGAAGAAATTGTCCCAAACGTCCATCAGTTGCTGAGCGTTATTGAGTGCTTTCCGCCTAATTCTTACACCGATTGCGCCTCAAGCTATTGCAAAACAAACACTAGAGAAGAATCTTCAAAATGAACTTTAACCTATACGGGTCGCTCAACTCTGCAAAGCTACTGCTCAAGCCTGGGCTGTGTTTGCCTCACCACATAGCACCGACCTTTAACGATCTTCCCATCCCACTTGATGCAGTGTTGCAAAGGGAGGGCCGAAGAGCAAATATCAAGGCTGTAGTCTTGGATAAGGATGACTGTTTTGCTTATCCTGACGCAAAAGAAGTATATCCTGCGTACAAGGTAAGCCCCTTGCTGCCAATTCTTCTCAGCGGCGCCGCTAACAGAAAGCCTCAGCAACATTTTGAAAAGCTGAAACAGACGTACCCTGGACGAAAGCTTCTGGTGGTGTCCAATACGGCTGGATCAACTAGCTGGGATAAGGACCTAAAGCAGGCGGCTGAAGTAGAAAAGAGCACTGGGGTCTTTGTTCTCCCTCATTCGACTAAGAAGCCTGGCTGTGGTGCTGAGATCATGGCATATTTCAAGAAGTATCCAGAGACTGGAGTGACTGATCCATCGCACATTGCCGTTGTTGGTGATAGGCTCACCACCGATGTCATGCTTGCCAATATGATGGGCGCCTGGGGATTTTGGATAAAAGATGGCGTGGTGCCATTGAGCCAGAAGAGCATCGTGAGTTGATAAAGGCACTAACTGGTAGCTTTGCGTGGAACTAACAATGTGTAGTTCTCAAGGATTGATCACTGCCTGGCGGGATTTCTTCAAGCACGAGGCGTGAGGCCGCCTGAGCCGCAAGTTTCGTCTGAAAAATACTGAGGTTCTTGGCGCCTTGACCAACCCACACGCTCGATATACGTATTTTGCTCTATTTCCCTCACACTGGGACCTGTGATTCACAGTCGAAGCATGAGAGTCAGCTGTTGCAAGGCTATCTACCGATCAGCAATAGCATTGAAGTTGATATACTGATGGACTGAATCAGCCCCCGGAAATCATCAGCTGTGCTTCGCCGCTATAAATCCTTCTTCTTCACATCCGACTCCGCAATCGCCATTGACTGGGACTGGATGCTTTCTTAACCTCTTACCAAGCTTCCTAAACTGTCAGCTCTCGAACATATATCATTGCTGCGTTACTCAGACTCCCAGATTGCCCATCTCTTCCTCCCGAATACGACATTTCTTCATCGCCCCCCTTACACTCTTACTGCATACATAATGGGCGGCAAAACGTGGTCCAGACAAGAGGAGCGCTTCTTCTGGAGAACAATTGTGCCACAGTCACCAAAAGCTGTGAAACCGTCTGATCGAGTTCACGACTGGAAGGTCTGCGCTGAGATCATGCAGCAGGAAATGGGAGTGAATGCTCGCCGCAAGTATTCGAAGCTGATGCTCTGTGCGTAGCGCAACCCGGTGAACCTAGGTGGCGACATGCTGAGAGTTTGTTGCTAACTGGTTAATCTTTGTACCACCTTCAAGTCGAACACTATTTCCAGAATGTCCAAACAGGACACAAGTCTCCTTGCGCTCGCGAGTTCGTGGTGGAGCATAAACGCGCTCTTGTTGAGTTCCGCAGAGGAGGAGAGGTGGTCTCTGATGTCGTGACTGGGAAGGACATGTTACAAGCTCAGCAACGAATCCATGCCGTGGTGCGGAGCGAAGAAGCCCAAGATGACATTTGAGTGGCACTATTTAACAGCCTGGCCAAACCTGGACGATGTTTTGAGCATGAAAAAGCGAGGAGAGTAAGAACGAAGGTGGCAATTGTTGTTGTTTCAAGACGTCAGTTATCGGTACTAGACGGTAGTACGATGGAATTTATGAGTAGAAAGGTAGCATACCTATGCTTGATCCTTGATCGTGCCTCGAAGAGAGCTTCTTGCGTTTTCCATTTATGACCATGTTAATAATTACTAAAGAGATGGTAAGCGGCTTTGTTATTTATGCTTGACGTTTCACAAACCAAGCTGAACGGCCCTTGTTGAGATTCTAGCTCAAATTTTTCCTATCGGTATCAACTATTCCAAAATCCAAAGCCCAAAATGCCAACAAAAAAGGGGATATACAAAATTTAATCGCGCCAAATCATCTTTTTAATTTCCTCTCCTCCTACTAACCCAACAGCAGCAGGCCATCCTCCCAATGCGCCAAAGACCCATCCGTACGCTGCTTCGTGGGCATATGAAACACCGCCCAGCAACAAATTGGCAACGTCAAAAGCCAGGCTCTCCTTAGGGGCAACCCTCATAACGAGCTGGGTGCCCGTCTTATCGACGTCCAAAGACCAGTTGAGGTCGAGTGTATGTCCAGAGCGCGAGATATCAACAGTGTGGTTTTTGGTGGCGGAATCCACGAGGTTATACGCCAACTCGATCTTGTCAGGGTTGCTATAAAAGGACCAGAAACCACCCCATGGGGGCGTGGATATGGTGATGGTTCCCTTTTGGCCGACAGGGGTGAGTTTGCCGTTGAGCGTGGTTTCGCCGCATATGATGAAGTCTATACGCGCGCTGGGGCCTTCGCCAGAGTCAAAGTTGCTGAGCGATGTGAGGCCAATTTCGCCTATTCGCCCACCGTTGATTGATGGGCCGGCCTCAAAGGGTAGGCATTTCTTCCTCTCTTCTTCCTGTATACGCCCCAAAAATCAGTATGTCAATTCCTTTTTGGCGTGTGGCCAAACATGGGTGTTAATATCTCACACTTGATCTTTTCGTAATGCCGGCGAAAGTGGGCCACCATTGGTTGTTGCCTTCAGGAACGTCAAAGTGGACGTTTGTGATGTACATTTTGAGCCCCGGTGGGAGCTTATCCACCACGAGAACTTGACTGACGGATCCCCAGACCATGTTGACAAGGTACTTGTTGCTGCGTTTATAAGCTAATTGACAATGAATAGAAAGATGGTGCGTGTGTTGTATCGATTTTGTGAAGGGGAAACTGCTGAATTTATGATAACCATCTTGCACTGAGACGGTTCATGATTCGGCCAAGGCGATAGCATCACATGGACGCATGGCATCGCCCTAGATTGATTGAGGCATTGTGAACACTTTCAGCCGCTGGCGCCAATGCCTCTGATCGACCAATTATCGCATACTGATCGACTTCATTGCTCTCAGCTGAAAGATCGTCGCCGATGCCCTTGCCACCCAGATTGTCCAGATTGCTCAGATTTGTCAGGATCACCACCAGACCCGGCAATCATCTTCCAGCCGTCTCCCAACCTGGCTATCAAAATGACAGTCCAGAACTCTGCGACCCCAGTTCGGCAGATGACTAGATCGCATCTCCAGGCAATATTTTCCAGGGACCGTGGCTTGGCTAGCGGACGGGCCGCGCCTAAGTGGAGAAGCATGGAGGCTTAGGAGAGACAAACCCTCAGCTCAGCTGGGCCGAGAGTCAATAATTCGCCTGTGGCGCCTCTTGAAAACGGGGTGGCCCGTAAACGTTGCTTGTTTGTTTGGTTCAATAGCGCCCATCAGCTGTGATGCCTGCCGAGACGCTCATCTTATGCCCCCATTGATCCAAGTATATACGGACCGTATATAAACGACGCCTATCTCGTGTAGACTTTCATTTTGCGTCTAAATTACAAACCTCTGCATCTATTTAATTATTTCATCAACTTTCTTTTTTTCCTTTTCATTTCTTCTTCTTCTTTTTTTTTTTTTTTTGCTATCTCGCATCGCATAGCACATCGCAGCATATCCCACCGCCATGGTCTATCTCCCTGCAACACGACACCTCAACGGCGTCCGCCTCCTCGCTCTAGACGGAGGCGGTGTCCGAGGCGTGGCCTCTCTCATCGTCCTAAAGGAAATTATGAAAAGAGTCCAAGCTCGAAAGGGTCTCAAGGAGGAATGCCGCCCAGCAGATTACTTTGAGCTCGGTGCCGGCACGAGCACTGGCGGCATCATCGGCATCATGCTCTTCCGGCTTCGCATGACGGCTTCACAAGCCATTACAGAGTACGACGACATTTCCAAGGAGGTGTTCAGCCCCAAAATCTATGGCTGGAACATCACGCGCGTGATGCCCAACAAGGTCGCTTCCTGGATCAACAACAGCAAAACGCTGGTGCAAAGCAGCCGATTCGACGATACATCGTTGAAAAAGGCCATCAACAAGGTTGTTGCCAAATACGGCTTGGACGAGGAGGACAGGCGATTGGGGGGCGACGCACCATTGCTGCATCCCAAAGCAGGCAGAATGTAAGTCTAACCACGTCTTCTCTTTATCATCATTTGGAAAGTGGGCTAACGATGGAGATGGTAGGATCGTCTGCACAACGGCTCAGAACAGAGCTGAAACAGTGCTGCTCAGATCTTACAAGGACAACACAATCCATGTAAAATCCAAAGTCAACGACACCATGAAAGAGCACTCAGACAAAATCACCATCAGTCTAGCCACGCGGGCCACTTCTGCCGCACCCACTTATTTCCCCGAAGTCAAGTGGCCAGAGAACGACCCCAAGTTGACATTCTGGGATGGCGGCCTACTCAACAACAACCCCATTGACCAGCTGTGGTACTCAAGATATGAGCTCGTCCAGCCAAATGAGCCTGCACCTCCAGTTTCCTGCGTCATCAGCCTGGGCACCGGCTATGTCAAGCCCGACTCGCCATCAGAGTCATGGTTCCAGCTCGCGGGAGTGGCATCTTCCGTCATGGGCTTTGCTACAAACACAAATGCCAAGGGCAAGGATTTTTCACGGCACATGACGACATTGAACAACCGTCCTGAGCATGCAAAGACCAGATATGTCAGATTTAACCCGTCGCTGGGCACCAGTGAGATTGGGCTGGCAGATTACACCAAGATGGACGAACTGAAGACATTGGCGACCAAGTATATCGAGGACAAGGCCAACCAGCTGTGGATTGACAAGGCTGTCCTCGCATTGTGCGATGAGTAAGAATAAAAAAAAAAAAATAAAGGTTTTGTTTTTCTGGTTTGGAAAAAGGTCAAGAGCGTTTATGCATATGCCGGCATGCAACATGGATGCTGTTTTAGAAGTTGGAGATGAATGAAACTACACGTATAGAGTACTACACGTATAGAGTATCATTAGTAGTTTCGGTGTAAGATACAACGTAAAAGTCTCGTCTTCTGCATATTGGTCCCCATTCAGTTTTACAGCCTAAAATACCCCAGCTGTTGACCAAGTTTTTCTTCAATGAATTGATATATCATTATATTCATCCAGCCTAAACAACGGTATTTAATGTCTTTTACATCCATCTCACTTGTTATACTCGAGAATCCATTACCAGCAGCGGCCTCTCGCTCCGCCCCGCCCCGGCCGGCGGCACCGAAAAATCCCCGCCGCGGGGACCAGCCCGCCAAGGCGGTCAACCCCGGCAGAAATAATTCCTCTCTGAATCTTGATAGTAGCAGTTTCCAGGTGACGATTTGCTCAACCTCACATGCAAGACATTCCCATTATCGACAACGCATTCTCGGAGGCATTCGCCAGCACTACCACATAGACGAATTACCCTTTGCCAGGTCACCCACCCATAATGAGCGTCCCTTCACCTTTCGGCGGGAACACTCCCTCCATTCCCCAGCTTGGTGGCCAAGATCCAAACGTCAGAGCTGTAGGTCCCCCCACGCTTCCTTTTCCCTCCTCCTTGTGCCGCGTAGCGCTTGCAGCTTTGCTAACTCTGATTTCATGGGTCTAGATCCAAGGCGCAATGGAATCATGCTATGGCAAGTCCATCATGTCAGGTGTAATGGGTTTCGGCATGGGCGGACTGTTCGGTCTCTTCATGGCCTCTGTACGTTTTACTTTTTCCTTCTCGTCTATAGCTGTCCAGAGCCAGCTCCGTCTCCCCTAGTATTTTCTTTTTTTGTGTGTGTCTCTAGCTAATATGAGCTTGCTTTGATTTATTACAGATGTCCTACGATACTCCCTTCGGCAGTCCCCTCCAAGGCGCCAACGGTCAACCCGCCGTCACCTCACTTCCTCTCCGCCAGCAGCTGAAAATCGGCTTCAAAGACATGGGCACGCGGTCTTGGAGCATGGCAAAGAACTTTGGCAAGGTCGGCGGCCTGTTTTCCGGAATCGAGTGCGGCATCGAAGGCCTGCGGGCGAAGAACGACCTGGTCAACGGCGTGGCGGCGGGATGTCTGACGGGAGGCATTCTGGCTAAGAATGCGGGACCGCAGGCTGTTGCTGGAGGCTGCGTCGCTTTTGCGGCATTTAGCGCGGCGATTGATGCTTATATGAGACAGCCGAGTGATGAGTAAATCGGTGGATGACCGTCTCTGTTTGTTTGGCAAAAGTGAGGGAGATGTTGTACGATGAGACGAGGATTTTTTTTTTTGAAACACTTTGGGTTTGCTTTGTCCTAATTATGGACTGAGGAGTTACGGTAGAGTGAACACATAGAGCATCTGGGTTGGCGTTGGAGGCATTGACATGGTATATCTCTCCACTATTGGTGTGATCTTTTTCAGACACGAGGAGAAAGAAAAAAGAAGGAGAGAGAGAAGTAACAGCATGCTGTTGTTATTTTTTTATCGAGAGGTCTGGGTGTGTATAATAATACCCAGGCTGCTATAGAAGCAAGTTGATTGCATTATAAGAATCATATTATTTAATTACCAAAATATTAACGGCAGGCCCCTTTCTGTCAAGGGCTATATCTTTCGTTCCTAGTTGCGCCGCTTTCTCTCATTACTACGTGAAATAAATCCGCATTCATCATGTTTGTATAACCATTTACGACATCTCGTTTTTGTTTGTGCTTTTGCTTCATAAAACGACTAGCGATTGCGCTCGCTATCACGATGCCTGGTAGACTTGGAATTTGCCAACTTCCCAGTAGGCATCTGTGAAGGACTCGGGGTAGTTGGCAACAATGTCCGTGCAGTTGCTGGAGCCTAAAAGAATCAATAGCGTTAGTAAAATTTCTGCATACGCACCCCCCTCCCATATATATATATATATATATATATATATATGATGGGGGGATATAAAGTTTAAAGTCGTATTTAGAAGCACTTACAGCCAGAGTTATCCCAAACTCCATACACCAAATCGCCACAGAGGTCGATATTCAAGATGATGGAGTTGTTCCTAAAGTGGTTCCCAACATTGCAGTCCGTGCTCGGGAAATCAGCCGCAGCCTCGCCCCAGGTGCTCGGATCAGGCTTCTGGTTGGTGATGTCTGAGGGAATAGCGCTGCGGGCAAACTGCCACACGCGGATGCCCGCATCACGCCACTCCATGGCCATGATGCCACCCCCGTTCTTGTTGTAGGCTGATCCAAAGGTGTTGGTCGGGCCCTGGACGCCACAGCCGGCGTTGTTGTTCTTGGAAGAATCGCAGTTGTCCTGCAGGGCCTTGTCGGCCTGTTCCCTCTTGACGCCCATGGAGCAGCCGGGGGAGGTGTGGAGCGTCATCTGGTTTCCGTCATCGGCCTTGTTCGTCGCCTCCATGACATCGATCTCGCCGTTCTTGGGCCAGTTTGACGGGTCGGTGAGCCACAGGGCCGGCCAGGAGCCGCAGCCGGTGGGAGTGTGGCGGACGTCAAAGATGAAGAGCCCGTCGTTGTAGGTGTTCTTGGACTCTACTCGGACAGAGAAGCGGCCGGTGGAGGCGTTGGGGACGCTCTTGGGGCCGACAGAGGTATCAACTCTGAGGACCGCGGCATCTTGAGATGCAAAAGTCAGGTTCTATTAATACATGTTAGCGATGCCGGAGAAGGATACAAGAAGATGAGCAAAGACAAGTAGGTGTATGCTTCAGTTTGGTGGTGTAACTCATCGAGACACTTACAAGCCGCTGGGCCTCGACCTCCGGGACATAGTGAACAAAGCCCCGGGCAGGGTCGTAGCCAGTATAGTAGTTGAAATTGTCAAAGAAATTTTCACCTTGGACTAATAGGGTTGGGCGCGAACAGCATTCATTAGCATGGTTCTAATATCCCCAGAGTGCGTTGTAGTCAAGTTGTTGTAGTAGGGTTGACGGCCACTGGGAACAACCAATTTTGACAGCGAGTGTTGAGTTTGTCCAAAAACATTGATTGACCAACCAAATAAGGAGGAGAAGAACGGAAAAGAAACTCACATGTATCTTTTAGAGTGTAATTGAGCTGAGAATAATCGGGATACGAGTCATTCTTCTTTCCCTGCGTGACACCCACTGCCACACCAATGACAATGGCGATGACAACCACAGCCGCAACGCCAATCCATACTTTTTTCGACTTCCACCAGGGAGCGCGATCTCCGGCGCCACCGCTGGATCCAAGATTAACCTCTTCGTATCTTGGAGGGATCTCGCCCGGCTTGACACGGTCCATTTCCGTCTAAAGATGCGAGCGAATGGCTTTTGTTGCAGCAAAGAAAAAGAGTGAGTGAGAGTGTGAGAGAGAGCGAGAGCGAGAGACAGAGACAACAAAGTGCCTGTTTCTCCCTTTTTCTTTTTACGAACGTAGTAGGCGAGTGAATGGCCAAGATATCGTGTAAACGACCAACCGATTTGGAAGGATTCCGGCAAATGACCGATAACTGGTTAATATAGTCGGCGATAGCCTCTTTGGGAAGAACCAGATCCTCTTCTGCCAGGCACGGCACGGCACGGCCAAATTGACGATAACGAGCGCAGGATAAAATACCCGGAAACCTCAACGCTGCGAAAATTGATGGAATAGAAACAATACAAGAGAGAGAGAGAGAGAAGAGAGCGAGCGACTGGCTTCTGGGTTGTTTAAGGGATGAATGAAACACAAGAAACGTTGGAAAGCACGGCATTGAATACGAGAGTGAGAAAAAGGTGGATTGGATATCGGGCTCAGACTGGCTGGCCAAGACTGTACATGTACAGTACAGCGGGAGATACGAGTCCGGCCGGCTTTAACACGCATCGTACCAACAAAAAAGGACATGGAGCACTCCATTCTCCATGCTCCATTCAATGCTTGTTGGTACTAGGCGTAATCGGATACAGCGGCACCTTGAATACGCTTCGCCTCAATGTCTACATCCGAGAAATACAGACCTAATACCTACTTGGCAATACCTAGCAGAGGCAGTAAAAAACATTAGAATCCATGTAATTGTACCTGATCCACGACTTTTGGCTACAGCTGGGGTGCGTGCTGGATAACAATCCCCAACTCTTATACTAGATACTAACTAGAGCTTTGATACGTCAATTCTCGATACAGACTCTTAAACCTTGGATCGACACTCGAGAGTTTCAAATGACGCGCGTCGGCGTAGCAGGGCCATGTTGATCCCAAGCCCAACCTTTAGTTTTTGTCGCCATCTTCCGCTTTCGGCAATTTCCCCTCTCCAATGATCCAACTGTGATTTTTTTTCGACTTGGTCATTTCTTTTTTGAGGCTAGTTCAGGGCCGCAATCCTTCCTTTGGCCTTTGGGTGTATTACATAGTATGTCTTTATTGTATGTGCAGTAGTAGTAGCAGTAGGAATAGATTAAGCAATTAGGTACTAACCTAGGCCAGATACTACTAGGCTAGGTAGACGCTACAATGCTGTCAAATATAGGCGCCTTGGACCATCCATGGCACCCCATTGGAGCGGCAGCTACAAGTAGGTACCTTGGTGGCAGTAGTGGAGGTCATATACCTTGCCGTGGCGCAGAGTCGGACAATAGGCTAGTATTCTCCAAGATTCAACATCTACATGCCCCCAAGCCGCCTACTTGTAGCTAAGCCAAACTTCAACTATGCATTTGACACTCGGTCAATAGCCTACATTATATCGGTAGTTTCTCCCGCAGGGTAATCGTTCTATCCTCATCCTACACATCCTGCCAGCCATCTGCCAGGAACAGATCCGACGCTCGAGCAATTTCAACGCAGCCGTCATCAGAATTATTCTCCAAGGCCTCATTAACCCAACCCCCCCCCCCCCCCCTTCTCTCCCAGAATTTCTCACAGAGAGCTTGATGCTTGTCATGATAGCGCCAAGCCCTCGCTATGCTGTTAATTCCAAGCATCGTCTCGAGACCTAGAATAGGTAGTCTCGCAAAATTTGTCGCAAAAAGCTGCAATTATCCTGGTGCAGCCGGCTCCTGCCAAGATACATCGATATTCCCCAAATGCTGTTCATCTTATAGACGTGGAGCCCGCCTAGTTCACCAGCTTTGTCGTGGTTTGGCTTGAAACCCGCGTAGGCTTCTTCGATGCAGCCGAGAAAGCTCCATGTCTAATGCAAAGCTGTCAAGGCCGAGCAACCTGGTTGGCGCCAAGGCTGCGTAAGGAGAATGAACTGAGTAAAGGTCTATCATGAGCAATCTTAAATCATTCTTTATGCTGGTCGGATGATGATAAGGCAAGTCACTCACGGAGTGAGCCTTGATAATCCCCAAGGATTCATTCAACGGGACTCGCTTTCCACTGAGCCAGCAGCTTTTCTGCGCTGATTCTCGCCCCAAGTGGTATTATTCAAGGAAACTAAACAAGAGCCTAAATGCTTGGGGCCGAAATCTTGTGAGTAAACGTGATTAATTAATAATATTGAGTGTCGTTAGAGTACAAAGATATGTGAGGCATAAATATTAGCTGGGTTATAAATAGGTAGTCGACATCTCCACGCAACAGTAAAAACTTAGGTCCGCACGTCCTTGCAGCACATGATGCGAAAAAAGAAAAGAAAAATCAGCACCAAAAGAGGGCGCGCAGTCGGGAAAAAACGTGTCAAGGTCATCGCTTTCGCTACCCTCTCAGCCGTGGATAGCGAGTCCTATCAACTAAACTCTCCCATTGCCAAACCCAGCCCCTCTCACCCTGACTCATATCTTTTGCTCTAGCCAAAGCCTATTCTCGAATCACACATATATATAAATATAAAAAGGAGAAGACCAAAAGAAAAATAAGAGATGAGGTTGATAAAATGGGTAACGTGAAGCATCAAGTCATCAACTCCTTGACATTGGAGATTGCATTGCCAGTCCTTATCCCAATATTTTCTAAAGCCTATTGTCGCTGCAGATATTCGTCGAAATGCCCAATGTGTATTTTTCTTTTCATGATGATCGAGTCTTGCGATCTCTGTATTCGGAACTACGTTAGCCGCTAAAGCCATTCAAAAAGAACGAAAAGACATGAGTTAACAACAATAACAAACGAAACAAATCATAAGGCTTGAGAGCGCCAAGGATGGAAGCAAAACGAATTGCGAAGGGATTCCTTTTGGGGAAGGGAAATACTCACGTGCTAAGTCTCCGGGACAGCTGGTGCAGCTTCTTATCATTATCGGCCTCTTCCGCCGCCTTCTGCAAAGCAATCGCTCTCTCCTCTTCCTGATGCTTCACCACCTCCTCATGAGTAGGGGGGAGGTGTTCGTTCTGCAAATCGACCTTTCTAGCGTCCTCAAACGAGCTGATTGCGTTCTTAATACCTTCGGCACCGAGCATCAGGGTGCCGGCAGGCAGCCTTCCGCCAGATACAGTCTTCAGCTCCGTAACGCGCTCAGACTCTTCTCGCAGAACCTGGAAGACGCGAGACATGCGGCCAATGGCCAGGATCTTGTTCTTGATCGCCCTACGCTTGAATTCAATCGAGTTGGGATCCTCCATACCGCTGGTAAGAGCTGGCGAGCTGGGGCCGGGGGAGTGTGAAGAAGGCGTCTCTTCCTTCAGCTCCTCCTCTGAGCACGTGCTCAAAATGGCAATGAGCATGTCGGTAATCTTTTCACCCACAAAAGGAAGCGACCAGGTGAAAACATCCATGAAATTGGGAAGCCAGTATGGGTGTGGCGTGCAGTTGAATTGTCGGATATTCATAACGTTGTTCTCATACTTTAGCACGGCGGCTTTGTTGTTATAAACGTCGAGATAGTTTGGTGCCGAAAAGATGGTCATAACGCTGGGGAAGCCGGTCGTCCGTGTTTTGCGGTACATTCTGTATCCGGCATCCTGAGCTTCGTGGGCACGAATGACAGAGAGCAAGTTGTTCTTCTCCAGGAAAGCACAGGCGGCGTGATATGAGAAGAAATACGAGCATCCTCGCACGTGGTTATGCAAAAAGAAATCGCTAGACTTTTCCTGTCCAAAGTCTTCGAGGGGGTCGGCCCATAGAATGTCGCACATGAGACCCTGGGTGGGTGGCTCTCTGAATCGATCAATCTATGTCGTCATATTAGCTTCGGATCAGATAGTCTTCCATATTGCTGTAACTCATTTCATCATGTTTTTTTTTTCAAGGTAAACCAAAAGTAGGATGACAACTTACACTTCTCAGGTCGTCGAGGGTATGCAGCTCAGGGCTCAATCCACCGTGGATACACAGGAACTGCTTGTTCATAACGGCAGCCAGGGGAAGGCAGCAGAACGACTCCATACAGGCTTCGTAGACGGCTTCTGAGTACTTGTGCTTACACTCTAACTTAAAGGTGAAGTAGTCGGTCAAATGACGGCACTCGTGATTGCCTCGCAGAAGCCACAATGTGTTGGGGTAGTGAATCTTGAGGGACCAAAGGTAAAGGACACACTCGATGGAGAAATAGCCACGATCGACGTAATCGCCAAGGAAGAGATACCGTGTCTCGGCAGGGTCACCTCCAACCTCGAACAGCTTCATCAGATCGTAGTACTGGCCGTGGACATCACCGCAAACGGTGATGGGCGCATCCATCTCAAGGAGGTTGGGCTCTGCTCGCAGAAGTTCCGTACCCTTCTTGATAATCCATATCGCCTGCTCCTCGGTGAGTCTGCCCTCGCGGTAGAAGTGCTGCTTGAGAAAGTTGATGTCGGGCTTTTCCTTGGTATCATCTTCAAAAAATTGCTCATCGGTAGGCTTGAACATGGCCGGCGCCTGGACATCTGTAAACAGGGCGGTGCCATAAGAGTCAGCGGCGTCGTGGTCGAGGAGTTGTGGGATTTTGATGTCGGAAAACAGCCTCCCCTATCGACAAACAATGGCGGGGTAGTTGAAAGCGCTGAACTCGACAAAGCACGGGGGAGCAACCAGACGTACCTTTGCATACTCGCTCGAGCGTGCTGACCTGAGTGCCGTCCTCCATCATGTGGATGGTGAAGTCGATCTCGGGCAGAGGCTTCTTCTCCTGAATCGCGCGAATGGCATTGTCGACCTGGGCGGTTCGTCGAGGGATCTGCTCAGCAACGTGGGCGTCGCCTTCGGTATCCATGGTGGCGACTGGCGGGTTGGGGTGCTGGATAAAAGACTACAAGCAAAAAAAATATAAAGAAAAGAACAACTCTCTGAATGGCGAGAACTTTTGGGGGAGCGAGTCAGAGGAGCTGCGGCTGGAGGCTCTACTCGGCGCCGAGGGTCCAAGAGTTGGCAGAACGCCAGGAGCCGAACGACGAGGCGGGTAGCGGTGAAGGGGGGGAAGCAGCAGGCCGGCAGCTGCTAGCAGTTCAAGAAAATGCTGTGGGCGAGTCGAATCAGGGTCCGTGGCAGCGACGTTTTGGCGGAAATCCCAAATAAAAATGTGCTGGAGGGCCAAAACCGTGTGTTGGCGAGGCAAAGGCGAGATAGGCCGACAGGAGAGAAGTTGGCGGTGCCCGCGCGGGAGCTGGCCACGGGGGGTTGGACTGGAGCTAGCACGACTACCTATTGCATACCGCTCCAGGACTATCACTTAGGGGACTGCCACAAGGACCTACTAATCTAACTCGAGGCTGGTACCTCATGCCTTAGCAGCGCCTTAGCCTCGCCCGCCGCAAAAATGGCTGCAGCTCGTTGGCTTGAAGCATAGCGGGAGATGTCCCGACGGCCTCCAGGCCCGATCACGGTTTTGGCCCGCACGCACATGCGGCTGACGGAATTCGTTATTTTTGGCATCCATGTATACCTTATAATTTTAATTTCTGGAGTCACTACCCCATCTTAGTTGCGTAATTACACTCTTGAAATGCCTATGCGGCATCTCGACATCTCATATTGACATACCTATTAATAGGTAGATAAGCACTCGAGACTCCAAATCTTCCTTGCACCACAGACTGCCCGAGAAAGGGGCCGGGGATGTGCAACTTCATTGACATCACTTCCATCCCTAATACGAGCGACGGTATTAGCACGCTACAGGAGGCACCCCGTACTAATAGTCCTAGGCCAGTACTAAAGGCCTCCGGTGTGTACCAACACCGATCTGCTTCGCAACTCCATGCTTCGCACCAATCTCTTCCAAGCAGGCTCGGCTGATTTGAAATGTCTTCTGCAGCCCCGTGGTGTAGCACCGAGGCCACCCCCAAAATCTACCCCCCAAATCTGCTCCCTTCAGGCTTCATCTTCAGGCTGGCCTTGCCCCTCTTTCTAGTACGGGTTCCCGCTGCAGCCCCGCTCCAATTCCGCCGCCACCAGACCCTGAAGAATGGAAGCTTGCCTTCTGGTGCTGCTGTGCCTTTGCTGCTTAGGTAACCTTGAGCTCATATAGTCGTAGCCTGCACAATTGGTTGATGTCATCTGCGCAAGCAAACTTGGATTGGCAGAAAACCATTTTATTAACCCGCATCTTGTATCGACCTAGGTAATAACCATCTCGCCGTAGTGATCTACTAGTAGTTTATACTGAGACGCCAATCTTTCGCAGCAATTCTATTTTCTATTGCAAACCATGCCCATTAGTTCCCATTCTTTTTTGAATTTTCCCTTAACCATTGTATTCTATTCCCATCCATGTATATCGTCCATTATGGTAGGCTGTAGCCGCCGTCGACAATCATATCAAGGCCGGTTGTATAGGAGCTTGCATCACTCGCCAGGTACAGGTATGCGCCCTTTAGCTCTCCGGCGTGACCCTCGCGGCTATACGAATATTAGCGTCCTAGCCATGCTTTATAGCTACAGCAGCAAGATCAAACTTACCCCATGACAGTCTTGTCCTTCCACGCCTTCTTTGTCTCCGGAGGCGCAAAGGAAGAGATCTCGGTAAGGATATATCCAGGGGATACGGTGTTGGCTCGAGCAAATCCAACCCACTCGACGGCCAAACTCTTGCCTATTCAGTTCTGGTTAGCTTCTGTGCAGCGTTGAAGCCGTCATACCGAGAGCGCGTGGTTGACGGATATCATGGACCCTGGTGACATACAAAAGTGGATCACGGCCGCCTTGGAGCTGTTGTAGACAGCCTGCAGCTGCGGGATGTTGACGATGCTGCCGCTCATTGAGGCCGTCGCAATGAAGCTTCCAGTAGTGTAATTCTCGAGAGGCTTGCCGTCAATTGTCGTGCCCTGCTCTTTCTGGCGGCGGAAATGAGCGCCGGCGCTCTTTGCACACCACATAACGCCGTCCACGTTGACGGACATGACATCGCGGGCCATGTCGGCAGGGCCGTCAATGAAGGCGCCCTTGGTCCAGGGGATGCCCGAGTTGGCGACGAAGACGTCGAGGCGGCCATCGAATTCCTTGACAATCTCCGCGACGGCTTTGTCGACGGCCTCGGCCGAGGTAACGTTTACCTGGTACGCCTTGCCTTTTGTTTTTCAAACCACGTTTTAGCAATCAGAACAGCGCAGCGCACCTCAAGCATCTACTACGGCATTATGGACAGGGAAACGATGGGAAATACGCACACTTGACGCCGTACGTCTTGGCAATGGTTGCAGCCGACTCCTCGGCCTGCTTATTGCTGTTATACCAGATGGCAACGTTGGCGCCGGCCTCTGCAAGAGCCTCTGCAACGGCAAGGCCAATGCCAGCACCGGCGCCTGAGACAATTGCGGTTCTTCCCTTGAGCGAAAAGAGGGGCAGCACTCGGTCGACGTTGGGGACGGGGGAGTTGTCGTGCTTGAAAGCGCCGTTGGTCATTTCCGCCATTTTGAATGTGTTTCTTGTAATCAAGAAAGCTGTAGTGTCTCGGTTGACTTCAGAATGCGATATTCTTGCAGAAGAAGCGAAGGGAAGAAGTAAAACAAGGAGGGTATCAAGACTGCAAAGTACTATAACCTGGAAACACAGTGACGCTATCGCGAAAGACTGCGACTGCGGGGAGAATGGAAAGCCACGCCCTCTTTATAACCCTCCAACCTCGTCTGCATCCTTCTCTGGCCTTCATAGCCGCCGCTACCCTCCGCAGATACTCCGTCTCTGACGGCGGGACCCTCCATGCGACATTTACCGCATCTATTTGGCCGCGTTGACACGCGCTCCAATGTCGAGTCGTTATTTTTGGGGTTCTTTTTTCTCTAATATGGCTTGTCTCTTAGCCCATGTGGAGCTGGGCGGGATTCGTTGCTGACCCCACGTTCACACTGCTTTATTTGCTCCATACCTACGGAGCAGGCCTATCTACTTCGTACATACCGGCTCGATGCTACGGTGGCATTGGCACACGTGCTACTATCTACTAGCTATACCGGCAATATTGAATCTAACATTATCCAGAAGCAGTCTATCTCTAGCTGCCACAAGCCTCGCCTCTCGTCTGGTGCCTGAATTCCGATATCTCCAAACTTTGCAATGGCAATTGCCGTCGGTTATCAATGGTCCCCGCCGAACAACGACGTCTTGGGATACTCCGCCAGCAGTCAAAGCCCCGTAGCGGATCCATCTCTGTTTGCGAAGCCGGACTATGGCTTAGTCGGGAGGTTGCGCCTGAAGATCCCCACGTCATAGTGGTGGGGGGAATTCTGTAAGGTCGTGTGTATTCAGGTTATTGTTTACTTTTGCTTGTGATATGAAGGGGGCGGTAAGATAAGCGCTTCAGCTGAGTGAGGCTATTTTGCTGAGATGGAATCCCATTGTATAAGCGCTCTCTCATGGACGGCATCTGAACCGGAATCACGATCGGAATCAACATGGCGTGCAATCCATTCCGCAGAGCCACCTCGCTTTTACGGTTATATCTTCGTTGATTTAATGGAATATGGTCGATATACTTTTGATTCTATCTATCTTCATACACGACTGGAGAGCCTATCTACACGGATACATCTGCCCCTTTCTATCGAATCCTCATCGTATCTGCATATTCGACGCAATGACATCTTCTCGCGGGAAGTTAATCATTTTCCAGCGAGAGATAAAGTCATCACGGCTGACTAGTTTCCAGCATGTTAGCTTTTCCTAACCCTACAGCCGTTGGAAGACAGCTGAACATGAAGCGGTAAATTGCTCGACTTACTATAAGCACCGCAGATGCGCCGCAGCCCCTCAAAGGCGCTTCTCCCATGAAGCACTCGCCAGTTGTCAAAGACTGTTGGGAAGAGTTTAGCATCCATACGGAATTCAATTCTGTTAATTTCGGCGCACTTACTAAGTACTCGCCCGGGCTCAAGCTGGAACCAGTATTCGCTTTCTTTACTCCTTAGGATCTCATCCCATTTTCGTGCCGCTCGATACCACGCATCGACATCGACATCGGGGGGGACAACGCCTCGGTCGTCATTGTTCCACCTGATCCTGTGCAAGTTGCCGCCGTTGGTTTCAATCACGGGATATGCCATGTCTGGCGCAATTGCAACGCCCTGGTTGCCGCTAGCGTGCCATGGGAGCTTGATTTTGCGCAATGTTTCAAAATCTTCTGGCGATTCCTTTTTAAGAGTCTCGGCAGCATGAAATCCATCCACGAGCAGCGATTGCCCGCCTAGTACATCATCGGCGGGTTTATTCGTAGGTGGTGTATGAGACAGGAGATGGAATGCCTGTAGACCAGCAGGTTCCGTAAAATATGTTGTATCTGTATGCGCTGGGAGAGCCAAGTTGGTGTAGGCCGTATCAGCGAGGGCCAGATCTGGGACGAAGTCGTAGAAGCCGCCATAGTGCGTGTTTCGTATAGGTCCGATAGTTTCCAGGAGCTTCTCTGTCGCCTCCGGAGTTTTTGGCGAGTCGGTAACAAAGCATAGCCCATATTGACGCTGTTAATGGTCAGCTTTCGATCAACTAGGTATGCAAATGTAGTCGGTACGTGCAATCTTGCTAGTTAAGTCGGCCATTCCCTTCGGACTAGTACCGCTCATAACATCGTCAAAACGGACTTCTGGAGGAGCTAAAGCTATCGTGGCGCCCCATAGCTTTCTTTTGCTGCATACAATGTCAGTTTACCCACGATCAAAGCTAATAGGTACATTATCCTACCCACCCTTGATTTACGAGTTTCTCATTGCCGATGTCGCGAAGAGTAAGACTCAGCCAAGACCAAGGGTAGTGACTCTTGTGGGAATCCGACCCTAATAGTAATCAGCAAGTCCACCTCTCATAGAACAAGAGTGTGGTGGTTTGGGTCTCAAGTACATAAAACGTCGACGCCATCATTTTTCGGCGAGATCTCTTTGGGCGAAATGTCTTCCGGTATCTGCAAAGCATGGCCAAATTAGCTCCTATTCGTCAACATCCTAAAAAAGCGTTGAAGGGCCAATGGCTACCGAGAATGTATCAAAGTTGCGCTGCAGGGTATCTTGATTTACGCATTGCGCGCAGCGGCAGTTGTCGCTGCACAAAGAGATTCGCCAGTCAGTGTTACATTTCATGCTTGATGCTGTCATATGCAGCATGTGAGCGCACACACCGGAGCCATAATTTAGATCTTGCAGTGTAAATTAGCGATCTACTTCACACATCGCTACTAAGTAGAGAGAAAGCGATAGCTACTTACAATTCTGCCTTAAAAGGAGATCCAGACTCGCTGCTCTTGAAAACCAGCCCCTTTGAGCCTGTTTCGAGAGTTGTTGCGTAGAATCGTCGACTTTGGAGAGCAGCCGAGGCATGCCGAGAAATGAGACCACTCCGACCACTGAGACGCCGGCCGGGGCTGCAAGTAGAGCAAGAGATTGAGCAACCCAGAGTTCATACATGAAGATAAGGAATTCTTGTTACGTACCCAACAGTAATACGGCTTTTCAATAAGAAATGCATGGCTCGAGTAGGAACACAAGGATATGACAAGAACTAGACCTCGATTCCACTGAACTGGCGGAAGAAGTTGCCTTTTGGATGGGCATATGGAGCAATCAGACGATAGCACGGGCTAGCAGAGCTACCGGGGCGAGCTGCTATTAGGTAATACATCTGCTAACTCTAAGAGTCTGGGGTAGAATTACATCTGCATATCCTGCCCAAGGTAAGGTACCTAGTTTCGTCTTTGATATGAATTAATATCTTTACGCATCCAAATGACAGTGTCGTTACCGGTTGAATTTGGAACAATCTTTGATTCGCTGCCAGTGTTTGATCTATTTCATAGAAACAGACGTCGGTAGAGGGTTGAAAGTTAGGTCAATCAACTCCCGTATTTTTAAGCTACTCGTGAACCACCTCCTGGTAATTATGAACATTTCATGTAATCGTCCAGTCTATTTATCTACGTGTATTTATCTAGGTATATTTATATAGGTATACCTAGCCATTATAGGCATGCTCTTTGTTTAAGAGGGTTCCTGCATCTTTACATTGCATGCATGCCCTGTATTTAGCCACGTGAAACAAGCGCTGATTTGGTATAGGCTACGTATTAGCAGCTAGCCACTGAAGATAATCCGGCTCCCGGGGTCTATTCTTAGCTGGTGAGTCCACACTTAGTACAGGCATGCAATATTTCGTAGCTTCATCAAAAATACTTGTACGAAATACAATAATCCATATCACGTCACCCTTCCTGTGATAAACTTTTCCTCCAGTTTGCGATACCTTACCACTGCTGCGCGGCTTCACGCTCTTTCAGCGAGACGTTTCCGATCCGCCTGCATCGAGTACTCGAAGAATCTACCGTCACCATCACAACACTTTGCGCAGCGCCTAGCTGGCCATGGAAGCATCGTCATCCAAGAGCCGCAGCACGACAGCTTAAATTTTGCGGGAATACAGGCGCGTGGGTCCCGGGAGAAGACAAAGTTTGGCAGTATGAATTCGCGACAGGACGGGTACGATACCTTTTATGACGACCAGGTCGCAGCCCGTCGACAGTTTTACGCGCGAGAACACGCCGTTAATCGCACCAACGACGTTGCCGTTCTTCTTACTGTCGTCGCCCTTCTGGTGACCTTTCTGTTCAAATATATTAGCCCCGACGGATCGCTCGAGGGGGCTTTCTCGCTGATCGGCAATTTCCTATGGGACGCGCTCGTATCTATACTCCCTGCGCCGCTACTTTTCGCAATCGACAGCTGGATGGATCCCACTACAACCTCACCGATGCGCGATGCTTCGAAACAAAGCAACCATGCCGCGAAAAGTGAAGCCTTGCGGAGGGTGATGGGGTTGGATCGCCAGGACGGCGTTATGAACTCGGTGCTTCGCGCCAGAACAAGAGCCCTCTCTATGACGGGCAGTGTCTTGGGGCTGAAAATCGACTCAGATCGGCCGGCAGGATTGGGAAACAGGGATAACTCTTGCTATCAAAATAGCGTTCTCCAGGGACTGGCTTCGCTGCACTCGATGCCAGACTACCTCTCGGCGTGTCTCAAGGGCGCTGAAGAGGTTGGCGACGGCATGGAGAAGAACGTTGCGCACACGCTGCGGTCACTTATTGCAGATCTAAACGACGTGTCGAATAATGGGAAGACATTGTGGACACCCTCCTTGCTGAAATCGATGAACACATGGACTCAGCAAGACGCACAAGAGTACTATTCAAAAGTTTTGGACGATATCGAAAAAGGAGCGGCGTTGGCCGCCAAGAATCTGGCTTCTACTACACCACTCATGGGATTGGAGGGCGGCGATTACAACAGCAGAGATGAATGTTCTCCAAGCGAGCATAGTGACGATAGCGGCTATCAGAGCCAATCGTCAAGCTCCAGAGGGGACTCTAAAAGGGCTGTGCGAAATCCCTTGGAAGGACTTTTGGCGCAGCGGGTTGCCTGCGTCCAATGCGGCCATTCGGATGGGCTGTCTATGATTCCATTCAACTGCCTGACTCTCAGCCTTGGGCTTGACAAGAATCATCATGATCTCTATGATCGACTGGACTCGTACAGCAAGGTTGAGGAGATCGAGGGGGTAGAGTGCCCAAAATGTACCCTGCTAAAGGCGCAAAGGCTTCTTACTAAGCTGGTAGAGAGGCTGGAGTCGGGTGGCTCAAAGAAAGAACAACTGGCTGAACCTCTGCGTAGGTTGGAGGCTGTCCAGACAGCTTTGGATGAAGATGAATTTGACGAAGAGACGATCAAAGATCGCTGCAAAATTACTGCTCAAAGCAGAGTCAATGTGACAAAGACGAAGCAGATGGTGATCGCGCGACCACCTCAAAGCCTGGCTATCCATGTGAATCGATCTGTCTTTGACCCATCCACTTTTAACATGATTAAAAACTCGGCACCTGTAAACTTCCCCATGACATTGGATCTGGGTCCATGGTGCTTGGGAAGTGCTGGCAAAGCGAAATCTACAAGCGAGAAGGGTGCTGGGGATGACCAAGACAGCGAGGAAGAGTGGCAGCTACATCCCATGTCCTCCATGGTCGCGGGAGATTTGGGAGAGTCAAGGTTGACGGGCCCTATATACGAGCTGAGAGCGGCTGTGACGCACCATGGGCGGCATGAGAATGGGCATTACATCTGTTATCGCAAATACCCGCCTTCCAAGCCAGATGACTTTAACGAAGTGGACGAGAAACACGCAGTTCCACCTAAAGAGACGACGGATAGCATCGTTGATGACGATCCAACGGACCCAAACTCAGAGGAAGAAGCCAAGGGCAGCAGCCATAGCGACAGAGATTCGTCTTGGTGGAGGCTGAGTGATCAGAATGTGTCACAAGTCAACGAAGAGACGGTTATGAGCCTATCGCCAGGGGTATTTATGCTCTTTTACGAATGCGTCGACCCGTCTATGATTCTACAATCCGAGCTAAAAAACCAGGTCATGGAATTGACCAATATCAAAGCAGAAGTCGTCATGACGAAGCAGGATGAAAGTGAAGTAGACGATGCAACCACTCTGACTCCGGCAACGACTGTAGCTTCAGATATGACTAAAGACGAAATAGGGCTGCTAAGGACAGACGCTATAGAAGCTGAGTTGAAAGCAGCCTCTGAGGACATTTTGACCAAGAGAATTTCATCAATACAAGTCTGAGGTCGTCGCGGTTCACTCGGCATTTGGCCGTTCATAGCTGGGATGATTTGAACCAAGCGTCTATTCCCCTCTTTTTTTTTCTCTTTCTATTCTGCCCCCATTCTTTACCTACATCATATCATTATATTGCATAGCGACGGCGTTGGTGTCGGTTTTCGAACAACAGAGTCCGCGAGTTTTGGATTCTAGACTCAATGGTTGATTGGGCGAGCGCGTGCTGATGGGACAATGGACGGTACGCTGCCACGATTTGGAATATCAATCATGCGGGCCTTTTTGTACTGGTTATGCCTGAGTAAAGTAAATAGAATAACTCGGCGCTTCTATAGCACAGTCTTTCTCTGTACACCATGAGCGATGAGACATTGAAAATATTCTCGGTCCAGAAGAGAAGAGCAATCTAGCTTGCAGATGCCCGTGTAACCCATGCCCGCGACACGCCATGTTCTCCGTCAGCTGTAACTGATGCGCCGCCGAGAGGTCGGGTTTGCCGGGAGGGGACTGCACAGCCACGGGGACTAATATAGTAATGCGAAGAGTTGCGCCGACAATGTCCCAGGACGATCGCTGTGCCGACGGTGGAAAATTCTACAGCGATCCAACTGCACGAAGCGTGGACGGCATATCGTGGATGAGATTTGTTGCCGCAAGTTGTGCAGCGTTGCTAGGCCCGATGCTGCACCTGTGGTGTAGAAGGCTTGGTCTGGGTCTATCTGCATGCAGGGCTGCGCTGGCTGCTGCAAGAATATAATAACCAAAGCTGGAAAAGTCCAGGGCCAGAGGTGAGGGACAAAAAAGAGAAAACAAGCACTACGCTAGACAGGGGCGCCCTGAATCTCGGCCCAATCGGCGTCCTGCGCAGAACCATGGCGCGCCTACCCGCTTAGATTTAGCGGCTTCAGCAGCTCGCTAGCGAGGTCATGCTACCTGTAAGCCCGCGGCTGGCAGAAAGCTTGGCGGTCGAGCAAAGCACAAGAGCGCGAACAGAATAGGGAATTCAGGCGTGGGCAAAGTGCACCATCCCACCAGTTAGTAGCGCCCACTCGCTGGTGCATGACTAGGGGCCGGAAGGGCTCTGTTATAGGTTGCAAGCAATTGTTGCAAGGGGGTGGACAGACCCCCCCTTTTTTTGGTTTCTTATGTTGCAGGATCAGGTACGAACGAGCATGCTAGCAGTGGGGGAAGCGCTGAGACAACGTGAAAAGAATGCGTTGTGGAAGAAAGGCCATGTTCTCAGGCGGTGATTACTGCAGTGGGCATCTGTTTTAAGGTCTAAAAGCGGCTAGATAAAACAAAGTGGGATGTGGGATGGACGTGGGCGGAGAGATCGGCCGGTGATTATTTTCTGCCTTGTTTATTTTGTTCGACGGATCAGCTACCCGAACATTACGTGGCGAACGCGACGATGCCATCAGCAATGGAGACCAACGTCACGAAGAAACGGTGAATCATGGCTTTTCAAGATGAAGCATGTTGGCAGTTGGGTCTCGAGCCTTAATAACTAGATACGAGGTGGGGGGAGGAGCAGAGATTCGTTGCAGGCTGCTGAGCTCTGTCTGTGTGGATATGCTGAGAGGAACAGGCCCGCTAGAGCAAGTCTAGGCGTGGTAGAGGTACTAGGTCAATAGGTATCTACGAAACACTTCGTACTTTGCATTGTTTCGAAAACCGGCGCCATGGCTTCGTTTATCAATGGCAACGGTGATTTATCCAGCATCATCAGCAGAGGCGGATGAATGCGCCGGCAGAATGTAACGAGAGACTGCTATATTCTTCCAGCGTCGGATTTGCTCGGCGAGTGTATAGCCAGAAGAGCCTCCGCTGCCTCTCCAGCTATGGTACAGCTACCGAAGCATGAGGTGTGTAGCAGCGGCAGGTACAGTACTAGTAGAGCGCGGCAAACCTCCGTACCCGTGCTAAGCGATTTAGGCGTGATAGTACCTCGTATCAAGTACACGGCTCGTAGCGTGTACCTCGCCGCAGAAACAAAGCCGCAGCGACACGCTCCCGCCTGCCAAACGCATTCCGCGGGCGTTTTACGTTTTAGGGGCGCCTTGATGAGACTCGGCCGGACCTTTGGAAAGCTCCTTCCCATGCCAACCAGATGCAGCCAAAGGCAGGAAGGCGCGAGAGCTGCAGTGCTTGCCCGTGGCTTTAACTCTGACCATCTAGACCGATCAGGATTGGTCAGGCCCTGCGCCCGGCCGCGAGTTCATCCTTTTGCCTTTAAAGCCCAAATTCTCTTTTCTTCTTCCTTTCCCTCTCCTCCAATACCCGCCGCGCTGCTTTCCTCATCCCTGCCGCCTTTGCGTATTCGCTGGGCCCGGATTCCTCTCCCTTTTTCTTTCTGTTCTTGTCACGCCGGCTGAGGGGAAGCAGTTCATCTTTCGGCATTTGTTCTTTATTCTGCTTTTATTTGCTTCTCATTGTGTGTGCTGAGCTTTGCGAATTTTGCTTTTTGCCCCTTGTCTTCGAGTCCGACCTGCATCTTGATTTCGACGTCGCTTCTACTTTTTTTTTTGGGCCCAAGCCGTGTCTTGGCATCGGTGATCCTGTCGATCCGCCAGCCTCGGCAGCATAATACGAAAACAGAAGAGGAATAAAGTGAAGGGGAAAAAAACATCACAGCCGATATTTTGGGAATTCGAAACGAATTGCTCCAGCGCTACATAGGGATTTCAATTGGATAGGTCAATGAGCTTTCGTGCGGATCCTTACGACTTAATTAATCGCTCGGATTTATACCACACTGCCGATTACTTTCAGTGGCGGCGCATCCTAGTGCTGCGGGAGAAGCAGTCGGCCGACGTCGAGACGAGCCATTTTACCATTTTCTTTACGGAATTAATACTTTTCTTGATCGAGCCGAACACAACAACGGTGCTCAGTTCTCAATCGCCTCTGCAAACGCTGCAGTGTTTTTAATTTCGCCTTTAGCAAGGCTAGCTATGACGGTCTCAAGTTCCAACGGCGGCTTGATTCCCATGATGGAGATGATACCCTCTGTCAAGCTAAATATCCCCATTTGGGCGCATGTAATGTAAGAAAACATGCCCTGGCTTGAATCATGTGTGCAAGCGGGCAGACATGGAGGGGAAGGGTTCCAATGAATGAGAGGGCTGACGAGTTGAACCACATAGAAATTGGATGTTCTTTTCGAATGTTACCATCATCTTCAATAAGTGGCTGATAGACACTGCTGGGTTCAGTAAGTATCCAATCTTTCTAGCAAATCTGGCAAACGAGAGTCGGAGTCGCTAACAGGCAATTATAGAATACCGTAAGTTCGGGGAAACAGAAGCAAAAAGGTATAATACGACTATTGTATGCTAATAACTCTTTGGATCAGCCATCATCCTCACCTGCTGGCATCTCGTCTACGCCACCGTCGCAACTCAGATACTCGCTCGCACAACCACACTTCTCGACTCCCGCCGCAAATTTCCTGTTACGGGCCGCCTCTACCTGCGTACCATTCTTCCCATTGGCCTGCTCTACTCCGGCTCTCTCATCTGCTCCAATGTCGTGTATCTATATCTCTCCGTCTCCTTCATTCAGATGCTCAAGGCCGCCTCGCCAGTTGCTGTGTTATTCGCCTCCTGGTCCTGGGGTGTTGCCGAACCGAACTTGGCTAAATTTCTCAACGTCCTGGTTATTGTTTTTGGTGTTGCTGTCTCGAGTTTTGGAGAGATCCAATTTTCTTGGACGGGATTCTTTTTCCAGATTGGAGGAACCACGTTCGAAGCTGTTCGAGTCGTTATGATCCAGGTCATGCTTAGTGGCGAAGGACTCAACATGGACCCTCTCGTCAGCCTCTACTACTACGCGCCTGTCTGCGCCGTCATGAATTTTCTTATCGCGCTTGTTGGCGAAATTCCGAGGTTTAAACTAGAGGACGCCGCCCACGCTGGCTATGGAATGCTCTTCCTCAATGCCTCAATTGCTTTTATCCTGAACGTTGCCAGCGTATTCTTGGTATGCTCATCCCATTTGATCTACATTTCAAACCTCCGTCTGTATCTGCCACTCCTCAAACGCTAACACACACCCTTTCATAGATCGGCAAAACGTCAGGTCTAGTCATGACTCTTACAGGCATCTTCAAAAGCATTCTGCTTGTTGTTGTCTCTGTACTGATCTGGTCAACCCCGATTACGTTCCTCCAAGCTGTGGGATATACCATCGCTCTTGCAGGACTTTCTTATTATTCCCTTGGATACGACCAGCTCGCAAGTCTCGGCGCATCAGCAGTTAGCTGGACAAGCGATTTTTTTTCAACCAGTGGAGGAGCAGGCCACGCAATGCGGTCAAAACGAATAATAGTAGTCGGCCTATCTTCATTGGTGGCTATGATTGTGGTCCTTGAGTTGACTATGAGTGAACGGGGGAGAAGGTTATTGGGAGGGTCTTCGTGGCACGAGGGCCATCGTTTCCGTCCAGATTACGGGCATCAGGCGAACCATGGGACCCACTAACTACAATCTATAAAAATGAAACGAAAGACGAATGATTCTAGTAATATGTTATGCCATGTTTGATATAAGACAGCATAATAGGCGCTGTCGAGCTTTATGAAGAAAATTATTATACCCCTTTCAATACAATCTGAATTTATCTCAATCAACCAGTCGCGATAATCAACAAAGTGTTTATTCATGCTTTCCCTCATCAGTCCCTAATTGCTCTAGGCTAAGCTTAAATGAAAACCCCCATTTTGTCCATGACCTTTTTTATATCCATTATCCAGGGTATCGTCTTCTCGCTTGATGATCAGAAGCCAATCAAATATCATGAATATCCGTCCCTTTTTCCTCAATCTGTAACAAATACTGCTAGATATAAATCGTATATATATAACGCAAATCCTGAATCCGGAAAAAACACATGAAAGTAAAGAGATTCCTACACGCTAGCAATTAATCTCTTAAACTTTTCCACAATGAACTTTTTCATCGACTCCGACTCCGACGGCGGCTTCGGCTGCGATGTCTCTCTCGGCGAGGCGATTGGCTTCGATCTCGTCTGTTGCGCCTGTCGCGGTCGCGCTCACGATCATGATCTCGGTCTCGGTCTCTGTCTCTGTCTCTGTCTCTATCTCGGTCTCGGTCTCGATCTCGGTCTCTCTCCCGGCTGCGGACCCGGTCACGGTCTCTTCGATCACGGTCTCTGTCTCGGTCACGATCTCTATCGCGGTCTCGTCGGTCCCGGTCCCGGTCCCGGTCCCTATCTCGATCTCTATTGTCTCGCTCGCGATACCGGGCCCTGTCCCGACTGTTGCTGCGCGACCTGCTCCTAAGTCTCTCGTCCCGGCCTCCAGGGGCATATCTGTCAACTGCTTGTCCATCACCCTTGTGTCGTGTCGCAAGTGTTTTCTCACCACTGTTCTTGTCATCAACGCCGGGGATCGGCAAGCCTTTCTCTCTGGCGTCCTTCTGAGCCGCCAGGTAAGCCTTGGCTTCTTTCTCCCGCTTTTTGACTTCTTCAAGTTTCCACTCTTCTAGCTCATCCTTGGTGGCCGCGTGTGGCACAGTCGATGAACCGGGGCGAGATCGCGATCGGCTCCGTCGATCTCGCGTACGATCTCTTTCTCGGTCTCGGTCCCGGTCCCGGTCCTTGTGATCCTTTTCTCGATCCCAATCTTTGTCTCTATCGCCAGATCGATCACGGCTGCGGCGACGGGGTGACCGAGCGTCCGACCTAGTAGGATAGTAAGAATCTGCAACACCACGACGACTATCTCTTGACCGGCTGCGATGTCGTCGAGCAGCGCGTGAACGGCTTCTCTCTCGTCGATCTGTTCGTAAATGCGAGCGTGAGCGGTCTCGACGGTCTCGGCTACGATCCCTACTACGGTCCCGGCGGTCGGATTTGACTCGTGAACGACTTCTCTCTCGCCTAGTAGATCGAGCCCGTGACCGACTTGGGACTCGCCGTCGTGAGTTGCTTCTAGCAGAGCGGTCACGTTTAGGCCTTGAGCGGCTACGTTCGCGTCTGTCATCCCTTCGGTGGCGAGATCGGCTTCTGTCCCTCCTCAGCTTTGAGCGGCTCCTATCCCGCCTATCTCTAATTCTGGAACGACTGCGGTCTCGCCTTGGCGAGTCAGACCGATGATCACGGCGACGTCGATCGTCAGTGTCTCTTTGACGGCTCCGATCTCTCTCTTTATCTCTATCATGATCCGCGTCATGAGCTCGAGACGGACTTCTACTAGAACGACGCTCCTCTCTCAATCCGGATGGTTTCGCGTCCATGGACGACCTCGAGTCTCTTCTATCAATGGGTTTTCTAGACTCGGCAGTTTTAGAAGAGTCCCTTCGAATTGGGTTGATGGCCGAGGCTGGGCCAGTCTTCCTAGGAGGAGGGGCCAAGGTGGAATCGATGTCCATTTCGAGCTTTGTGCGAGTCGACTTGCTGCTTTCACGCAAAAGGTCGGCCAAAGCTTCCTGTTCCAGCCGCTCATGGTCCTCTTTGGACATCTTTTCCTTCAATTCCTCAGGCAGAACCGCGTTCTCTTTACGTGAATTTCCGCCTTCGCGGTCGCGGTCGCGGTCGCGCTCACGATCATGATCTCGGTCTCGGTCTCGGTCGCGGCCTCTGTCTCTGTCCCTGTCCCTGTCCCTGTCCCTGTCTCGATCTCTGTCCCGGTCTCTGTCCCGATCTCTCTCTCGATCAGCGTCCCTATCATCCCTTTCTCGCTTCTCTCGCTCCTTGTGTCTTTGTTCTCGCTCCAAGTCGCGCAGTCGCTCTCTCTCTTCACGATCCTTCTCTCGTTTCCTCCGTCGCTCGTCTCGTTCTTCCTGGCGTTTGATTTCAGCCTTTTCACGCTCTTTTTCTTCCCGACGGCGTTCTTCCTTGGCGATACGCCTCTTTTCCTCTTCAATGGCTGCTTCCTTCTGCCTCAGCTCTTCCCGCACCCTTTCCCGCTCGGCCTGCTTGGCAGCTGTGTCGGCAGCATAATCTTCATCGGTTTTTGCTCCACGTTTCTGCTCCTCACTGGCCTCTTGCTCGCCAATCTCTGCTCGCCTAATTTCTCGAATGCTCTGCTCGATTGCCTCGACGTCGATCAGCTTCCCAATGACTTCTTCAGCCTTGTGATACACGCCTGATCTTTCCAACGCGCCGTCAATCAGTGCTGCAGCCTTTCTCCGGTCTAATGTCAGGAGTTGATGCGGATTGCGCTCAACTTCTTGTTCTGCAACCTCTAGAATTGCCTTTGTAACTTGAGCCTCGTAGTCCTGAAAGAGAAAGCATTAGTGATGGTTGGGAAAAGAAAATTTTGATGCCTGTAATTTTGCGTACGCTGGCTTCGAACTTGTCCCAAACTTGTTTCCTTATTGAATCGTAGGCGCCTTCTTTTTTGAAGCTATGCGCCAGGGATTCAATTGCTGCTCGCGTCGCAGATGGCAGCGGCAACTCGGATGCCTTGAATTTCCGTGGTGATGGGCCAGAGCTCGGCTCGCTGGCCATGTTTGACTGTTCTGCAGACGTTGTCATGGCTCTGAATTTGTCTGTGTAGAGCCGCAGGCTGGCGTCGAGCGTGTCGGGGGTGCGCGCGCCTCGCCTGAAGATGGCAAAAATCGATTGTTCCCGTCAAGGCATGCCGCTAGGTCAAATCTTCTTACGGCGCCAAACACAGCCTCACAGACGAGCTGTAAAATAAAACTTTGCTTGGTATACTGCTATGTTTCCATTATCTGGAGGGAGATGCAATGTTGAAGGGTTGAAGTGGCAGCATCATCAGGTGAACGCCTGCTCACGTGACTGATATCGTTCGTTTGATTCAGAGCCTGAGTACTTATCATGGTATTTATCTACCATTTATATAGCAAAATTGGTATCAAAAACGATGGGGTTTCTACTACATTTTACTGTTTTTGTATCTATCTACGATACTCGTAGCAATTCACCCAATTCAACTAAATTATACGAGCCTGGAGTGATCTTTTCTCTCATCTTCACCTATACTACTGCAGTCTCAGCTCTGCTATTTGCTTGTAAGTGTAATTGTATTTGTATTTGCACTCATTCTACGCTATATCAGCAATACAGAGCAAAATCCTAAAATAGACAACATATACTACCAAATGCTCTGCTTTCTAGTAAAAGAACGGATAGTTTTCAAGGCTATTCGTGCATGCGTATGAATGAAGGTATGGTCATGATGTCGTCGTCCCAGCATAAAATTCGTTTGAAGCGGAGAGTTTCCTTTTGTTCTGTCGCCCTTGGAAGATGTGTATCGATATCTTTCCCTTCGTCCTTTCCCTTTTCTTCCCGACTTCCAATTCTCAATGGTATACACAGTCCGTTTCGACCTATATAGTGTTTCATTTTCATTTCGTCTAGAATTCACCATCGCCCCCGTGTCCAACCATGTTGGCTCCCCAAAGGCCAACCAGTCCCCACCAGCCGATTCGCCATCCTCTCCAGAGACCTTCCATACCTTGACCCTTCTTGTATGTCGGCTGGAGGTTCTTGGTCTTGAGTTTGCCTCGCTTGCTTACTACGGGTTTGGGTGGGATCTCCCGATTGCCCTCTTCCGTGACGATGTGGTACATTGTACCGAAAACGCCGTAGTATTTTCCAATGGGCACAATGGTCTCTAGAGCCGGCTCGTCGCCGTTGAGAGCTTCCAAATACTCAGGCTCAGAGAGCACGGAGAGCTGACCTCTGCGCAGAACAGTCTCCAGTGGAAGCTTAATTAGTATTCCAACTGAAGAGGCAACAAACTTGGCAACGGAGAATGTCATGGGCGCAAGCTCGCTTGTGACCATAAACTTGGTCTTCAAAGCCAAGGGAGTGGATAGGGTGAAGATGGGGTTGATGAGTGAGTGGAGGATGGTAGGAGCGACGATGGCGGGAGGGCAGTAGTAAGATGGAAGAGCTCGAAGGCTTGCAATCGTCCTTCGCTGTCCCTTGAAGGGGTTGGTTAAAATCAATCTGGCGTCATGTCAGTCACAGAGTACATTAAACCTGAGTAGTCATGTCACAAACCTCGTGCGGATGAGATCCAAAGGCGCAAGAGCAAGGCTAGTTGTGACAGCCGCGGCGGCAGCCACAAGTAACGAAGCCCAAGGGTACGGGGACGCAATGTCAACAACCCGCTCAATGCTGTCTTTAACCCCCAGGTCCGGCACATTGAAGACGGCGCTCAGGAAGCTTCTTGACCAGTTCTCAAGCAAAGACTGTAAGACGGTGTACAGAAAGGTTGCATTCGCCCCTTTCCATACCCCCCATGCGCCATCTCGCTGCCATAGCTGCCCGATGACGTCGAGGATAGCGTCGGGCCGGCGAAGATTTAGAAAGTGCTCAGGAAGAACGGATTCTTTCTTCAGTGTTGTTGGAGACTGCAGAGGAGGCGACTCTGTGCGCCGACTGCTGGGTCGCTTCTCAGGCTGGGGCTGGTTCTGATTCCAGGGATTCGGTATGGTTGGATCGTTGGACGTGAAGTATGCCGGCTCGTCCCCGTCGGAATCCTCCTATTACAATTTCTTCTTAGCAAACAACGCAAGGCATTGGCGAGCAAGCTTTGGGAAAGAGCGCTTACATCAAATGCCGAGCCAGCTCGACTTGATACGTGAGGTGCAGGCGTTGCCTCGGGCTCTGCAACCACGGCAAAGGCAGCTTTTTCATCTTGATCCCGAGCCTGCAAGATCATCTTGGCAACCTCGAAAGGCTGCCCAATCAACACGGACATATACTTCCATATCAGCTCATCAACGAGTTCTCTGGCACTTTCGACGACTGATGGCGATGGCTCGCCAACCAAGCCCTTGTAGTCGAGATCATTGAGCATGTGCTTCGCTTTGGAGGCGTATTTGGCGCCGCTAGCCACATCGTAGCTGTTGCCACCAGAAAACGGATTCGAGCTGGGTATCGATACCGGCTCGGCCTGCTGCTCAATCGTGGGAGGCCGGTAATACGGCCGTAGAGGATTTACTGGTTCTGCTTTTAGGGACGCCATGATTAATCAAAAAGAGAGAGATTCCAGATCTCTGTCTTTTTCAATACCCAAGTTGGGCTCCTGAGGTCGAGTCATTGAAGAGCTGGGGGGGAGCTACTGCTGTTTGTGCCTCCCCCGGTAGATGAATTTTGCAGCCGATAAGCATTGTTATCGGCCGGCGGCCATTTCGCGCTACCAAGAATTTCCAGCTTCGGAGATGCGAGTCTCTAGCGAACCGGAGTCGGTTTATTAACGAGCATATCCGGATCTACTCTTTTGTGGTTCTTTCGGTCATAAATTTGCTTTGGCACCGTCTCAGGATACCGGCGATACTTGAGCGTTGCCCAATCCTAGTTTGCGCCGACGATATACAGGCTTTCTTCCCCTCTGTCGCAATTTTTCCTTCTGGCTGCTACCGAGTTCCGATCCAGCGCTCCACATGTCCAGAACACTCTCACGAAGCCTGGCGAGGCTATCGCAAGTGGGATTCCGTCCCTCTGCGAATGCGCCGTATAAAAGCTTTACTTCCACCAATGCTTCGCTTAAATGCGCTCCTACACTCAGAGCTCTGCAATCTCGTCAGCTGCCTCTGAGTCGACGAGCGTTCTCCACAACACCTCAGCGGCGGCACGGCCATGTCACCCCGCCAAAGGCTGGCGAAGAGTGAGTAACACTCAACTTTGGTCATATTCAGATTGAAGTTAGTACAATTGCTAACAATTGTGCAGACTCTGGGTCACATTCATCGACAAAGAGGGCGAAGAACACAAATTTGCTGTTTCGGCTGGTGATAACCTACTCGACATTGCTCAGGCCAACGATTTGGAGATGGAGGGTGCCTGCGGGGGTTCATGCGCATGCTCGACTTGCCATGTCATTGTAGAGGGAGAAGATTACTATGACAAAATGCCCGAGCCCGAAGACGACGAGAACGATATGCTGGATCTCGCCTTTGGCTTGACCGAGACTAGCCGTTTGGGCTGCCAAGTCAAGATGACAAAAGAGCTGGACGGCTTGGTCGTCAGGCTGCCTTCCATGACGAGGAATATGCAAGCCAGCGACTTTCAATGAGTAAATAGGAGTCATTTAATGTTAAATTGACGTATAGACGAAGTAGGAGCCTTGTATTTATAATGTTGGATCACATAGAAGCGGTGGGAGAGGCCGGCGAGCCTCGGTTGGACGCAAAGCACTGCCCGAGGAGGGGTATCTTTGAAATGAAATATTGTATACCTAGTGATAGTACTAAAATCTCAAGACAGGCCGAAAATCGCTCCCTATATAGATACATATTGTGGAGGGAAAACCATAAGCAAGAACACACAAAAAAAAAACATGAATATTAACCCTACGCCTCTTCCAATGGAGTCTTTTTTAAACCTCCTCCTCCCGAAGCAATCAGGTCCAAAAAGCCCTTCTTGCTCATCTCGTTGATCTTCTCTTCTTTCGACTTGCCACCGATGATGCCCTCCTTTCTGACACTTTTCTCTGCATCAGCTGCCTGTACTTGGGCAGCTCTGACGGCATTGAACATGCGAATGACACCTCTCTGGGCGGTCTTGCGCAAGGCCTTCTCAATCGCCAGTATATCTGAAGTCGTCATCTCCGGCTCGCCAGACTCATCGATTGTTGCCACCAGGACATCCTTGATACGCCCCTTCTCCAATGCAACTCTCTTCTGTTCCTTCAACTTTCTCCGTGCCTTGGCCTCTAGCGCAATATCCACGGCAGCCTTGGAGGCCTCATGCGCGGCAACGCTTCGCGACAAGACTGGATCTGACCGTTTTGATGCAGAAAGCTTGGTCGATAGAATCTTGGACAGAGACGTAGCGAACGCAGTGGGATCGTTTCGTTTTGACTTTGTCTTTGTTACGCCCATGTCGAACTCCTCCATGTCATCGTCCTCGTCGTCATTTTCCGACTCGCTTCCCTCGTTTTCTTCGTCTTCGTCTTCGTCTTCCTCTTGTTGCGCGGCATTGCGCTTTGGCTGTTTTGACTTTGTGTTCTTGGCATTGGTTTTTTTCACCACGGGAGCTTCCTCATCTGAGCTTGATGATACGTTTTCATCAGCATCAGCGCCATCGTCTGCTGGCGCATTGTGAATGTCGTCGTCGGAATCTAGCAGATTGACGGCGTCAAAGGTCTGCTGCTCCTGGTCATCTTCATTGTCTGAGTCGCTGTTGTACGCCTGTGCTTGTCGCTGCTTTTTAGTTGGGCGATGTGATTTGTTATCGTGACGTCTTTTCTTATTTGGTAGTCCAGCCATTGTGTCGAGTTGTTTTGGCAGTGATCTGGTGATGCTGTCTCCAGGATCTTCCTAAAATTTAAAAAAGTTCTGGGCCAGGAATGGTTTTGCCGGGTACGACTTTTTCGCTGGAGCTGCTCCGTCGCGTTAGGGAAGGCGGTGAAAGTGCCCCGCTAGGGAGCTTTCAGTAAGCAGAGGTACGTACTCTGTCCCTCCTGCGGCGTCGCAGTTGTGGTGTCGCGTCAAGTGATTCCTTCTTTTGTGACGTACGACCGCACCAGCGTTTTAAAGGAAAGCCATATCTAGATGACAACGGGAAGCTCTTCACATGTCCCGGTGAACGCACTCAATTATTGACAACTTATTGCAGTTGCCATTCGTCTTTCTCCATTTATTACACTTCTGGGTTCTACTTGTAAAGCCCGATTCGGGGTCGGCTTTTTTGCGGGGCAAAGGCCGGTGCGGTGCAATTCAGCGGATCTCCATCGAGCTTGGCAGCACTGCGCGCTTTCACTAAGAGCGTCATTGAGAGAGCAGAGCTTCACTGAGTGTTCCATCACGTATCGCATCGTATCCGCTGCATTTTTTATCTCTCATTTCACTCGACAAAGTTGGCACGGTGGCCGGCCAAATCTCTGGTGGGAGAGCCAACAAGCTGAACTCTATCGTTCAACGCCTGTCCTGTCGAATTGCTCCTCTCTTTGCTTTCTAAAAACATCACGACCGATAAGAAAAAGCGTAGTTACTTGGCGGACTATAATCACGCGAACATGTTTGGCCAATATTCCCTAAACTCCAGCCCTACCGACAGCAACTACCGGGCACCGAAACTCAACCACAAGAAATCGCGATTCGGTTGCCAGCGATGTCGCATGCGTCGCGTAAAATGTAACGAGGCAAAGCCAACATGCCACCACTGTGAGCGCCATAGAGCACAGTGTATATATGATCGACTTCCACTTCCACGGCATGGAAAGAGCAGAGAATCGTCTCCAGCATCTTCATCTCGGCCCCTGACCAGTGAAGCCAGAACTTCTGAGAGCGGCTCTGACAAACAGTCTCCTCTGTCATCGGTGGACATGGTGGACATGGTGGATGAAGACGCCCCGGAATCAAAACAACGGCGACTTCTCGAGGCAAGATTGATGCATCTATATCTCACTGAGACCGGTCCCTCCTTGCCTATTGATGACATAACTCGTTCAGTCTTCGCCAACACGATACCCAAGCTAGCCTTAGACTCAGAAGCCCTGTTATATTCCATTTACGCTCTCGCAGCCATCCATTCGTGCATATGCAAATTAGATGACACTTTTGATGGGCTCGATGTTCATAGGCGATACTTGGCAATCGCTGTTCACGAACATACAAAGGATATCGCCGAGCTCAGCGAGTTGAATTTCGAAAGCGTGTTCCTTACAACGCACTTATTGCGCGCCTGTACGTTTGCCATGCTGCGATTCCGAAATCGTTCGCCATATACTCCTCCTCTTGAGTGGATATTGACAACGGGGACGACGCAAGCCCTCTTCACTAAAGCCTGGGACATCATTGTGGCTCATCCGGAATCAATCGCGGCGCGCATGGTGACGAGCTCGCCAATCATATACGATGCTGAGGAAAGATTCGGCGAGAGCCAACGACAAGGCCTAGAACATATCCTGGAGCGGGATGCCGAAGACGAAGCGTATGAGCCGTGGGATGCAGAGATCCAGGACGCGTATGCGACGACACTCAGCTACCTCGGAGGGGTTCTGCAGTTGTTGAATCCCAACAGTGACAGGTTCAACGTCAACGATGCAAGGAGGAGAATGGTCATTTTCCCCATGGCTGTGAAGAAGAAGTTTCTCGACCTTATGCAGGAGGCTCGTCCGCGAGCTATAGTGATTATGGCATACTACTTTGCAATTCTCGTCATTGAGACGACGTGGTGGGTTGGCGACGTGGGGACGCTGGAGGTGCAGGCCATTGCCGAGAGTCTGCCAGCCAAGTGGCTGAAGATGGTAGAGTGGCCATTGCGAGTGGTAGAAGCTGGAACCATCATGCCGCTATAACGAGGCATCTGAGTATCAAAGAGGGCGGAGTGGAATGTTTCTCTCATCCAGCCAGCACATGTTTAGAATGAAATCATTAGTACACGGTAGCAGCAGCAGTAGTAAAATTGAATAGTAATAGCGCAAAATCTCCTGCTCAGAATTACCCCCTCGCAAAATATTCATCACACATAATATCCATCGCTTTATCCACAATGTGCTTTTGCTTGCAGCTTCGTTCTCGCTTTCAACTCATACAGATCGATAGTTCGTTCTCGTTCTTCCGAATGGGGCTTAGCCGCTCCGGCCAAGCATGCAGCTCAATGCGACTCCATGCAGCTCGCTTTCGCTCTGCTAGCAGTAGCGCCATCATAACACCATTTGCTGACTGAAGCGCGGTGCGTTCTAAAGAGGTGGTAAACTACGTATGAGCCTCGCTGTGATATCTGGTGGAAATCATGATGCGCTAATCTTCGCTTTCGCTTTGGATGCGAGAAGTCTCGAGATATTCGCGTGCCTCGGGCTTCGACGTCCGCACTGCCCGTGTAAGTGCCGGGCAAGATGAGTCTCGTCAGAAGTATATAAAGGCTGGACTCTTGATCATGAGGGGACAAGAATATCATAGGAATCAATTCAAATACCCTACTCAAGTTACCAATTACACATCACCAACCTCTTCTCCTCTTACTCATTCATTTCGAATAATCCCGTGTTGAACTCAGCACATATCTCTCATCCCCTCAGGCAACGAGAACAAAGAGCAAGAGAAATACAAAAAGAAGCAATGTCTGCGCAAGGAAACCACATTCTAGCAATGCTTCAACTAAGCCCCGACTCAAGCTTCCACTTCGAAATCCTCCGCGCCATCTCCCTCGCGCCCTACCAAGGCGCCGACGTGAGCGAGGTCCTCACCGCTGCCGCCAAGATTACGCCGGGCGACTTCGAAAGCTTCTACGCTGCTTTCAACGGCCTTGCTGCTCGCGTGCACGCACAGGCCGAAGGGATCGATGTGAACAAGTATCCCGTCTCTGCGAGGAACGCCTACTTCAGGGAGGCAACGTACCTCCGCAGCGCAGAATTCTACCTCCATGGCAACTGGGAGGACTCGCGCATAAACTCTGTCTGGGAGAAACACAGGGCCGCCTTCGACAAAGCCCTTGCCCTTCTCCCAGTGCCCGGCCAGAGGGTCACGCTCAAGGCCCAGGGGTTTGACGTGCCGGCCATCTTCTACGGCTGTGGACTTCCCGGTCGCCGCCCAGTCATTCTCATGTGCAGCGGCTATGACGGTTCTCAGGAGGAGCTTTATCACGTTGGCGCCGAGGCTGCGCTCACCAGGGGCATCAATGTGATTACTTTCGAAGGACCTGGCCAGCCCACCGTCCGCCGCGAGCAAAACGCCGGCTTCATCCACGACTGGGAGCGAGTCGTGTCCCCCGTGGTCGACTATGCGCTTGCAAGAGACGACATCGATCCCAACGCCATTGGCCTTTGGGGATACTCGCTGGGTGGATATCTCGCTGCTCGTGCTGCGGCCTTTGAGCCTCGCCTAGCTGCTGTCATGGCCGTCGACGGGGCCAGCGACTTCGGAGCCACAATTCACAGCAAGTTTCCTCCAGAGATGGCGGCTCTGTTCAAATCAGGCAATAAAGAAGCCGTTGACCAAGCCATGGCACAGACCTTGGCATCTCCAGGGGCGCCTACTCCTCTTCGCTGGGGCGTGGAGCATGGCATGTGGGCGTTTAACACAAAGTCGCCGTTTGAATGGGCAACCAGGTGCCTCGACTTCAAACTCGGTGATGCCATCCACAATATTAAAATGCCATTTTTCGTGGCTGATGCAGAGAATGACGATTTAATGCCTGGGCAGGCAAAGGGCGTCGCGGAAGCCGTTGGAGAGGTGGCGACGTACCATTTATTCGCCACGGAAGATGGAGCTGGAGAGCACTGTTCTATTGGAGCGGCTGTGCTTCAAAATCAAGTCATCTTCGACTGGTTCCAAGAGGTGGTGTCGAGAAATAAGGCGTAAAAGAACGAGCTAAGAGAATCAAGAGCATGTAGATAGACATTGTTTAAACAGAACTATATAAGATGAAATAGCGCAGCATATTTTGAGCGACAAATTTTAGACGCTTTGTTCCCATACATAAAACCTGATAGAAAAGCAATACACCCATCATAAAAATTGCCATCTGTGTGAGAGTAACGTCACCCCCAGATATCTCAAATGGCCCTATTGCATCCCAAACCATATTCAGCGAATAACCATCCGTACACACTTGTCATCATATGTGCCTCAACATACATATATAGGTTTAGAGGAACGCCCCAGCCAAAGGACAAGCAGATTCCCAAAGGCAGACGCCAAACAAACTCCAAAGTGTCTCGTCTTTCCATTACAATGAAGGCTTACCAATTCTTAAGCCGATCCCAGAAAGAGCCCGAGGAAGCCTTTTTCTCCTCTTCAGCGGGGAGAGGCGGCGCAGTGATGGTTGTGTTCCATTTCTCCTCACCACTGATGAACAGACGGTAGAGAAGCTTGCTATCGCCCTCGTCTTCTTCTATAGTAAAGGCGCCAAACTTGGACATGCCAGAGTGATGATATCTATAGGCATTGTTAGGCTTCTTCTCCAGCGACATGAGTCATAATATGGCAAACTTACTGAATGAGAACATCCTCATTGTCCACTTGCTTATATGAAGGAATAGGGGAAGCAAACTGATTGAGCGGACTAGTAGAGAACTCGTAGACAGTAGCCTCCTCTGGCCAGTCAGATTCGGGTGGGGGCGGGAACTTGGTCGCCGCGAATTCGTGTCTATCACCAGACAGGACCACGACTCCGACTCCTCGAGCAGAAACGTCCCACATGGCTTCAAGAATCTTCTTTCGTTCGACCAAGAATCCGCCCCAGGTATCCTTCACATTCACAGGCCAGTTCTTGGTAAATGGAATAGATGATGCGACAAACTTCCACCTAACGCCCTGGGGTTCTGGGCGTTTGAGCCAAGCCAAAAAGTCAGCCAACTGGTCAGCACCAAGCATCGTCTTCTCCGCCTCATTAAACGGTAGCTTGTTGCTAGATCGGTAGCTGCGAGTGTCGAGCATAAAGAAGCTCACAGGACCCTGCACGAACTCAAACCAGGTAGCGCCAGGGCGGCGCTCACTCTTCGTGCCTGCAGCCACAGCGGGCGGAGGGTTGATCTGAGCTTGGTATATGTGCCAGGGGTCTACGGCATTTCTGTAAACACCAGTAGTGTTTGCATCCCAGTCCTTATTGATGTCAGTCTGATGCCAAAAAATCGCAGCACACAAGTGACAGCAACTTACATTTGCAATCTCATGATCGTCTAGGACATGGATCCAGCTCAAGTTTTGACCAACAGTGGCCCATTCCGGAGAGGCATAGACTTGACGATACTGCATGCGATACTCCTCAACCGATTTTCCAAAGCGCTCGGGAACATCCACGTAAATGAAATCGCCTAAGAACAGCATGAACTGAGCACCCAGTTCAGGCAGCCTCTTGGCGAGATTCCGTAGCCCCGGAATTGCCAGGGGGTGATCAAAGGGTGAGTAGGGGAAACGAGGTAAGATGCACGAAGTAGACAAAAACGTATATTTGCCTCCATTTTGAACCGGCATCTTGCCAGGCTTGGGTGCAGCCGTCAGTTCACCTGTGTGGTTGTTCGAGGTCCTCCATTCATACTTTTGCTGCTCTGCATAGCTCAGGAGTGGAATCGTAAGAGCGCCGGTGAAATCGGTCTCATTGGTGGTTGATTTTACGCTGCCAACAGACTGCCAAATGAGACCGTTGTAGTGTCGGATCTGGAAAGTGACGGGCATCTTGGTCTGGTCAGGTTCCCGAATAAGGAAATTGGCCTCATTATGAGAGACATATCCAATTCGCACAAAAGATAGGTCATCAGCTGGGTAATACCACCTGGCACGGTATAGAGCGTCGGCCGTAAGACCAACAAACACCAGGTTAATGAGAAAGCTCAACAGAGAACTGAAGGGTCGCTTCGAGCTAGGAGCACCATAAAAGATGATTTTCCATGCTGGAATATCTCTTCCGGCAAAAGAAATGGTCTCTTTCACATCAACCTCCTCGGCGACAATCTCCTCATCGTCATCGTCATCGACTACAGTTTCTCTGATAGTGACATCAACTCGATCATCCACAACTTCAAGGTCAGGTGAGGAAAACCAGCTCGTTAAGAAGGATGGGATGTATATGGCGAACAGGGCGAAGATAATTGACGGCAGATGAGCCTAAGCATGGTTAGGCTGGCGTGTTTACTTACTTTCACGGTCACCTCACGAGCATCGGCATACTTACAGGAAACTATGCAGGGCGTCAGCTTCGGGTCAAATATTGCATGCATCCAGGCACAAATCAGAGGCATCACATACAGCACGGAAAAAGGCAATGGCTCCTATCCTTATTGCGACCGAAGACGCATTGGCGACAGCTCTTTGGATGGCCATCTTGAGCACGACGCCGGCTCAGCTCCCCGCAATGTCAGACGGGTCACTAAGAGGAGCAGGCCACTCTTAAGCAGCAATCAGAGAGGGGTTGAGGAGATGCGAATCGGAGCAACGAAGCAGGGGAAAAGGCAGGATGTATTCCCATTACCTCATGACGATGGAAATTTTGAAGGAGTAGAAATCAGCTGAAGAGCGAGATGTAGAATCGACGTCACCAATTGGGTGAGAATAACAAACCAAGTGTGGGTGCACGCCAATGATATAGCGGTGTCTCAGCCTGTGGCTAAGAGTGGTGCCGCCAATTTCCAAAACGCTGCTAAGGCGCAGTACCCGTTATTGCAGGCGATCCTACGCTGCGGCACCAACACCATAGACCATAGGTACCTGTAGGCATCAATGCAGCGCCTCTAGTGCGGGTGCGCGAGGATCAGGGGTCGGCGGTGCAAAATTCCGCTCCGAAAGATGCGTCTCAGTGCGGTGATTGCCCCCTGGCAGCTGTGGCTGGAGTGGCTGGTGCGTGGGACAGCTGCGGTGTTGGTGTAGAGTAGGCTTGCGCCAATGTGTCCCATTCAAGCCTCCCTGACAAGCAACTCGACAACGTCGACCAGCAACACGACACGATGAGATTCCCGACGCTGATAGCCGGCCTGATGGCCATTATGGCCACAAACGTTGCTGCTACGGCATTGACCTACAAGCTGTCCGCCAACGAAAAGGCTTGCTTCTACGCGACCACGAAGAACGAGAACGAGAAGGTCGCCTTCTATTTTGCTGTTAGTTGGCGCCAATCCCGCTGCGTTGCAATTGCTGCACTGTCATCGATGCAAACCATGTTCGACGCAAATATTCTGACCGTAGTGGGCGATATAGGTTCAATCGGGTGGTTCGTTTGATGTCGACTACCTCGTCGAGGGTCCCGGTGGAAAGGTCATCCTGCAAGGCGAAAAAGAGCGGCAGGGCGACTTCGTCTTCACTGCGCAGCTGATTGGAGACTACTCGTTCTGCTTCGACAACGAGATGAGCACATTTTCCGAGAAATTCGTCGACTTCGAGATTGCTGTTAGTAGTAGCAGCGACATACTTTACGAAGATGGCACCCGAGCTAATCATCCTTCCCCTCCTAGGTCGAAAACGAGTCCCGAACCGCCCAGCTGCCCTCCAAACAGGGCTCATCACCAGAGCAGACTTCCGTCTTGGAGGAGTCCATCTTCAAGATCTCCGGCCAGCTTTCCACTATTTCCCGAAACCAAAAATACTTTAGAACACGTGAGAACCGCAACTTCAGCACTGTCACGAGCACGGAGAAGCGCATTGTCAACTTTAGCATGATCCAGATTGCTCTTATTGTCTGTATGGGTGCGCTGCAGGTGTTTGTTGTCAGATTCTTCTTCCAGGGTGCTCGCAAGGGTTACGTTTAAGCAAACTGCCAAAATGTGTTTTTTCTTTACGTCTAAATCTATCTTTATGGAAAGATAGACCAGGCAATAGGCTGCTGGTTGACACGGGGTGGGATGCTGCATGCTGGCGTTTCTATGCGCAGGGATGGGTGCTTAGGTAGGCCAGCGTGGCCAAAAAAGATCACGACAATAAGCGTGTTTTGTAGACCGAGAATGGCCGATGAAGGGCGTCATTGGATTCTCATGAAATACTAATGAAAATAAGGAGACGCCATTTTTAAAACAGAAAATAATTATACACATCCTAATAAATACGAGTATCTATTTGGTGATTGCTTGCTGTACCTAGTCGACGACATATCAATGTAGCACCTATTGCCATGGTGGGGGGGATCGTTATTCCGAGAGTGTATCCAGCTTTCAGCTTAAGCCACATTACAAGGATCCACCGCTTTTGCTTGATGCTAGCCCAGCCACATCTGCACCGCCATACTGTGGAATTTCTTGACCCAAACCCATCGCAACTCGCAGCCAGTCTTTCAACATCACCTCACGCGACGGCAAATATGGCGTCCATGGCCGCATCGCTACAAGCGTCGCTCCCCAAGCCGAAATACACCGGGGAAGATGAAGAGGCGCCATCCCGGACTCAGCAGCGTGGCCCTCGGATCGTCGGGCCTGGCCAGCTTGACGAGACGCAAATCGTCCTGAAGCGAAGTGGCCCTCCAGCATACGGCCAGCGGGCAGGATGGCGACCGCGCTCACAGGAGGATTTCGGTGATGGCGGTGCGTTTCCAGAAATCCCTATTGCCCAGTATCCGCTGGACATGGGCAAGAAGGGTGCGACAACGAGCAATGCCTTGGCGCTGCAGGTCGATGCTGAAGGCAAAGTCAAATACGACGCGATTGCCAGGCAGGGACATGGCGAGGGACGGATCATTCACACATCTTTCAAAGACCTCATCCCGCTGAGGCAGCGAGCCGATGCTGGAGAGATTGATTTATCGCGTCCAGACAAGGAATCTGTAGCGGCGACGACCGAGCGAACCAAGAACGCGTTGGCAGCCCTCGTCAGCGGAGCAGTGGCAGCGCAGAAGCCGAAGAACCTCAACATTGGACAGCGGAAAGACCCGACTTTTGTACGATACAGCCCGGCAAATCAGATGGGAGACAACTCGAAGAAGCAAGATCGTATCATGAAGATTGTGGAGCGGCAGCGAGATCCCATGGAGCCTCCGAAGTTCAAACACAAGAAAATTCCTCGTGGTCCTCCATCGCCGCCTCCTCCAGTCATGCACTCTCCCCCACGAAAGCTTACGGCAGAAGATCAGGAGATGTGGAGAATCCCGCCTCCGGTGTCAAATTGGAAGAATCCCAAGGGCTTTACTGTGCCCTTGGACAAACGTCTTGCTGCGGACGGACGAGGGTTGCAGGATATCAGCATTAATGACAAACATGCACAGTTTGCCGAGGCCATCAAAATGGCAGAGCGCCATGCCCGAGATGAAGTCCAGCAACGAGCTCTGATGCAGCAGAGGCTAGCAGAAAAGGAGAAGGCTCAGAAGGAGCAAAACTTGCGATCCCTGGCGCAAAAGGCCCGAGAAGATCGAGCTACAGCTGGACGACGCGGAAGAAGAGACTCCAGAGACTCGCGGGATTCACGGGACTCACGGGACTCAGAATCAAGATCACGATCACGGTCACGGTCAAGCTACAGCGGATCAGATTCAAGGGGCTCTGATAGCGAAGATTCGGAGGTTCGGGCTCGAGAGAGGGCACGAAGAGAGAAACGGAAAGAGGACGAGCGAAAGCTACGACAGACTCGGATGGGCGCGGAGCGACGCATCCAAGTCATGGCCCGCGAGCAGAATCGAGATATATCAGAAAAAATTGCTCTCGGCATAGCGAAGCCCTCACAATCCAAAGAAACCATGTACGACTCGCGGTTATTTAACCAGTCCAGCGGATTTGATAGCGGATTCAACGAGGATAACCCCTACGACAAGCCCCTCTTTGCTGCTCAGGACGCGATTAACAGCATCTACCGACCCCGAGCAAACTTGGACGATGAAGATGCAGAAGCTGGAGATAGAGAAATGGCCAAGATTCAAAAATCAAGCCGTTTTGGTGAAGCTTTGGGCAAGGGTACTTTTAAGGGGGCCAGTGAGGCAGAAGTCAGTTTTCACACCCTATATCATTTTGCTGATACCGATCTTGTAACCGTTTCTAACCGAGTGAATACAATAGGCACGAGAAGGACCCGTACAATTCGAGAAGGATGCGGCAGATCCATTCAACGTGGACAAGTTTTTGTCCGAGGTAGATCAAAACTCATCTTCCAAGAGAGGGTATGGGCTGCAAGATGAAGATAGGAAGGCAAAGAAGCCTCGCGTTGAGGACGATGATGATGATTAAAGCGTACATGTATTAATTTTTTTAAGAAGTATCTTTTAGAGGTGCATGAGATGCATTAATATGTCCAATACTAATGAAAAGAGGGCGATATCGCAAATATTGCTTCAGTTTTTTGAAGGTCACTCTTGGAGGGCACGATTTCTGTGTGACGTTCTTAGGTAATATGGAGATCACTATACATGCACCTATATAGCAAGTAAAATTAGAAGAAAACAATCACTTGATCTATAGCAGTATGTTTTAAACTGTGACATAAGAAGAGCGCGAAGCGTTGATATCAATACTTTCCTCGGTAAAGCCACCGCCATCATCAACACCGAGAATGCCACCGATATAAGTTTCAATTTTCCTCCACTCCCCCTTTCTTGAACAATAGGCGCTATCTTTGGAATGAAGCCAGGATATTTTATTGCGAGGTAATAGAGAGAGTTATTACAGGGCGTTGATAACGAGTGCTTTAGGGTAAGTATACCAAGATGAAGTTGTACTGAATAATGTAACGTATTGGAAGAAAGAATTATTTATAGCCGTGAAATGATAAAAATCTTTTTGTGTAATCATAGAAACAACTCCGTAGTATACTGCCGATCTACTATAACTAACTCAAAAAAAAAAAAAAATAAGAAGACATCCTCCTCATCTCTTTATCTCCTCTTCTCTCTGATTACATACTCATCAAATTAATTCTCACCTATATTATCAACTTCCATTCTCTAGATTCGGAACTTCTCTATGTTTTTTTTCATGAACTTGGAGTTCCCCTTCCGATGCACATCCAGCATATTAGCATTGTTCGTCTTGTTGAATATCAGCATCCGTGGCTCATCAGGCGTCCACTTGGGCCAGGCCACAAGCTCGGTATGTTTCTTGTTCGGATCCAAGTGGTACACGAAATTAATTAAATACCATCTTGCAGTCCTAGTTGTATACGAAGCGATATACTCGTCTGTGCCAAAAATCATAGCTTCGAATGAGCCATGAGCAGTGCCGTAGGCACTAGAGTCGCCGTTCCTGTAGTCGTACGCCGCATGGTATCCCCATATAGGGAGGAGAGGCTGAGACAAGGCAATAAATTCCATTGCAACACGCCGAGAAAGAGTGAAGAAGACGTCGCCGATGACAGACGATAAGCGCTTCTTGCCAGCCCAACTCTCAAAGTCGTCTCCAGTGCGGTAAGGGCTACCCTCAAAAGGCTTCTTGTGGTATTTTTTGAGGAAATCTTCCATGTTGCGTTTGGTTGCGTTGCCAAAGTATTGTGTGCGAAGATACTGGCTGAGTGGCTTTGTATCATTAACTGATGTTTGCTTCTGGGTAAATATCGTGCCCTCGTCTTCCTGATTGCCTAAGATCATGGGCACTGCGGCAAACATATTATTATTGAGAAGCACCTCTGGGCTGTATCGTATCAAATCGTTATCAGGTCGAGGAACGTACACCAACCTCAAGGCTTCTGCGCTGAGAGCCCCGGGGATGGAACTGGTCGCCCTCTCAAAGTCGGAATATGGTATCTCACGCAAGCATTGCAGGGTGTCCCTTTTCCGCTCGCAGCCGATGGCCTTCACGATTTTAGTATATAATTTATTGCACTTTTCCGAATCGATATGCTCTGCGGGCATGAGGCTTCCAGAGCTCATGATAGCACCGCGGAAGAGTTTCCTGTCGTTATATGTTGCGTTGCCTCCATTGATCACGAGATGATCGAGGACCGAGACACCACCAGATGCGTGTCCCCAGAGAGTGATTTTATCCGGATCACCGCCAAAAGCTGCGATGTTATCTGATGCCCACTCCATACTCATTCGCTGATCACGCAGACCCAGATTAGTAGATCCGTTCTTCATGACCTGCTGGCCAGGCAGGAAGCCCCAAGGCCCGGTTCGGTAGTTGGCAGTTACAAGGATGAATGGCAGCTCGATCTCAGCACTGAACTTGATGAAATCGGTAGCATTATACCTATACGGCGTTCCTATGACGAAGCTGAAGCCAGTGAGCATGAACAGAACTGGCAAGCTGTCCCCCGCCTTGGTTCCTGCTGGACGCTGGACTGTGATGGTTAAGCAGTCCTCTGAAGTATGTACGGGATGGGCTGCGTGCCATTTTGCTAGAGTGCTGTCGGCGTTGAGAGACCTCTTGCGCCATAATTCATCAGAATCAACTGCTTCGAAATGGCCCTGGGGGCATGCTGGTGGGATTGTGGTGGCATCAAAATCTCCCAAAGGCTTTGTTCTTTTCACGGGCCTTTTGAGGCGGTTAAGGCCAGCTGGAGATTCGGCATAAGGCATGCCATAGAAGGAATCGACTCCATTAGCGAATATGCCGTGGACCAGAGAACCAGGGAGTTTGACTGTTGGGCTTTCGTCTCCCTGTGCAAGGCTGGAACGGATCAAGCCTATGAGGACCAGAAGATGAGTTACGAATGCCTTCATCATGTATATCTTCTGCAGAGCTAGACATCTGAATCTTGAGTGTTGTGTGGTATCTTGCCAAGAGTATTAACATAGGGATATTAGATGGTCAAAAGTGCTTAAATACTTGGATAGAAAGCTCTGCGGCCAAAGTTAATAGATAAGGGCATGCCATCAGTTCCCAACAGATATATCAAAAAAATAATAGGGCCCGCAATTCGACAGATACACATAAGTTAAAAAAAAATACGAATCTCATGGCGACGAGGTATGTGGGGAGTGTTAGCGACGCCGCGGTGCACATAGTTCAAGAGCTTTGTATTGATTGTTTGCGAGTTCACTGCCTTTTTTCTATATCCGCTGGGGTTTAGTAATGACTGTGTATAGCTGATTTATGTATTGTATCGTGAAGTTCGTTGGCGCCATACAGCATACTATGATAAGCCAGGTTACTATCGTGTTGGAGGTATTAACGAGCGACTTGGAACAAAGGCATAGCTTGAGCCGGCTGAATATGCTTCCACTAGGGATATTTTTGAAAGCAGTTCTAAGTAAGAGGTGATCATAGAGTTTCTCGCTAAGAAAATCGGAGACTATATGACATGGTTACGACTGTAGCTCTGTCTGAGGAAGCAGGCGAAGCAGATTTTCGGGAGACTAATTTCCTAAGATGACTAGATACTTGTGTATAGCTGGTATCAATGGGTTATAACCAATGACAATGAGCTGATCAATATAACTATAGATACAGCGAGACGTAGGGAAGATTACCGCATACCAACAGTATCAGATCCTCTTAGTATTATACGCACTCGTATATGAGGTACTGCCATGATTGTGGTATTGTATTGCATCGTGGTATTTTTGTTGAGTCTTCCTTGTTATCATCCTGCAATTGTTGGATATGAGTGGAGCTGGGATGGCTTAAGTACTACCAAGGTAATAATGCAGAGCTCAGACACTAGAAGTGTAACTGGATAGTACATAGTAGGTAAATAAAGTAGATATGTATTTTTCAAAATGCACTCGGTTTACTCTATGCACCTACTTACCTACTAGTACACAGCCAACTTGTAGACTATTGATGTCGTAACCTCTAGGTGTGCTCTTGCAACAAAAGGCGAATCTGAAGATACATTTAGTTCTCTCTACTACCTATGTCTGCGAGAGCTTGACCGCGACAACATACGTATGATATAGGCACACGATATTACCATGGTATTAAAAACTTGGAGAAAATTCCCACAAATACCATGTAGTTACTACGCAGTTCACATGAGGGGCATATTGTAAAACGGCATGCGAATACCGTAGCCAATTTAGACTTTTTCTCTTGCTAGTCAAACGGGACCCTGCAGCAAGCTTTGCCCTTGAAAGGAAAGTTGTATCCTTGAATGGAGTGGATGAACGAGCTAGGCATGCTAGGATCCGCATCCAGATTGCTGGTGAAAATTATGTGCTTAATTGTGCCTATTCTGTAGGGCACTCAGTGTTGGAAATGGTATCAGTGATAGCTACTGCATTGTAGCGTTTAATTTCGTGTAACATTTAATCATCTTCCAAGGCACGTGAAAGCCATATGGTTCGTACTCTCCAAGGAGAAAAACGCAACTCAGAAACTGGCAGGCGCAGCCAAGCAGCCAAGAGGAGCTGCGCTGCTTCGTTGAGCCTTTGCCAAGGGAAGTGCCAAGCTCTCTGCATCTCTCACCTGACGGAAGTAACGTACTTTAGCACCTCCCCGTGATTATTACCCTGACCAAGACTTTGCTTCTTCGTCTTCGAAATTTTGAAGCCAAAAGCACAGCCTCGTCGTGCTGCACCCTGACGGCACGAGAGATGTAAGAGAACCTTGAGGGAACACGAAGGCGCCACAACTTAGGCCTAGTACCTACTACGCCAAAATGCCAAGGTGCAGGCGGTAGCGATGCGCCTTCGATTACCACCGCGGCTCTCCTCTGCGCAGCCAATATTAGGGGCAGCCAAGAGCACTACTTCGTATTCTAGCATCGAGGCCTCGCCCGTTAGTGCATCGCCGCCGCCGCAAATTTCCAGCGCCATCTCCTTGGGCTATTGGGATTGGAGGCTCAGTTCAAGACTTCCCGAAACAGGTGCTAGCCGCTGATGCACAGCCTCACCCCAGGCCGGATCCACCCTCATCTACGTTCGTCCAGTCGTTTGAGAGAAGGGCAGACGCAAATCTGCTGCAATGGCCAGCGGGTCAGGGGTCGTCCGTTGGCTTGAAACCAGCCAAGTTAGGGTTGGCACACGGTGCTTGTACTGCTATTTTCAGTGCCTTCAGGCTGGAGCCTTTTTCGAGAAGACATTCGTATACTCGTACATGCGAGTAGATGGCTGCGGAAAAGAGCATGGCATCAGACATGGCGAATTCACGGATATATTCTGAGCCTTGGAGGCAAAGTACCCTCGCCGTTCGAGAGCTGGCTCAGCGAGTGCTAGGCACAGTGCTTGATAGGACGGAGTGGTACCTGACTACAGTGCAGTAGGCATATGAAGCCCCTTGAAAAAATTGTTGTGCAATGCCGGCCTCATCCACTGCCGGAATCTCGGTTCCGTTGGCTTTGCGCAGCACCGTTGCCGTTGTGGCCGATGCCTCGTGTCCTCGTTCGTGTACGGGTGGCGGTATCATTTCCTACTTGTACCTGTTTGCTAACATGCTGCCGTGGCCCGTGTAACACGGTTGTTTACTGACACTCGATCGTTTTTCCCTTCTGCGGCTTTGGCACCAAACATGTTTACGGGGCTGGGCATAGGTGCTAGTACGGAGTAGTGTTCCGTGCTAATGCTGGTGGTGAGTCGCAGAGATCATCCATCGTCCGCACCAATATGGATACGCACGACCTCCGTCGAGCGTTTCAGGCCGAGTGTCCCAAGTTCGCAGTCTCATGGGGGGCCGAAACCTGGAGTGCCGGGGGGCGCGGCATAATAGCAGGTTACGTGAAATTACAACCGGCCAACCATGTATCCCCATGCGCCCATACTCCGTGTCCTAATACACTTACACCCTTTCCATCGTCCACCTAGCTAAAATGAAAATGACGCGCCTACACCTTGTGCCCATCCCGTATTGCCATTTCTTCCCCTAACACTACGTTTCTGCGTGCCGATTTGCATGTTCCCTCGCCGCCACTCTCTCCTCTGCTCAATTTCAGTCTCCTACAGTCGAGCCTCAAGAGACCCGTATGTAAGCAGTGGAGCGATCACCCTCGTTTGACGCGCGGCGAAGATTCTCTTGGTGTCAATATTCTTTCTTCTTTGTTTCTTTCTTTCGTTATCCGTCTTCACCATTGCCAAAGCCACTCATTTTTACTATCGCTCTTATCTTGATTTCCTTCGACCTTTAGCGAATTTTCCGCTTGCGATACCCCGGTGAAAGCGAATCGCATCTCAGCATCACGATTTCTCTCGTTGCGCCGCCTAGCATCCTTTTGGGACAGACTGGATCTGGACGACCAATCTTTCATTTACTAGAAAATCATAGACCCATACCCGACACCCTTAGAAGATCCCGACTTTGAGAGATTGCTATTAGCCATGAAGTCTCCATTGGTAGCTGCGACAGCAGCACTCGGTCTGCTAGGCCAGGGGGCGAACGCCATTTCCTTAACTTTAGGTGACGACAGTAAGATAGAATGCGATTCCTATAACTCAGCAAAGCAGACAATGCTCACTAAATCTCTTCAGCTTCCACAAAAAACGCTGCTGGTACCGTCGCATACGGTTTGATGAAGTTTTACACAGGCAATAACACTGGCGACAACCCTGGAAACCTACCAAGCCCTTACTATTGTCAGGACCCCCCCCCTCGAAGTTACGGCGGCCCAAGAATGGATGCTAACTTGAAGGAATAGGGTGGGAGGCCGGTGCTATGTTCGGTACTATGATCGATTACTGGTTTTTTACGAAGGATTCGACCTACAACAATGTCACGATGCAAGCGATGCTTTGGCAGGCTGGAAAAGATGGCAGTTTCATGCCCACGAATCAGACATTGACCGAAGGAAACGACGATCAAGGATTTTGGGCCATGGCTGCCATGTCCGCGGCTGAAAACGTCTTTCCCAACCCGCCGTCCGATCAGCCAGGGTGGCTGGCAATGGCTCAGGCCGTCTTCAACCAATATGTCGGCCGATGGGACCCCAATTGTGGTGGAGGTCTCCGCTGGCAGATTTTCCAATGGAACAAGGGTTATGATTACAAAAACTCCGTCGCCAACGGTTGTTTCTTCAATGTTGCCGCTCGATTAGCCCGCTACACTGGCAACCAAACATATGCAGACTGGGCACAGAAAGTATGGGACTGGGAGCAGAAAATCGGTCTCATCGGAGACCAGTACCAGGTCTACGACGGTTTGAGTATCGATTCGAACAACACATGCGGACAAATGGATCAGAATCAGTGGACTTACAATGCAGGTTTATATATGGCCGGCGCTGCTGCCATGTATAACTACACCAATAACGCTACCTGGAAAGCCAACTTGGATGGCATAGTCAAAGAAACGCAATCGAAATTCGTCAACAACAACGTCGTTTACGAGCAGTTTTGCGAGCCCCGAGGCTTCTGCAGTGTTGATCAGAGCACATTCAAGGGTTACCTCCTTCGCTACATGGCCGCTACCGTCAAAATGGCCCCTTATACTGCCACTACTCTCATGCCACTCCTCAAGGCTGCCGCCACTGCTGCTGCCTCCGTCTGCACTGGTCCAGCATCCGGCACATTCTTTGGAATTACAGGCACAGGATGTGGCTTCTCGTGGATGCAACCAGGCAATTATGACGGCAAGAACGGCGTTGGCTCGCAAATGAACGCTCTCGATGCCGTTATGTATACCATGGTCCAGGAAGCTCCCGATTTGGCAACGGCGAAAAAGGGTGGTACATCCAAGGGCGATCCCGGCGCTGGAATGGGCAACATTGACCCCGCAGGCGAGATTGATAATGTTACAAAGCCTACGACCGGTGGAAAGGTTGGAGCAGCGATCCTCACTCTCCTGTTGCTTATCAGTGTCTTGGCTGGCAGCGCGGTGCTACTGCTATGATTAAACTTTAGAGTATGCAAATATGCGTAAGAGAGAGGGGAAGGGTTTGGATATATTTCTCTATACATGTACGTGTGCACAACACATGCCTTGTTTGTTTTGTCGTTTATAAGCCCAAGAATTTAGAGCGTGGGGTGCTCGTTGTGGCTGGCGTTTGGGAATGGCCTTTGTTATATTTATCTTGATCCCTTCCTGGTCTTGTCTGCGGATATGTACATCTTACGGCAGTATGGAGTGCGGGCATCACTGTTGTCGTTATCATTGTCATCATTACCTACTATTCATTTGTAGCAGTTTGGAAGTATTAGACAACAGGCAAAGCCTGATATCAGAATTGCATGACATTATGACCGATAGCCTTGGCTGGCCGACTAGCAATCAAGACAAGCCGGGATTCTGTGCTTGACGCTGCGTCGCTCGATATATCTGCTGCGGTGCCGCATAGCCTGGACAATCAAGCTTGAATAAATCTTCAAACTATCAGGATAGAGAGATGTGCGATGGTTACTACTACCGTAGATACAAGGAGATTTACGCTCCGTTTATTGGATGACACTCAAAAGAGTTGAAGTCTTACAAGTAGACAAAGCCCAGACCAACAGAGAGAGAGACCACAATAGCCAATCAACTGGTACAAGTGCACGACCCTTATGAGGCCGTTGGGCCGGGCCGCAGATCAAAGCTCATTTTAGTCAGAACGGTCAACAGGATAAAGTACGCCGGGCTCTTGTCTGAATCTCGGTACACTCGAGCCAACTCCCCCGCTTATTTGCTAGGCAGGCAGGCAATGTAGGTACTCCGTGCTTGTATCTACTTTGGAATTCTGCACTTTGTGGCTTCAACCCCGCCATGATGGCAATATTGACTTCCCCGCCCTTTTATGTTCTAGCTATTGCTAGCAGCTGCTAATAGCAGTGTCATCACAATACGTCACTGATATCAGACCACTCGTACATAGCAACTTTGCGAATCTTTATTTAATACATGCCAAGGACGTTTGATTTTTCACCAGTCGACGCTCGTTTGACTTCTTCCTGTTAAACGCCATTGATTGTTCTTGAGTTTTAGAGTGAAGACTTCGTTTTGCCTACAGTATTTACTTGCCCATAATGTCTACAAAGCACTTCATCAACGATCCCACCCACCTCGTCAACACTGCCCTACACAGCCTTACCCTCACAAATCCCAACGTCGCCCTCGATGCGGAGAACAAAATCATCTATCGCCGACCGTCCAATGCTCCCCAACAGGTCTCCCTCATCTCAGGTGGAGGGTCTGGCCATGAGCCTTCCTTCGCCGCCATGGTAGGCCCGGGCATGCTTTCTGCCGCCGTGGCTGGGACCATCTTTGCCAGCCCTTCAGCCGAGCAGGTCAGAACTGGAATCCTATCGAGGGTGGATACCGACAAGGGAGTGCTGGTCGTGGTGATGAACTACACGGGAGACATTCTCAACTTTGGAATGGCCGTGGAAAAGGCCATTGCAGCCGGCCAAGCCGTCGAGATGGTTGTCGTGGGCGACGATGTCGGCGTTGGAAGGAAGAAGACGGGCAAAGTTGGACGACGAGGCATTGCCGGCACCGTCCTCGTGCTCAAAATTGCCGGAGCACTCGCAGCTCAGGGACGGTCATTGGAAGAGGTGGCAAAGGTGGCCCGGCTGACTGCGGCCAACATCGTCAGCGTTGGTGCCAGTTTGGAGCATGTCCATGTCCCGGGACGAGTTGTCGATAACAGCGAAGGTCTGGGGCCTAAGGAAGTCGAAGTTGGCATGGGCATCCACAACGAACCGGGCTCAAGTAGAGAAGAGATGGAACTCCCTCAGCTGGTGGAAAGGATGCTCGCTCAGCTGCTCGATCAGAGTGACAAGGACAGAGCTTTCCTCAATGTCAACTCAAACGAAGTTGTCCTGCTCATCAACAATCTTGGAGGCGTCAGTGTTCTGGAGCTGGGTGGCGTCACCACGGAAGTGGCAAAGCAGCTAAACGACAAGTACAACATTCGGCCAGTCCGCATCATCAGCGGCACATTCATGACGAGCTTGAATGGCCAGGGCTTCAGCATCACTCTCCTCAACGTTGTCAACACCGACATCGGTGGGCCGAGCATGATCGAGTTACTGGATGCCCCAAGCGAGGTCACCGGCTGGTCTGCTCCGATACAAAAGATAACATGGGAGGAGAAGAACACCGCCACAAGGACCGACACTGCTGGCGCAGGCCGACAGGTTGAGTCCAGCGGGTTGCAGATGGATCCCAAGCACGCCACGTCGGCCCTTACAAATGCCTTGGAGCGCGTGATAGCGGCCGAGCCCGAGGTAACCAAGTATGATACTATTGTTGGAGACGGAGACTGCGGCATTGGTCTCAAGAGAGGAGCCGAAGGTGAGCTCATAAACACCCAGCCGCATTACTCGCAGATGCCTTGGGACGATGCTGACATTAAAACCCAGCCATTTTAAAGCATATACAGCAGAATCCCTTGACGGGAGATGTTGTTGTGGACGTTTCTTCCATTGTGCAGATTGTGGAAACTGCCATGGACGGCACATCTGGTGCTCTCTATGCGATTTTCCTCAACGCACTCGTTCATGCCCTTCGTACTTTGGGATCTGGCGAGGCTGGTCCCTCGGTATGGTCTGCGGCTCTGAAGCTTAGTTGTGAGGCCTTGTCCAAGTATACCCCTGCTCGACCTGGAGATCGCACAGTCGTGGATGCGCTCTACCCCTTTGTTGAGATCCTGGGCCAGACCGGCGATGTGAAGAAGGCTGCGGATGCAGCAAGGAAGGCGGCTGACGAGACCAAGGGCATGCAGGCAAGCCTTGGCCGGTCAGTATACGTGGGTGGCAGTGGATATGAAGAGGTGCCCGATCCTGGGGCCTGGGGATTGGCCTGCTTCTTTTTGGGATTGGGCGGCATCAAGCCAACTGAGGAAGGATGGGAGTCTATCTGAAATAGATACACGCACAGAGAGAGAGGCATATGTATAGAGGGAGAGGCCCTTGCTGGAATTTATGAGTTTTGAAGGCTACGATCTAGTAAGGATTTCTGCAGATTGTATACGTATTAAAGCATTCAATTAAATTGTTTTCAACGCCTAAATTCGCCTTTGAGCATCTTGTGATGTAGCCGGTGACCCAACAGCTCAATGTGTCAATTAAAACCCCAAAAAAACCCAAAACATTCCTTGCACTCTAGCTGAGAAGAACTAGGATGACGCTATCGCCTCTTAGAAACCTGTTACACGTTAGTTAGTTCTCGATTCTACACAATACCACAAATTTTCGACGCGATCAAGTTCAGGAGCAAGATGCGAGTCTTTGCTGGAACCTGGCCTGGTCGGTTGTCAAGAATGGGATGGGGGATGGCGTACATCTTGCTGATAAATCTGTCCTTGTTGACCGGTCGGCCCTTTTTTCCATCCGCTAACCTGGGTGTTTCGGTCCACATCTCTTTAACGTTCTCGAGCACCATGTTGCAATGTCTGTCGAAAGCCTTGACACGTGCCAGCAGCTTGCGGTTCGAACGAATCGAGATGAGCACCTGCGTGTGCGACCTCACGGCAGTCTGGAGGATGGAGAGGGGGCCGGAGGAGAACTCGTACTCTTCGAGCTGGGCAATCTCGTACTCGCTAAGTTGACACTGTTAGATGTATCCGATAATTGATGATTCGAGGCGGTGGGAGAGGGGCAGAGAGAGGATGCATTTCGCGACTGAAAACATACGTGAGTTCGTTACGAGACTTGGTGAGAAGTTCCCTGAATAAGAGTTAGCACGAGCACAATTGGGCAGCAGTTGCGCGTGGGAATGGCATACTGGATCTTGGGGTCGGCCATCTTTGCGGTGGGTGATTGACTGTCAAGGGACGAGGTTGCGTGCGCAAGGCTGGGGAGCTTTAGAAGCTCGAAAAGTAGAGTCGTAGGCGTATCGCAGACGCTAATGGTGATTGGGCACTGCTGCGGCCGTGCACGTTTAGTCTCTGGGAGCCAGCACTAATCCTGCCATCTGCCACCACCTGGTCGCCAGCTGCGAAGTAAATAGCACGAATTCTGACACGACAGGCGCTATCCTTATCGGCAATCAGCGGGTCAATTTTTAGAGAGAGAGAGTGGAGGAGCTTCTATTCTTGCGCCGTACCCGAGGTCAATTATATGGTCTGTCTGATCTCGCTTCTTCCCTCCCTCTCCTTGTCTAGATGTCTTAGATTTCGCTGTTATATGGGTGCATCTATATAGACGATATCTCATGTCCTTCCGAACACTCGCGGCACGGGCTGGCACGGCGGCAAACGCTGCAGGCCGGAGCAGCTATCGCAGCGTATTCACCATGGCACATCAAACCAGAGCATTGAGCTCGGCGATTGATGCACGACCGGTTAGAAACAGGCAATTATTCCACTATGTGTAATGGGGTGCTAATATGGTGCAAAAGCTGTCTGCCGAAGCCTACCATGTCAAGGAGCTGCCTGGCGACGAGCCCAACGATGTCGTCTTCGAGAGCAAGTACGGTCTGCGAACCATTCTGCTAAATCGACCAAAGAAACTGAATTCCCTCAATGGATCAATGATTCGCAAGATTGTTCCACGATTAATCGAGTGGGAGAAGTCAGACATGGCAAACGTCATTGTCATGAAGGGCGCGGGAGAGAAGGCTCTCTGCGCCGGAGGCGATGTTGCTGAGCTCGCCCTCTACAACCAAGAGAGCGCTGATGGATGGAAGAAGTCGGCCGAATACTTTGCTCTCGAATACCAATTGGATCACTACATTGCGACGTACCAGAAGCCTTACATTGCCTTCATGGACGGAATCACCATGGGCGGCGGTGTTGGCTTGAGCATCCACGCACCATTCCGAATTGCAACGGAGAGGACCATGTTTGCTATGCCCGAGACAACGATTGGATTCTTCCCCGATGTCGGCGCATCTTTCTTCCTACCTCGTATGAACGGCTCTATCGGAACCTACCTCGCCTTGACCAGCGACAGACTCAAGGGTCCCAACGTTTTCTATAGCGGTATTGCTACTCACTACCTGCACTCGTCAAGCTTGCCAGACCTCGAGGCCCGTCTCGCAGAGCTGCGGTTCCGAGACGAGGACCCCCTCCCCCGACGACTTGAACTTATCAACGACACCCTGGAAGAGTTCTGCACCGGTCTTCCCTACGACCAAGGCTTCACCCTAAGCGGCGAGACCCGACGTGCCATTGATCGATGCTTCAGCAAGAACAACGTCAATGACATCATTGCTGCCTTGAAGGAAGAGCGGGGAGAGACTGAGGAGTGGGCACAGAAGCAGCTGGCCACGCTCCACAAGCGATCACCCACCGCCGTGCATGTTGCTCTTAGGCAGATGCGAGTTGGTGGCAAATGGAGCATCTCGGAGACGTTTGAGAAGGAGCACCAGATTGCTTCCAAGTTCATGCAGCACCACGACTTCACCGAGGGTGTGACAGCGCTGCTGGTGCGCAAGGAGGCGGCCAAGTGGCAACCCGAGTCTCTGGAGGCCATTCCGGCCAGCGATAACGTCTCCAAGTCCTTCTTTGACTTCAAGAAGGACGCCGGACTTAAGCTGTTTACGGACCGGACATACTCTGAGTACCCTTACGCTGCCCTCGGCGTGCCTACGGAGAAGGAAATCCAGGCTGTTGTGACTGGCAACTCACTCACACCGGCCGAACTTGCCAAGCAGGTTAAGGCATCGAGGAAGAACCGACAAGGTGTGGCCGAGGTTGTGGATGAGATTATCAGCAGAAAGACGACGGTAGATGAGCAGGGCAAGGCCAAGTGGGTGGTGGCTGATGAGGCGGCTTCTTCAAGTCGACTGTAAAAAAAAAAAAAAAATTGGATTAAAAAATATCCGTATGCGTGTACAATATTTAAAATTAAAAGACGATAAATTCATATATTCGATGACATAATTGCACGAAGCGATAAAAAAATAATGGTGAAATGCGTACAGACAGTCATATGGATGCGTTTTCGTTTGCAGTGCCGCCAATGGTGCTAATGCGAAACGCACCCATTTTTGGGGGTTGGTGCAGAGCGCAGTGGAGCTTCAAACCATCGAGCGTCATCGAAATAAGGTGGGCGACGTGATAGGAAACGGCTTCATTTATCGGGCTAAAAAGCGGCGAATCGAGCCATCAGATGGAGGGGTGACATCTGTAGACTAGAGAAATGCAGGGAAAGCTCAAGTCACGAGACGGCGAGTTGGAGGGGTGCCAGCAAACAGCTCTGGAGATGGCGTCAAGCAGGCCCTGGAAACTATAAAAGGGCCACCAGCCCGCCGCCCGACGCAAAGGAGGGAGAGGGGAAAAGTCTTCCGATCTTCCCTCTCCTTGCCCGGTCGAATTGCCAGCTGAACCGGAGCCCTTTTGCCAGGCCGCCAGAGCTCCCTTGCGGCAGTGACAAGAGTGAGACCAGTTTGCTGGGCTTTTGTGAAAGACGAGCTGCCTAGAGCTTTCGGAGCCGCTCCGCATCCGGGGTTCTGCCGGCTCGCCAACCACTGATAGGATCAACTTCTCTTTCGGGTAGGTGGGGTCCCCCCGAAAAAGCGGCTCGCTTAGGAAAAAGCCCTGCAGCCTATTAAGGCTCAGTGCCGAAGCCCGCTGCAGGCACTTTCTTGCCATCAGGCCCAGCGGGTGGCTCACCGAAGCTTCACCTGCATAGCGGCCTTGGGCGCCAGCCACCGGCTCCGACTGCAGTGCTAGGTCGCTGTACTTGGGTGCTGTGGCGCGGGCTGGAGGGGTACCAAAGTACATGCACAGGCGCATTACACGCGCTGCGGGCGGGTGTTGACAGAGGGCGGCATCACAAACAAAGGGCCTCTACTAGCTGTACTGTTTGTTTGTTTGCTTGCACGAGCTCAGCTCAGCCCAACCTTTCATCACCACATCCGCTGCACTCACGAACCACTGATTTTTTTTTTCCCCTTTTTCGGGTCGCTTCTCTTTTGTCTCTGTAGCAACGTGGATCTGACTTTCATTTTAGCACATTTTTCTTCTTTCCCTTCCCGCTTGTCTTAAAGTGCCCTGCGCGCCTCGATATCTCAGATCCACTTGCACCGACGCGACCCGGAGCTTTTTGGCGCGTCACGAGCATGAAACCCGCCTCCCCAATTTGAGCTGGTGCCAGAACCAAGTACAGCAAACCCAGCGCTCTCCACTTCCTTCCTTTCAGTACCTGCACACGAAGAGTGCTCCGCGGAGCGATTTCTCATATCTTGCATCGCCAACCCAGCAACAGGTCCCGGAAGGGGTTGGCCAGTTTGCACGAAGACAACGGCAACGACAACAGCGGTGGCCACGAGGGCGAGGCAAAAATCGCCATGGCATCGCCAATGCCGGCCGCTCAATCGAGCGGCTGGAGCAATACGCCTGCTGCAGGCGAGGTGGACGAGTATGGTCTGCAGACCAAGTTCATGAACTGTATGGAGTTCTCTCCTCTCCCCCTCTCTCTGGGCTGAGTGCCATGTCTTAGTTGGCTGCAGCGACTAATTCACACCGACAGTGAAGGTGCACTACACGTTTGACAAGGAGGCCAAGATCAATTGCCTGGCCAGAGGATCCCAGCCCCTGCAAGTGCAGACCGTCCCGATTGACGAGACGAATACTATTGGCGTCGTCGACCTGAGGGCCTGTGTCCACGTTATTGCCGAGTGCAGCCCGGAGCTGACGAACCACGAGTGCGACTACACGATTTACGCTGTTGATTATTCCGAGCCCGATCTGCCCCAGGTCGGCCAAGGCCTGCTGTCATGGGTCTTCCAGTCGATGCGGCCTGATTTTGGGCATCATCAGCCCAAGATGGTGACGGGCAGAGTCACCAGAAACGTGCTGGGCGTTTTTGGCGGTGGGGGCAGAGAGACTCTGGAGATCAGATTGAAACTTTCTGAAACGGCTAGAATTCAGCGTTCAATCACATATGCCTCTCCTCCCGTGGAGCAGAAGCCCAGCAGGCCGATAGAACCGACCTTACCGCCCAGTGCCGCATCAGAATGGAATTCTCTAGTGCAGTCTAACCCACAAATGGCCCAACAGGCGACTCAGAATCAAGGCCCCATGCAGAGCCCTATGCAGAGCCATTCACCCAGCATAGCTCCCGCTTTGCCTCAAGGACCGCCGCCGCCCTTGGTCAGACAAGGCTCTTTCGGGCCAAGTTATGGCCAGAATCCACCTGCACAGGAGCTTCCGAGGCTAGCTCCAACTCCAATTGATCCTCAGTCCATGCCCAGCATCCCGGCACCTTCGTCACGACCATCTAGTAGAGCGTCAAATAGACCATCTCGAAGGAAGCCGCCGACTGGTAGACCCCGAGGTAGGCCGCGGAAGAAACCGGCTGAGGGCAACACATCAGGCTACGAAGATGGGACTGAAGGAGAGGATGCCGCACCTCCCAAGGAAGATGAGCCCGTCAAGAAGAGGGCAAAGATTACCAGGGTGGATAGGTCAGATACAGTTGCTTTTGGTGCCGAACCTGAATCTCTCAGGGTTGCTGCGAGCAACTCCAGCTCTCTGAGGAATTTCCGGCCCCTTGCAATCAATAACGACAGTGTGACAGGTAGTCATCTGCAGGAGATCCCTCGAGCTCCCACACCTGTTCCTAACGGTCGTCTCAGGGCGGTACCAGGACGAGAGCCCAGCTCCCTCAAGCGACGTGAATCCGCACTGAGCCAGCCGCCCACATCAGGCTTTTCCGCGAGCGATGTTGGCCGCTTCCAATCCCCCGGCATAGACGACGACAGAACGCCAGAATCTTTAGCACCAACGCCAAATTACCCCGACGACAGCCCACCAGATATTGGTTCCTCGCCACCGGTCCAGCAGGCTACACCTTATATGCGGTCTAGTCCACCCCCTTCAAGTCCGGTGCTGCCTCCGATGCCGCCTATGGCTGCTCATGAACCTGATGCTCCGAATAATGACGCGGGCGACATTTTTGGAGAGGGGGAGCATTCTATGTTAGAAGAGCTGCCGCCTCAACAGCTCACAAACAAAATGCCAACCCAGAGCGTGCCAATCCAGGTTTTTCAGCTCCAGGACGGCCCTAGTGGCCAGGATCTAGTACACCTTCGCACCTATAACACCCCTTATCCCGCTTCAAATACGCCTGCCACTGCTGAGAGCTCCCTTCTCCCCCCTCTAAGCCGGGAACCGAATCGGCCACAATTCAATACCCAGCCTACTAAAAGGAAGAGACCGCAGTCGTCATCACCTCCAGACATGGGACCAACCCCGCCTCCTACGACCGACGCCGCTGAGCGGGCGATGAGCCCGACCCTAACTTCCACCCCTGCTCCAGTTCACGCTCCTACTCCCATCCCTCTTCCTGCGCCTGATTACGCTCCTGCGTCTATTTCTACGCCCATATATGCGCCTATTCCTATGACAGCGCCGTTTTTACCCCCAGATGTCGGGGCGCCGACTCCTCCCGCACCTGCTTCTGAATCAGTCCCAGCAACTGCGCCAACACCCGAACTCTCACAAGCTCCCCCCTTGACTGATGACATCTTCAATGATCCTATAGTACAACTTGCATCTACCTTTTCCTCAAGAGAAGAGGCTCCTCCTCTAATCCAACCGCCGTCACGATCTTCGCAGCCGCCTCAGTCAAGACCGCAAACATCAAAGTCCAAATATCCCCGTCAACTCAGTCGATCACAATCCGCAGGGCCGCTTATATTACCCGCCAGCGATCCTGTTGGTCCATCGGCTTTATCTCAGCCCCCCGTTGTCCCTCTGGAGCGTCCGTCTTCAATGGGAGGCGGAGGCGCTGATATTCGTCGACCAGCTTCTACTGGGCCGCTGGCTTTGCCAATGCCTGAGCCCCTTACTGAGGCCTCAAAAGAGGCTCCGGTGGTCTCTGCCCCTTCGGTCGTCCCCGAGGCGTCCTGCCCTCCCAGCGATTTTCCTCCACCATCTTCGCCGCAACGAATAAATAACAAGAACATTGTAAAAAAGCATGCCATCAAACAGCGACTAGAGGCGGCGATAAATAACGGGGAGATGCCTCCATACTGCAGCAACTGTGGTGCTATAGAAACTCCTACCTGGAGAAAAATATGGATCCAACAACGAGATGGCATTCCGGAACGATGCGAATTTTCGGAGAAGCCTGGTAAGATAACAGCGGTGGAAATAACACAGTGCGATGATGAAGGCACTCCAACAGCTCATCGTGTTATCAAAAAGAGTTTGGCTATCACCGATGATAAGTCCAAGTGGCAAGAGGCTCTACTTTGCAATCCCTGCGGCATATGGCTTGCAAAGTGTAAAAGTCATCGCCCTGCGGATAGATGGGACAAGGATGCCTCTCGGTTGGGCCAAGAACGACGTAAGAGAGGCACTGGTCGAAGCACATCCCGCGCCAAGAAAAATCGCCGGAAGGATGATGCCCCTGTCAACCTTACTTCGGAAGCATATCTGCCCACAGACGCCTATCTACCCACAGACGCGTTGGAGCCACCAGCACCCTCGTCACCAAAAATGAACGAAGCTCTCTCTGCAGGCCCGAATCCATTGCCGAGGCCAGAGAACGCTAAGGGTCAGGGGCCTGAGAAGTCTCACGAGACCGCTGAGCTTGATGCATTATCCCAACCAGGATCAACTCATTCCCGGGGTACCGGAACAGCTCAAAGTCCCATCGACATTGATGTTGACTTTAACCAAGTAGCTGGGAGCACTAAGAGGCTGCTATTCCCGTCCCCTAGGAAAGACGGAGTGCCCAAGGTGCTTTGCGATGTTGACATCAATATCGTTCAGACGGCAGAGTGTCGCTCAGCAGAGAACCTAAAAGGAGATCAAGAGAACGCCACCGCATCAGGGTCGAATACAGCCATCAGCAAATTGGATGATTTAGAAGCTCTGTTCAATAGCCCGGCCAAAGGACGACCGTCCACCCCGCCACCCGAGGCCAAATCCGCTCCTGCTGAGCCTTTCAAGACCCCTACAAGACCTCCTCCAAACCATAGGCCAATCACTAGAAGTGTCTCGCGGTCTATGCGATCTGCCAAGTCGATCTTGTCTCCTAGCCAGCTCGCAGCCGACCGAACTCCTACCAAGACGCCAAAATCCATGTTGAGAATTCCCGGAAGCAGTGCGAGAAGACGCAGTCCGCGAGGTCATCAGGGCAATTTTGACAATATGTTTACTTCGCCAATTGCTCAAAATATTGTACAGTTCCTCTCACAAGGCAACACTTTGTCGTTTGAGGATGGCGAGATAGATTTTGGCAACCTCGCCGGAGACAGTGACGAACTGCTTGACTTTGGCCACCTTCTGAGTACGGATGATATAATGCCCAGTTCTCCACCCAAAAACGACACCTTGGGGATATCTTTCGAATACGAAGGCGGTTCTAGTAACATTGCTGACTGGATGGAGACTGTTATAAAAGAGCTTAAATGATGTGTTTTCAACGGGGTGCGATTAGAGAAAATGATGGGATTATATTTTGATGACTGATGCCAATTTGGGTTTTTCTTTATATCTTCTTGTTTTACACAGCGAGTGGAGTTTCGGGTAAGGGCGATTACAACTGGTTTTCTTGACGACCCAAGAACAGGTGTCAAGAAATCGACACTGCTTTACAGCAATCATGATTTTTTACACAAATTTCTTTCATTTTTTCATTTACTAGACATTAGTTATCAACCTTAGATAGTATTAGTATAGTGGATACCAGAGCAAGGCTCAATGTCGTTACGAATTTTTCCTCTGTGTTGCTTCTGTCAAATGTGGATCTGCGGATGAGAATAAGACGGAATACGGGTGCTCCAATTATATGAATGGAGGAGCTGTTTCAATTCAACGAAATTGAAACGGCCAAAAACTTTTAAATGCTTATGTGAAGTCTTGCAATACGCTTATCAACCAAATAAGCAGTAATACAACGAAGTAATTGAGACAGAGGGGCATTTCCACCCATATAATTTCAATTGGTTTACTGCGCGAAGTGGCTGGCAGAGTATATGCGCAATGTACCCCCGTACTTTAAGCTCCATGCCACTTAACGCGTCGCGTCTTTCGCATCTTTCATCCAACCCCACCACAGATAGCTCTCTGCTATACAGTACCCAGACAAAATTAAAATCCAAATCGCAACTGCTACCACTGGCCGGATTCCAATTTTATTTTACTGCCGGCAAACTACAGGAGGAAACATAGGCCGCAATTGGCCAATTGACAGAAATCAGTCGCCCATCATGGCCGGCGAAGAAATCCAATCCCGATTCGCTCCCAATGGAACCTTGGAGCCAGACGTTGTCAGCGAGCTCGAGTCCATGGCAAGACTACACGATATCTCTACGGAAGACCTCTATTTCAAATGGGAGTCTTACTGCATCAAGATGGATGTGGATACGCAAGCTGTTACGCTGTCGAATGTGCGCGGTCTGAAGCAAGGCATCCAGGACGAGCTGGAGAAGTCGCAGCACCGGGTGCAGCTCAAGAGCGAGAGGAAGATGGCGCCAACTTCAAGGTCCAAGCCGGGAGCCAAAGGAGGCGATGTATTTGGCATGTTGGATGGGCTGGTACCAAGCACGCCTTCGACTGGGAGGCTGAACAAGGCCCCCGGCAGTGGTGGAGGCAGCCTAAGACGGAGGATGGAAATGCAGAGAGACATACCGAGCTCGCCAGCAGCAGGACTCAACGAGCAACTAAAATCAATGAATCTTCCGTAAGTCTTCTTCGTTATAATATAGGTTGCTTTGCAGTCGTTGACTAGCAGTGCTTAGAGAGAAGTCCTTTGCGGATCGACAGAACCCAGGAGAGGTAATCGAAATTTTGAACGACGAGCTTCCACCCGCCGAAGCGCCGATTGCGCCGTTCCCCGAGCCGAGAATCAAGCTCACAGCTGCTTCCGATCAGAAGAAGACGGGATATAAACCTCTTGCTATGAAGCTATCAGAGGCCAGTGAGATCTTGGACGACCGAATCGACGATTTTATTGACTTGGTTCGCGAGCATCACAATCTGGAAGATTCTGCCTTTGGCAACGCTGCAACTGCAAGCACAACTGAGTTTGTAGCCGTTGGCCGTATAGCGTCAGATGCTCTAGAGGGGAAACTCAATGCCGCATCGATAGTGTTGGAGACCTCGAGGCGGATGGGGAGAGGTCTGAGAGTACCGCTGAAGTTGGACGGCATACGAGGTTGGAACTTCTTTCCTGGTCAGATCGTTGCACTGAGAGGCAGCAACATCACGGGTGACGAATTTATTGTGAAGGAACTCCTGGACATGCCCCTTCTACCGAGTGCTGCATCTAGTCCTTCAGCCCTGGAAGCTCATCGAGAGAAGCTCAGAGGTGATCCCGATGCCATGGATTCGGACTCGACCCCAGCGCCACTGAGCATCATATATGCGGCTGGCCCATATACAGCCGATGATAACCTCGACTACGAACCGCTGCAGGCGCTCTGTAACCAGGCAGTGGATACATATGCCGACGCCCTTATCCTCACAGGACCATTCCTTGATATCGATCATCCACTCATAGCTACGGGTGACTTTGATCTGCCCGAAGAGGCGACATACGATCCTGATACTGCCAACATGAATACTGTTTTCAAATATCTCGTCGCCCCGGCACTAAACCGCCTCGCCTCCGCAAACCCTCATCTCACCGTCATCCTCGTCCCTTCCGTGCGCGACGTCCTCAACAAACACGTCTCCTGGCCTCAGGATACGATTCCTCGACGAGAGCTCGGTTTGCCCAAATCGGTGAGGATCGTCTCCAATCCGATGACCCTGTCCATGAACGAGGTTGTGCTCGGCCTGTCCAGTCAGGATGTGTTGTACGAACTACGTAACGAGGAGGTCACCAAGGGGGCACCCGCCGGAGATCTGATGAGACGGCTGTGTCGCTACCTCGTTGAGCAGCGGCACTTCTTCCCCGTGTTCCCGCCGACGGATCGGTCGAGACTGCCCAAGACAGGAACCGAGGACGGGCTTGCGACGGGTGCCATGTTGGATGTGAGCTATCTCAAATTGGGTGAGATGGTCAATGTTCGGCCTGACGTGATGTTGATGCCCAGTTCATTACCCCCTTTCGCGAAGGTATGTTACTCTTTTTTTCCGAATCCCTTGTCCTTTCACCTTCTTTTGTTCTAGGTTCCCAGCTTACCATTTAAAACAGGTTGTTGAAAGTGTCTTAGCTATTAATCCCGGCTCATTATCAAAGAGGCGCGGCCCGGGAACGTACGCCCGCATGGCTCTCTATCCCCCGTCTTTGGACGGAGAAGTAATAAACGGCTTGATAACTCACAAGGTATTCGACAGGGCACGAGTAGAGATTGTAAGGATTTAAAAACTTGGGGAAAGAAAACGAGCACGGGTGGCATTATGTTTGGCTAATGCGATTGATGATAAATTCATGGCACATTTTAATTATTTCTTTTTCTTTTTTTTTTTTTTGTATTTAACAGTTTGCTTTTTTTTTCCCCCTCCAAACAGTTGTAGAACTACCCTATTATGATAGTCGAGCTGTCCCTTATTATACAAAATAGACGGGGTATATACGGAGTAGTAGATGGTTGGTTATCATGATCTTCTCTGGTTATAAGATCAAGTTATATATAGCTGCCACTTGCACCATGAAGGTTTTACCAATTGTTGCATCCTCTTTAAAAAAAAAAAAAAACCTTCCCTACTCTCGGGCATCAACCTTGCGTCTCTTGTCGCTGTCATAACGATCTCTTTCACGAGACGTGCTCCTCTTTCGGCGGCTCCTATGATCGTCCCTGTCGTAATCACGATCGCGATCCCGCTCTCGGTCCCTCCTTGGCGATCGAGACCGTGAGTACTCTCGGCGACGGTAGCTGCCTCCCCGATCTCTTCTGTCATCGAATCTGTCTCTCCTATCCCGCCTATCTCGATCGTCGTCGCCTCTTCTATCCGCGTCCTCTCGCCTGGTTTCCCTGCGATCACCCAGTGGAATCGCATTCGCCCCTTTGACGCCATCTCCATCCGATCTGAAGCGGTCATCATCAGGTCGAAATCGATCATCCCCATCAAAGTTACGGTCGTCTCTCCTCCTATCCCCTCCTCCTCCAAACGATCCCCAGCGACCAGTATCCTCACTCCGCATGTCCTTGTACTTGGTAGCTCCCTTCTTGCCCAGCTTGGTCATGTCCCGCCTCTGCAGATACTCCGGAAGCGCCTCACGGTTGCGCACATCGTCCTGTATACGGCCACCCATGATATCTCGCTGAAGCAAGCCCGCAGCGGCAGCTTCCTCCTGGAAAAAGGCTCCCTTGTGGTAGTACTTTTGCATGTATGACATCTTGCCTTTCCCTTCCTTCTCTTCCTTCTGCTTCGCGAGAAAGGCTTCGTCCTCGGCAGCGCGTTCTTCCTCTGTAAGGTTGCGGCGCCGTTCGACTTCGGCGAGCTCCTTCTCTCGCTCCTCGATGGCCTGGCGTGTGCGCTTGAGGCGCTTCAGCTCGCGCACTCGCCATGCTGCTTCCTCGGCTTCCGGGTCCAGCCCGTCGGTTGTGTCGACGTCTGATTCCTCGTTTTCCTCGTCGTCCCAATGCTTCTTCCCAGCGGCGCGCGCAGCTAGATCTTTCTTGATTTGTTCTTCGACGAGCTCGTCGGCAGCCCTTTTTCGAGCTTCTTCTTCGGCCTGTTGTCTCGCGTCTTCGTCTTCCTTGTCGCCACTCTTTGCAGCGCCTCGTTGGCTTTTGGGTATAAATTTGGGCCTCATCATTAATCTCCTAGGCGCCTCCTCCTCGCTACTACTCTCTTCCTCTTCCGATTCGCTCTCGTCTTCTTCGTCTTCATCCTCCTCCTCCTCTTCTTCTTCTTCTTCAGTGACGAAACCTTCCTCGGCTGCTAGCCTTTCTGCTTTTTCCGCGGCAATTCGACGCGCTTCTGCGGCTTCTGCATCTTTGCGCCGAGAAGCGAGATCGACTTTATTTAGGTTGCTGATGATTTTGCCAGCGCTGGCGGCTTTCGGGGGTGGAGGAACTGCAACGGGCTCGACGGGCTCTTCTGCGTCGCTGGCGTCTGAGTCTGAGGAGGATTCTGCGCCAGTGACCTTGCCGGCTCGATGACGAGACGGCTTTATAGGATTTGCTGTCATGCGCTTTGGAGGCATTGTGGCTATGAGAGATATGGAGGGAGATGTAATGTCCAAGTGGACGTAGTTGTTGCGTAGCAGCTATAAGGCCTAAGACGTGCTAGAAAATCAAAGGCGATAAGCTGGCTAGGGCGGTAAGCTATCAATTTTAGGCTCCCGGCCACTATCCGAAGCATTAGAGTTCGCTCTGGTTTTCTTTTTCGTTAACGATATTTTTTTAAAAGAGCATCAATAGATGTATTTGGCAGATATTGATATCGTGCACTATCAGAGGATTTCCCAGCGCATCTATGCTCAATGGCTGAATCTAGCTATGTATATGGGCGCTGTGACCTCAAGAAATTTGACATTTGCCATAGAATCCACGCGTCACCTACTCTAATAGTAATATGTCAACCCATGTTAGTGACTCAACTCATATACCCAATCCTTCCCCCTTGCCCTATATACGTTTAACAGTCTCAATACCATATCTCCAAACTACTAATTAGGCATTATTACGAGTCGAGTCTTCCATCACAAGCTACAGGGTAAGTCTCTGGGGGACTACGGAGTCGGCCCCTCGCTCACACGTCAGAGCTCCACCAGCCACCACGCATAGCTCAGGTATAGCATCTCTTTTAAGGTTCAGAATACGTAAGGTGGGATTTCATCTCGACCCGAGCAACTTTCACTTTCACTCTCACTCACTCTCACTCACCCTCACTCACTCCTATTCTCCTCACTAATAGGTGAGAAGAGAGGCTATCAATTTGTACAACCTTGATAACCTCAACGGCTGCCACCACCACATTGCCACTTCGCAGCTGGTATCTACAAGCTAGAGAATAAGCTGCGTATACTGCATACAATGGCAGAGCGAACAGTCCTTGTCACCGGTGCCACCGGGTTGTTGGGAAGAGAAGTGGTCTCTGCCTTTCGGCTCCTACATAGCGGATGGGCAGTCAAGGGAACAGGCTTCTCACGAGCAGACGGCGTTGACGTCCTCAAGGTCAACTTGGAGAGCGCAGCGGATGTCGCCAAAACGCTAGACGAGACACGGTACGTATTGCTATAGCTTCATTTGGTGGCGTCGTATGACTGGCCTGGCGATATATATGCTAATTAAAACTCCTGAGTGAGGAACAGACCCCAAGTGGTGGTTCATTGTATGGGCTAAGACACCCTCCCTCCGTGCAGAGCGACGGCTTTACTGATGTCGTTTTTTTCCTTCTTAGGTGCGGCCCAGCGGTTCCCAGACAAGGTGGATAAAGATCCAGAGGGGGCCAGGGCTCTCAACATTGCAGCTAGCAAGCTCCTCGCTAGTGTCACTGCTGCTCGGGATATTTTAATGATTTACATCTCCACTGATTATGTCTTTCCTGGACGGCCAGGCGATGCCCCTTACGAGGCTGATGCTACGCCAGGTCCTACCAACCTCTATGGCCAAACCAAGCTGGATGGCGAGAATGCCGTGTTGGAAGAATACGCCAAGGCCGGAAAAGAGGGCCTTGGAATAGTGCTTCGAGTTCCGGTGCTCTACGGCCACGCGGAAACACCGTCCGAAAGCGCCGTCAATGTGCTGATGGATAGCGTATGGAAGGCCCAGACGGAGGGGACAAAGATCAAGATGGACCACTGGGCTCTCCGCTACCCGACTAACACAGAGGACATTGGAAGAGTCTGCCATGGTAAGCTTCGGTCTCACTTCATTTTCTATACGCTTTACACAAGCTCCAGAGCCTGGTCTTCTTTGCCGATACCCCTGTCTGCAAGTTTCAGGCGAATTTGTGGCTTTTCTGCTATTAGAATGAGTTTGACGCTAACTGGGCTGTGCCGATATATAGATGTGGCGGTTAAGTATCTTGGGTCTGGAGATCGTAAGAACCTACCTCGGATACTCCAGTTCTCGAGCGAAGACAGAATGACAAAATATGAGATCTGTCAAGTATTTGGCGACATCATGGGCTTGTCTATCGCCAATATCGAGCCGAACACGGAGGGAAACGATCCCAATGCCAGCGTTCAACGGCCATATGATTGCCACCTAAGCACCCGAGAGCTAAAGAATCTCGATATCGACGTCTCAACATGCGACTTCGTTAGCTGGTGGCGTCGCGAGGTTCGAGCCTTCCGCAAGTAGCTGTTTATGACCTGCTCTTCTTCCGGCCACTTTTAATAGACCGACTGCGATTTTACCATGTCGACAACTGGGCGCTCGCTAGATTCTGCTATGCCTGTTCATGCATGAACATGGAATGTTGGCAACTGCTTTGCGGGCAGTAATCTACTCTTGCTGATACTGCCATCTAAGATATCTCGCACAATATATGTTACTCCCATGGGCGGAGGCTCGATGCATCAAATGCTGTGTACGACGTACGTGCTCCATGTTACTGTTTTGTTGGTGCTCGCAGGCTGCTCGTTTATGTGAAAACCGGTGCATACCACACACTGCATTGTGTGCCCACAATACCTGTCATATATGCGGAGTTCGAGGTAGGGAGGCGAAAGTTATATCTTACCCCGGCCTTCAGAAATGGCCTAGACTCACCGAACGGTGGGTGGTTCGCGGGGGATCCGCTTCGAAGGCGACATGAGAATATTTTCAACTTCTTGATGACCCCGCAAAGGGAGATTCTTCGATCTAAAAAAAGTCATTGCGAGTAAATTCTGCTGCAGAGCATTGGGGCTGCGCAGAGAAGCGATTTGGAATGACCCGGCTGTGCGTCTGCCAGGTAGGTGAGAGCAGATTCAAGGGCAGAAGCCGCGAGATGCTCGCTGTGGACGGAATACTGATGATTGTCCTGGCATTTAGCGGAGTCTGTTGTCCATCGTCATGTGCAATCTCACAGTCTCCCTTACATGAGGTCCTTTGCTAGGCTGAAGCCACACGGCAGTGTTTCTCAAGTGTCAAGCCGCATATTCAAGCACTAATCCCCCGTATCCAACCAGCTGGTCAAATTGGGACCCGCACCAGGCGAACACCCCCTTTGAAGCGCTCGGATACAGCGACGACGCGCATTATACGACAATGCTTGCAGTAAGCGAGCAATTATTTTAAGACATGCAGCGGAGATCAATACGCGGCCGACGGTGGAGGGTTTGGCTTGAAGGCCGTCGAGCGCGGATGGCATTTTGGCGATATGACCTGCATCATGGGCATCGAGGCTTTGCCGGGCAACTCTATCTCTCCTAAAAACAGGGTCGCTTGCCGCGAGAGATTGCGCTTGCAGTTTCAATTTTTAGACGGACCTTCTCTCCTCTGCTATTTCTCTCCCTTCCTCAACATATTTCCTCTCGCCATCCCCTCCTGACTTGTTCCTCTGGATAGCTATTCCTTCTGCAAGTGAATGGCCTTTGAGAACTGCTCATTCCCTTGAGGCCAAGCAACAAGTAACTAAAGTGGCGTGACTTGAGAGACAACAACGCTGTTCACTCTTTCTTCGAGACATATTTTCGGAATCTGGTACGTCAGCTGCGAGGTCAGTTACTAAGAGAACTGCATTGATTAATTTTTTTTTGCCCTTCTGTTTACAGCGATACGGCTGCTTGCACGCCTTGTCTCTCTTTCTTGTACCTTCGACGCTGAGCTGAAGACGGAGAAAGAGGGAAGAAAAAAGGGGGGGGGGAAAGAGAAGAAAAAAAGAAGAAGAAGTCAAGAACTGCCTATTTGCTTCTTTCTTTACTTCTGCTTCCTTTTCATTCTTCGCTTACGGTAGAGCCCCAGTCTAAGCGCCTTAATCTCGTTGCTGCGTGACACTTATATTGCCGGCTTACACGATTCCAAGCAGTATCAGGCAATCTGCCGCGTGCTGGTGCAGCTGTGGCTGTCGATCGTCTGACGCACGGATCCGCTGTAAAGCCTATTCTGACAGCGGCCCCAGGCGCGGCTACAGCAATTATGGCTGCTGCGGAAGATGCAGCTGCAGGGCCCCTCCAGGCGCCGCTACAGGCGCCTCCCGAGCAGCCCCCACCAAAGACGCCTCGCAACCGCACCTTTCGAGGGAAGAGCGTTTCGTCTCGTTTCAACCTGTTCCGCGATCCAGATCCCCAGAGCTCGGACGGCTCCAAGAGCCTCGCAGGGGCCCGCAACCCTCCTGCGTCAATTTCACTCTCACAAGCATCGGACGTGCCGCCCATCCCAAACTTCGTGCTCAGCGCGAACACCAAAAACGATTCTAGCCCGTCGCTATTAGAAAGGAGATTTTTTGGCGGCGAACTGAAGCCACCACCGTCGCCCTCGGCTAGATCTTTTTATTCAGAATCCGGATCGCCCTTTGGCTCGCCTTTGAGCAGGAGTATCAGCAGAACCGAGCGGGAGATCGACGAGCTCGCCACGCAATTGGAAGCTGAGATTGAGGAGGCGCATCGCAAGAAGGCAGAAGCCCTGCAAAACTGCACCGAAGAAGAGGCCGCTCGCTGTGCAGACGACGTTGCGCGACTCGAGGCTGAGCGGGACCAGGTCATTGATGAGCAGAGGAAGTTTGACCTCGCACGCCTTCAAGCGCAACCAACCACACCGTCCTCAGGAAAGCCCAAGCGAGGATTGGAGAAGCTCAATCTGTTCTCGAGAAGCAGGAAGCCGAGCAGCTCTAGTTTTATTCAGCCGCCGCTGACACCTTTGCCGCCTGGAACTCCCAGCACTGTTGCGCCGACGGTCTTTACGCCGGGTGTTTTTACACCTACACCAAGCTGCAGCCGACGGAGCAGCCTCGACGACTCGCCTCTGCTGCATTCCTCGCAAAGGATGAGCTTCATTAAACCACATCCTGATGGCGACGCGCCCATCTCTGCCATCAATGGCGGTGAACGAGTGAGTGCTGCTGGATAGACCTGTGTGACCACGTCCGGCTAATATGTGCTGACCCCTCTTTCCCCCCCTTTGCAGCGTGTTACCGTTCGATGCCTTTCGTCCACCATCAGTTTGGATGTAACAGCGCAGACGACGCCTGTTGATATTCTCATTGCAACGGCTGCGCAGACGAGGCACGATGTTGATGTTGAAACGAGCGTCGTCGTTGAATGCTACGACACCCTTGGATTAGAGCGACGCATGCGACGATACGAGCATGTACGGGACACGCTGAATTCTTGGGATCGGGACCAGGATAATTCACTTCTCGTGATACCATCAGATGCGTCAGATGGCGACGAGAATCTTGAACTAGAATCTGTGCCGCAGACGGATGACCCTGCGCCGGGCTTTACCATCCAGCTTTACCATTCCTCTCGCCCAGGCAAGTGGAATAAGCGCTTCATCACTTTGCTAAGTACTGGCCAAGTATTTGCTTCCAAGCGCTCCGATACATCAATATCGGATAAAGACAGTACGTCTTTGTGCCATTTATCAGATTTCGATATTTATAAGCCCAAGGTGAGCGAAGCGAAGCGGCACCTAAAGCCTCCCAAAAAGCTATGCTTCGCCATCAAGAGCCAACAGAAGACCGTGGTGTTCCCCAATGGAGAGAACTTTGTTCATTTCTTCTGCACCGATGATGCTGCAGTAGCCCAGAGATTCTTTGATCAAGTTCATGCTTGGCGGAGTTGGTACATTGTCAACAAGATCACCCACTCGCGCGAAGTTGAGAAGCCGGCGCCCCTTAATTTGGGCTTCGACACAATCAGAAGGCCACTCATCAGCGAAAAGTCCCCTCAAGTCTCTACTAGCGGCTTAACCATTTCCACTGGGTCATTCATAGATGACAGCGATTTCACCAAGGCTATTGAAGAGTCTACCAGGAAGCTGGCCCTCGAGGCTCAGCTTCACAAAACTATGTCGAGAAGAAGAAAAGCATCTGGAGCATCTGTCACCTCTAGCGTGAGAACTGCACGTGAATTCTCACCCACAGGCTTACTTGGAGAAGCGTATGAAAAGCGCAAAGAAGAGGCCGCGGCGGGTGAGCATACGATTGACGGTAATGTCGCCAAGGCCGAAAAGGTTACGAGCCCCTTCACAGAAGGCCCGTCTTTGTTGAATAGTATTGGCCTATCATCGCCCAAATCGCCTGAACAGCCCAAGATAGCAGCGTCCTGGTTCCCATCCGCCGCCGAACACAGCGCGCGCAACCGGAGTACCTCGATATCTCTACGACGAACGGAGACGGCGGAGACTCCAGCTCAGCCTGAGCACAGGAAGGGACCAGCACCGCTATTAAACTTTGGTGGCAATTATCAAGAGCCACCACGAACTCGAGATGGCCATCGTGATAGCCTGCGAGAGGGCTTCCGGCAAGGTCCCGGGCCTAGGCAAGGACATGGCCTGCGTCCTCCGCCAGGTTCGCCTCTCGTCAAGTTTGCAACATCGGGACAGCCAGGACAACAGGGGCCTCCCGTATCACCGGGAGCAAGAAATGGACCACCTCTCTCTGGTGGGCCACCACCGCCGCCAGGTGCGCGAGACCGCAGCCGTTCAATATCCAGTGCAAACGGTGGCCCCCCTAATGGCGGTTCTCGGCGTTATGCTGGCCCCGATAATCTCTCATCTACAGCTATGCAACACCGAGGACCCGGCCCACGGCCTGGTCGAATGCCTCCTCCATCCCCTCGTGAGGCTGCAGCTCACAGCCGTGACCACCATCGCCCAGGTCCTTTGCTACAAGAACGTCAAGAGCGTCCCAGAGAGCGACCTAGGGAGAGGCCCCAAGAGCGCCGGACAGGGCCATTGGTTAACCATGCTCGATAAAATACGCATTGCATACAAATGGCGACGCATGATAGTGGACCCCTTCTTTATCATGATACCCTGACCCAAAAGCAAAAGTGATTTCGATATTTGAGCTTTATTTTGTATTCCCTTTGTTCTTGTTTTGAATACCACATCTTGGTCATAAAGAAATGGCCCTTCTTTTCATTTGTTATATAATTTGATCAGGGCGAGCTGTTGCTGGGACAGCTTGTAAGCTATACACGGTATTTATTATGGGGAAAATTGGTGGTATTGGATTTAGCCTTTTTTTTTTATAATCGCATTCAGCAGTTCCAGACTTTTGGCATTAAGATGTGCGTGCGCGGAAAGAAATCGTGGAAGAAAAAGTTATAGTTATACATAATACTAGATCGTTGTATTCTGTCGTTCACATGCGTCGTGAATATATATATTAGTCTGTGTATTCCGTCGGCTTTAACATGATGCCCTAAATGCTATAAAATCGCCTTTTCTAACTGACTCTGCCTCTTTTCTATATCCGATACATTAAAGAAAGAAAGAGGGAAACAAAGTTTATTTATTTGCTTCGCTTGTAGATCTTGCTCAGGAAGACCTCAAACACCTGCTTCTTGAGGCCTTGGCTTTCGTCAATCTTGTTAATGAGCTCCTTGAGCTCGGTGGCACGCTTCTCCTCGAATGCCTCGTATCTCTCCTTTAGCTTCATATCGTCGTAGAGCTTCTTGATGACCTGCTCCTTGGCATCGTCCTTTTGGCCGTAGTTCTCCTCAAGGATCTTGCGCTGCTCAGGGGTAGCAAGCTTGAGAGCCTGGTTAACCAGCCAAGAGCACTTGTTGTCCTTGATGTCGGTGCCAATCTTGCCGATGTGCTCGGGCAGGCCGAAGTTGTCGAGGTAGTCGTCCTGGATCTGGAAGTACTCGCCGAGGGGGATGAGGATATCCTTGGCGGTCTGCAGGTTCTCGGGGGTGGCAATGTCCAGCATGTAAAGAGCCAGGGCGACGGGGAGGTAGAAGGAGTAGTAGGCGGTCTTGTAGATGACGATGAAGCTGTACTTCTCCATGGAGAAGTTGTCGAGGTTGACCACGTCCTCGGGCGCGGTGAGCAGGTCGCAGAGCTGGCCGAGCTCGGTCTGGAAGGAGCTCTCGTGGAAGAGCTCGACGAGCTCGATGTAGCGGGGGTGGTCGCGGAAGTACTTCTTGAGGATGATATAGATGCTGGCCTCAAGTAGGAAGGAGTCGTTGATGGCGATCATGCCGACGCCCTCCTGACGGTACCAGCAGGGCTGGCCACGGCGGGTGATGCTGCTGTCCATGATGTCGTCGGACACGAGGAAGAAGGCCTGGAGGAGCTCGGTCATCCAGCCCAGCGTGGCGGCCTTGAAGTATTCCTCCTCAGTCAAAGGTCGGCCCAGGATGACTGAGACCGAGTCGGGGACAGACATGCCCCGGTTGCATTTTCCGCCGAGGGGGTTGACCTCGAGGTTCTAAGGATGAAGAACACAGGTCAGCCATTTTTGCCATTGCAATGGGATAAACACATGAGTGAGAGCAATTATACCTTCTTGAACCAGGCCAGCTCAGCGGCGGGGAGCTTGTAGCTTCTGGCATGGTCGAGGAGAGCTTCCTCCAGCTTGGGGTAGACGGATTCAAACTCCTTGAGGGTGGTCTTTTGAGCCATGGCGGGCGAAGTGGGGGATTAGAAAGGAGATAACAAAGGGCAATTGGGTATCACGTGTAGTTGGAGAAAAGAAGGAGAAGAAGCAGAATTAAAAACACCTCGCTGCCACGGTTATAAAGATAAAGCGGCGGGAGGAGAGAAGAGCGCAAATAATATACCGGCACTGGGGGAAAGTGGTGTTGGGCCAAGTTGTTCGGTTATTCGAAATTGGAGAAGAGGGACGGCGCCCCTCCATTGGATTCCACCAGCGCCAGCTCAAAAAAAATTGCCAAATGACGGAAACTGACGGGGAGGCCCTTATTGTCTTAGCCTTTTGTGGGGCGGTGAGCGGCCGCGACACAGAAAGAGCGTGCATACAACATGCGGTGCTACCTACGTGGTAGTGGTGATTGGCGCCTCGCTGGGCGCCAGCCGCAGGGGATCGAGTCCCAGGCCGGGGCCTCTCTCAGCGCGCTTTGCGGTTAGCATGGTGGCATCTGCGGCGGTGCGCTGGGCGGTACCTGAAAATCAGCGCTTGGATCATTTCAATAGTCGCGAGGGGCCGCGAATCGGGAAGTGGTGGGCTTGTGGCAGCGGCTGAACAGGGACAGTACTCCGTGCCGCTAGTCGCGAAATGAGGTTATGCGCACTATGCTGCTGCACCGCCAGGCCTCTGTTTTTCTGTCTCTTCTATCTCTGGCACTGTACACTTCATCCCACTCCCCTCGCGTCTAATACGAGTACGGATTTGACGCAACGTACTCGGATCCGAACCATCACCAGTCCTTATCGCGGACGCCACAGCTCACAAACAAGCCCAGCCAATTTTATGCCGGCAAGCCTGATTCAGTGTACAGAGTGCAGATGCCTTGCATGACTGTCTGATATATGACAGAGAGAGAGCAGGGATTGCGTGCAGTTGCCTGAAGGCTGGGGCCGAGCCTTGCGAGCCTTGTGCTTCTACGACGTTGAACGGCTATCGCGGCTCCTCCCTCGTGGCTTTTCTGTCTTGTTTACTTGCCTACCCCAGCCATGGCGCTCAGCTCCCACGAGGTTGCCCAGCTCAGGGTCGCGCTGCAAGATGCGGTGGTGAAATGCTCCGAGCGATGCCTGTATCAATCGGCAAAATGGTTAGCTTGCATAGTCTCAGCGTCTCTTTTGTAATTTACCACGTGTGAACAGGCATAAGGCTGATAATCTTACTTTCAAGGGCAGCCGAGCTCCTCAACGCCGTTCCAGAGCCGGAGGACGGTGAAGGAGAGACTGAGAGCCCCGAGCTCGGTAAACACACCTCTCCAATCTTTTCACCAAATCAAGATGCCGACGAGGCTGCCCTGGAGGCAAAGGAGCTGAGCAGGTACCTCCTGGCCAAGTCTCTCTTCGACTGCAAGGAATATGACCGCTGCGCTGCCGTCTTCTTGCCCGACTCCCTGCTGTCCACCGTTCTCGACTCCCGCCTCGAGAAGCCCTTGGCGACTCCCAAAGGCAAGGGTAAGTCGAGGGCGACGGATGAGCCCAATCTGAGTGCGGTCCCTCTACCCAAGCTCAGCCAAAAGAGCCTCTTCTTGGCGCTGTATGCCAAGTTTATGTCTGGCGAGAAGCGCAAGAATGAGGAGTCAGAGATGGTTATGGGCCCTCAGGACCTTGGCACTGTGGTCAACAAACAGCTCCTAATTGTTGGGAGATTTTTGACTGCTTGGTTTGAGGAGAGGACGACGGACGATGATGAAGTTCTCGGAAGCCAGGGCTGGCTTGAATATTTGTATGTTGACAACGCGCTTACCTTGTTCCGTCGTTGGAGAGCAGTGTGGGTGGCGTTCACTAACCTTGGTTGACTGCAGATATGGCATGGTGCTTGCAAAAGAAAAGAATGACGAGAAAGCCTTGGAGTTTCTCATACGCAGTGTTCACAAGTACCCCATGAATTGGGGCTGCTGGCTCGAGATGACGTCTCTGATATCACGAGTCGAAGATGTAAGTTGATGAAAAGTAACGCGTGTCTTTGATTGTTGCAGTGACTGACAAGAAATCCTGTAGCTGAATCGAATATGTCGGCATTGCCCTCAAAATATTGTTTCTTACATGTTCCATCTTCACACATCGCTTGAGCTGTACCAGCAGTCCGCAGGGCTTGCCAATTCACTCGATCAACTTCTTTCCATCTTTCCGACCTCGTCATTCCTTCTCACTTGTAATGCGCTGTTAGCCTACCACGCAAAGGATCTGATGACCGCTGAGCAACATTTCAGCCGGCTGCTATCACTGCATCCTCACAGACTTGATTCCTTGGATCACTATTCGAATATTCTCTACGTCTTGAATCTGCGGCCGAAGCTCGCATTTCTGGCTCATTTGTGTTCGAGTGTGGACAAATTCCGACCAGAATCTTGCGTCGTCATCGGAAATTACTATTCGCTCTTGTCAATGCACGAGAAGGCTGTGGGATACTTCCGGCGAGCATTGACGCTGGATAGGTCATGCCTCTCGGCATGGACCTTGATGGGCCACGAATACGTGGAGCTGAAGAATACACACGCTGCTATAGAATCATATCGAAGAGCGGTAGATGTCAACCGGCGCGACTATCGAGCTTGGTATGGCCTTGGGCAAACATACGAGATGCTGGAAATGCATACATATTCGCTTTGGTATTACAAAAAAGCAGCGGGACTCCGGCCGTGGGATGGTAAAATGTGGATGGCAGTTGGTTCATGCCTCCAGAAAATGGGCCGAGAGCGCGATGGCATCAAGGCTCTCAAACGTGCTCTGCTCGCCGATGCGTACTATGACGTTGGCAGTAGTTTTGGCAGCGGCGGAGACTTACTCGGAGCTCGTGGCGCCACTGGCCAAATGGACCCAGAGATACTTTTGCAAATCGCTACCATGTACGACCAGCTAGGAGAAGAGGAAGAGGCCAAAGCTTATATGGAGCTCTGTGTGGCACAAGAGGATGGGGGTCCGGCAGCCGCTGGAAACTTAAGCGACTCTGTAAGGATTCATAATGATTCGCCAGGAGGCTCTGAAGGCTATCATGAGCGAGACGAGAATAACGCGGAGGGGAATGCCGAGGGTACCGGCGTCACGGCCGCAACCAGCAAGGCACGGATGTGGCTGGCCAAATTTGCGATGCGCACCGCGGACTATACGACGGCAAACCAGCTCGCAGCTGAGCTGTGCCAGGATGGAGTCGAGGTAGAAGAGGCCAAGGCCCTTGTCCGGGAGGTGAGGTCGAGGCTTGAGGCTTCCGGCATGTTGGGATCTGTCAGCTAGCAGCAGATGCATGAAAAGTCTAAGCTGCGTCGATTTTGACCATGGTGTCTTTCACGATCGATCATAAATGATTTTTTTTTTCTTGTAATGACTGGAAATGGAGCATAACTGGTAGTGTTTCTTTGACTTTGACACATATTATTAGCATAAGATGGAATCATATCATTAGCATAAGAATGAAATTATTACGGAATTATAGATGGTCGGATTTAAAGGAGTGTAACTTTTTTTTTTATTATTAAACCAATACTTGATGTCTAAGCTAAGCAATTCCACAACCGAAACCCCTATTAGCCCGCCCCAGTTCTCTGTTGATATAAAAAAATAGGCTCTCTCCAAAGTGTGAAGGAGTGTCAAGAATGTTAGAATTCCCAAATCAAATAATTAAAAAGTTGAGAACTGTCCCCTAGTAGGTGGGATATGGCCAGGCCTCCCCTGTTCACCTTTCGGTAGCCATTTTCTCCTCCGATGATGACGAATTGCTCATTTAGAGAGCGAAAGCGGCAATACCAGCGAGGACGAGAGCACCGATGCCAGCATTTGTCTTGTCGGCAGCAGCGGTGGGGATGAGCGGAGGAGTTGTGCCAGTGGCCGGAGGAGGAGGAGGAGCCTCAGAGCTCGCCGGAGGAGGAAGCGGCGGGGGGACGACAGAGGTCTCCGGAGGAGGAAGCGGCGGGGGGACGACGGAGGTCTCCGGAGGAGGAACTGGAGGAGGAACTGGCGGGGGAACGACAGAGGTCTCCGGGGGTGGGACCACGGTGGTTTCCGGAGGTGGTGGTGGAGGAGCCTCCGTAGTAACAGGAGGAGGAGGAGGAGGAGGAGGCACCTCGGTAGTAACAGGTGGCGGAGGAGGAGGGGGAGGAGCCTCCGTAGTGACAGGTGGTGGTGGTGGTGGCGGTGGTGGCGGAGGAGGAGGAGGAGGCGGAGGAACCGGGTGAGTAATAGTGCAAGGACAGTCTGTTGCATGTCATTAGTCGTGGTGTTTATAAGCTGGAGAATTAGCAGAGAGAGAGCCTTACTGGTAATGGTCAAGGTGGTTGGCTCAGTGACCGTGTAGGTGATGCTGTTAATGGGGATGACAGTTGGCGACTATTAGGCAAAGTTAGCTGCTAGACATCCGATACAAGTTTTTGAGGTCACTCTAGAAGATATTAACTTACAGGACAGAAAGTCGTATAGTCAGTAGTAATGACAGTGGTGTACTTGGTGATATTCTGCGGAGGCTGGTACGGAGGAGGCTGAGGCTTAGGAGGCTCGTACTTGGAAGGCTGAGGCTTGGGAGGATACTTTGGACCCTCAGGATACTTTGGACCCTCAGGATACTTTGGACCCTCAGGATACTTGGGACCCTCAGGTTGCTTGTTGCCGTATTCACCACCGCCGGCAGCAACTGAGGTAGCAAGCGCCGCAGCGGACGCCACGATTTGAATGAAACGCATATTTGCGGTATCAACGAAGGACAAGAAGACCCAAAGTTAGAAAAGCTTTTGAGCTAGTGTTTGAAAGACTGTATCGAACGAGTGTGAGTGTGATGAGGGAAGAAAAAGAAGGCTGAGATCATGGGATCACGTCGCCTCTTTGTAGTCGAGAGGGAGCGGGTCCTTGGCAAGAGGATGGCTGCATTCAGGCCGAGCATCCAGATGCTGTGCCATGCCGCATAAGGAGAGGCTTCATGAAGCCATCCATTGGTTTCGAAGTAGCCTCACCGGATTTGGAGAGAAAGCTTAAGAGCTCGATCTATGGCTGTATGGCGCCACCAAGGACTAGAATTCTGGGAGTTGGCAAGGATAAGGACAATGATAGGATGGATAGGATAACTAACAAGAGCTGTTACAGAAGATGGGCGTACACAGCCATTGAGATGAGAGTGGGTAGGTGCTGAAAGCAGCAAACAGGGATACATGTTCCTGGGGTATATCCTTTAGTTTCTCCATCTCTAGTGTGTATCTTGGGATCTGCGGTTCTTCCCTTGCCTAGTGGGGAGTAGGAGACGGCTCGGGGCTTGATTATAAACTTACAAATAAAGAAGGCCGCTACCGGCCTGATGTCACGAAACCGTCAAGAATCTTGTAATTACGATCACTGACATGATTAGTTCAAGCTTGTTTGGCTGGTGGCGGCCGTCGCTGCTCTCTACTGGCGTGAATGGGAACAGACAAAGTTTGTGCTCCATCTAGCTATGGAACTAGTCCAGCAAGCCCAAAAAAAGAGCAAATATCATGTTACCTCTCAGCTTGGCATAGAGCCGGAGGGATGGTTAAGTCATTGGCTATCTAAGTAGATGTGCTCCATTGGCAAAGTTTGGTCCTGTCTTGCGATACTTCGTTTGCCGTTTCACTAAAAAAACAGCTGCCGGTGGATGCTTGAAATTGCACCGAGCTCGCTTGCATGAGGCTTGCACAAGGAAAGAATAGTAGGAGGATGAAGGAGAAAAAGAACCAATGAATTGGCCTGGATCAAAATAACACGAGAACAACCGGCGCTGGAGCGGTGGTTTTGGCTGCAGTGTATGATGCAATTCCCCTGCTTCGGTAGCAGTAATGAGGGGAGAGTTTGAAAGTTCTGGGTGCCTGTCGTAACACAGCCGCATAGCGTCTGCCGTGTAGCCGTCTCAAGTAAATTCCGAAAACAAGCTACCTAAAAAAGGTCCAATCTGCGATGTTTGGAAATGGAAAAACTGGATCTGGGCATGAGTGCGGCGATGGCGCTTCGTATAGATGGAAGCAGAGTTGACCAATTCGAGAACCCATGTCCAATACGGCCTTGCCTTTTTGCCGTCCAACGTTTATTGCCGTGGGTGAAGAAGATTCAATTGAATGAATGCGGTTGAAATACTGCAATTGATTGCTCCATTGCTATATTTATCCATCTGCACTGACAGCAGCTGCGGCGCCTTCATCGATCTGCCTTATCGTGATGATTCCGGCTCCCAGGTAAAGGTCTGACTGGAATGTGGATGGCGCGCGATGCAACCAACCAGCTGCTGGCCTGCCGAAAGCAACGCTGGGCTTCCTCCTTCGCAAGAAAAGTTAAATTCTAATAATTTAGGTAATACGATAGGTGGAATTTCGTCTTTGCCTGCTTTCATGTAAGTGATTGGCTTTGGCTCGAGGTGTGGTGCATGCATACATACAACTTTAATCGTTGGTCGAGGCTTGAAATGGACTAGGCCGAGATCGAACAGAGGTCTGTGGTAGGTTGCACGTCATTTCTGCACGCGAAATTCACATACAGAGCTGATTTTAGGACTCGTGCAAGAATGGAGCACTGATGAATAAATACCAAAGGCTGAAGAGAGAGAGAGAGAGAGAGAGAGAGAGAAAGAGGGAGAGAGAGGAAAGCTCCAGTGGGTGTCACGAGAGCTAAGCTGAGCCCCCGGCGATATTGTCACTGTGCGCTGCTGCTCAATTCGGCGAACATGCACAGTGCTATCTGCAATTAGCTTAGATATGGACTGTGTCTGCTGAGCCATGCCCTGGGGCATCTACAGGAATACGACTTCATCTTTTTTCATCGGCGAATAATCAAGCCACTTCTCCACAAACTGCAGAAAAACAGCTTCAGTACTTCGCGCCACCACTCTAATGGCTTTCACATGCAGCAGCTTTCCCTCAGCGAAAACGAACCTGGCCCGGCCCGCATCTTCCGAATGAGGGAGCAGCACTGACATCGAGCGAACGCGCTGAGTTCGCGGAATTGTGCACGCCACTGGGACTTTGTCAAGGGATGAATAGTTTTACGGCAATCCTAGTAGCAATTGCCGCGTTTTTGTAAAAATGGATTGCTAATTTTACTTCCAAAGAAGAAGAAGAAGAAGACGGAGAGAAAGTTCGAGTTTTTCTGCCAAAGGCTGATCTCGATGCCTGCCCACCCACACAACAACAAACAAGAGGTTCCTCGTATAACACGCAACCTTATGTCCCTTGTCACCACACCACATTATAATACGTTTCTCCGATTGGCACTCGAGCATGCACGAACACGTGTGCAAATATGCAGACTCATCGGGTTTGGATGAGTGTGCTGCGCAACTACAAGTAGTAATTGCATTGCCGCAGACATATCACCATATCATGGCCCTCACATGCAGCCTGCCCTTGACATTGTCCACCCACCTCCAAGTCTCCGAGGCATTAATTCTGGTTCCCGTTCTACCGTTTCAGACTTCGATCGCCACTAGTGTTCTCTATCCTCTATTAAGCTTACATGCCTGCGTCTGCCTGGGCAAAACTTCGGCTTTGCAAGACGGTCTATGAACCTGCAAACTTGCCACTGTGCGGATTTTCCGAATAGCCTAGAACAAAAATTTCTGCTCTACGACTTGGCGGTTCCATCCTAAGAGAGCAAGTTCTCCGTTTTGTCCAGCTTTGACTAGTTCTCAGGGAAACGTAAAGATTGGCCCGAGCCGTCGAACAAGAGTCAGGCTCACGGTTTACCGCATCAGGTAACTATAAACGCACCTTTGGCAACAGCAGAGCTATGCCTGTCTTCTATGCTTCAGTCTTTTCTGCTTCCAAGTGGAGGTTGAATGTTAGTCGTGATATCTAAAAAGTCCAGAAATCTGCCAAAACGGATTTTAGCTGTGCAAATGTCGTCGTCATCGCTTCTTACATCGCCAATTTCTGACACGCAATGGGGCACCCAAAGAATTGCTCAGGAGCCATTTATCATCTGCCACGCCGTTTTTTTTTTTAGTTGACTGAGGCCTTTTCATCTGATTGACAAGTTCCATTGTTGCCGAGCCTTAGGCACACAAAGGATGGCAATTGGGGCACCAAGTAGCCCCCAAGTCGTATTGTTGGACGCCCAAAATCCTACGATACGGTGCGCTCTGGTTCTCTTCCGGATAACATGCCATCAAATTCTTGAAGTGGCTGCATAAGCCAAGCACAAACATGAACCTGTCGAATCATCTTTGCAGCTAGAGACGTGCTGCCCAACAGCATGTTCTTGTTGATGGCGACTAAAATCGCTTTTGCGTGGCTTACATTGTTGCAAAGAGCACAAGCGCTATATTCGGCTATGACTGATTGTATGTTCATTCGTAGCACAGCCAAGAGGAAGCAATACCGTGCCAATTACACCTTCTCTCACCAAGCGCTCGTTAACATCCTTTTTCTACGGAGATCAGCGCCGACGATCGTGAAAATGGACTCGAGCGATGAAGAGAATTACGATAGAGGCAGAAGATAGTGAGAGTGAATTCCCGTGGAGTTCCCCCACTGCAGAAACTACGTACAAGTGATGGAGCTCTAAAGATTTTTCAAGTCCCACCTCTTCTCGCCGCTCCTCACGATTCAGGTTTGCAACCGACGGCGATATCCCTGCGCCCGAAAAAAAGCAAGGATTGGGCTTGTTCCTGAATCCCGATCGTTGGCCATCTAGAGGGCCCCCCAGAGAAGGATCCCTTGCCCGGCACAAGGCAGATACTGGAAACACGCAGGCCTCTGCGGCGGGGAGAAATCGATCTGGACGATGGTCCCCGATTCCGTGAGCTAGTCGCAGGCTATTTACGCAGGGGACAAGCATTATTGAAACGATCATATCCAAACCTAATTCGTGGACTGAATGCTGAGATACATTCACCTTCTATTCATTCGATCCATTCGCGCTCTTGCAAAAGGCCCTCTAGCCACTGAGGTAGCTAACGTCAACTAGTTCGCACATGTCGTCAAACTGGATGAAGCACAGCCCAGGAACTTTCTGCGGGCTTTTTACTCGGAGGCAACGGAGTGAGCGGCCACAACAGGTAAAATCCCACGATCCACTCACCGGTCCGGCCTGTCAGGGCAAACCACATGGATCTTGCCAGGCACCGGCCAATGGAGTTGCGGAGCCGGGTCGCAGCCGTCATGCAGCTAAAAACGATGGTTTCCCAAGTCGCTGGGCACTCTTTCAGCCAATTGCAAGCTTTGAGAGGAGTCTCGAGGCTGGCTGCTGAGGGGTAAATTCGCACGAGCGAGGTAGCGTTCTCTCGTTGGGGGCCTGGGTCCGAGAAGGGCGCAGAGGCAATCCGGCAAAGAAAATTACCTGTGCGTGACTGCGAAAAGCGATCGTTGCGTGTCCGAATAGCCCTTCCGGTATAACAGTGTGCTAGCAGCAGCAGACTACGAGCAGTAGTAGCAGACACTACTCCATACTTATACTAGTGTTTGCTAGGCTCTGGATTTGTGTCCTGGTCCAGGAACGAGTGCACAGTGTGGCCGGATGTCCCTGGCTCCCCACCATCTTTTTCTCTGTGCCTTGCTTACATGCCTTGATACGCTGCACGTCGGCAGCAGGATACGAGTTTTGACTTCCATTGGAGTGCCACGACTGCTCACTCCGACGATGGATTGGCGCTGATTATGCTTCCTGTGAGGGCGTTTGATGCAACCCTGCGCCTATGGATCACGAGATGAGGGGAAGGGCACAGCGGCAGCTGTAACTCGCTGCGGTTTCCACACAAGTCGGCCTACGTCCATTCAAAATGCTCTCTAGCTAATATGGAATATCCCGTGGTGGCTGAAAATGGACGCTTTTTGTTTCACACTGCGCCAGCACCAGGCCAGCTTCGGCGACCTGTCTTGCTAGCCATCGTTCATCGATTGTTCTATTTTTTTATTTCTAAACTTGTCCTTCTTTTCTTTTGAAAGGACCCACTCCCGGTCAAAGTGTGCCACGCAATGAGAGCCCGAAATCCAGCTTCTGCGAGTCCACTGTAATCCATTGTGGCGTTGAACAGGGGTCAACGGCTCAAGAGGTGGAAAATTAACACTGAACACGGCCATATGCAAATGCACTAATGTGATCAGTGTTTTCTTTCCCCCGTTTGCGGCTCTCGGGTGGTCTTCCGGGGCATACTATGTACGAATTGTGTGGCTCGACGCCCTATTAGCATTCTGCCGACCCATCCACACCAATAGTCAGGCACAGTTACTGGCTAAGAGATGGTGCCTGCATTAGACTCTGGATTATTCTAGGCCAACATGAGAAGTCTTTGAGCACAATAACCCTCAGGTCTCGGTGTCGTCTGAATCGACCCACGTTAGCCGCCCACAAGGGGGGGACAGGCCACGCCGTTTCCTCTCCTCCCCACCAGACTACCATTTGCCACGCAATGTGTCAACCGACGAGGCTCTGCGGTTGACTTGAGTATAAAGAGGAGGGATTCCTTCTGTCTGTGCTCTGGAGATGTCCGTTCTCAGTATCACATTCACTATTCATTTCACTTGTCTTCGGACTACCATTCATTCTTCTATCCTTTACGCTTTTTCACTCTTTTTGGAAAGCAGACTATAACGGCAAGGCCCGTCACAATTACATTCAAATCAACATTCATTCTTTAGCTTCTTAAGCAAACAAACCATCAAAATGCGTTTCGCTACTTCTGTTGCTACCCTCATTGCCTCCGCGGCTCTCTCCAGCGCTGCCAGCGTTACCTTCTGGACCTTGGACAGCACTCAGCGCACCATCTACTTCACCAGCAACCCTGGCAGCGCCAACATTGACTCCGTCACCACCAGCGCCGGCAAGAACACCACCGTCACTTTCCCTGACACCTGGCAGGGCAACTGGTATGCCGTCCGGGAGGGCGCTGCCAACACCCCCGGTATGCTCGGTGAGGTCAACTTTGGCAGCTGGAAGGGACTGACCTACTTCGACGTCTCTGCCATTGTCGACCCCAACGACAAGGACAACGTCAAGCAGCTCTTCCCTGCTTCCGGCTATGAGCCCATGTCCGGCTGCGAGAACTTCCCTTGCAACAACGCCTATTACCTGCCTGATGACATCCAGACTAAGGCTACTATGGAGTCTGATCTCATCTGCACTCTGGGCTCTGGCTCCGTCGGCTACAGCTTCACTGAGTCTCAGTAAATGGCTGCTTAGTCAAAAAAAAGTTCCCTTTTCTTTTTGTCTGACTTGGGAGTTGGCTGCTTCGCGAGGCATTCGCGATGCCACTGGCTCCCCATGGTGCTGAGCGCCGAGTCACTCACGACGCTATGATTAAATGCAAAAATATCAACGGGATGATACCTCATCTGGTCAGAGACCAGAAATTTATGGGCAAAAAGGGTTACAGGGCATTGGTTTATGCACGGGGAAAAAAAGGACAAACTTGGTTGCGAGCACAACCATTCACTTCTCACAGATTTGGTCTCTCTTGACATGAGGGAACCAGAGACTGGCACTCATTTTCAGAATATTCACCGCCGACCAAGGCGCTTCATACACTCCTTTATTACCATTTTTACATTTTTCTTCTTCTTGAATACCCCATTTTTTCGATTGTACATATTAGACATTAGAAACATTCTAGACAGATAGATTTAGAATTGGCATTGTGGAATTTTGATTCAAATATCTCGATCTGTTGCCCGTCTTCTCGCAAAATGCATATTGTATGGCATGATATAATATATACTCACAGCACATTTCACAGCCCATTACGATCTGAATTAGAACTGCGCAATTTTCATGATACAGCTCTGAAGCTCGTTTTTGCTAAACGATGACTGATTTCTCTTCTGGCTAAACGGAAGACGGCCGTTAGTGTGAGCCACTTACACACACTAGGAGATTTTTTCGTCTTCCATGGAATACTACTAAAAAAAAAGAGAGAAAGAGAGAAATCTCCATAACAACTACTACCTGTCAAGACTCAACTAGAGCTGCCCGACACCAACACCAACTGTGCACTAGCAAATATAGATCACGGAGAGCGTTGCCCAAAAGAGGTTACTTGTTGTCCTTCCAGAGACGAGAGGGGAGAAAAAAAAAATTGGGAAGAAGGCGAGGAAGCTCTCTTTCAGAGCTATCCCCCGAATGGATCCTCCGAACCTTGAAAGTGCGCAATACTGTAATATAAAAAGAAAAACGTTTTCATCGCCACTTCAGAGTTTTTTCTTTCTTTCTTTTTCCTTAAACGGCAACAAGCTCTAAAAAAAGAATTAAAAAAAAGAGGCAAAAAAGAGGGCTTCACACAAGTACGCAATTTCGTCATTCTCAACAGCCTTCGGTGTCTGTAAACGGTTAAAATGGTGCTCCATTCGCCGAAAGAGGAGAGCAACGACAATAAAAGAAAAATGGCGTTAACCTTCCAGTTCACTGTTTTGACTTGACACGCGCCACGTTTTGGTGGGGTACGGACTTGGTTCCGAGAAATAGTAGCGAGGAAATAGAGAAAAAAAAATAAAAGAGAGAAAGGGCGAGACTTTACTGTTGCGCACGTGGAGATGATTGAAGAGGCGTAAAGGTTTCGCGCCGCCACTCGGCTACTCGCGCGTTCTCCAGCGCACAAGAAAAGCGAGAGAAGAAAATTCCGACGGGTCCTTTTGTTATAAACGAGTAATGTATGCCTCTAGAAGCGCCGTAGAACTTCCGTTGTCTGGGTCATATGATGAAATATCTCAAATAGCCGATCACTCGGCGTCTATCGTCGGTGTGATAGTATAGAGGTATTATGATACAGGACATTATCTCCACAAGGTCGTATGTACACGACACGGGCAACCTTGTATCTTCCTTTGCCCTTCGTAAGCATGATATACAGTCCAGAAAGATGAACCCCCCCAAAAGCAGCCATAAACTCCCATCTAATGATCTCGCGTATGTCACGAACGAAGCCATCCAATGAATGATATATATAGGCCCCAATAGTACCTTAGCCCTGTGGGGTTTCCTCAGAAGATGTCTTCTTCTCTGGTTCAGTCTTCTCCTCTACATTGGAATCGGTAGTACCATTGGTTGTAGTGGGTGAATTTGTCACAACAGTCTTTGACTTGACAATACCAATGAGGAAATCACCGGTATCGCCGAATCCATCGACTTTTTGCAACTTGTTGATGAAGAAATCGACTTCTTTGGCCATGCTGCAAAACGTTAGAAGAAGAAAAATATTAAGATGCTCAATATGGTCACATACCGCGATTGACCAGCTTGCGTTGCTACAGGAGCTTGTCGTAAGGCGTCTCCTAGTTGGGTTTTATAGCTTGCAAACACTGGCACCATGATAACTTGGATAGATGTTTCGGGGAGATGTTTCGTCAAGACACGGTGTAGCGTTGTGGTCTCCTCAGCCAGCTTCTGTATGAACGAATGTTTTTCGTCTGGAGACTCAACATCCCAGATGATGGATCGAATGCTCTTTGCATGATTCGTAGCTCGACCACGCATAATTTCGATTAGCTTTTGATGAATACTATCTTGATGTTCTTGAAACAGTCGTCGAATTTTGTCGAACTCTCCCATGAGATTGGTGACGTTTCCACCCGAGCCAGCTTGACGACGAACATACTCTCTTACATGGGGAACCAATGCCGCCATGAACGACAGAGCTTGAGATGCGAGAGCCAGGTGCCTAGCCGTGATATTCTTCAAGCCAGCTGATCGAGTAGCACCAGCCCCTAAGATGAGCTGTGTGCATCGGGAGTTGAAGAGTTGTAGATACGCCACCAGAGACGTCGCAATGTCTGTCGTCATGGAAGGAATTCCGGCGATCAACTGCAAAAAATTTCCCATGCCATCAAGACATAGAATTGCAGAATTGGGAAGCACGAATTTCTCAGACTCGATGATGGCATTTCGAACCTTTTCTTTGCCAGCACCATTTGTCCCCAACGCGGCAGCATCCGAGCTAAGCTTCTTTGGAGTTTCATATGGAATCCATATCTTGCTGCTCTCAGTCCAAGCCTCTATATCTTGGGTACTGCATTCTAGAATCCGATTCAAGAGTTGTGTGTTTTCATCCGTAAAATCTTTAGAGCTCCACTGATCCGATTCCATTCCCTGTGCAAGCTTCTGCATTGCGGCATCGCGATACTTTTGCACGAATTCCTTGATGTGGTTATTAACCACTGTCTTCAATGCAGTGCAGCTTCTCCCGGATATGGCCTCGCATTCATACGTAAAGTACAAATTTAGGTTAAAGTATCGCAGGAATAGGTCGAGTGGAAGGTGGATAGCTTGCTCTGAGCGAACTTTAAGGATCTTAACAATCTTCTCGTTCGCTAGATCAACGGCTTGGGCTAGCAGATTTCCCATATCAATCGCTTTGTGAAGTTCTTCTTGAATCGCGAAAGCGGACTGCTGCTGGTTATTACCTTGTCGATCATATCGAGGGCTGGGCAAGGGAGATCGTATTGGCGGTGACTTCAAACCGTCGCTACCACCAGGTTGATCTGAAAGAGAGCTGGCAATGTCTAATAAAACTTTGATTTGTGTTGATGCTCGCCTCAGCGTCTCTGTAACGCCGATGTATATCTTCATGAGAAGTGCCTCAGCATCTTCCGGATCTAACGCTCGCAAATTACGAGCCAAATTAGCGGACTTCTCTTGACTCGATAGATGTCTTCCTCCGCCTGCAGTAGATATGGACATCATAGACATACTGTCGTCGTCGTTAGAACTTGGCAGGGGTCGACGGATCAAGTTTCGAATTTCGCGAAGAATGTCCTCTCGGTAAGCAGTCGCAGCAGTCGCAATATGCTGTGCGCGATGTAAGCCAGTCATGACAGGTCGTATCTGGGCTTTCAATTCGTCTGTACCAGCCAGGTATGTGGGAAATACAGACGGTGATCTCGGATAGCTGCCTCCTCTTGCCTTTGGTGCTGCATTGCTCCATCTAATCAGAACATCAGCTGATGTAACAGATTCGACATGCTTGCGAACATCGAAGGACAACATGGAAGAAAATTGAGATTCGTATGCCCTGCCAATACGAAACCGGAGCTGAGTGAGATCCGAATTAACTCCTTGTAGAGCTGAGGCAGACCTGAGATCTCTCAACCGAGGCATCTCGCCCTGATCAGACTCGTCACGCTCACCAGCTATCAACAGTTCCAGCGAGTCGATATTGACCAGTGCTTTCTCCACTTCGCCAGCATCTACAAGAGACTCGCAACTCGCTACGCCTTCGGTGATAAGTCTGAGCTGCCATACCGCATCGCTGAGCTGTCGGAGATTTTCCTGTCGCCGTTGCTTTTGAACCATCATCAGACCATTCGCTGCCACTCTCTCATCTAGAATCTCTAGCTCTTTCCTTAGAGCCTTGATCCGCATAACAGAATCGGCTGCTTCGGAGTGGAGCTCCTTCAAGGATCCAAGCGCAGTGAAAAAAGTGGTTGATGCAGTGGAAATAGAATTGATAAGATGGATTTCAATGGTGTCCATGTACCAAGAGAGCTTTTCTTGCAGAATAGCGTTGGTCGCAAGCGTTTTTCTGGGTGCCACCGCATTCCCATTCCCCTCATCCTTATGTTTCTGTATTACTTCGGATCGCTCGCTGACAACGTCAAAGGTTCGAGGATTTTCAAGGTGAAAGTCGTCATCGAAGTACACGGTGGGAATTGTTGACAGGGGAGGAGGCCCTTGCGCAGCTTTACGGCTAAGCACTGACGGTCTTCGCAGAGAGCTGACTGTGTCTACCGAATTAAGAGAGGACAAAGATGCCGTAGAGCCCTTTCGAGGTAGGCGGTTTCTCGCTCCAGGTCGCAAAAGCCCGTCGCCAGCACTATCAGCCTGTTCATCTTGTTTACTGCCTCGCCGATTGGCATTTTCCTCCTCTTCATTTTCCTTCACCCGACGAAGCTGTTCGTAGAGGGTGCTAATTTGAGCGAGATACGGCCCGAACTCCTCGGGGTCAATCTGAGGGATGTTGGTCAATGTAACAGGCGGGATATCCCTTGCGGTAGGTGGTTTATGATTGCTCGATGCTGGCGCTGATGTATGAGGCTGGAGGCCTGTCCGTACAATAGGGGGCTGCAGCAGTGTCGAGATGGCTTATAGCGCTTCATTAGCTAGCGTTGGGATTTAGCTGTGTGCAGCTCAACATACCATTCTGGCCAGATTCGTATACAGCACCGTTGCCACCGCTCAGTGTTGTATCTAAGGTCCCCCCTATAGAGTGAATTGAGCTGGCTGTGGAGCTTCGTCTTGAGTGCGGCCGCGGGTGACCCTGGGCTATTCGACTGCTACGTTGGCGTCAGCTACCAAGTACATGGAGCTATCCCCACAGAGCTCAAGAAACAATGCTAACCTGTGAAATGGATAGTCCGCTCGGCCCCCGGGAGATAATGGCGCAAGGTTGTCGACAGATCTGCCGGCAACTGGGGAAGAATACATGATTGGCGTGGTGGAAGATGGAAGACTGCAAGATGAAGGTCGAGTCGATTGTGGCTGAGCGAGAGGGCGAGAGCAACGCTGCTGACTTGATCTCCTAGTTCTGGTCAAGAAGGGACTACCGGGGTATCATGGCTAGCAAATGAGCATTGAAAAGGATTAAACGCTGGATTAGAATTAAGATAGACGAAAAAGAAATGGCGACAGGAGATAAAGTACTGAGCTCCGGTTTACGAGGCCCATCTATTGACCAAGCTAACAATAAGCCGGGAGTCGCATGCCATCAGCGAGCTAATCGTAGCAGCAGTTGTGTCAGCATTGCGCCAGCGCAGCTACATCTGGCCCGAAGCTCTACCGAAACACACGTGATACGGTCCCTGGAAAGTCTTTACGCTAAGCCATTTCTAGCTGCGAACCCGCTTTGCTGCAACCACTTAAACGCGTGTTTCGCGTCGTCGTTAGAGCGCGTCTGCGAAGTACAATGTGCTGTACCTTTTTCTAGCCAGATTGCCCCGCTACTACTCCGTACCTTAGCAGTACTTTTGTACCCAGCAGTTTGGGTATGGTTACCACCGCAACCTGCCTGAAGCAGCTCCTCCTCGAAAATTGCCCATCGTTCTTCATTTTCGGTTGAAGCCTCCGCAGAATAGAGAGTCCTGACGAGCGCCATGGATCGCCAATCTGTGTATTCGGCTCGAGTATACGAGTCCAATTTTGGCGATGCCGACGACACCAGGTTGCAGCTCCAATCCCAGTTGGAAACCTTCATTCTGGACTTCCGCCTCGACAACAATTTCGTCTACCGGTAGGGCAGAGATTTCCGAGTCAAAGACTCCAAGGACTCCTTGGGCTGACTTTATATGCAGAGACCAGCTGAGAGAAAATGCGCTACTGAAGAAATTTTACTGCGATGTCGATATCAAAGATCTAATCAACTTTAATGAAGAACTTGCACACAGGCTCGTTTCGGAACCCGCCGAAATTATTCCTCTCGTAAGTGCCTCCTATAGCCGAATCGAGGAGGCATATAGAGCTGATTGGGGACCAAATTTTAGTTCGAAGCAGCATTGAAGAAATGTACACACCGAATTGTATTTCCCCACGAAAAAACCGTCGACCTACCCGATCACCAGCTTCTTCTACACTCCGATGCGGATGATGTGTCAATCCGCAACCTCGACTCAATGACAATTGCTCGAATGGTTCGCGTTCCAGGCATAGTTATCGGAGCCTCGGTTATGTCCTCAAAGGCAACTGAGCTATGTATCCAGTGCAGAAACTGCAGCTACTCAACAGCGCTTCCCATCGTCGGCGGCTTCACAGGAGTCACGCTACCTAGACAATGCGGGCGAAAACGTCTGCCCAAAGACCCTACGCCCGCATGCCCGCTAGACCCATACTTTGTTCTACATGAAAAATGCCGATTTGTTGATCAGCAAGTTATTAAGCTCCAAGAGGCACCAGACCAGGTGCCTGTGGGAGAACTGCCACGACATGTACTCATCACTGCCGACAGATACCTAACGAATCGGGTAGTTCCTGGCTCTCGGTGCACTGTCATGGGTATCTTTTCTATTTACCAAAACAAGGCATCCAAAAACTCATCGACAGGAGGCGCCGTTGCTATTAGAACACCATATCTCAGAGCGGTGGGAATCCAAACCGACATTGACCAAGCCGCCAAAGGAAATGCTACATTTTCTGAAGAGGAAGAACAGGAATTCCTAGAACTTAGCAGACGACCAGATCTGTATAACATCATGGCCGATTGTATCGCACCATCCATTTATGGAAACCGAGATATCAAGAAGGCTATTCTCTGTCTTCTGATGGGCGGATCAAAGAAAATTTTGCCCGATGGAATGAGGCTAAGGGGTGACATCAACGTTCTGCTTCTTGGTGACCCTGGTACGGCAAAATCACAACTTTTAAAATTCGTCGAGAAGGCAGCGCCAATCTCCATCTATACGTCCGGAAAAGGTTCATCAGCAGCTGGTTTAACGGCCTCTGTTCAGCGAGATCAGTCGACAAGAGAGTTTTATCTGGAAGGCGGTGCCATGGTGCTCGCTGACGGTGGTGTTGTATGTATTGATGAGTTTGACAAGATGCGAGATGAAGACCGGGTGGCCATCCACGAAGCTATGGAACAGCAAACAATCTCAATTGCCAAAGCTGGTATTACAACCATCCTTAATGCTAGAACGTCTGTTCTCGCCGCTGCCAACCCCATTTTCGGACGATACGACGACATGAAGACTCCCGGAGAGAATATCGATTTCCAAACTACCATTCTGTCTCGTTTTGACATGATCTTCATTGTCAAGGATGAGCATACCCGTGAAAAAGACGAAAGAATGGCAAAGCATGTCATGGGTATCCATATGGATGGCCGGGGTGCTGAGGATGTGGCCGAGTCTGAGATTCCCGTACAGAAGATGCGGCGATATATTACCTATTGTAAAACGTAAGTTTGCTGTTTTTTTTCTATGCTGACCATATAACGCATTACTGACATACTTTCTCCAGCCGCTGTGCTCCTCGACTCAGTCCTGAAGCCGCCGAGAAACTATCATCACATTTCGTGTCTATCCGACGTCAAGTTCACGCCGCAGAGATTGAAGCCAACACACGATCATCCATCCCCATCACAGTCCGTCAACTCGAGGCCATTGTCCGAATCACAGAATCACTCGCCAAATTAACTCTCTCCCCAATTGCTACCGAGGCCCACGTCGACGAGGCCATCCGCCTCTTCTTGTGCTCTACCATGGATGCCGTAAATCAGGGCAGCAACCAAGGCAGCCGAGAAATGAATGACGAGGTTAGCCGGCTTGAAGCTGAGCTGAAGCGACGACTACCCATTGGATGGAGCACCAGCTTAGCCACACTACGAAGAGAAATGGTGGAAGGAAAGGGATACAGCGAACAGGCTTTGAACCGAGCGCTCATGCTGCTACAACGGAAAGATACAATTATGTTTAGGAACCAGGGAGCGCAGGTCTACCGCAACGGAGCTTAATATGGCGGAGGTGGCTCTTTGTTAATTAAATGTTTGACGATACATGTTTTACGCTCTATATAGGATCGCGTCACTTCTAAGGATGACCTTAACACCAGGTTAAAATAAAATGAGATTTTGGGGTAATGCAAGTAGCTATAGAGATTCCCTTTTTGGCGTAAACCTGCGGATGCCGCCCTTCATGTGAATTATCGCCGTCGCTGGCCGTGTTGATTAGCGCGCATCCTTCATTTGACTCATGCCTAGTACCAACCTAGTACATAAACTGTCTTCAACTTCAGTCATCCCCCTCTTGACTCATCAACCGGGGAATCTCTTCAAGGCCATGTAGCTTCAGGAAAATGTATATAATGCCCAGCTCCTCGCTTCGTCCAGAGATTGAAAACTTAATCCTTTACATATCAAAGTAATATCGTAGCAGCAAGAAGAAGGGGGGAAAAAAAAAGCAAAAAATTAGAATTAAAATATCAACAATGGCTCCAGATAAAGTCCTCTCGTCTCCTGCTCTCCCCAGCAACGAGCCCGGCACCGTCCTCGTCGAAACTGCCAACCTCATCATCCGCCGCTGGAGCATCTCAGATGCGCCGGCTCTTGCCAAGGCGGCCAACTATCCCTCAGTCGCAGAAAACCTACGAGACCGATTTCCTATGCCGTACAGCTACGCCGATGCCGAAGACTACCTCACCAATTACACCTTCTCTCCTGAAGGATACCCCAGTGCTGTAGCAATATTCGTCAAGCCCAACGCCGGCCACAACACATCCGACGAGCCGCTATTCATTGGTGGTGCAGGCTTAGAGTCCAAGGGCGACGTCTATTACCGCACCTGGGAGCTGGGCTACTGGCTCACACCATCTGCCTGGGGCCACGGCTATGCAACCGAGTTTGCCAAGGCCATTGTGCCATGGGCCTTTGAGACGTGGCCGCGGCTGAACAGAATCGAGGCGATGGTCTATGCGAGGAATGAAGCGAGCCAGAACGTTTTGCGAAAATGCGGGTTTACGCTGGAGGGGCGGAGAAGAGGGATGTCGGAGAAGAACGGCGAGATTCTTGACGAGACCATCTGGGGGATTCTCAGAAGCGACATCAAGCAATGAAGATGCTTTCAGTATGACGACTGTTGATATAAATTGACACAATTCCGTTTCATTCATTAGCATTTATTTTGTTCAAATACAAAGCTATCCCTGTCTCTAAACCAATTCCATGTACACTTACACTTAAAAAGAGACAGTGTGTGCCACGCCTACCTACCTATTCCAGCCATTATAATTCTCCGCGCGGTTGTTGGCCAAACACCATCACACCATCGCGTCTAAGATTCCTATTCCAGATAGCTGCGCACGCGCGCGCGCTTAGATAGCCCTTTGAGCCCATCTTGGATCCAGAGCCTGATCAACGGCGTCCCCGGCCGCCACTTTAGCATCCAGCCAGTCACGATGTGCCAACCGAGCGGCTGAGGATTTCACGTCTAGCGCCATTCAGTCAGCTGAGGAGGTGCGTTTATCTTCGACCGCCCTGGCTTTGGCGAAATCGGGGGTGGCGCAGGACAGAGTGTCGTGCAGGAAGAGTCGAGGAGATCCTAGCCGCCAGCCTCTTTGTGGTAAGAAACAATGGGATTCATCGTCATTGCGAGCACCAGGGCCAGTGATCGACGATGCAATGCAACATGAGACGTACTTGATTAGCACTTTGGACGCAGACCCCGGTGTTAAGCAGAAAGAGTATGGCCAACAAGTTATACTAGCCCTCTGTTATTGGCCGCTGACATATGAATGGGTGTAGCTGGACGGCTCTGGATAGGTGTTCCTCTCACCGCTCGAGCAGTGGCTCAGGCCATTCATGTGTCAAAACGTTGTATATCTCTGGGCTGAGCCCCATTTCTGAAAGCTGTCTCTCTCCCTGCCTCTCCGGTCGAGACTGTTCATGGTGCTTCGAGGGGTCAGGCGGAGAGGCTGAGATGGATCATTACCTGCAAGAGATAAGATGAACAGCTCATATGAGAGGGCAGCGGCGCAGAATGGTTGGCAGGTGTCGGAGAGATGCGTTTGCAAGACTCATGCAAGCTGCATAGCTTGGGATGCTCTCCCGCTCCTGCTCTATTCATTGCTGCTGCTTATGCCCACCCTCAGCATCTTGGCAGGGCGAGTAGGACTCTTTGCTGGCCGACGACCTGAGGCTAACTGTTCTTCTTGGGACTTGACTTTGAAGCCTTCATATCTGCGTCATTGCTGCTTCATATCGGCCGATCTAAACTCCGCAAAGATCGGGTTTTACAGGCTAGGGAGCCTTGCGATCCGACATTGGAACCCAAACCACTACCCAAGGGTCAAGCATCCGGCCATCTGTTGTCGTAGTCCGTAACAGGAAGAGTCAACCTAGACTGATACTTGTCTATTGCGTGTCGTAGCAAGATCATATCGTGCGCCGATAGAACTAAGACAGCTTGTTAGTGACTGCTAACGCGTTCTCAGAATGATGAGTGTAGGATAGGGTCGTCCCTAGCATCTCGAGCTATCATGCTAGCGCTATTCTTATTACAACGATCATACCACTAGCCACGTAGTTTGGCTTACCTGCTTTCAACAAGCCAAGGCGTCTCTTATCTTGACCGACTGCTCGAGGCCAAGCCTCATACTCTGGGGCCGAGCTACTATGACACGCTCATTAGAGGGCAACGCGGTGTAGGCGACATTCGACAGGTGATCAAAGTCTGGAAAAGAGACTCCAAGAAGAACGTGCTACCAGAATGGAAGAAAAGGCTTACGCAGCAGGCGGTCTCTTCTCTCTTCATCCCCAGCGTGACAAGTCACCAGGCGGCTCTGCACTCTACCCTCGTACTATCCGTGCATGTGCATACATATACATGCCTACATGCAGGAGCGAAATTGCATGTTGCCTCGCACTACACTAGGACGGTTGCCTTAGACGGTTGCCTTACCGGCCACCCTAAGCGGCCAGCCATGCGGAATCACCTCCGTCGACGCCACAACTGCGACGTACTTCGAGGGAGCAGTTAGCGAGGCAAGGATTCTATTCGTTGGCCCCAACAGAGACGGTACCTGGTTAACCGCTGTTCCATACCTTGTCCTTCATATACGATTTAGAGAGAAGCGGAGGAATATACACCTGTTCGCGCTTGGACACGCGTTGGCCCATGGTCGTAGGTTTGTTGTCATGAGACTCATCTTGGATACGGTTCTCGACGAAATCACATATTGCGCCAAGTGTAGATACTAGCTCGTCTCTTTTGAAGCAGTTTGGTAAAATTATTGTTACTCTATCTAGGCCATCGCATCTCTATTCCGCTGTAGATCCTATCCATCTCCTACCCCTACCCCCATACGCCGACCCGACCTCCCTAAACTCCGATGCCGCGTGAATGTCCATGGCTTGTGCTAAATTTAAGCAGCACCTTTTTGGAATAAGACGTTTCCCAGTATGCCAGCGTACGCCAGGTCCACGGCCAATGCCGTGTTGACATCCAGCGTCAATGTTGTGACGACGCAGCTCAGCGATATGGACGCGAAGTATAGGATAGAGATTCCGACCTGCGAACTCACCACCCCCAGTCCAGATATAATCACAGGCACATAGACAAAGACAATAATGATCAACAGCATCAGCAGCATCTTGATGACAAGAATAACCTCGTCTGCAAAGTGGATGTAGTCTGCATCTTTGCTACTGGTGGTTTTTCTCTGGAACATTGCCTAGATGAAGAGTGAGCCAGGCGATTCAAAATATGGAATTTATGAAGGGCACCCACCAACGACCGATACACCCACGAGAATTCTAGAAATCTCCGCGCTGCAGCATGAGGCACATCGTGCTGCCCGTAAAATATATAGCACGATGGATTCTCTTCAATGTGCTCTACATCAGCGCCAAGCTTGGTTTTCTGCTCGTATATAAACTTTTCGCATATCGCCTTGCTGCCCCTTGAGAGATGGTTGACCCAACTCTGCTTCAATATGGAGTCGTCTATTGCCAGTTCAATTAGCCTTTACTCATGACGAAAAGAAAGTAATAATAGCAATAAGTGATGATATTTCCTAGGATGCTTCAGACTTACAATAGGCATGGCACTGTTGCTCTAGACGTATTAACAGTTCTTCTTCCAAACTGCTGTCATCCGATTTGATAGCAAAGACTGTCTCTTTCCAAACACGCTTGATCCCCAAATATTGTTTCCGTGTAACGTAGGAGAAGATGTCATGTATCTCTGCTGCAATTTGGTAGGCTGAGTCCGATGCCTGGAGCTCCGCTATATCAAGGGCACCGCCAGGTTCTATTGTATGTTGGTTAGATATCTACTGGAGATCAACTTGAGCAGGATATAGGTCTGGTAGTACCGCAAGTGGGCTTGGATTCTGCAGCAGAAGCAACATTACCGCTGCGACCTTTGTGGTCTTTAGCATTATGGGATGTCGTTGGCAAATGATGTTTTCCGTACCTTCATCGCCACGACACTGCTGTTGTTGGCAATGGCCATGATCGAGCTCCTGGTGACGAGCTTGCTCGACATCTGGTGTTTCATTCATTGTGGCCGAACGATTATCCCCAGAAGGGCTAAACAGCGTCTTCATCAAAGATGTGAAATCTCTAACAGGAACGGGCAAGGCGGACATGTTTGTGTTGTGTCGTAAACGTGGTTTTGTTTTCTTTTNTTTTGTTTTCTTTTTTTTTTTTTTTTTTTTTTTTCGTCTTTTGAGAATGCTTCTAGGGCCAGTGGATAAGTTCTTGCGGCTACAAAGTGAACTGCATCGCACATGGAGACCTCATGCCATCAAGTCCTTTATATAATTTTATGCCTCCACACCGTCATCGTCGCTTTGCAGCCGCATATATTAGCTGTCGGCGCAAAACAGCGGAAAATGCACTTGCTCTTGCAACTCACCGAAAGTTCTCTTCCGATGCGGATGGAAAAGCATCACGCCTATTTGCACGCCCTCCATTCAAAGTGGTATAGCCACGTCAACAGCAGGATTCTTTATTGCGGCCCAGTGGATGCCACCGCTGCCCCCCCATGGCCTCATCGAGAGATCTAAGCCATCAAATCGCATCGAACGAGGAGCAGGCTGCGCCAACAAAGGCATCGTGCGCAATTTGCCTTGTACAAGCTGTGTAGGTCAATTGCCTCATGTAAGACGGGACAGGTACGCGCGCCTACGGCAGCCAATGGGTTGAGTTTGCCTCCCTACAACTTGGTGAGCGAATAGTAGTCGTCGTGTGGATTGTTTATCCGTAGCCGCACCAGACGACATCGAATATTCCATTTCTACATATTAGCTATATCGCAGCATCTTCGTTCGCATCCTCATTCCTACCAGTCATATTATTTGACTTGCTACCCGACGAAGAGTTGGCAAGAATAAAGACTAGTTGCCACAACTACTTTAGAACAGCTGTCGCAAGCGCAAGGCTTCTTCGGGAGACAAGCAAGAAGTACAATTAATTAAAAGGCCGCCTATTTTACTATTTAATATCGTATGGTTAGATAACAGGTCACTAGCTGCAAGAAATATCACTGGCTAAAATCAGCGGAGGCAGCTTCATATTAAGATAATGAGGCACGCTAAAGCATAGCAGTAATGGAAACGCACTTCAAGAAGGCATAATAAACAGAAAATGGGCTATATAATTGTAATGTAGCAAGAAACAGTCACTAGATGAATGGGTCATTGCCAGCTCAGCGTAAATGTGAATGCTACTTATTGAACTTTCCGAGAGGTAATGATGGCTTCAAAGGGTATGTATAGATCAGTCCTGAACGTCATGATAAGAGGGTACAATAATCTAGTGTGAATAGACGATGTATTATCTATTATGTAGGTAATTCAAATCCCTATGACTGCTCTAATAGTATACATCCCTAGGCGGATGGCATATGACGGTGATACCGGCGGTGTTTTCTGGTATGGCATCCGTGGCCGCTCAACCAATGTTCTCTTCCATTTCAGCATTTCAAATATTGACAGAGAGTTTGGTGATGTTGATTTGAGACTGGCGCTTCAGCTTGCTTGTAAGGCTCGGAACTTGCAAACTGGATACCGAAAAAAGCAATTCGGATAAAGAAGAATGCTTGAAGGCAGTAGCTCAGTGGGTAAAGCTTTAGAAAGCAACGTGAAAACTCAGTCCCGCATTGGAAACCTATAACGACGTATACTTATGTTGGTGGTGGCTTCGGTACGATTATTATAGTGCCTGTCTCTCTTTCTTCATCAACGGGCTTCGCTTCGGTAGGCTGCGGTGGATGGTCGATCACTATAGCTAAAAGGAAGTTGTAAGATCTGCGTCATGTATTGTTCTGGTGAAATCGGAACATACTAGGCATTGTTGGCGATTTGAATCAAACGCAGCGGTGACTTTGATATGGTCAAGGCGTTGTTGGGAGACGATTTTGCTAGATATCAAGGCCAGTGACTCAAATAAATATGTATAAAGATTGTAATGTGATTAAAAAGCTGGAGATTCAGCCCTCTTATATATCTAGACTTTACCCCCCCTGTCTCTATCTTTTTGTGTTTAGAAGGGGGGGGTTCATCACTATAGCAGGGATTTCTGCAACTAAATGTCACATCTTGCTCGAAGCTAACGCTCAACAGAAAAGAAAAAGAAAAGAAAGAAAAATACGTGTTCACCACTTCAAGGCAGGGGTAGATATCCCAGCAAGCAAGAGTATAATAAGTCCAGTAGGCAATGTGAGCGATGGAGTTGCTGCCGCATAGTCCACATATTATTGAGGCGAAAACCCCAGTCTAAACTACTAATACTCTGCCCCTTTATAAGTGCCGGGTGACACTAATTCGGCGCGAGGACCCATGTCAAGAGTGGATAAATCCAAATCCTTCGCTTCAACATTTGAGTCAATAGTATTACTATCAGTACCGTGAATTCTACCGAACGGTCTTGGTAATAGTGGCTGCTAACTAGACACAGAAAATATACTGCTACCGTTAAAAGAACGTGGGCAGCCCGAGCAGGCTTAGGTTACTTCGGCATTAGATGGATGAATGACACGACATAAGCTACTTAACGTTGGATAATAATGCGCCTTTCATATAGTAGCGGCAGCTTCTTACCCGCTATAGTATTCCATTTCAACGCCTGCTGCCTACAGCATACACACAAAGAGAGAGCTAAAGTTCCAAAGAGAGCGTTGTTGAGGGATAAGGAAAGAACGAAGATATGTATTCCAATTACTCACAAGATAGCTCCTACAAGTATGAACATAAGCGTTGCATAAAAAGGATACGGTACCATAAGCCAATGCATAATCCTCGAACTCCAGAGCCCCAGAAAGCTTACAAGGAGTATTTAAATTTAAGCGCCACGTTTCATGCTTCATCCATTCCATCCAATGATTCTAACTAGGTACAGCAAATCCAGGCATGTGATTCGGCAAGGTGCATTAAGCAACAAAGTTCACCGGAGAGCGGGGCCGAAAGGAACTGGGCTCCGCTCTCTGACAGCTGCTCCCTGTCACTCTGTGGAATAAACGTGGCTATCCGGATCACTGCTGCCGACTTTCGTGTGTACTCCGCAGTCTAGAATTCATCAGCCGCCGCATAGGATTGGCGCAGAGAGAGGCTAGGTCCTCGAATCTCATCTCACCTTGTTTATCCGAATCTGACTCTATCTAGCTTAGAGACAATCCAGGGGTGGTCCAGGTGATGTTCATGCCGGCAAACATGATGCTATAGATAGAAGCTGCAAAAGCACTAACCTATATGTTTCTATGTCTTAGCTTCTTCGGCAGCCCACTCCTCTTCCGAAAAGTGGTACCATTGAGAGAGGCCAGTGAAAACAGCCCAAACTTCTGTAGTAAGAAGGAGATGAATGAACTCAGTCCACAAATAATTCATGGCTGACGTCCAAGAGAGGCCGCTCAGCAGGTTTGTTTGGCATATATCTTCGCAGGGTAAGCCATTTCGCAAGCAGAACGCCCGGGCCACTAGACGTAGGGCTGTTGCATCATAAGGAGTCATTAGGAGCCGTGTTATCGAATTAGACAGCATGTGCGACGCCAGGAGCGCTGGTATTTGTGTGAGAAGCGTATCCAGGTATGTAGGTTGAGAGCTGATAGAGGCCCTCGAGTCCGTATTAGCAACGCTTGGCCTTAATTCGGCACTCCATAAGCCCTGAGGTGCATCAGTCGATTCGGTTGCCTCCACATCAAAGCTGATAAGAGTGGCCCTTATGCCATCATTGTCCTCTTCATCGCTCCCATAATCATCCCCTCTCGCCGAAAATATACTTGGCCTACGCACAGCATCTGCATTGCTAGTGTCAGTTGGGAGTTGGCTCTCCACAGGCGCAACAGGCGTTCCTCCTTCATTAGAATGGATCTCGCTAGTAGCCTCGTTTGCGAAAGATTGTGATATCGACGGTGGAGCTTGAGGGATTGTTTTGCCATGAAATACGGTGCTCGGCAGGCGCTTGAAAGTCTCAGCCCATATATGTGGCTTCCAATCGCGAACCATTCTTTGAGTCATGACAAAGACGAGGAATGGGGCATTACATATGAGCAGACCGCCTAGCCATTGCAAAACCGAAGAAACTCCAAAGCCTTCAAGAGGAGGTGGGGCAACGATGGGCGACGATTCTGTAAAAGGAATGAAAAAGGACGGGCTGGGTAGCCATTGGTGGCTCGGTATTAGGCCAAGCCTTTGTAGTGATATATGTAACTCTAAGTGAACGCGAATGTACGACCAGGCTTCGTGGACACTGAGATGAACAGTCAGTAACCTTGCGAGGCATGCTATTGTGAAGAGCGCAATGGGACTTACAAACGCCTGGCACCAAGCTTTTCTTGTTCGCCAAGCCAAAGCCGGGCGACTGAGAACTCAATGTAGTTCGACAAAAGGTTTGCCGGAGCGCCAGGGAAGATATCTCTAGAAAATGAGAAATCGCGACGCGCCTGCTGATAAAGCTCCCAAAACGGGATCTTGGAGTATCGTTTATAGATCTATGAATATCAGATTAGTATGCATAGATACAGTCCGTCATTTAGAGAGGCTCCTCACCAGAATCCGGTCTCTAAGGCCGTTGATACCAAAAACTCCAACCGCTTCCACGCAGCGTTTTGCTGATGATGCCAATTTAAGGCCAATAGCTTCTTCGTACATACCATGCCGTCTCTGCAAGTCTACTTCAGGGCCCGGATTTTCGGGCTCTGCGATGCCGATGATAAACATCACCTGGTTGTGTGATCTGATGATGTCTCTGTTGATCCTCATGGTGTCGGGATTGACTGGACGCCCGCCATGGTCGTACTGCTGGGTTGGAACCCGCGAGTCATCTTCACCTTCGCCCTGAACTACATCATCATATGGCGAACGGCCCTAGCAATGTTAGCAATGATACGTCTGAGATGGGCTTTATCATCTCATACCAGGGCCTGCGCCATAAGCGGGCCTTGCATCCCCATAGCGAATAGCTTCAGAAGCAAAGCAGCTTCTCACCATGGCAACTCACGCAGGCATGCTCTGCGGATGTCAAGTTTGAGATGGAGCGCAAGACTATTGGGCCGCGCGCTTTACCCTCCGTCATCCTCTCCTTCTTTGCTCCGGCGCAACACCAATGCGTAGCTACCCATGACGGGCAAGTGGAGTGGAGTGTACCGGGGGCGTCGGATAAACAGTGGATGATACTTGGGAGCCGCTTGCATTGGCTTGCGCTAGTGGAACAAGCATGCAGCAATTTCTTATCGTTATCCTTATCGGCATACAGGTCAAAAAATTCATGGACTGGCGCATATCCTTCCAGATTTCTTAACACGAGGAGTGACGAAGCGAACATGGCGACAAAACAGCCATTGAAGACGACATTCGACGTCGAGCGTGTCATACGGCCGATCTATACCGGAGGCTCTGTTGCGATTGACAACAAAGCGCAAATTTTAGCAACGACTTTGGGCGAAGATGCGATCCTCACGAATCCCTCCAATGGCAAACATCTAGCACAGATTGAGGGCGTAAGTGATGCCCCGCGAGTCTGCAAAATTGAATGAACGAAAAAGCTAATTGAGACAAAGGATGGAGAAGCTATTTCGACGTTGACACGTGCGTAAAACTTATATGTCATTGACGGAGAGCAAATATTAACACTCGTCTAGTAACGCCGTCTGGTTCCCATCTTATCATTTGTTCGCGATCATTGTCTATGAGAATCTTCACGCTCAAATGGTCCTCGGAAGGCGATTCGATCGAAGCATCACTAGCGCGTACACTAAAGCCTCACACAACTCCAGTCATCGTTATCGCGGTTGATCGCACCGGCACTCTCCTTGCGACCGGCGGAACCGATGGTGTAATAAAGGTTTGGGACATTGGCGGTGGCTATGTTACACATACTTTCCGTGGACCGTCAGTATTAGTTTCTGCGCTGCGCTTTTTTGAGGTCGCAGCACGATCCGCGTCGAACCGCAATTCCAAAGGAGCGAAGAGCCAGCCCAAGGCAGCAGACGAAGAGGACGAGGAAGAGACAGACAATGCCACAACCACAAACTTCCGACTGGCTTCGGGTAGCCAAGACGGAAAGGTGCGAATTTGGGACTTGAATAAGAGGAGCTGCATCGCAAATTTGGATTCTCATGTGTCTGATGTACAAGCAATTGACTACTCGCCAACACAGCATGCCATTGTTACGGCTAGCAGAGACAAGACTCTCATTTGGTGGGATGCGAAGTCGTGGAAGATTCGAAAAGTCGTTCCATGTCTCGAGCTTGTGGAAGCCGCAGGCTTCTTGGATGATGGAAACCTCACCTACTCTGCTGGAGCAAATGGATGTCTTCGCATCTGGGATACCGACAAGGGTGCCGAGCTGACCCCGAAGCAATCTGCAAAGAGCGAAGAAGAAGGAATCGTTGCCGGTATTTATCGACCAGAGCTTCCTTTCATTCTTCTAGTCCAGGTCGATCATACATTGGCTCTGTATGAGTTGGCGTCGAAAGCTTCAACAACAACCTTTGCCACACCTGAGCCTTTCCGTCGGATATCTGGTACTCATGACGAAATCATCGACATGGCCTATCTCCTACCTGACCACTCCATACTTGCTCTAGCAACAAATTCAGAAGATGTACGATTGGTGTCTGTAGCTGAGTCCAAACAAGATGCGTCAGAGATGACATGGACAAAATCAGAGACTCCATACTTTGGTCAAGATGTGGCCCTCCTACGAGGACACGACGACATTGTGATTGCTCTAGATGTCGACTGGTCCGGACACTGGGTTGCCACTGGAGCCAAAGACAATACTGCAAAGCTATGGAGAATCGACCCTGCCAATAATTCTCATATTTGCTGGGCCACTTTTTCAGGCCATGCAGAGTCGCTTGGCGCTGTGGCTTTACCTCGCACTCTTCCCGCTGAAGGCTCGGCGGCGCGAACTGACCCTCTCAACCATCCTCCGCCTTTCCTAATCACTGGATCACAAGACCAAACAATCAAGAAGTGGGAAATTCCCCGAACTCCCCAGCAACGGGATCAAAAAACGAATGCGAGATCTGCTTTCACAAGAAAAGCCCATGACAAAGACATCAATGCAATTACTGTGCATCATGCGGGTCAGCTCTTTGCGTCTGCTTCACAAGATAAGACAGTCAAGGTGTGGTCTGTAGAAGAAGGAGAAGTTCAAGGTATTCTTCGCGGCCACAAGCGAGGAGTATGGACGGTCCAATTCTCTCCAGCTCATATGCCAGCCTTGCAAGGCGAGGATGGCCCCATCACAGGCAAGGGCGTCGTCTTGACAGGCAGCGGTGATAAAAGCATCAAGCTCTGGAACCTTGCGGATTATGCCTGCATCCGTACCTTCGAGGGCCATTCTAACAGCGTGCTCAAAGTAGCTTGGCTTAGCATGGCATCGCGTCCAGAGCAATCGAAAGGATTGGTTCAGTTCGCCAGTGCGGGTGGCGATGGGCTCGTCAAGATTTGGAATGCAAACTCTGGAGAAGCTGAGTGTACTTTGGATAACCATGAAGACCGGGTTTGGGCCTTGGCTGTACACCCAGATACCAATGCTGTGGTCTCTGGCAGTGGTGATTCTACAGTTACATTCTGGAAAGACACAACGTCCGAAACCCAGGCGGCAGCATCTCAAGCGGCGCTGAAGCTCATCGAGCAAGAACAAGAGCTCGAGAACCATATGCACGCTGGGTCTTACAGAGAAGCCATCACTCTGGCCCTGCAGCTGAATCACCCTGGCCGTTTACTCAGCCTTTTTACCTCTGTTGTAACGACGAGCAAGCCCGAGCAGGGCAGTCTGTGCGGCATCAAGGCCGTGGACCAAGTACTGGCAACACTTTCCGATGATCAGATATACCTGCTGCTATTAAGATTGCGGGACTGGAACACGAACGCTCGTACAGCCCCCGTAGCGCAGCGTATATTACGGACGCTGATCAAGAGCTATCCGGCCTCTAAATTTTCCAACTTGCAAGTCAAGGGCTCACGAGGAGAAAAGAGCTTGAAAGATGTCCTGCATGGCCTACGAGTGTATACGGAAAGACACTACAAACGCATGGAGGAGTTGGTGGATGAGAGTTATCTGGTAGAGTATACTCTGCAAGAAATGGACAGCCTCGCTCCCACGCTCCAGGGCGATGTATCCTCGAGTACGGATACTATCATGATTGGCTAAAGGTTTTATATGGAGAAAACGTTATACCTTAGAAAGGCCTCTGTCTCTGTGCGTCTCTCTCTACTAATATGGGGAGTGTCTGAATGACTGGCTGAGGAGATGTGGGGAAATATTTGTGAAATTATCATATATAGCGCAAAGGTTAGATAAAAAACAGTAATACACACAATGTATATATAGGTACCTATTATGGATGCATCGATGATCGAATCTACTTGAATATTGTCACGCTCGAAGCCCAACAGGACAGAACTGTCAGTAGAACATACCTCGGCATAGTGAAATACATTAATATACCGATGTATTTTATTTCAAAAAAANGAAAAGGAAGAAAAAAAATAAAAACAAAAATAACAATAACTTATTACAGGTTAAGTTTTTTTTTTTTTAATTTTATAAATTCCCATTCAGCTGTCCACAAAGTGAAACGTCTTCAGGTTATGCACGCAAGGCCGTCCTCTAATACATGGCCCAGGCTGCACCGCTGCTGCACACTTGACCCACTGCGAATTTCCACCGCAGCCTTGCCAAGCACTTTGCGCCAAACTCAACTTCATATACCAAAACTTCCGGCGCCATTGCTCTTCTCCAGACTCATCGCTGCTCGCAATTCTCGCGTTTCAGTAAGCCATGTCGAAACGACAAGCTTCAGAAGCTCTGGACGAGCTCCAGGACATTGCGTCTCCCTCGTCCAAGCGCTCTCGAATGGGCGACTTCGACTCACCCCTCGCGAACAGCCACGACGAAGCGCAGAGCCTCGAGCAGGACGGAGAGAGAAGAAATGGAGACGAAGAGGATGCAGATAGCGACGACTACGATGAGGGGGATGACGAATCACCCATGGTGGCTCCTCAGCGCCAAAAGGGACCAGCAGACGGATACGACGACCTCTATCTCGACACCATCGACCGCAACGTGCTCGATTTTGACTTTGAGAAGCTGTGCTCCATCTCCCTCTCCAACATAAACGTCTACGCATGTCTCGTGTGTGGGAAGTACTTCCAAGGCCGCGGCGTAAAGTCACACGCCTACTTCCACTCCCTGGACGAGGACCACCACGTCTTCATCAACCTCGAAACGCAAAAGGTCTACGTCCTGCCCGACGGCTACGAGGTCAAGAGCAAGTCGCTCGACGACATCAAATACGTATCCGACCCGCGGTATACCAAAAACGAGGTCATTCAGCTGGACCGTCGCGCCAACCACGTCAGCTGGACGCTCGACGGCAAGGAGTACACGCCGGGCTTTGTCGGCATCAACAACATCAAAGAGAACGACTACCTCAACGTGGTGGTGCAGGCGCTGTCACATGTCTCCCCGCTGCGGAATTATTTGCTGCTGGAGGACTTTTCTAAGAAATCAGAAATCGTCAAGAGGTGCAGTATCCTCTTCCGCAAAATCTGGAACCCGCGCGCCTTCAAGTCACACGTCTCGCCTCACGAACTGCTCCAGGAGATCGCCCTCCTCTCCAACAAACGCTTCACGCTCACGAACCAATCAGACCCCGTCGAGTTTCTCTCTTGGTTCCTCAACAACCTCCATCTCGGCCTCGGAGGCAGCAAGACAAAGCCGGGAAGCTCCATGATCCAGCGCACTTTCCAAGGCAAGCTCAAGGTCGAGTCTCAGGCCATCACCGCTCGAGTAGACGCAGGAGATCGTCTGCGCTTTGAGGAGGCTGGCGAAGTCAAAGTCGACATCGTGCGCTTCCTTTTCTTGACGCTCGACCTGCCGTCAGCACCGCTGTTCCAGGACGAGCTGGAGAAGAACATCATCCCACAGGTCCCTCTTAGCACCATCCTAAGCAAATACGACGGCAAGCGGGCTCAGGAGCATCACGCACAGCGAAAGCGCTACCGCCTGCTACATCCTCTCCCGCCGTATCTGATATTCCATGTCAAACGCTTCTCCCAGAACAAGTTCGTCGCAGAGCGCAACCCCACAATCGTTACCTTTGACGCAAGGAATCTCGACGTTTCGCCGTATGTGGAGCCTAACCCGAATGAGTGGCCCGTGGGCGAGCCGATATGGTACGACCTCGTAGCCAACGTCGTTCACGAGGCAGTCCGCAAGAGAGATGACGTCGCGGACAGCGGCGAGGAGAAGAAGACGTGGAAGGTCCAGATCAAGGACAAGGCCACCGGCGAGTGGGTCGTCTGCCAGGACTTGTTTGTTGACAAGGTACAGAGCGAGCTGCTGTATCTTGGAGAGACATATCTACAGATCTGGGAGCGGAGGAAAGTGCCCGCCAAGGGGAAAGGAAAAGCGTGAAGGATTTGAGCATTTGTACAAATTTAGTTATACCACATAATACCGGCGTCGCGTCAAAATTGTAAAGGCAACAAGGGGCCCAGCAGAAAACGAATAGACTTGATACTTGCAGAGCGAACGAGCCTGCATAAGAGCATCTTTATTTCATCCTTTCTTGTCCTTTTTATTGTTTTCTCTTTCTCTTCAAGCACAGAGCGCCGTTTGAGAATCGTCGGCATGGCCAGTTTCCTTATATCAATCGAGGTCATTTAAACCATACTATAGTACATTATCCACAAGTAACAACAAAAAAAAAAAAAAACCCAGCCCTTTCCGCCTACCATTTTCCAGGTAGAGCAAAATCCAGTTTGTCTCCCAGTGTACATCCCGGAAATTTCCATTCGCGAAATAATTCACACGAGACACTACCGCACCCATAAAAGAGAAGGTGGAAAACAAAAAAGCTGAAAAAGTGAAGCCAATAAGAAAACAGGACGTACGGGAAAACCAGGAAGCGACGATAAACACGTTACGGAACTGCAACATTACCCAAGCGCTCTGCCCGGTAGTGTACAAATAACAAGAGGAAAACCTTCATAGCCGATAAAAGGACGACGAAACAGCCGGGCACAGGTTCGGCGGCTCAATGAGACAGGATGGCAAGGGTGTGCGGGCCCTTGATGACGGATGGTTTTTTTTTCTTTATTCGAAGCTCTGCTTAGATGAATTATTTGTGTGCCGCTTATCGCCCTGGTGTTGACTGGCTTTCTCGCGGCGCTGTTCGTCGATGGCAGTTCGTTGCTGAATGCTAGAATCGTGCGACTTAAACTCGAGACGAGTGTTCGCCGGGAAGTTGAGTACCTGCTTCATGGTCTCGCTACAGCGGCAATAACGCGTCAGTCTACCAAACCATGTATAACAAATACCACGGGGGGTGGGATAGCCTCAAACGTACCGAATCTTGAGCACGCGACCGCCGTCGGTTCTGGTCCAAATGCTCAAAATGTCCTCGCCATTACGCATACTCAGCACAGCACCACACACGTCCTCCCCGGCATCGCCGAATTGGTCGCCAACGAGAGAAAGCAGCAGATCCTCCCAGTAGCGATCAGCCACACCCTTCTTCAGGCGAACGACCCACTTGCCTCCTTTCCGGTTCACTTCATCCTCCCATATCGGCCGGATATCCTTTTTGAAAAGGTGGTAATCGGACACGACGGGCAGGCTTGATGGCCGCTTGAGGTGCGAGTAGATCTGCCAGAACTCCTCCGCTGACCGCACCGTAGCGATCCCGTGCAGTGTATTCTCATATTCGATGAAACCGTGCGCCTTCGAGATCGGGGGTCTGTACCAGAAAGACCATGCATCTTTCAGCATGTGAATCTGTGTGGCCCCGGCCGGGGGTTCCGACACCTTCGTCTCGGAGATAGGCGCCATGTTAGGCGGCCTAGCTACAGGCTTTGCGGCGTCCTTGGAGGCGGCTTGCTTCGCGACGGCTGAGCCCATGGCACTATCAAAAGGGTTCCCGCCGGACTTTGGTGTTTTGGCTGAGCCAAAAGAGCCAAACGAAGCAAAAGCCCCTGAGCCCAGGCCAAAGGCGCTGGAAGCTCCCCCCGTTGGAGATACCAGCCCGCTGCCTGGAGTAGTGTTGAAAGATTTGCCATGCGACGACTTCACCGTGGCGCTGCGGGAACCGGATTCACCTCCCCCCAAGCCATTGGCGCCATTGGACGGCGTGGTCAAGGAGAGCTTTGACGAGCTGGACATTGGCACGTTAGTCAGAAACAGCTGCGCCGTGGAGGCGACGTATAGGGTCATCATACTTGGTTCGACGAGTCCATAGATTCTCCATTAAGCCTTGTTCGTGCTATCGACTTTGATCTTGATGCTCGTGATGCGGGGAGGTGGAGGGACGCCTCGCTCGGGGAAAGATTTTCGAGGGTCAGGCGGAAGTCGAGAAGCGTCGCTGGATGGGGCGTGGCAAAGGGCGATGATGCGTATCTCGGTGCGCTCAATGGCGGTGCTCGGAACTCTTGGTAAGGACGTGGAAAATTGTAGATTTTGCGATGCGAAAGGGAGCGAGAGAGGGAGGGGGCCCTTGAAAAAGCTGGCGAGTGCAACGGCGACGGAGGGGTTTCGAAGAGACGGTCGCGAGAGGGAGACGAAGGTTGGATGCTGATGGTAGAGATGTGAGAGTAGTGATGACGGATATTGCGCGATGTTTTGAAGAAAAGTTGCTCGAAGTTGGGGAGAATTATGTAGTGAGGTTGTGGATCTTTGGGGTTCTTGAGGTCGAAGAATTCTGCGTGACATCGACATTTGCTGAAATTTACGAGTGCTAGCAGGTACATGCCGGCCGTACCCAGCCAGCGGTTACGGGTTACGGTTAGCGGCTGGACAGAAGCCCTCCCTTTGCTCTTTCGGGGGAATCTCATTGGGGGGAATCCACCTTCAGGCCCTTGGAGCCGGAACCGACAGCGCCTGCAACTGCAGCAGAAATCCAATGCTGTTCTCTGCGCCAAGCAGCTACTGTGCACATATCAATAGAGAGAGCAGCATGCACTGCGGCCACGCGTTGCAGTGGGCGGCATTAGTCTTGTTACGATGCATTGATGTCTTCTTATTTTGATCCTTTCCAGTGCCTGGTGGTTGGATGCAGGAGAAAGCCGAAGATAGTGCTACCTACTTGATGCACGCGGAGCACGCTAAGCTCGCTACAAGGAAAAAAAAGTCGATGGCGTTGTATTGCAGAGCGCGTCATATGCTATCGTCTGGTGCATGCATCTACATAGTAGTACCTAGTACATGTACATGACCGCATATTGGCCCGATGGCTACCCATTGGGCAAAATAAGGTCTCACCGAGCAATTAACATTAAATTCAGGTGCTTCGTTTGCATGGAATCACAATTTGAAGAATAGCACATTAGCAAGAGTGATGACGCTGCTGGCATTGCCAATTGCATTCAAGTGCCTGGCCAATGTCTCAGCCTCTCCATTCTTGCTGATGGACGCAATAGTATTGGCCATTGGCAGATCACCAGCTTGCTGACTGCCGATTGGATCCTCCTGTAGCCTGGTCTGAAAGAGCCAAAGACAAGTTATATGACGGTGCTTTAAAATCTCCGCGGAGGCGGTCAGGTATTGCATTTACCATTGAGAATACTCTCCATTGCGATTCTCGAGGCGGGGACGAGGGAGAGATAAAAAGACATACACGTAGATAAAGGTTTCTCGAGCACCGTTTGTCAGCACAGATTCTACAGCAGCCGGGAGTGGGGGATTAGAGCTACTGTAATGTACCTACCTATACTACTGAGATATGTCTAAGAGCATGAGAAACCGCATAGGATAGTACCGGATCTTGGACATTTTGTCTACTTGATGGATTTGAGGGCTTATACTAAGCCCATGATGTTACACGAGACTCCGAGCGCCGCATCAATACTAAGCCGAGCTTTTTTATCCAATGCAACGGTATGATTCTAGAAGGTGCAGAGAACTTTGTATCCAAGGAACGGGGCGGTACCTATCTTGCTGCGCGCTTCTCTTATCGCCCCTCAGCGAAACCGATAAGAACCGATAAGCCCAAAAATTTCTGCGGCGCGAGCAAAGCTTCCCGCAGCCAGCGGATCAACCCATCTTTGCGACATCGTCCATTGAGCAACAATTTTCACAATGGCTCCCTCCAAGACACGGACGATCAAGAACAAGCATGCTGGGCCAAAAGGCGGCTCCAGCGCACCTGCAAAGGGCGGCGCAAAGCGATCGACCACCGATGGTGTCTCCAAGTCCAAGTCCAAGAAGCCCAAGGGTCCCGTCGTGTCGCAGCAAGTGAAGGAGAAGAACCGCGCCTTACTGATGAAGAGGCCGAAGAAGAAGACCTACACGGCTGAAGAGCTGGGAATTCCGACGCTGAATATGATTACGCCAATTGGCGTTGAAAAGCCCAAGGGCAAGAAGAAGGGCAAGGTGTTTGTGGACGACAAGGTGCGTTCTGCCTCAGGATGAGAATCGAGTCCTGCAACATTGCTCGATTGCTAACATGTGCACTTAGGAGAGCATGACAACAATTCTATCTCTTGTCCAAGCCGAGAAGGAAGGCCACATTGAATCGAAAATGATCAAGGCCCGACAGATGGAGGAAATCCGCGAGGCTAGGAAGGTAGAGGCTGAGAAGAAGGCGGCAGAAAAGAAGGCGATGCTGGAGGATACCAAAGAATCCCTGAGGAAGAAGAGAAAGAGAAAGAATGACGGCAAAGAGGACAACATGAAGAGTATATCATTGACTGGCACAAAGGCGAACAAGGCTTCGAAGAAGAGGGTCTCGTTTGCCTGAGAGACGGGATGAGGAGAGAGCTATTGACATGTACATTTGCATCGACTTGTATTTTCTTTCTTCTGGCGCATGGAGTTGGGGCATACCATAAACAGCGATACTATGGGAGAACATTTGCTTGACAAAAGCATTTACAGTCTACCTAATCAACAATGCCAAAAAATCAAGATCACCATAATAATAAGATGGTGTTTGTCTTGTCTTTTAGAAAAAAAAAAAAAAAAAAGACCAGGTATAAAAGTCGCTGAAGGTCTTAGCCACGTGAAGTAGTGCACTCATCATATTCTATCCCAGCTAATCTATTAAATTCAACAATGCATCTCGTTTGAGAGTGCTCTATGCCACATTATAATATCTATGTGAAAACAAAAAGAGAAAAGAAAGAAAGAAACCGTTACTAATTCCGTACGATATTCATTTTACGCCTCATTGGATTGTAATCAGAACCCGCAAATGCTTTGTTTCTAGGGGGGTAGTCCATGGGCGTTAAATTGTCAAGGTCAGTTTTGAAAGCCAAATAGTTGAGAAAATTGCACACCTGCGTATTCATGTTAGCGGTTTTAAGCATCCGAATCATCCTGAAAATACATACCGGGCGAGTGTTCCAGCGAGATCCGCCAGTCTCGAACCAGCATAAGTGGCCACCGAGGGAAGTTGTGATGAGAATTGTATTGGGGTTCTGGCGGAATTCCTCATATGGGATTGCTTCTTTGACCGCAATCTAATAAAACCTGTTAACTAAACAAGCGATTGTATTCCACAAAGGTAATACGTACAGGATCGTCAGTGGCAGAAATTGCCAAAAATGGTATCTTGATTGACAATATGGCATCAGACGAAGAAGCATCTCGATAATAAGCAGATTCAGTGGGGTATCCCCATGTTGGGCATCTAAATAAATGTCAGCATGCGTGGAACGGTGCTGGTACATGTATAAAAACTTACTGAACTTCCCGGTCAAACTCGTTCAAGTAGGTCGTATTGGCCACAGCCGCCAGATCTAAGTTGGAATACTGTTTGAGCTCCTTTTTATGCCTCTCAATCAGAGCTTTCATTGTAGCTGTAATGACTTAGGACCTGGTATTATACAAACAGGAGCTGCGGAACTTACTGCCCATGACTCTAAGGTAAAGCTCTTTGCCTATCAGGTTGCTTGCCATTGTTTTGCTGGCAACGTCGAGATTGAAGGGATTTGAGCAGGCGATAGCACCTTTGAGAAGACAGGCAGAGCCCTCCTCGCCACAGTACTAATCAAGGATAGTCAGCCAGAGTGTTTCCCACTTTCAAATAGCAATGCAGTAATGTCATGTATAATGAGGCGAAAGATCAGAACCGCAGCCTTGAAACACGTACGTTGGTCAAAATATTGGCACCAAGTGAAAAACCAAGGCCAAATAGCGGGCGATTGGGAAACTTCTTTTTAAGCCACCTCACCATCTATATTTTTGTTCAACTCGTTAGACAAAAAAAAAAGTTCAATCTTGCGCATCATATGTTAAGCCGCTTACCTGCCGCGTATCCCATGTTGCGCGTGCGTTGTATAAGATGCCACTGGTGATCTTGCTACCTGCGCAACCTCGAGAATTCACCACACATATCTCCCACCCCTGTTCGGGGAGAGGAGCAATTGCATGCCTCAAGTAGACCTCATGAGAGCCACCTGAAAGACCATGCAGAACTACCAGCATTGGCTTGCTATCATCCGAGCCTAGGCTGTCGAATTCTTCGTCAGAGTAGTAAACGGTACGGGGTGGTAAGTCTTCGCTTCGACCATCATGAGGCTTAACGACAAAGTCAACGGCAAACGATCCATGATAAGCTTCATGCTCGGCCTGGAAGATCTTGCGCTTGTAATAAATTGATGGCCCATGTGGCTTCGTCGCCGTCCACATCGTCTGTAAATGGCCATTGAACAATAGCGGGTTCAGGTAGCAGGGCGGCGTGCTTGCCTCGCAAATCTTGAGGAGATCCGTCTCGCTGCCATCCTTTTGCTTGATTGCTCTCGGCGTTGGCGCATGAGTGAACTCAATCTTGGCCTTGCCAATCCACTCCATAACGGCTAGCGGGAGTCGATTATAAGAAGCCAAAGCGAAACTCAGCGAAAGTACAGGGACACGATGAAACGAGCGACGACGGCGATTCAGCACAGAATTCAGACGGCAGCCAGCAAAACCAGTGAAACGACAGAGAATGAAACCTTTGATTTATTGTCTAAACTGGAATGCGCACAGACAAAAGGGAAAAACTGGCCCTCAAGTTGACAAAGGTTTCGCATGGAACATGGAAACTTCCGCGACCCCGAATCCCGTGACAGGTACTTCGTAGAGAGTGGAAAGCAAGGCAAGAACTTGGTGGGCTGGCGAGTACAAGCACGAGCACGCTGCACAAGATACTGCGTGCTGCTTTCAGGTGTGTGTCCCTTCACGGAGTACTGTCTCAAAAATAGCACAGCCGCGGCTCGCCAAAAAAAAAAAGGTGCCTCGGAAGATGGTGGGCCTGCTCTTTGATAAGTAGAGAACTGCCAAGTAGTACATAGTACTATTAATAGGCCCGACACGCCCAGTACATACTAACCAGCTCTGCGTAATCAATGAAAAAGCTGTGATCTGGAGTGTACGATATTACAGAATAGATGCGTCGTATTACATCTCGCATAATCTAGTCCGATCTTGGTTTCTTCCCCCGGTCAGCGCGGGTTATATACTAGTTCTGAAGGGTTGCTGGTTCCAAGCGAACGACTGAGTCTCGTTCTAGGTACTTTAGTTACCTCACTATTATAGCGTCTGGCGTCAGTTATGTTGCGTTCAGAGGGTCCAGACAGAAACCAAGTGGTGGCAGTCGTTGTAAAACGTCCTTTAGCGGCCCCTAGCAAAGGTCGAGATGCACTAATCCTACTCTGGAGTGATTTGCCCAGGACGGACGCTCCACGGCTAGCGCAAAACGTGTCACGTGACCGAGGAGCCTTTTTGCGACGGGCTCGCACGGAAGTGTCTACAGAACACATGCAAGGCAAGGCAGCATCACCACGACACGAGTCCACATCGACGCTCAACGAGATGTGATGCCTGTGACCGTCGGAACCTCTTGGAGAATGAGAGCCGAGATGCTTCTCTTGGACTCTCTACTATTTTCTGGCCGAGGCGGGGGAAGTGAGATCAGGAGCTTGTGGACACCTTGACGAGCGATTTGGAGCCTTGTCCCCGGAATACCGCTTTGCTGCGCGAGCCGACATGCTGATACGGCCCACCGATCAAATATGGGCTTGTTGAGTTTCTTAAGGGAGACATGACATGATAACATCGCCTAGTGAGCGAGCCTGTCGCCAACACCCCGCTACCTCTATATCAGCACCGGAAATTGGCACCTGTAAACCACTTCACTGTGCCCCGTATTGCAGCTTCCTTTGCAAACCTACAGCCACTCTCAGTGACGGCTGCTTTTTTGGGGGATGATGCCGGTTTTTGGCTGTGACGAATGAAGTGCTACAAGCGGCGCGAGTTATATTGTGCTCTCGACAACAGAGCCCCTCATTTGAACAGACGCTGCGTCTTCCGTTACTCTGGCAATCGTCACAGACCTGAGGATTGGGAGAGGGGGTTGGCAGAATAGACCTGCTTATGGCCCAAGCCGGAGCTTGAACTCATTTCCCTTCGTTGCTGGCAACATTTCGTTGTAACACTCAAAAGCACGGTTCTATAACCTGGATGACACTGAGTCGCTGCAGCCTCATTGGTGATGCTGATCAGCCTTGCACGCTGATTGGCTCGCTCTACTCACAACAAATGAGAATGAGAATGAGAATGAGAATGGGAATGAAAATGGGAATGAAAAGGGAAACAAATGACGTTGCATCATGGCAAACGGACTAATCGTGCGAAGATCGCCCATTCATATCCTCATATGTTTCATGATCGGCTCCATCATTTGGAACTTGCGCAGCAAATCGGTGGACAAGAGCATGGCAAAGTTGCACGGCAGACAAGGATTATAATGGCAATTGACGCCAACGGTAAGTCTCGTAAATGATCCGCGAGGATACGTATATAGCGCTTTGCTGCCGTCTTGACGGCTCGAGCATGCTCTGGCTGTTTTGAGATGATTGGCAATAGCGGGCTCTCGTCTGCATGTCGTGGAGGCTTGAAGTGAAGGGACGGCGTATGAGAAAAACTGCCATTCTGTTGACAGCTTGCAAGTGCATGTCCGGGAGACTGATGGTGTTGGCCATATTGCTGGGTGGCGGATATGCGGGACTGCGTCGGGGAAGGACACACTCAGCCTGTGCGGGTGAGGCTGAGGCTCAGGGCATCCAACGTCTGCCCCAAAAAACATCACGGCGGTCAGCTCTAGGGGCTGTTTCTGCCTGTGGCACCAAACCCCTATCGCCCTCTCGTTTTCCTTTCTTTTTCCTAACGGCCCCTCCTCGATTCTGCATCTTCGGCACCCTCATCTCATCGCAGCGCCATTTCTGTCCCAGGCTGTGGGACGGCACAAGCCTCGGACCCTTGCTACTCCGGCTAAGGTGCGGCGATTTACCAGCGCTGCGACGCTAAAAACTCAAACCAGGTGTAGGTCCCGATGGGGCAGACTACATTGCCTCCGCGTCGCCCTCGACATGCTGCCATGAGAGACGACGGAGGAAGTTATGATTCCAGAGAACGGCCTCGATCTGGCAGAGGAGTGACGTCCTCGGATCGACCAGGATCTCCTCCCCACGGGGCCCGTCTCGACTCAGACTACGCCTCTCGGCACCACCACCGTCCCAGAGACTCGGCTCCATCGCAGCGGCACCGCTCACGAGACCGCAGCCGAGACTACAATCGGCGAGACAAACCTTCATCCTCGCGCGCCCCCGCCGAGTCGGAAGACCTGATCCCTCGCTATCGTGAGAGCAAGGCGCGCTCCTCGGAGGCCAAGACCAGGACGACTCGGGGCAGCCGTAGCCGCAGCCGCAGCCGTGATCGTGATCGTGATCGTGACCGTGACCGTGGGGGGTTCGGCTCTCCGTCATCCTCGAAGCGACACAGGAGTCGAAGCCGCAGCCGCAGCCGATCCTTGAGCCCGTCTCGTAGGAAACGCTACAAGAAGGCTCACAGCCCACCTCCGCGCAGCCCAGCCCGAAGCTCCAAAGCCGAATCGAGGAGACGAAGACATCATTCCACCGACCGTCGAGATTCTTCACCGCGTCGCCACCGTTCTTCCCACAAATCCCCCTCCCGATCCGACGACACCCGTCGCTATTCGAGGCGAAGATCTCCACCCCATTCCCCGGCGAGATCTGAGGCTGAGAGGAGACACACCCGACGCGACTCCTCACGCCACCGTCACAAGTCCGAAACATCTCGAAGCGTATCACGAAATCGGTCTCCATTTCCTTCTGACAAACGGCGTCGTTCGCCCTCGAATCGCAGGGACTCGCTGTCACGCGCGGGCGGCTCTGCTCTGACAGTCCGCACTGCTGCTGACGACCAATCGAGAGGTGACGCGAACTACCGATCGGCTAATCGAGATCCAAGGCCTCGATCTCCCCAGGCCCATCGAGAGGGAAAACGAGAAAAGGATATCCCCGAGCCGCATCATACCTCGCGGTCGGACATCGACGACGATATGACGTCTCGAAGTAGTTACCGTGGAGGATATAACGCTGCTTATTCGCACCAATCTCATCATAGCAACGATCCCCAAGGGTTTTCTCAGTCTCCTCAGAATTCTGGCTCTTTTCACAATTCTCCGTCTTCTTCCTCATATGGCGCCGGCCGTTCTGGATGGAATGGTCATCAATATTCTCCACAACAGTATGATTTCTCTCCCTCTTCAACCAGATGGCCGTGTTGTTGTTTCACGATGAGTTGCTAATAGAATAAATAGGCAATACCCTCCCCAGTATACTCATGGAAGTGGTAGCTATGCTTCCAGTGTCCCCCCTCAAAACGGATCACAGAATCACTACCACGGCAATTCATTGCATTCTCCTCCATATGCCGCTCCTACCGGTCCTCAGGGTAGTTATCGAGGAAATCATCGGGGTGGCGGCTTTCGTGGCGGATCTTTTGCAAATCGAGGTGGCTATCGCGGCTCCAACTTCAAAAGCGCTTCTGGGAACTCCTCATCTCGGGCGCCACCACCACCACCTCCTCCTCCTCCCCCTCCCCCTCGAAGCAATGGGTTTCCTTTAGATGGGGATGATGAGGTGAGACAAGCCACCGCAGATGCAGACGCAAGTCCCAGGGAAGTTGTAGAACCCACTGATACCCATGAACATGCCGCTGTGGACCACTCAGACGATGTACCATCAGCCCCCAAGGACAATCATGGCGAAGCTTCATCACAAACCCCAACTAAGCCAGGCAGTGGTGCTGGAAAATTTAGCTTCGCCTTTAAACCGTCATCAAAGCCCACACCTGCAGCTCCAAAGCCAGAGATATCTCAAAAATTCAACGCTGCTCCTCAAAGACGAGAGCCTGTGCAAACTCAAACTCCTAATCGGGATCGAGAGCCTCCCCCCAGCGCCCCTACTGAGCCGTCGTCGGTGCGGTCCCGGCGAGAGCGGGAGCGCGAACGAGAGCGCGAACGAGAAAGAGAAAGAGAGCGAGAACGAGAGTTTAGGCACCCCCCTGAAGGGCCGAAAATGGCGCCTAGAACACGGAAGGTTATGAAGGTTATGAAACGACTGAAACCTCGACCGACCCTCCCGGACGACTTGATCGCGTCTGAGTCGGTATTTTTCAGGAAACCAGGAAATGAATCCGTTGTTGGCTCGGGAACGTACGGTAAGGTGTTTAAAGGACTAAATGTCTACACCAAGGGACTCGTTGCTCTGAAACGGATTCGCATGGAGGGCGAAAGGGATGGCTTCCCAGTAACTGCCGTGCGAGAAATCAAACTGTTACAGTCACTGAGGCACACAAACATTGTCAATCTTCAGGAGGTCATGGTGGAGAAAAACGACTGTTTCATGGTTTTCGAGTACCTATCGCATGACTTGACGGGCTTGCTCAACCATCCTTCCTTTACTTTGGATCCAGCCCAGAAGAAGCATTTGGCCAAGCAGCTTTTCGAAGGTTTAGACTACCTTCATGAGAGGGGCGTGCTTCATCGCGACATTAAGGCCGCAAACATCCTTGTCAGTAGCGAGGGCATATTGAAGCTGGCAGATTTTGGCCTTGCTCGATTTTATGCGAAGCGGCACCAGCTAGACTACACAAACCGTGTCATTACAATCTGGTATCGATCACCTGAACTCTTGTTGGGAGAAACCAAGTACACTGCCGCTGTCGATGTATGGAGTGCCGCGTGCGTCATGGTAGAGATCTTTTCGCGGGTGGCCATCTTTGCTGGCGACGGGACAGAGCTCAGCCAGCTCGATAAGATATACAACATCCTGGGGACACCCACCCGCCAAGATTGGCCCGGTATCACCGATATGGCATGGTTCGAGCTGCTTAGGCCAACTGCAAAGCGAAAGAATGTCTTTGCAGAAAAATACAAGGAGAAGGTCTCTCCCGCTGCTTTTGACTTATTGCAATCCATGTTCTGCTACGATCCGGCCAAGCGGCCCACAGCGGCTATGGTTTTGCAGCACCCATACTTCACTACCGAAGAGCCATTACCTACCCAGGCAGTAGAGTGAGTTTTCCAATCCTCTTAGTCGCTGACCCAATTCATATCTTTACGCTCGATTGACTAACCATCTGTGACAGGCTAGCGAATATCGGTGGTGACTGGCATGAGTTTGAGTCAAAAGCCCTGCGTAAAGAAAATGAACGGCGAAATCGAGAAGCTCGAAAAGCTGCCAAAGACACTTCTCGAGACAACGACAAGAAGCGCGTCACAGAATCTCATGACCGCGAGAGGAACGTCAAGAGAGTACATGTCGATCAGAAACCACTGGAAAGTCGGAGTAGCAGCACGACAACGACAGCGGCAACGAAGAAATGAGAGTTCATTTTTTTTTTAATATTGCCCGTCTGAATCTCTTGATTTCACTTTTTTTTCTCTTCTTTGTCTAATATATAAGGTCTTTCCTCTTTTTTTCCTTTCCCCTCCTGCGCTACCCCGGAGATGGTAATGGGACAGCGGTTGTCAGTGGTTGTGATGCCGTACATTTGGCATGAGCTCTTTTTCGTCTTTTCCTTCCTCGAAGGTGTATAAAAAAGGTTATAATGGGCGTTTCATGGATGTGGAAGGGTTGCATTTTTTTTTGTTCCTTTAAAGAACAAGATGATGTTTTCACGGTAGGGATGATCTTGTGTCATTTGTTACGCTTTAGGAATGTGTAGAAATGGAGGTCCCACCAAAAGAATATAAAAAAAGAAGTGTTCCCATGGGAAGATAATATGAGAAATCTGTTACGAATGAAATAGTAGCACTGTGATCTTCTTTATAGTGGCGGCTCCTTTGCTAACAGTGAGAGCATATTTGATGGGAAGTGATTTTTGGTGTCAATTTTAAGCTATGCATCATTGAGGCTCTGCTAGAGAAAGAAGCCAGTGAAAGTTCCGTTGACTACCCAACTCCTAGTGGTTGATTCCATTGCTATATATACATGTAAATCAAACAAATCAAAAGGCCATCCCTCCCAGTATCATGGTATCGTCAAGTAATGTTCACGTCTCATCATAACATGGTATCGTCAGTTTTCCAATCCCCCTTATAAATATCATCAGATCATAAAACCTTCGAAGCTCAAGCTCAAGCCCAAAACTTTAAGCAGGCGAAAGAGGAGTATCTGCTCTATTTCCCCTCCTTCTTTCTTCCTGCCCTCCAACTAACCCTGTCTCGTTGATATCGATGCTATGGATAGTCCGGCTTCATATATATATGTATATATATTATATATATGAAGCTTATTGTAGTATCTCTGGGCCTTTTCCTTTCGGCTCTGTGCTCCTCAATAGCTCACGAAGACTGCCCTCAGCAAGACCCTTGTGGTGGATAAACGGAGAGGATGGTCTCCAGGGCATCCAGCCGTTGATAATGGAGAGAATGCCACCGCTGGCAGTGTCCGTTCCGATAGGCGTAATAGCCCCCTTTGCCACGGAGAGACCCAATTGTTTGGGCTGGTGCGGTGTGTCTTTCACGACAGCAGGCCGCCCCTCAATGATTTCTCCCGGAGCTGTACGAATCTCAAGCTGGCTTGTTGATTCTTGAGGCTGTGCCGGTTCGCTGACAAGACCGGTAGCGGATGTTCGTGGGGAGTCTACAGCCACGCCGGTGTGTCGAGTAGAGGCATCAATGAGGGCTAATGAAGACGATGACTTCTTGGGCGCGGCTTGCTCTTCCAGATTAGGGTTTCGGCGCTCATCAAGAGTTCCACTAGAAGAGCTGCTTGTCGAAGAATGCCCCGATCCCTTCTGTGCTGATCGGCCGCGAACTTCCTCAGCAATCTCGGCAGCGGACTTCTTCCTGCTGGCCTGCTCCTCGTCCGAAGACCGGCTAGATGAGATGATGGTTTCTAGTGTTCCTACGGCTCTGCTATTCCTTCGGGCCATGCGCCGCTTCCTACGGGTTGATGATGCTCCTACGCTCTGCTCGTCTTCTGCAGAGACAGCCTGCAAGGTCGGGCCTTGAGAGTCATTTGACTGTGCTGAGGGGTTCAGGAAGGAGGCTCCAGATCCGTGGGGGCTATAATGGACCTCGTACTGGTTGCTCAGCGAGTATCTAGACCTCGCGCATATCTCAGCAATGCGGTCCAGGTCAGCATTGATATCGCCAGCGAGACCGCCGCCCTGTGCTTCTATGTTGGCCATGAAGCTCTTGAAGCTAAAGGCATCTATCGGGGGCAACCGGGCCTCATCCTCGGCCCGGCCATTGACCGGCTTCTTTCCAAAGGAGAGTACCATGGTGCTTAGCATGCCGTGCTCTCCAGAGACGAGCCGTGACGGAAGGGGAAGACCGCCGGCGACAGCCTCAGCAAATCGCCCGACCTGGGATCCGGCGCCGACGCCCGAGCCGGAGATGGGACCGCCGTGGATGGCGGGGCCGCGAGACGAGCTGGACGGCCTGCTGGACGGCAATGGGGGGTAGTAGCTGCGGACGATGACGGGCTCCGAGTAGGTGCTGCTCTGGGCGCCAGTGGACTTGGCGTAGCGGTGGCTCGGGAAGTTGTGGTTGAGCTCGCGGAGGGCGGTGGTGCGATATTCTACGGTCGAGTCGTCGACGGGGATCGGCTTGCCCTCGGCGGTGGACGGCACGAGGCTGGTCGGCGACGGGTTGGGCTGCTTGAAGGAGAACAATGGGAGGGGATTGCCACGGTCACGATGCTCGGAGGGGCGAAGGAGAGCAGCCGTGGTGGCCTGCTGCTGAGGTTGAGGCTGAGGCTGAGAGTGAGGCTGAGATTGAGAGTCAGGTTGAGATTGAGATTGAGGGCCAGGGCCGGAGGTGGGTAAAGACATGGTGGATTGAGAGATGGCGCAAAGGTGGTTAAATACGGTGGTTATATGTAGGCAGGTTGGGAGAGGTATTGGGTATCGGCGACGATCGGTCCAGGGTCTCAGCAAGACACCGGGCGCGGCAACATGCAAGTTGTGCAGAAACTCAACGCATTCCCGTCGTCTGGACAAGGGGTCTGGTCTGGTCTGGTCTGGTCTGGTCTCAGGATGGGGGAGAGAGAGAGAGGAGGGAAGGATACGTGGTAGGGCCGTATTAGTGTGCTGCTCGCTAGCGACAGAGTGGCACGACAGCCGGGGACTCTGCGTGGTGATGCGTATTGGTAGCTTTGTTGATGGCGGAGCAGCGAGTCTCACACAGGCTGGCGGCAGACAGACAGATGCAGATGGGACTTGTAAGGATGCAGTATAGTAGCAGCGGCAGCAGCAGCAGCTGTTGGTGGTGGTGGTGGTGTGGCGTCGGCGGCAGACGCAGCTAGCTGGACGAGAGACGGCCAGAACCCGACAGCCAGAGACAAAACACTCAGCTGCTGGCGATGTCGCAAACGCTGCTTAGGTAGGATCCAGATCGAGACTCGGGACCGATGAGACACAGCAGTCGCTCCCAGGTCGACGGGTGTCGTCGTAGCGGAAGAAGCACGCAAGCAGTATAACAGAGCAGCAGCAGAGCTAGGCAAGGGGGCCCAGCAGAGCGAGGAGGGGCACGCAAGAGGCGAGCTTCTAAAGCCGGAACAGCGAGCCAGGCGGTTTGATAGAGAGCAGCGAGCCTCGCTACGAGTGGCCAAGGCGACAGTGGCGAGTCAAAACGCACAGCGCAGACACGAACGACGGACGAAGGCGCCAGAGGCTCCATGCAATGTCATGCCATGCACAAGCCGCTGCACAAGCACAAGCACAAGCGACATGCGCAAAGCTGCACGACTGTCGTGGCGGCCGCTCAAAGGGCGTCTGCGTCTTGCCGGAGCCCTGCGGGCGTCGTCCGTGGTGGCCGAGGAGCAGAAAGAGGTGGCATCGGGGCCGTGTGCAGAGCCTACGATCGCCAGCTGCTTGTACTTGTCATTGGCGCACGTAGCTTCATCCTCTGGAGGCTGATGCGCATCCCTGCCTGCAGCGCCGGCTGCCTTTTGCTGCCGTGGGCGCCGGCGATTGGCTGCGAGCGCGCTCTTTGCGGGGATGGCCTCGTCTCGACGTGTCCGCGGACCGATGCGGGCTAGCAGAGGGCAAGGAGTGTGGGCAGAAAGGATTGTATATCGGCAAAAAGAGCTGCTGCTTTTGTTTGTCGTCGGCCTGCCTTTTTGCAATTATAAGCCAATCACGAACGGCGTCGAGTGGCGATGCTCTGGTTGGAAAGATCAGTGAGTGACTCGCCTCTTGATCAAGTCCAATCAAAGCCTTTTCTGCATCGTGCAATTGAATGGCCAGCAATCATATCACCCAGCGTTCTAGGTACCTATATAGAAGGTAGGTACCTACTCCATCTGCTACCCATCACCATGCATTCGGGGGCCAACGTCCTTCGTATGCACGTACTAAAAGTATTCACCTATTCCCCCACACAGTCCTTATCAACACGGGCATCTGTGCTTCCCACACAAACCCCCTTGCCTGATTTTTTTCTCTCCAGATGCGAAGTTTGTTAAATTAGGCATTGGGGATGAGCATCCGGAGCCGGAGCGGGGCACGCGGGTAGAGCAAGCAAAATATGTGCTTTAATGCCCCAATTAGTGGATATAAATCATCCCTGGTGACAGCTTGATTCGACAACAAAAGCTGGGCTTGTCTCGCAAAGTGTTTCAGGCCAGTGCATGCTGCCATTATTGCTGGCATCCAATTTGGCAGTCAATCAATCCATATCTTCCGCTCCATCTATTACGCGGAGAAGATACCATTTATAACATTGTTCGCATAGCTCCTAGTACATATGAGAGCCGTAAGCGGAGATGCCTGGAAGTGGTGATGTCATCCACATGTCTCTATCCCACTTGATGTACAGCAAAGCCCAAGGGGAGCAATTCAATCACGATGGCTCTTTGGTACCATTACCATTTATCACTACAAATTACTTACAATTACTACATGTATAATTAATCACCAGTACTACCTTGCTTCTTCAATGGTATCCGCAAACCAGAATCTAGAGTTTCGACCCAATTTGACTAGGATACGGCTAGTTGTAGCCTCATCGTTCATACGAATCCGTCGTCGAGTCAGATTTCCGTGCTGATTCAACTCATCCCGACTCAGTCTAAGATTTAAAGGCACTCCCATACAACCCATCTTCGATTGACACTTTGCATCAAACCCTCTCTTCCACTAGACTAGCCTTCTCGGTCTCCATATCGAAATCAGGGCTTTAGATATACCCTGAATTTTGATTGCCGTGCCCTTGGTTGCTATAGCCTTGGTTGCCATATCCTTGGTTGCCGTACCCTTGGTTACCATAACCCTGATTATATGGCTGGTTCCCATATGCTTGGCTTTCGTACGGTTGTCCACCAATGGGCGCCGGTTCAGTTTGCACAGCTGGCGGTGCCGGTGCCATTGTTCCGTAATTTTGTCGGAAGGCTTGCCCGCCCGTTTGCACCTTGTCGGAGTAGATGCCTGGAGCATGACGCGGTGGAGCATAACCCTCACGGGCTTGTTGCCGCCTGTCGTAATAGACATATTCAAGATAAAATGCGTGTATATGGCCGGGCAAGTATCCAAGAAGCGTCAGGCATATGTTAATGAGTAAATCTATAGCGCTTTAGCATGCTGCCGAGCTCCCCCGTGATATCCAATATCAAGAATAAACTTACCCATTCCACATCCTGCTACAGCCCATACGCCGAGCGGAGGGACTTGGTAACAGCGTTAGCACGACATGAGTCTAAAATTTGACGTCTTCACCTACAGATAATGGTGATGAATATGACGCATATGACCGAACAAACACCCATCGTAACGGTTGCGACGAGGATACAGGTTCAATAAAGATTCAGTACGATAGACGTGTTGTTGGGTAGGTAGTAGTTGGCTTAGAGATCTATACTCTGGAACTATTACCTAGTTAGTAAGTATAGAGTGATCTTTCTCAAGTCACAAGTCACAAATAAGAGGGAAGAAGGTCAACCGCCCATTCGTTGCGGGAGGAGACAAGCTTCCATTTATTACATGCGATCAACCCACAAGAGAGCCGGTTTGGCACGCAATGGCTGTGTTAAACTTTTTAGCTTCCTATTGCGTAACCAGGTTGTGTGTGCAAGTCACGCTGACATTGAGTTCACGCAATCAAACCACCATCAGGCTGTCTCTTGGATGCCACCAAGGGTCGCCGGCAATCGCTACCCGCGATGCGCCATGAATGACGCAGACAAGATCCGGGTGTATGACGTAGTCGCACGTGGACGGCTGTGCTGCTCGTATGTATTAAGAAGGAGTAACCTAGGCTACTTGGTAGCTTCAAACTCAATTGAACTGCTTCACGCCGCCATTTTTTTTCTTGTTTCCGTAAACATCGTGAAATAATTTCATTATCGCCTTCGTAAAATATCAAATTTCCCACCTCCTTCTTCTGGTTCCGGTGCTTGCAAAAGGCATTCATAAATGGCCGGCGAAGTCGTTGGACCACAGTCAGCGAGATTGTTCTGAATCAATTAGTGATGTTAGCTGTTCTCGCCGCCTTGCAATTATGACGATGACCCGACAATTTCCCCTTTGAGAAAACAAATCTCGGCTTAACATCTTCGGAGAGCTACTTCACCTTGTGCCCGATGGCTTTGATAATCTATGCGATGCTGTAACTCAGCAGTGCGTCGCGGATGCAGCGACAAGAGCACACTCACCCGGCCAAGGCAGGACCTATAACGCCCGGCTCCTTCGACTATCAATAAAATATATGGTAGTGTGTCATTGTAAGTGATGGGATATACATCTTACCTTCTGAGCAGTAGGGTTAGACAATAGGTACTAATACTCAATGCCTGCAGATCCGCGAGAACCGGCCGGTTCGACTTTATTCACGGCCTATACAAACACAAACCAGCAAAATTGTACCGTGCCGGCCTTTACATCCTCGGCTATCCGGCGACTTGAAGCACCGGGTTTATCAGACGTTGCTGCTATCGACCACGGGATCCTTGCCGGCCTTTATGGTGGACAACAAAACAATGATATGGGGAGCAAAAGTGAGACATTGCCAGTCAAGTCTCAGCTAAAGATCGGAACAAAGACAGGTTGGATGCGTTACCTCCTGCGGCATGCGTCAACGCTAAAGAGCATAGTAGCCGAAGATGATGCTTCACAGGTTTACAAATTTACTTGCGTAAAAGAATTCGACACCCCATCAGGCCGTCCAATCTATCTTCTGGAAAATTCATTATCTAGAAGTATGGCACTGTACCTACTCTGCGACGCATGACAGCTGGTGATGCCCGACTGGGTACATGTAAGCGACGGCGGCCAGGGTGGCAGATATCCAAGACAGTGTCTCTATCCCAGCGCTTCTAACGTTGTTCTAGAAACCCGTCTCTAGGTCAATGGCGGGTGGCACCAATGAGATAACTGAGCCGGCAACCCGTTACCCGTATTGGCCTCGTGGTTGACCCAAATTTGACACTGCCAAGGGGTACCCCAGTCACCCAAAACATAAAGACAACTCCGGACGCGTCTGAAGGCCTGCCTTCAAGTACGCTAAAAAACTAGGCCAGGAAGCGTATTTCTTTTCTGCCCCATCATCGCCCGCCGCGACTGAGTTAGCCGACTCTGAGCGTTGTCCAATATACCGAAGGCCTTGCCCTTCTATCCGTGGGTTCAAATCGGGCCACTTTCCACTCCCTAGGCCCGTTAGATGGCTCCTCTGCCAAGTCGGTAAAGCGACTCTCCTTTTTTTTTTTTTTTAATAATTGTGGAAACAATAACAAGAAAGAGGCCGCTTAGCCTCGACCGTGCCTTGGACGACTCGCAGAGCGGGTAATCCCGACTACCGATGGCCATACGGAGCAGATTCCTGCTCTGACTAAAACATCCGAATCTTTAACGGGTTTATTCTGGAATTAGTCTTCCGTAAAATACTTGACGGTCCCCTAGTATGAGGAGAAAAACAAATCGCTGTACTCTGGCAAAGTGCTTGTACGTAAGTTCAACTTGATGAGCGACTGGGATAGCTTTGCTCGACCAAGAGAGCAGAAAAAGGCTATGAGCAGCTACGTGATTTCGGGTGCTCAATACCGAACACGGAGGAGAAAGCGGCCCCTCAATAGGTCAGGATTGCATAAGACTCGTCACTTTCCACCCAACACAAGCTCCTGTCAAAACCTGATTCAGCTTGATGCTGCAGGGCATTGCACACTGTGTCAAGCTGCGCTCACCTATGACCAAGCGTAGCCCCGACTAGCAATTCCCAAGACGATGAATACCTAATACCTACTACTAGTAGGTCATACTAAGCACCACTTTATACTCCGTAGAATATACAGTGGGCGTGTTTTGTAACAAAGACAGGGAAGCCGCCAGAGATCCGCGCGCCATAAACGCCAAATTTGTCTCGCCACTCAACTCTGGCGCCTCGGGGTGGACTTCAACAGCCCGCAGCTGAACATGAGACAAGTTTGTCTTCCAACGTGACAGCTTGCCCTCTATAAATTATATAAGCCAACTGCTGCCGAATAATCGACTCAGAACAATGACATGATTGTAACCTGTCGTTTCGAACCCAGTCGACAGTACAGCAAGTAAGAGGTTGTCAACTATGTATAGCGTTATCCCAGGATGAGAGCGTCTTGCAGCGGTGAGTGTTCTCCTTTTCGCAGACTGAGGGTCAATCAAAATGCTGCTGCTGTTAGCTCTTGCGGAGACGGCGAATCGTCACCTGCTCATGCTGATCATGGATGAGACGATAAGAGCCAATATGCCTATATTGTACAAAACGCATGTAAAAAGACCCAAATGCAGTGGGCAATAGTAAGGGGGACTGGTGATGTAGACACGGCTCTCACACCAGCCATTGATTGATTACGTGGACGTGAACGCCAAATCCCATGATATTAGTATCAGAATACTGATTCTTTGTTTTGCGGAGGAGGCTGCTTGTCTCTCCTCGAGATTCGCCTATCGAACGAATTTGTCCTCCGATCATCTACTGCTGCTCCGTACTCTGTACTCCGTATAACCTAATATAGATCTGGGGAACTTGACGCAAGGCTACCTTGACAGCCGAAGCAAGTTACGGTGTACAAGCAACAGCAGAGTGCCGAGACTGGTGCGCTGCAGACAGGCAGTGGAATGATATTCTGGGACAGTCAGGGATCTACCTGGTATTACCAACACCGGCCAGGCAGCACAGACAGGGTTGGCAGTTGCAATGTAAGCAAAGAATGCGTCTCTCTCAACGACACTGGAGCGGCAGCAGCTTGCGAGGCTCAAACAAGCCCTCGCTGATGAAATCATACTGTACCGTCTCCGACATACCGGATACGACTGGCCCCCTTGCGTCGTGAAGAAAAAAGACCCCGTCTGGTGGGACATAGCCAGCCCCGATAAGCGGTCCGTAGGGACTCCGTAGGGTTCTCCGCCAGGTACTGCTCGTACTGATACCTCCTAGCGGTAGCGGTGCCGCGTCCCCAGGCCGGCCAAGCAGGGCTAGCAGGGTTCCAGCACAGCGAGCGCCCTACGCTGGCCACCCACTGCGCGACCACTAGCGCCTGTAGCTGGGCCACTGAGCGCTGCTGAGCGCTGCTGAGCCTGCCAATGCACCCGCCGGCCGCCTCTACAGAGCCCTGAAAAAGCCCCGTGCCTGTGCCGGCCAGCCAAGTACCGCTACATGCACCTCGTACTCCGCGGCGGTACATTGCCTGGGCCAGCAGGCAGGGCAGGTACCTGGAGCTAACTACAGCGCTGGCTGCATCTGCAAAGAAAGAAAAGTGCTGGACCACCAATTTCCCGCTCGGCCAGCGGCCTCTTCCAAACCTCCCATTCTCTCTTTTTGCAGTCTTTCTTCATCCACCTCAGAGCTCGACTGTTGCGAGGGCGTGTTGCGCATTTCTGGCAGGGCGCGGCCAATCTTTTCTCACTTGTCTGACTCCTCATTGTGTGCTCACTTTTTTTTTCTCTTCTCCCGGCTGCCGACCCGGAGCTCCAAGCTTTTTTTCCACGGCTGTTCTTTTTGCTCACCACACCTCCTGAAGCCTTGTTTCGAGTGGCTGTACCCCCCGTACAACCTCTATCGCCCTTTTTTTCCCGCCTGCCCGTCAACTCTTCGAGCCGGCTGGGGTCTGAGGCTACCGCTCCTCGTTTTCATACTCTCTACCCTCACGATCAGCCATTGCGAGCGGCCCGGCGATCGCTTCAGCGTCGACAGTCGTTGCCTGCATCTTGCACACGCCAGTTGCCTTGAGCCGGCAAACCCGTTGCCATCATGACTTCGCAGCAGGTGCCCCAGCTCAACATCGACCGCTACGTCGTGATCCACGTTGCGACCACCTGCGATGAACACGGTGTATATGTGACCAAGGACTCCGCCGAGGTCATTGAGCTCGGATGGATTCTCGTTGATGCCAGCACTCTTGAAGAGGTTAGAAATCCGCTTTTCCCCCTGCGCCACCACCCGGCCACAACACCGTGCCCACACGCAGCTGAAGCATCGCTAACTTGGCGGCCATCGCTCGCAATAGATCACCCACGAAAGCGTTCTCGTCAAGCCGGTCAACACTCCCATCACCCCACTATGCAGTAAGTTTTTCAGTCCTCCGAATCGTCTTTTCCCAGCATGCTCTGTCGCGCCTGCTCTCTCCCCCACCATGTTGCGCGGCTATCGAGAGGTTGGAGGGGACTAAAATTTCTAAAACTTCTCGCGGTGAACATCATTGAACACTAGGGCTGACCGAACGCTTTTCTCTCTCACCTTCTTGCAGCGAGCCTAACGACTCTGACATGGGAACATGTTCGGAATGCCGGTACTTTTAGGGATGCCATCACTCGATTCGACACGTTTGCTACCGAGTACCTGACGTCCAAGAATCTCGACTTTGTCTTCGTTACTCTGGATGCTTGGGACCTCCGAGTTCAGCTCCCCCGAGAAGCCCGAGACAAGGCAGTTGTGCTGCCTCCCTACCTGCAGCACTCTCGCACCTTCGATTTGCGAACTGAATACCAACGCTGGCAACAGCACCACCCAGAATCTCTGCCGTTTGGACCTTCCATGCTGTCAAACATCTGCGCCGCTCTCGAGGTCGAGCCAGTGCAGTCTAGCGCTCCCATTAAACATAATCTGCCTTTCCACCTCCAGGCTTTGGCTCCCGCCTCTCCTCGCCGTGCCATGGAAGAAGCTGTTACCCTGGCCCGCGTTCTCCGCGGTCTGATTCGCAAGTCCCAGCCGCCGCACGACCACCCCGATGTTTTGACCAGACCTATGGACGCCAGGGCAGATGTCCGGGCGTTCCTTTCTGAGAGGAGCAAGGTCCTGCATATGTCTGGTCTGCCGCATGATACTACTCAGTCCGAGCTGGAAAGCTGGTTCACCCAGTTTGGTGGTCGCCCTATTGCGTTCTGGACACTTCGAACCCCTGAGCAGCACAAGCCCACAGGCACAGGTTTTGCTGTTTTCTCTTCCCATGAAGAAGTGAGTTTACTCCGTGCATTTCCCAGATATTGCCTCCAGCCGTTCCCCTTAAATATCACCTTCCTTCCCCCTTTGTATATGATGGATGCTTCGTGTACTGACTTCAGCTAGGCTGCTGAGAGCTTGTGTATGAACGGACGTGCACTGAACGAGAAGGCCATTGAGGTTTCCCCCTCTTCCAGTCGTGTGCTAGATCGCGCTCAAGACATTTTGACACCTTTCCCTCCCAGTAAGAACCGCCCCAGACCTGGTGACTGGACTTGCCCCTCTTGCGGCTTCTCCAACTTCCAGCGCCGCACGGCTTGCTTCCGTTGCTCGTTCCCTGCTGTTGGAAGCGGTGGACCTGGTGAAATGGGAGGACCTGGTGGCTATGGATATCAGTATGGACCTCCAGCCATGATGCCCCCTCCGCACCACGGTGGTCACCACGGTCCTATGGGACACGGTGGACGTATGGGCGGTGGCGGTGTTGTGCCTTTCCGTGCTGGTGACTGGAAATGCGGAAATGAAGTTTGTGGATACCACAACTTTGCTAAGAATGTATGCTGTCTTCGCTGTGGTGCCAGTCGCGCTGGCGCTGCCGTTGTCGCGGACTCTGGCTATCCTTCTCCCATGGACAATGGCTCACAGTATGGTATGAGCCAGGGATCAATGGGAGGTACGCCAGGTCCTGGCCCATTTGGTTCCGGAGGATCTTTCGGCTCAGGGGGCGGCTACGGCCAGCACTTTGGTGGTCCCCCTAGCCACTTTCTGCCCTCGGGTTTGGGTGGCAGCGCTGGCGGCTACCCGGGCTCTATGAACTCTCAAGGCTTCCCTTCTGCCCCCGGCTCCCATGCTGCCGGCCCCTTTGATAGCAGGGCCGCAGAGGCGGCTTTCCAGTCTGCGACTAACGGTCCTGTCTCTGGCGGACCAGGCAACAACTTTTATAACAACAACAGCGGCAACCCTGGCAACAATGAAAGCGACCCCTTTGCTTTCCTGAGCAGTGGTATCGGTGGCCTCACTGTCAGTGGTGACGCTCGCCAAAACGGTGCCGGCGCTACCCCAAGCAAGTCGCCCGTCTAAACGAGATCGACAGACGCTTGTCTTTTAGATCATGATCTTTAACTCAACTGGTTATGTACCTTTCGGTATATCCTTTTCGTTCCTATGTAACGACTTTGGAATGATGAACATAGAGCATTTGACCTTGGCAAATACCTTCTGGACCTAGCTTGCATGCTGTTTCAAGGGAAAGGGGCTGGTGTGAATTTGGTTTGTTTTTTGGAGGACTAGGACGGAGTGTCGGATATGTTTTAGGCGGGGCTGTGGTATTGTTTCGAGGGCTGGAAGACAAAAGTGAAATACACCACGGCTGTTCTGGGTCAAAACGAGTCTTGTGGTTCAAGCATTGCTGAGGAAAGTAAAATTTTGTTGATTCTCTTTCGCGCTTTAAAGGGGGGGCAAAACATGGTTCTTGGCAAGGGAAATACGGTTGTGTGGACTCGATTATCGGTCGGACGTGGCATTTTTTTTGCTGGAATCCTTTGTCCCGGTGCTGGTGCATAGCGAAAGGGAGTGTAAGGGTATCTCTTGGCCTTGGTTTTGACTCAATTATCCAGTTCACCGGTGTCGGTTTTATCGCTCAGATTAGCCCAGGGGTCTTTTGATTTTGTTTCGACTCTTTCTCCTTGTTAACTTGCTTTTTACTGGTCTGATTCTCTTGTCTTTTTTGCTTAGTTCCTCTTTCTGTTTTCTCCATTTTGCAGTTGTGTCTCTTACCTTGTCAATCCTTTTCTTCTTTCTTTACATAGGACATTCTCTCTTCTCATACTGTACTTTTCGTACACTCGTTTTTTCTTTCTTTCTTCGTTCTTTCTTCTTCCTTATCATTTCGGCATTCCGGAAGTTTGGAAGAGAAAGGTGTCAAAGGTAGCAGCATTTTTGGGAGCGGGGGACATTGGCGGGAGTTGGGACTGAATCGAGTTTTTTGAGGGAAACTTTTTTTGGGCAAATGAAATTTTGACGATGGAAAGGCTAAGGGAAGGGGTGGATGGGATGAATGGAAAGCATACAGGGGCAAAGAAGGAAAGGGGGGGAGAAGGGTTTGGGAGGGACTCTCTTGTTTTTTCACAAATTGGGAGGTGGCTGGTGGGAGGTTGGCTGCAGGTTGATTTTGCTGAGATATGAGAATGCTCTGATGTTTTTGTCCGAAGGGGATGTGGGCATGAAAATTTAAAAAGTAGAGTGATTTTGAGGGATGGGGGGAATGGATGTCCTAATATAACGTGTTATTGGCTTGTTTTTTGTTTCAACGATATGGGATGAGAAGAATTCTGTGTGATTGCTGCTGCATTGGTGATGTTGAAGTCTGGCAAATCCAGTTTGTTATCGAGACGTGTATCGACTGTGGTGTGCCGTGTAGATGACCATCAATCACTGTCCGCCAAGATGGTTTCACTGATTCCGATCCGCTGGGCGCCATCTGGATACAAAAGAAGCTTTTCCTTTACTCGAAAGCTTATGAATCGCTTTACTACTATTAAGGTTTACTGTTGATTGCGTGTACCGAGATACCGTAGTACCTAGTAGTTGTAGTTGTTTTGTTGAGCAATCCTCTTGATTATCATATATTTAAGGAAGTATGTCTGCTATTTAATACAACAACGCAACCCGCTTACTTATCCATTGGCGTGCGAATGGAAGATGCTAGAGAAAGGCTGCATCTTTGAAAATGCTGTGCTGAGGTTGTGCAGAAAGCTAGGCCTGTATACCTATTACAACATCACACATGGCCATTCGAGCCAATGAGGTAACAGCAAGTATTGCAACGCAGGTACATTTGCGCTTGGTCCCCATTGCAACTCTCTTCTGATTCATGCTTCTTCTTAGTCTTTCGCTGGTCCTTTGATACGGCTTGTTGTCTTACTCTAATGCCATAGCATTCTGATAATAAACTAGGCATTCAAGTATTCCAAGATTCTATTCTACGATATTCAACACGGTTTGTTACGGGAGGACTTGGTTATGTATTTTTAGGTTTTAGTCTAGCTTGTGCGCTAAGTGAAACTGGGGAGGGGAAAGCAGCGATTAAGAGGGATTAAAGTACCCTAAAAAGCAAATTTTCGCAAACAGACGGGAATTACAGACTGTGCATCTTACCATGCCACTGATACATACATACATACAGAGGCAGATTTCAGAAAGAATACGGAACGCAGGAATCCAGCACGGACACACTTGTGTCCCTTGCAAAATCATGTTTATCCGTCAAAGAAAGCGTTTTCCCATTCATCCTGGAGCGCCGTTTTAGCAGGTATTGTAGCGCACAAACTCCCAACTTGAGCATAAGTGGTCGGTCCACCAACTTGCAAATATAATCAAGCTGGATGGATCCAAGCACACCGCAAAGGCGGATTCGGATTATGCAGTATTAATAGCAGGCAAAGACGGCCAAATTAACTAGAAACCCGCATCACTTGCTCTTATTCTCGCCGTCAAGGTCTTGCGCCGACGCTTTTGGTGATTATAAGAGCGAGCGGTGCGAATGCTTAGTCAGAATTGCCCGCGGGATGGCCCTTTATAAGCAAACTAAGAAAGTAACCTGTCGCCTTCGGGCATTTGGTCAATTTATAACGATACAGGTAAGGCTGAACTCCGGAACTCTACTGGTCGCAAGTTCGAATCGCTAACATTGCAACAGAGAAGATTAGCATGGCCCCTGCACTAAGGATGACACGCTCAATCAAAGAGAAGCTAAACATTTTTTTTTGTAAATTTGTTTTATTTTTTATTTTTTCCTTGTAGACTTTTCTTTCCATCTGTAGTATCCCGCCTGCAGTGCTCATGATATGTCTTCTCCTGCGTATTAGTTCCCAGGTTGAATGGGGAACTTGGAAGGATCTGGTATCCAGAAGCCAACATTGATTGCCTTGCCCCCAGCAGCTCTAAGCTATACTGCCAGATTATTGTCATCAGCATCATCCTCTTCATCACCGTTGCCGTCTTCCATATCATCATTATAAACATAGCTGCCTTCTCCATCTTCCTCCTCATCATCATCGTAATCCTCCATTTCATCGTCCGAGTCTCCTTCACCCTGTGAATCAGATCCTGAACCAGGCTCTTGCTGATGCGAGCGTCGATTTCGCCTCTCTCTGATCAAATCATCCCAATCCCAGTCCTCTCCTGGATCGTGGTCAGGATAAGAGCTCCAGGCTTGAGCCCTAATCTTCTCCTCTTCTCCGAGATCTACGGGTATGCCACCTAATATGGATTGATTGACAAAGTCTATCCAGCCCTGCATGTTATTGACATCGGGCACTGTGGACTCGTGATCCTTGGCCTGAGGGCGTACAATGTAACCGCGGTTGATTTCCTCGTCGAGATCAAGGGATTTGTCAGAATCAGAATCAGAGACGCCGTCCAAACTGCCAGCGTCGTCGTCCGAGTTACCGCACCAGGCTTGAGCCCGCAGCCGTTCATCCTCTTCATCAGAGAGGATCTCATCCTGCTGCTCAGGGGTCAGCTTGTACCACTGCTTCTTCAAAATGTGTCTTGGCTTCCAGTGTTCAAGCGTATCAACGTTGGCGAGGACATCATCCTCATCCTCAATATACATCTCTTCCATGGAGGGAACGATATTCTCTCCCGTCTTCCAATCAAAGTATCCCCAAATCATCATTTGGCTCAAGTGTTCGTCTAGGCAAAGCCCCCTACGAACAGCTTCTATGGGAATAACCTCGTCCGGCCGAAGAAGATGTGCTCGGCCTGCTCCCCAGCCCTCCTTGTGCTGCTGGCCAATTTCCCGAAAGGGGATGCCCTGGATCTGGCCCAGCATGTTTTCTAACCAATAGCCGCCTTCACTGAAAAAATTAAAGTCGTAGCGCAGCTTGAGCTCAATTATTTCGGAAAGCTTATTGAATTTCTTGCGGGTAAGAAGCTGCCATAGTTTATAGAGACCTTTCTGGCCCAGCATAAGCTGTACCAGATCATATTTGCAAGGGCCGTAGACAGGATCGTTGAACAGCATGCCGAGCTTGATGATGAACATTTGTATGTTATAGAGGTCAACGTCTTTGAATAGATGTGTCATTCGCAGCATGGACTGTCTCTGGTGAGAAGTGGCAATGTCCATGAGAAGCCAGAGCCGTAGAAGTGAGTGATGCATCGTCGTCGGCATGCGGTGGCCACATCGAGCCATGATGGCGAGAATCTCCCTGCAGTACTTGTCCCGTCCCAATACCAGCTGTAGATACTTCAAACCAGGTACTTTGCGAATTTTGCTGTCCTTATTCGGCGACGTGTTCATGCCTTGCTTCAGAGCCATCCACGTCCTTCTCTGCGGATCATCCACGAGATGCCTTGCGTAGAGCTGGTAGTGAAAAATGCGCCCTGCCTCTGGGGCTCTGTATTCGATCCATGTTCGAATGCTGGAAAGGAGATAGCCACTGACGGTGCAGTAAAAGGGACGGTTCGCGAGACAGAGGTTCAGCACGTCTCTGTCGTTGAGATGTTTGCCCAGCTCAACAGCCAGTTCAACGTGCTGGCATAACACTGAGATGAGATCTCTTCCAGCATAAGAGACGCGAGATTTCGCTGCTTTTGGCGTCTCGTACGGATCGGCATTGTTAAAGTAGTCTTCGATATCGAGGTCGTCAAACTTGAATTTCTTCTTCTTCATGCCATTCACTTCCACTTCTTCGATGGTAATTCGGTTGATGTCCCTGAGGAGACTGACATGATCGTCATCCATCTCTGCGCCCGCTTCGCCATCCATCCCATCGTCGTACTCGTCGAAAATCTCATCCATCCCCGTCAAATCGATTCCAATATCCTCTAGCATAGCATCACGTTCGCTTTCTGCCCATGTATCACTTTTGGAGTCCTCGGCCTCTTCTAAGGCTCGCTGCCTAATATCCTCGGCCAGCTGATGCAAATCATTGTTGTTGGTTTGCTGGCCGCTGCTCGGTCCAGCTTGCTCGTTTGCGTTATTCATTAACGTCCTTTTTCCTTTTTCCTTTTTGTCCAATACGTGTGTTGGTGATGTTCACTACTCAGGTTCCAGTTAGTAGAAGAGCATAGAGAGGCTCATAGATAATGAAGTTGTGATCTATTGGTCTGTTACGCACCAATGAGGAGGATTGGGAAAATTCGGCGGTTTAGATATGTGGTGCAGATGTGAAACGGCAAAGGGATATCGAGCCAAGAACAATTAGTCGTGAAAGAAAAATACAACTCTGGGCACCTGTCCATCGAATCTGCCAGCTGCCTCAAAGATGTTACAACGGCGCGCCAATTTTCAATTTTTTTTCCCCGACAAACTACATTAACTACGGTTGGATAGCTTTTGCTCTTGATAAGTATTTGCAATTATAAATCGTCCGTCATGGACCATTCGATCTCCATTTCCTCGTCCAACTCTGTCTTAGATGTCATTGATTCTGACCCGGCACCCGCACTTACATCTGGACTGTCCATCATCGCGAGGCTGTAACCACTTGGCCTAGTTGTCCAAATCGGAGATTCCGCCCCGGTATCATCAGACTCGAGATCGATCCTATCAGACCGCATCGTCTTAGATTCAAACTTCCTAGCCCTCCGATTGAGTATTTGTAGCATGTCTTGCCACAGCCTCCCTTCGCCTTCATTCTATGAAGATCGGCTCTTCTCCCAGAACTTCCACCTCATCTATCGGTCAAGCTCATCAACTGGCAAGTCGCCATCATCTTTTCCAACAATAGATTCCGCAACTTTCCAAATTTGTAGCAGATTGTCCTCAGCGGCACTGGCAACCAACCAAGGCTCATTGGGATTCCAGCTGAAGTCGGCTAGGTGGTTTGTATGGCCGCCATGCATGAATAGCCTAGAATTGAAATGAGTGGTCAGCATGTCACAAAAAACCCATTGAAGTGATTTTTGAGAGGAGAAATAATTGCAACTTACAACTCAGGAGGACCATCATCCTGGTCGTCGGGGAGCTGTTCCTCACCGACGCGGGATAAGTCCCAGAAGATAATTCTTCGATCATAACTTCCACTTCCCAAAATGCCGGCTTCGGTAGGATGCCAGGCGAGGGATGTTACCGCGTCATTGTGGCCCTCAAGGGTGTGCACCTTCTCCTTTACGTTTCGTAGATCCCAGATTCCGATCGTCTTATCGGCGGACGCTGTGGCAACAAGGACTTCAGACTTTGGATTAAACGCTAGCGCATTGATAGCATCCAAATGGCCTTGTTTTGCGACAACAGCAGCCTTGTTCGTCTCGCTCTGTCGCAGATCTACGATTTGCAGGGTCTGGTCGTCCGATACAGAACCGATGAAGTTCTTGGAAATAGGGTGGTATTGGACGTCGTTGACAATTCGGGCGTGGTGAGTATATCTGCGAACAGGTCGCAGTATCCTTGAGTCGGCCTCGAGAAGCTTCAAATCCCTATGTTCAAAGGTAAATTAGCCACAAGATCCTAAGGTTTCACCAAAGGTTTCACATACCACAAACACATAGTCGTATCCTCACTACCTGAAACGAGGCATCCCTCCTCATGAGGACTCCAATTGAGACCAAAACCTTCCTCCTTATGGCCGATTAGCTCAATCTGCGCGTTCACTTTGCCCAAAGTTGCGGGCTGTAAGGGGTGCTTTGTCCGATCAAAGATGAGAATTCTGCCATCAACACCAAGGGTAGCAATGATATCTGGGTTTTGAGGTTGATAGCGAGCCTTGTTGACCTCTCCAGGGTGCTCAATTCTTTGTACAATATCACATTTAAGCGCAGCAACATCGCCTGCCTTTCCGTAGCCTCCAATCTCGCCTCGTTCCTCGTCATAGTCGTCAGGGTTCGGTGCTACAGCTTTGGGTATCTGGACATCGGCGATTTGGAGAAAGTTGGCGCTGCCATCCGAGGTGTGAGTTCCGAGCAAAAGACGGTGCATGCGATAGTTTTTGCCTTCTGGTTCCTTGACGTCAGGAAACCATTGGACTGTTAAGGTTGGCCAAGTCAAGGCCGTTCTGGAACAGAGGCGTTAGAGCGCAGACCCAACAATATGGCCACCGGAGAATAAATTTACCCAAGAATCATGTCGTATAAGAACGGGCTATTTTTCTTCCATGTTTTGTACTCTAGGAAGAGATCGAAGTCAGATCAGGTGCCCCGCATTACCAGAGCCAGTATCAGTCTCGATGGAAGCTTACCCTCATTGATGAGACGTTCCTCTTGGTCATCTTCTTCATCATGGACCATGTCGACTGTGGGTGAATATCAAGATTAGCATGAGATTGCTGGAGCCGATGTGGCATTGAGCCAGATTCAGACTTAACAAACCATCGGGAGGGTCGAGCTCAGAGCCTTGAGGCGCCATGGTCAATACAAGAGATCCTTTGGTGAGGAAGCGCAATGAATGCTTGTTAAAAATTGATGCGCTAGGAGAGACAAAATTATGCTGCTAAATCACCGAGAGGGTGCTCTGAGAGCAGATTCAAGAGGTCGAGAGAGCGAAAAAGACTGGCCCTGGCGGAAGCTTGAAAAGAATAGCCGGGGTCGCGTCGCGCGTTAAGTGACGAGAGGTTGGCAGGGCGTGTCGTTAGCGAGCTGCAGCTGAGCCTTGCCTGCCACCCCCCTCCCCTCATCCCTCATAGCCTGGCCTAGCTCGCTAGAGTCATTCGCCGCGATGCATTGTCACAGAAGCCTCCTCCAGCATCAACTCGCTCCTTTCCACGCCACTCGTCACCTCCAGCAGTCTCTTTGTCAGCCCAGCTCCGGCCGCCTGGTAGCATTCTTGCTGGATTAGCTACAGGGCAATTAGCTGCTGCAGCTCCGCGGCTCTCTTTTCCGTCGTGTCCTTTGGGTTGCTTTCTTCTCTCCTGTTACGGCCTTGGGGCGAATTGGTTGGACGTGCCAGCTTTGTGACTTCCGGTTGGCATTGCAGCGCGGTTTAGGATTCGAACTCCTTTTCTCATTTTTGTTCGACATATAATTGTTCCATATATCTTGGGCGCATAGCTGCCCGACTGCCGGCATCATGGGGTTTGTTTCATGACTGCGAAAATCTCCGTGCCGCCAATGCTGATATATTTGACCTACAGTGTTCCCAAGTTCTTCCGATGGCTCTCAGAGCGTTATCCAGCTATCTCGCAAGTAATTGCGGAAAATCGGATTCCAGAATTCGACTGCCTCTATGTGAGAAAGAGCATATTATGCCCCTCGTTGCGGCAGCGTGCTTATGCTTATACTCTCCTTTTAGCTTGACATGAATGGTATCATCCATAACTGCACACACAAAGATGCTGGCGAGGATACTACTTTCCGACTCAGCGAAGAAGAAATGTTTATTCGTATATTCAACTACATCGAGCACTTGTTTGGAAAGATAAAGCCTAAGAAGCTTTTCTTCATGGCAATTGACGGAGTTGCTCCTCGTGCCAAGATGAATCAACAGCGTGCTAGACGTTTCCGAACGGCTTTGGATGCCGAGAAAGCACGCGACAAGGCGATACGTGATGGGATAGAGCTCCCAAAAGAGGAGCCTTTTGACAGCAATTGCATCACACCAGGTTCGCCATATCCCTACGAAGTCTCCCCAGTGCTAGAACTAATACCTCAATCTTCTTTATAGGTACTGAATTCATGGCGAAACTATCACAACAACTCCGATATTTTGTAAACAAAAAAATCTCGGAAGATACCGATTGGCAGGGATGTGACGTCGTCCTATCTGGGCACGAGGTTCCAGGTGAAGGAGAGCATAAGATTATGGAGTACATCCGGAACGCAAAGGCACAGCCAAACTACGACCCGAACGTACGGCACTGCCTTTACGGTCTTGATGCCGACTTAATCATGCTTGGACTTCTTAGCCACGACCCTCATTTCTGCCTGCTGCGTGAAGAAGTTACGTTTGGACGAGCCTCCAAGACGAAGTCAAAGGAACTTGAACATCAAAACTTCTATCTGCTCCATCTCTGTATTGTGAGGGAATACCTGGAAATGGAATTTCAGGAGCTTCAGAATAAAGACGTTTTAAAGTTTCCGTTCGATCTCGAAAGAGTCATTGACGACTTCATCTTGATGGCATTTTTCGTCGGAAACGACTTTTTGCCAAACCTGCCCGGATTGCATATCAACGAAGGCGCTCTGGCGAACATGTTCAGAATATACAAGTCTGTCCTTCCACAGTGTGAAGGCTACATCAACGAGAACGGCGTTATTCATCTGGACCGTTTACAACGTCTGCTCGACGAGCTCAGCAAGACAGAGTTGGATCACTTCGAATACGAAGTGTCTGACCAACAGTGGTTTGCGTCAAAGCAAATGGAGAAGAAACTCGAACAGAAAAATGGAGCCAAACCGAGATCGCAAAAGAACAATCAGCTAATCATGACTTCGTTTCAGAGAGATTTGTGGAAACAAAAGATTCGTCCTTTCATCTCAAACAGGTCCCAGCAGCCACTGGACTTGGGATCAGATCTCAAGGCTGCGGATCGAAAATTTGTTCAAGATCTCTCTGAGTCCATGCACTTAGAATGGTCTACCAAGGAAGACGAAGAGGGCAATCGTCGCCTTATAGTCGCGTTCCCCCCTAAGAAGGAAGGTAGCGACGGCGAGGACGAGGACGAAGAGGAAGGAAACCTCGCAGCCTATCGTGTCATGAAGTCCTATGACAAAGCGACCATTGCCGACGTTTCCCCCGAAGATGCCCAGAAGCAATACGAAGAATTATATCAGCAAAAATATCAAGGCTGGAAAACTAAATATTATCTGCAAAAGTTTGAAGAATGGCCTCAAGACAAATTTGAAGAAGAACAAAAGCAACTCTGCGAGAATTATGTGCAAGGCCTACAATGGGTGCTCTATTACTACTACAAAGGCATTGCCTCGTGGCCATGGTTTTATGCCTATCACTATGCACCGCTCACGTCGGGTAAGTAATATTGTACCAAATTTCCCATGCTATGGAGTTGTTGTTTACTAATAAATCTTTTCTGCAGATGTTACCAAGGGCCTCGGTGCCGACCTGAACTTCAAGCTGGGTCAGCCCTTTAAGCCTAACGAACAACTCATGGGTGTGTTGCCGGACCGAAGCAAAAAAATTGTGCCAACAGTTTACCACGACCTAATGACCAATTCAAAATCTCCAATTATTGACTTCTATCCACGAGATTTCGAATTGGATATGAACGGCAAAAAGATGGAGTGGGAAGCAGTGGTCAAAATCCCATTCATTGACGAAGCGCGTCTTCTCGCTGCCATGGCGCCCCAAAATGAGCTTCTTAGCGACGACGAAAAGGCACGAAACGGCTTTGGAGTTCCCCTTAAATTCACATACTCTCCCGAAGTCAACTTCACTTATCCTTCTCCACTTCCTGGGATCTTCCCGGAGATACAGTATTGTCATTGCATTGAGAATATCTTTGATCTGCCAAACATTGAGGGGCTCGAATACGTCTCGGGACTGACGAACGGAGCTTTGGTGAATATCAAGGCTCTTGCTGGATTCCCAACTCTACATACACTGCCACATTCGGCACAGCTAGTAGAAGGATATGGAGTCAATGTTTTCCAGCAAGACAGCAGAAACCCAAGTGTCATCGTGACCCTTACCGATACGGAGATGCGGACAAAGGTTGAAACTTGGAAGAAGAAGCTAGGTCAGCGCTGCTTCGTTGGCTATCCATTCATCCAAGAAGCCAAAATTATCAAGGTGCAGGATGAGCTATTTACCTACGAGCTGGCTGAAGATGAAGAAACTGTTGTTACAAAAGATCATGGCAACAGAGAAGCTTCCGATTTTGCAAAGGAGGCAGAATTCTTAGAGAATTGGCATGCCAAACGCCTGGGAATCACGGTCGGCCAGATTGAATGCCTTGTTCACGTTCATATGCTCAAGGGTCTCATCAAAACGGAAGAGGGTGCTCTAATCAAGGAGTACGCTGAAAACCCCAGCTTGCGCAAGGTATATGCGTCTCAAACCATTGTGGAAGAAGTAGTCAATGAAGACGAACGTTTCATCGAGAGATCAGCCATGCCGATTGAAGAAGAATTCCCTCAAGGCACACGAGCTTTCTTTTTGGGTGAATTTGCTTACGGTCGCCCCCTGGAGGTGACTGGACATGTGAATGGCAAGGCAAATATTGTGGTCTTGGTTCCCAAAAACAAGGAGCCGGAAATCACGAAGAAGATCATCTACCAAGCAGAACGCTCTAACCCATATACGCCCTCTTTCGCGATCGCCAAACAGCTAGGCGTCCATCCTCTCATCCTCAGCAAGATAACGTCGTCTTTCCAAGTTATTAGTGCTGCTGGGCTGAAGCTGAATCTGGGCCTCAATTTGAAATTTGAGGGTCGAAAGCTCAAGGTGTTGGGGTACTCACGCAAGTCGGAGACGGGGTGGGAATTCTCCAACTTGGCTGTGAAGCTTATTGCTGATTACATGGTCGCATTCCCCGACTTCTTCGCGGCAATTCAGAAAGAACCGCAAAGAAGCGAGACTTCCGAGAGAGACCTGTGGAGCGACCCAAGCGTTGCTTCGCAGCGGGTCAAAGACATAGTAGCGTGGCTAAAGAAACAAGAGACGAGCAAATTTGAACGAGTCCCCCTCGACGCTGAGCAGCTCGATTCGGGAATTGTCATGGCTCTGGCTACGGCTGGAGAACAATTGCACCAAGCGAGCTTGGAGGCGACTGCCAAGCCCCTCAGCTCTGTGCCTCGTACAGCCTTGTTGAAGCCGGCGGATGCGGAGATGGTGCTAGGCAACCAAACTTTCAAGCTAGGAGATCGAGTTACTTTCGTTGCCGCTGCCGGTAAAGTCCCAATTGGAACTCGGGGAACTGTTGCCGGTATTTCTCGCACAGCAACTGCTGTTCTCCTGGACGTCGTGTGGGACACCTCCTTTATGAGTGGCACGACTCTGGGTGAGAGAGCTCCAATGTTCCGTGGGCAGACCGTTTCATCGTCGACAGTGCTGAATACTTCAAACTGGCAGGTCGTCTCTGCATCATCAAAATCGCGACAAAGAAAATCTGTTCCGGCCACGGGATCGGTTGGATCGTACGGTTCAGTCGGTGTTACGCAGTATAAGGACGCACCAGCTCCTCCCCCTCTCCGAGGCGGATGGCGCGGAGCTGCTTCAGGCGATTCAGCTTCATCGGGCCGTGGGCGGAATAGCCCTGGTCGCGGCGCCCGAGGAGGTAAACCAAATCTACTGCACAGCACACTTGTTTACCGGCCGGGCCAACAAGGGGGTAACCAAAGCGGCGACAATGCGAACAATGCCCCCAATGGAAACCACGCCCCGAATGGAAACGTAAATGGAAGAGGAGGAAGTGGCAGAGGCCAAGGGCGTGGCCGAGGCAATGGCGGCAGCAGAGGCTCGCTTGCTCCCCAAACTGGACCTGGACGGGGCCAACCAGGCCTCTATGGCAACGTGCCGCCTCCTGCTAACCTTGAGACGTCGCGAGGCGGGCGTGGTCGTGGTCGAGGAGGAAGGGGACGTGGTGGGCCCAATCCCAATCGTGGCCGTGGGGGTGCTGCCGCCCAGCAAGCATAGAAGCTACACGGCTATTGATGTTCGAGTGGGTGAAAAGTAGGTGGAGGTTTAAGGGCGTTGGAATACCCTGTGATTGGCTTATGTAGCTACGACGCAAATTTTCGTAGTACGAGCCATATGTGGCGTGTCATTATAGGAGAAGCTGATTATCTAGCTGCAGTAGAGCCTTTGTGTCATTGCAGTATGCCAACGAATGAAATTAAAAGTTTAAACCTCAAAGGTCTCACCTAGCATGTCTCATCATTACTTTTTTTCTTGTTTCAGGGTTTTAAACTCATTCAATACTATTAGAAAAACAGGGTGGTATCTCAAGGCTTCTTGCTCTTCTTGCTCTTTGTGCTACTCTTATCCTTGGTGTCCTTACCCTTGCCATCCTTAGACTTGAGCGCAGGAAGCGTAAACAGGTCACTAACGCCACCCCTCATGGCATTCCACACGCCAAGCGGCTTGTCCATGTTCCATGTCAAGACACCAACCCAAGGCTGTACGTTGTAATGTAGCTTCAGAGTTACGTCGGCAGTCTCGGCGATCTTGCCGCTGGGATGGGTAATTTGGTACTTGGGCTTCTGGTTCTTGAGCTTGAGCAGTCCTCTGAAATCGCGGCCATGATTAGCTTTTGATATCGATTGCATCTGCAAAGGAGGTTTTTCTCTTAAATATTACCTTTCAGGCGCAATGCTCTTTCCCTCGGCGCTCTTCTTGAGCTTCTTCATAGCCACAGGGCCGAGGTTCTGTAAGTGGTCGGCACTGGGGTTGGTGATGATGCTATCCCAGATGACGGCGGAGTTGTTGGTACCGCCAGGGCTAGTCCAGTCTGCCGTTACATATACGAAGAGTTGCTTTGTGTTCCATGTGAAGAGTGAGGAGAGGTCAGCTTCCAAAGAGAAGCGAATGATGGCATACTCTTCCTTCTTCGAAGAGTAGTAGTGGGGTCGGCCCTTTACACTATACATTGCATTGCACAATAGCAGGTTGGTCAGAATCACCAGTAAAAACAAAAAGCTAAAGGTTGAATATAGCATTTGAGTCTTCTTTACATACACTTGGATGTTGTCGGTTTTTATGACGCCGCTGGGGGTGCGAGCGGAGCCGAGATCTGTGGCCGCGATGAATGCGCCAAGGACGAAGGCGACTGTGGTGAAGAAGCCGAAGACGTTCTGGAGTCGGGTGAAGGAGCTGTGCATGCTGGGCAATTGTTGCTGGCGCCAGCTGAACTCAACAATGGGATGGGCTCGTCGTCAATCAGTGCGAATCCAGCGCTGTAGAGAGAAGTGAGGCTGCCGCATGTATGGGCATGCGCTGGTATTAGTATAGCCAAGCTGATAGCAGCATAATAGTGGCTTTGGCTTAATAGGACACGTCGCTGGGGGACCGCAAATTGTCAGCCTTGCAGATGGGGTCCTGCTGCTTATTGGACGCTTGGAAGAAGGCTGCAACGAAGGCTAGACCCGACTAGGCGCTAGTAGCGGGGCCCCTACAGAGGACTGCTTGGTAGATCCAAATAGACTACGGAGTACGAGATTCGAATTTGCATATAAAAGCACAGCAGGCGGTAGATTTAATACACAGGATTAGAGCATGAGGATAAGCAGAAAACATGTTGCATTCGGGAATTATACCGGCCATGGTAAAGTTTCTTTATCTGTATTTCTCTTTATCTTCATGGCTCTATATCATTGAGTATCAATAGTACCGTCTAGTCTAGCAGTAAAAGGGCACTGGGTCTGCACGTATTGTGCGACCAGCATCATCCGCTTAGCCCGATCGCACCTGTTCCCGTTCTGTATTAGCAAGCAGAGATGTATGCATGTCCCATCGCTGTCTGAAGCAGCCCTTGCCGCCTCTCTTCCAAGTGCTTCTTACATACCGCCCTCGCCTCCCTTCCACCGAGTCAGGATACCGAGAGCCCTCTCGTTGGGCTGGTAGGCATCGAATGCATTCGGCTCGAGTCGCCCCAATGCGATAGACGCCCAGCGCCTTGTTGCTTACGCCGATAGCATCGATAGAGCGCTGCGTGAACAATGCGACGACCACAACACTTCACGACGCCATGTCTTGCCGCGACGACGAAACATCGCCCAGCGTGACCCCCGGCGTACTAGGCGGTGCTGCAGACCTTGAGGCAAGTTAAATAGAGAGCGCGCGAGAATGTTGCTTCCCAACATCAGCTCCTCATAATGTGCGCGACCGACTGATCCATCCCAATGACTGCCTCGACGCCATCGCCTTGCTTGTCACTTGAAGAATAGCCTGCATGCCCTGTGGAGGCCTGAATGAGGCGCGCGTGGGCCTGAACGCGCTGTGGCACAGCGGTCTTTGGCCACTAAACCGCGCCAGCTAACCACGCCTCGCTGGCGCCATGGGCCGCTATGCCCGCTATGAATTTTTGCTTTGCGCTGGCCACGGGCCAATTTTCCCTTATCGAGCGCCTCCACTAATGATGCCTGGAATACACCCAGACCCGACCTCCAACATCATCGTCGCCAACCGTCCATGAACATGTGCAACAAGACCCTGTAGCTCTCGGGGCCTCAAAGTAAGCTCACTGCCTCTCCGCCTCTTGCGCTCCTGCACGACACGATCCCCCAGGCATTTGCTGAGCCGGACTAGGCTACCCAAATCGGCGCCGCGCATCGCTAGCCGAAGCCCTATCGAGGCTGCTGAAGAAAAATTCCCTGCCGGTCACGCGGAAACGGCCAGCGATCAGAAGCCATCTCGAGAAAGCAGCAAGGCGACGAAACCCCGATGGGAGTATGTCGTCTCCCTTATCATTCTTTACTGCCACCTCTCGTTCATGCTGGAACCCAGCGCTGACTTGCAGCAGCCCATTTGCTCGCTACCACTCCAATGCGCACTCGTTCCCGGATTATGTGTAAGATTCCATGTCCATCCGATCCGGCAATCCCTTTTTCTTTTCATCGTCCAGCTATTAACTTCCTCAAGGGAACCAAAACACAGCACTACCATGGGTCCGGAACGGCTGGTGAGTAGTGGTATGAGTTGATCACTCTGGTCCGACTACTGACGAATATGCGAACAGAAACAAATTAATGGAGCGACCAGACCTGTCAATACGCTCAGCGTGAGACGATACGATTCCCTTAACGATCCAGATGTGCCAGCCAGCAAGCGGCAGAAGAAAGATACCACGCGAACGCACGGCACGACAACTAGTCCGTATTTCTCCAAATCTAAGCCGTCGAAAAGTAGCGATATTCAAGATATCCACGTCGAGGGCTCGCACGACGATGTATATGACATCATAAGTACTTCAAGCGCAGGAAATGCAAGCCTGGGCACTATAGGCTTGGACGAGTATCGCCGCGTATTACGAACGGGTAATAGAGGAGGTGGTAAAGGGAGGCGAAGGCGAAGCCGGACGTCTTTGAATTCAGCCCAACAAATGCAGAGCGACACTGTTGGCGCCAAATTCGACATACACCAAGCTCCCGCTCCTCAATCTCCAAACCGAAACCGATTACCTATAGATATAGACAGCCCGGATGTCCTCGCGTTCGAGCAACGTCCGTCTACGGTTACAAATGCAGTCTTCGACGCCTCTCGATATTTGAACTCAAAAAGAGATCGACCGTATCGCCTCGCAGAAAACACCGGCCCCCAGATTAAGCGTCAAAAGCCTTCGACGGTCAAGGAGCCCATTGATCTCTCAGAAGACGAACTCCAGGCCGATTTTGCAAAGTACGCCGAATCGACTGACGGCAAAAGCACAGCATCAAAAACCCTTGCTCATTTAGGCCGCCATAAAAAAGCTACGATGCGAGGAGATATCCACCACACGGTTTTTAAGACTTCATCACAGCGACAGTCGCGATCTGACGATATAGCCATAACTAGAGCGGTCTGTGGGAAACATATCTACGAGCGCGACGATAACTCTGATAAAGTGGTTTTGCGCCGAGGAGGCAAGGATAGCAGAAGGCTTGAGTCCGTACTAGAGAACGGCAGAGTTGCAAAAGAACATGCTTGGCTAAGCATCGATTTGGATCAAATTTCTCACTTCGGATATTCTGAAGCGCCAAGCCGCTATGGCTACATAATTCGTTCCCAATCAGGGGATGCTGGTCCAAAGCTTTTTCTGAAATTTGAAAGCAACGATAACACGAGGGATTTCTGCGAGGTTCTAAGATCTGCAAACGTTGAGGGGAAAGTCATGTACGTATTGGATGTTTCAATGACGAGATGAAGAGGCTAACATATCTACAGCGGAGAAATAGAAAAGAGGGCTGAGAAAGCATTTGATGAAGCAAAGAATTGGATAGCTTCGAATGAGGCCCATAAAAAAATCAGCCAGCTATTTTCCACAGATGAGAAAGAAAAGGATACGATACCAAGATCTTCTAGTCCGAATCGACGCCCAGAATCAGCACGTGTAAAGCTAAGGGACATCTTAATACAGTCGGCTCAAGATGCAGAGAGTTCTGCAACTGTCCGTCGACCAGAAGAAAGCCTCGCTCTCGACCTTCGGCGATCTACGAGATCATCTGCTCCAGCTACGCGCCGCCGTATGCCATCCCCTGATGTCTGGACAATATCACATCCAGACTGGGAAAAATCGTGGCTGGCACCGCTTATATTCCCCGAAACCGGCAAGAATAGAGCGACAGTGGATAAAATTGACATCCCGAGGTTAGATGAGAGGGAATTCCTCAACGACAACCTCATCAATTTCTATATCCGTCACCTTGAATTCAGGCTGGAAAAGGAAAGGCCCGAATTATTACGCAAAGTTTACTTCTTTAGTACTTTCTTCTTCGAGAAACTGAAGTCTACGAAAGGCAAGATAAACTACGACGGCGTCAAAGCTTGGACAGCGAGGGTGGATTTGCTTTCTTACGATTACATCTTCGTGCCTGTCAATGAACATGCCCACTGGTATCTAGCTATAATTTGCAATGTTCCTAACGCCGTTCGGGCTCCCTCCCCCGAAAAAAAGAATCAGCAAGTTCCAGATGCCTCAGTTGACAACGCGATGGAAATGATAGATGCGCCCGAATCCCCGAGATTGGCAACAGTCGAAAGAGATTTGACTGATATTTCTTTAGAAGATGTGGAAGCGGCGGTACAAAAAGATGCGGATGGCCTCGTTCCATCCCATCGCACAGCCGCACCGTCTACACCGTCCTCACCCCTTAGAAAGCGGAAATTTGCAGGGTCTACCCCATCCAAAGTCGACCCTACGCAACCAAGGATTATTACTCTTGATTCTCTTGGAAGCCCGCACTCTCCAACAATCAAGGCTTTGAAAGAGTATCTCGTTGAAGAAGCGAAGGCGAAAAAGGGCATTGCCTTGGAAACTATTCCCACTGGCATGACTGCCAGGGGTATACCAGAACAGAACAACTTTTGCGATTGTGGAGTATTTGTGTTGGGGTATATGGAAGAATTTTTAGTAAACCCTGATGAGGCAGCTCGCAAGCTCTTCTCAAAAGAAGAACTCGGCTGGGACATTCGTCCATCTGAACTACGAAATCAGATGAGAGAGCTGCTATTTAATCTTCAAGCTGAGCAACAAAAGCGACACCTGCAACAGCGAGAGGAGAAGAAGCTCCTCAAAGCAAAGAGAAAAGCAATGGCTGAAGCCAGCTCGCAAATAATATCCTCGCCACCACCTCAACCGGTGGCATCCCCATCTCCAGCGCCAAAATTGCCCGGTTCTTTCCCAAGCGAGTCTCCGGAAAGGAAACCAATGTCAGGGACAGAGTCATCTTCATCAGAATCTGTACAAGAGGCTGATAACTTAAAAGACAGTGACCTGAACGGCGTGGCATTGCATGAAGATGCACGGAGATTCAAAGCGCTCTCAGAGCCCCAGTTTATTAGTTGCTTATCAGACGCATCAAGTGCCAGCCCTATCATCACGAAGAGCAAACTCCTCCCTATTGTTTCCTCCAAAGCGCCTGAAGAGCTGCAGTTCATTGGCTGCTTATCGGAAGGAGGGAGTGTTAGCCCCGACGTCCCGAAGGGCAAGATACCCACCAGCGGTTCTTCTCTAACTTCCAAATGCAACGGCTACTCCAATAAACTGGTTGTGGAGTTGAAAGCCATCAATGGACGCGACAAAAACCAGTTCGAAGAATCTGCCTTGGCCGATGACGATGATGACGTCCAATTTGTGAAACAGCAGTCAAGCGCTTCATCTGAGAATAACGAGGCCACATCAAAACCCACAGAGACAAGTCGGAGTCGACAGTCATCTGTGGAACTGATAGGAGAGACAAGGAGTCGACCATCGTCGTCCCAGATGCACAACCAACGGACTAAACCTCTACCCAGCGCTTTACCACGAGCTAAAGCGCGAAAAGCCTTTGAATCCCCTGATATCCGAAGAGGGCCAAAATACGATGGCATTGATAGGTCGGCTGAAAGAGCAATATCCTAGTACATACGTCTAGCTTTTCTTTTTCTATTTTCCTTCTGAGAGTTTTTTTTTCAGTACCCTAGTATTTCGTTGCGAGAAGTACATATACCACGAACGAAGCGGAATTACGGGCAAGCTTTTGCTTGCTTCGTTTGTTGATTCTGGTCCATACTAAATGCACTTTGTGGTTTTAGGGAGAAATACAGTCGGGCATAGCAGATGGCGTCTTATTTTTGTTTTTACGGTTTTGTAGGAATTCAACTTTTCCCGAACTTTGCAGGGCATTTCGGTTCTTTGATTTATTCGACATCTCTCTCGTGGCTTGATAGATGATGGATTTAGTGAATACAATACATGGCCGGTGATATACCATGCTAGCGTGATATGCATATCAGCGAAATGAAAAGATTTGACTTAAACAAGATCCACGATGATCACCACAATGTGTATGCATGCATATTATGTGCTCTTTAAGATGTGTATTATATACAAGAACCAATGCTGTGTACGAACGATCCGACTTTGCTATTATATGTAACCTCTAGACTGCTGCTGCCCATGCTTCGTTCACTTTTTTAATCATCGCCTTCCTCATTTTCTTCTTCTCCTTCTGATGAATCATGTACACCATTGGTTGATGCTCTTGGAATCTTCGGAATTTCAAATACCACACCACCGTTTCTTACTCCTTTTCCTTTGTTCACGCTCCATCTTCCCAGGCGGTGGTCTTTGGCTACGGCGGCGACGATGCAGACGCCTTCTTCGCCGCGGTCGCCACGCTCAAAGACGGCGATGTCGTTGATGACTCCTTCTACGGATCGGTAGTGAGGCTTGTCTCCACCGTCACCGGATGCGTCGTCGTGCTGGTCTTCTGAAGAGCCGCCAAGGGTGGCGACGAGGTCGATCTTCTTCTTGTCCTCGGACAGCTGCCATATCCGCACATGACCATCCCAGCTACCGCTGATGATGACGTCGGAATAGGGGATGGTCTTGAGGGCTGTGATCCAGCGAGGGGTAGGGGCGGGAACGACCTTGCGATCTGGGTTCACCTCAGCTGAGGCGGCTTCTGGCTCCAGGGGCGGGTCAAGGCCGTGGGCGAGGGGCTGGATGTAGACAGGCTTCTTCTTGGACACGCTCCAGAGAGCAAGGCTGCCGTTGTCGCTGCCGGTGACGAAGAGCTCGTCGTCGATCATGGCGATGCGGTCCATGCTGCCCTCGTGGAGGAGAGATCGAGGATTGACGCCCGGTTGTGGCTTTTTGTCTACCGCGCCGCCGCGGAAGACCAGCTGGGTTTCTTCTGCTACCTTCCATAAGCGGGCGGTTCTGTCTCGGGCACCGGCACTGACGCATCGCTCCTGGGCGAGAGCATCGATATCGATAACCTCGTCTTGGTGGCCGAACAAGGTTTCGATATAGGCCAGCTCGTCCAAACTCCAGACCTTGACCGTTCGGTCCTTGGAACAGGAGTAGAGCTGGTTCGTGCCTCTCCGGAACGCAAGCCCCGTTACAGCATCGCGGTGGTGTGTGAAGACCTTGATCGGTTTCAGGGTCTCGGCATCGTGGACGATGATCTTCTTATCCTGGCCTCCGGTGACGACGTATTTGCCGTCAGAAGAAGCGGCAACCGCCAAGATATTCTTAACGTGTCTCTTGTAGTCCTTATCCTCTTTCTTGCTCGCATTTCCCTTGATCCAGAGCTCCAGCTCCGGTCGCTTTTTTGGTGGCGCGGGGGGCTTCTTCGGTTTCCGTTTTGTTGTCTGCGGGTACTGGTGCTGAGGGAGGTCTTGTATCCTCCACTTGTGTAGGAAAAGATCTTTGGTGGTGGTGTAGACGTATGGTGCGCAGGCGGCAATGGATGTGACAGAGTTTGTATTGGATCTAAAAAACGTCTGGCTGGCCTTGTCAAAGGCCAATTCGGCAGCCAATTGACGATAAACTTTTCCTTTTGTTTCGGCCACATCTTCTTGCAGCCTCTCGGCGATCAGATCTCGGTCGATCTCTGCGGCGTCGAATCCAATCTCGTCCACATGCTCCTTGACATTGTCGAGGTAGCGCTCGGCCAGTCGCAATCGCTTCTCGGCGGCGGTCTCGACCCCGTTGTCAGAGTCGCTGTCGCCTTCGTCGTTGCTCGCGTCAGAGGCTCCATTGTAGCTCTCTTCATCTTCAGAGTCGCTGCCGGAAATTGACTCGTCGTCACGCTCGACTCGCTTCTTGCTTGGGGCAGCCTGCTTCGCGGACGGCTTCGCAGATTTCGCAGAGGTTTTGGCAGAGGATTTTGAGGCGGCAATTCTTTTCTTGGGCGCTTCCGGGGCTGAAGGTCGCTTCCTCTTGCCGGGAACTGTGAAAAACGACGACATTGTGGCTCAGTCCTCCTCGCCAATTGCCATGTATTATCCCACTATGTGCAGTCGACTTTCTCACATTTACAGCCGTACTAAAGAAAAAAAAAAGTTCGAGATAGGCGACCCACCCAACTTTTTCGACCCCACATGGCGGCGCAGCAGCGAATCACAAGACAGATCCGGGTTATAGTGTTTCCGGCCCAGGGCGGTCAGGCCTGGCGTGGGCAAAACGGCAGGTGGGCGGTTCGTTGACGCGCAGCGCTACAGCCTAGCGGGATGAGGTAGCTGTGGTGGGTTGAGAGACCTCTCTACAGCTCTCGAGCAGCAACATACCAATCATACCCGCAACACACAATCGCCATGTGAGTGCATGCGAATGCGCCTCTTATCTCTCTTTCTTGTACTGTTGCTTCGGATAACTAATACCGCTGGCTCTAGGGAGGTTCTTCTAGGAATTACAGGAAAGGACTTTACCCTCATCGGCGCTTCTAAAGCGGCCATGAGAGGAGCCACTATCCTCAAGGCATCCGACGACAAGACAAGAGTGCTGAACAAGCACACTTTACTGGCCTTCTCTGGGGAAGCTGGTGATACAGGTCAGATTCTTGACGTTTGAACACTACTCGGAGCTCAGGGTTTTGACGATGGTCCAGTACAATTCGCCGAATACATCCAACGAAATGCCCAACTCTACTCGATGCGCAACGAGACCGAGCTGTCACCCTCTGGTCTAGCACACTTCGTCCGAGGCGAACTCGCCACAAGCCTCCGATCTCGAAACCCATACAACGTAAACCTATTGATGGGAGGCGTTGATCCCATCACCGGAAAGCCCTCCCTGTACTGGCTAGACTACCTAGCGGCGCTGGCGGAGGTACCTTATGCAGCACACGGCTATGCGCAGTACGTGAACCTCTGAACTCCGAACATCTCTGCATCTAGATTGCTGTGACGGGATATTTGCCTCTTGCTTGCGGTTTTGCTGACAACTGTCTCCTCCAAACAGATACTACTGCTTGTCTCTCCTGGATAAGCACCACCACCCAGATATCACACTAGGACAAGGAATCAAGCTCATGACGATGTGCATAGACGAGCTGAAGCGCCGGTTACCGATTGATTTCAAGGGTATGACAGTCAAAGCCATCAAGGCTGATGGAATTGTCGATATAGAGTTTGATGATGACCGCATTGTGAAAAGCGCATAAGGCAAGAGCGGGTTGCTAGAGAAGGGAATGGTGTGTATGGCTAGACTGACTTGAGCTTGGTAATTAATATACAGCCGCCGCTTCTTTCCGGTGCATTTTTCAGCATGTCTCGATGTGCGGCTATTCAGTGCGTTAGCAAATTTCATGTGAGGGAGGCTACGGAGCCGAGGGGAGGGAGATCAATATGTTTACCAGAGGGCTTTCGACTTATGGATGCCGGCTTATAGATATGCCGTAATGATGCTGCTGTTACCAAGATTGAGTATGCTTACCGATTATGGCAATTTGGCGGTCTCGTTCTCTGGTTAAAAGTTTATACCCACGCCCGAGCACTTACATGGATCACACTGCCCTGCGGCCAGCAGCAGCGTACATCAACGGCCAGGTATATCTACCCATGTTTCTACGGCATATGTTTATGGCTTCTGTATGATGAAATCATCGGCCTGGGGTCTGCTTTTTGTGTAGTGAGCTAGAGCATCTGATAGGCTAGCTTAGAGAAAGCAAATGTCTGTTTGTGGAATCTTAACGGCCTACTCAATCCGGGGTACTTCGCACCAACAAGCAGGCACTTGCTAAGGTAGGCATTGTATAGCAGCAGATGATACTCTGTAGATAGTACACACCTACTTAGTAGTAGGTAGGTATCCGGCGAGTATACATAACATATTGGATGAATCATTAAATACAGGCAGGTGGCAGCAGAGCAGTGATCGAATCTCACGGTCTTGAATTGCAGGCACTTGGCCAGGACCCCCGGTCAAACTTTGAATCCTCCGCCGTCGTCCTGTTATGAACATGGAGCACATGAGTGTCAGGAGTAGGTACCTTAGGCAGCTCCCCAAATACGCAATAAATTTCCGGTCCGCATCTGTCTATCAAATCTGCATGTAGGTAGTGTCTGATAGAGCAATTAAAATTCCTATAACTACCTAGCCAACCTTGCCGAGCCAATCTGCCATGAATTACATCACGAGAGCCGGCCGAGATCTGGGTTATCGGGGCCTTATCGGTATCTATGTACAGTGGCCAGGGGCCTAAGGTAATACTCCGGACGGAGTAGGCGAGGAGGGAAAAATCCCCCACTTGAGCAGAGCCCAGGCCATTGAATCGGCGGGGAGTCAAATATTGCAGGCACAGTGGCACCTTGTTGTTGCAATGCCACTTGTCTGTACCCCGCCAAAGCAGCAAGTTGGAGAAAGCAAAGAATCTAAGAGGTGTGTACTCTGCACTGTGAGGTAGTGCTAGTAGTAGTAGGTAATATTCCTCGTTTTATACACAGTAGAAGCTTGAATGGTTAAACGGACAGAGACTCCTTTTTTGGATTGCAGCGCCTGCATGCCTCTCTCTGCATTCATCCACGGGTGCGTCATGTCCCACTCCTGCAGGAGGGCGAGGCGGTATTCGCACCAGCTGTGCAGCAGCATCTATCGGTGTAGGCCCTGACAAGGCAGCATCCTGGTCCTAGGTAGGAGTCGATGACTAGGGCTTAGTGCTGGGACTTGACGTGTTTCGTCAATACTTTATTAGGTAGCGGTACAGTAGGTATTACAATAGGTATTTGGAAAGCACATGTCAGGCATCATGATAAGGGTCGCTAAGCCACAGGCCCAACACCACGCCATCGACCAACTCTGCGAGGAGTGTGTGGTGGGATGTGTTCTGGGATATGGTTCCGGAGCACTGTATGTTCGAATTTTCGCAGCCATGGCGAGAAACCTCCGCGGGCCACCCGCCGAATGGGCTGCCAGCCTCGCTGAGTCCGAAACGTTATTCACCCCGTAGTGGCGATTCAGGTAGAAGCGTTGAGAATCTCTCAGCTGTCAGTAGGGAGGAAAGAATCGGTCTGCCCAGTAACGTCACAAGCCACAGCGCCACGGACGACGCAGCAAGGGATTTGCAAAGTAGCCTTCTAGTACCCTCACTGTGCTTAAGTGTGCGATAAAGGCCCCTGCTGGGCGCCACCACGTGAGGCGTCTACTTGAGGGGTACACGCTTCGTGGCTTCCATCCTAAAAAATCTCTGACCCCCTCGGGCACTAGCCTTTTTCTGTCCGCTTGGGACCAATTTTTTTTCTCGCCTTCGCCTCAAGGCTCGCCGTCCCTTTTTCTTCTCTTCTTTCCCACAAACTCAACCCTCTTGACTCACAACCTCTCTCATCTCCATCCCCCTCTCTTTTTCCTCATCCTTGCATCTCATCACGGCATTTTCGTCTTTCCTTGGTCTTTCCTTTGAAGATTCTGCGTGTTCTTCGACGGAAAGTGCAAGCACAAGTTCTTTAACGCGTGCCCAATTTTAATACGAGTCGGAGAAAAGAAAAAAAAATCGCTTGGGAACTTGAGTTCTTCCCGTTTCTTTCTCTTCGTGTTTGCTGTCTATTTTTTGCGGACAGGCTTCGCTACTTCACTCTCATTTATTTCAGAGGGTGATTTATTTCTTGATCAACCGAGTTCGATAATTTCCCTCGCGCCTTAAAAGTTTATCCTTTTTCCTACGGTTCAAGTCGCTCTTCATCCGAAACTTTACGACTTTCCAACATGGCGGACCAACTCAACATGAACGGCCTCAGCCTTGGTGCTGACGGCCCTCAGTCTGCTCCCGGGGCTCGATCTTACATCCCGCCTCACATGCGAAGCCGCGGCGGCGGCGGTGGTGGCGGCGCTGGTGGCGGCGCTGGTGGCCTGAACAACAGCGCTTGGGCTGGGTAAGTACACGACACATCTTTACTATCGCGGTCAAAATATCATGACTAACCCTTCTTTTCAACAGCAACGGTGGCCAAGGCGGCTACAGCGGCGGCCGTCAAGGCGCCAACTGGAACGGAGATGCTCCCAGTTATCAGAACAACCGTCGTGGTGGTGGTGGCGGCTGGAGTGGTCGCGGAGGCTACTCTGGCGGTGGCAGCGGTGCCGGATATGAAGGCGGCCACGGTGGTGGTAGCCACCCTGCTCGCGGCTCTGGAGACGGACAATGGCGGGACGGAAAGCACATTCCTGGTCCCCCCAACGCCCGTGTCGAGCGTGAGCTCTTCGGCACTGCCGACGATCCTTCCAAGCAGCACACCGGTATCAACTTTGAGAAGTACGACGATATCCCTGTCGAAGCCTCTGGTCGTGACGTCCCCGAGCCTGTCCACCAGTTCACCACTCCTCCTTTGGATGAGCACCTTTGCCGCAACATTGAGATGGCCCGCTACAAGGTCCCTACTCCCGTTCAGAAATACTCCATCCCCATTGTCATGGGTGGCCGTGATCTCATGGCTTGTGCCCAGACTGGTTCCGGCAAGACTGGTGGTTTCCTCTTCCCTATCCTGTCTCAGGCTTTCATCCACGGCCCTTCTGCTGTCCCTGCCAACGCTGCTGGACAGTTTGGCCGTCAGCGCAAGGCCTACCCCACCTCCCTTATTCTCGCCCCCACTCGAGAACTTGTTTCTCAAATCTACGAAGAGGCTCGAAAGTTCGCCTATCGATCTTGGGTCCGCCCTTGTGTGGTCTACGGTGGTGCCGATATTGGCTCTCAGCTTCGCCAGATTGAGCGCGGATGCGATCTTCTTGTCGCCACTCCCGGTCGTTTGGTAGATCTTATTGAGCGAGGCCGCATCTCCCTGTGCAACATTAAGTATCTTGTGCTCGACGAGGCCGATCGCATGCTGGACATGGGTTTCGAGCCCCAGATCCGCCGCATTGTCGAGGGCGAGGACATGCCCGCCGTCAACGACCGCCAGACCCTCATGTTCTCAGCCACCTTCCCTCGCGACATTCAAATGCTTGCCAGGGATTTCCTCAAGGACTACGTCTTCCTGTCCGTCGGCCGTGTTGGTTCCACCTCTGAGAACATCACCCAAAAGGTCGAGTTTGTTGAGGACATTGACAAGCGCTCTGTTCTGCTCGATATCCTCCACACCCACGCTGGCGGCTTGACCCTCATCTTCGTCGAGACCAAGCGTATGGCCGACTCCCTGTCCGATTTCCTCATCAACCAGAACTTCCCCGCCACCTCCATTCACGGAGACCGAACCCAGCGTGAGCGTGAACGCGCTCTTGAGTTCTTCCGCAACGGACGATGCCCCATCCTGGTTGCTACTGCCGTCGCGGCCCGTGGTCTCGATATTCCCAACGTCACTCACGTTGTCAACTACGATCTTCCTACTGATGTGGACGACTACGTTCACCGAATTGGTCGTACTGGCCGTGCTGGAAACACTGGTATCGCTACCGCCTTTTTCAACCGTGGCAACCGTGGTATTGTCCGCGAGCTCATCGACCTTCTCAAGGAGGCCAACCAGGAGGTTCCTCCCTTCCTTGAGGCTATCGCCCGTGAGTCATCCTTCGGCGGTGGTGGCCGCGGCGGTCGCTCTCGCCCTGGCGGCGCTGGTCGTGGCAACGCCAACCGTGATTTCCGTAAGTTTGGCGGCGGTGGCTTCGGCGGCAGCGGTGGCGGCTTCAGCAACAGCCCTCAAGGCGGCTTCAGCAACTATGGAGGTTCCCAGGGAGGCTCCAGCTATGGTGGTGGCGGCTTCAACGGCGGCTACAGCGGTGGTGGCGGCAGCTACGGCAACCCTGGCGGTGCCGGCGCTCAATCTTCCTGGTGGTAGATGTTATCACTGGCTTCTGGCTGGGATGGACACATAATTGTGCCCATTATCGTGGCTCTTACCTTTGCGCCACCTGATTGCAATTTTTTCATTTTTTTTTTACCGTTATTTCACTATTTTCCTTTTTCACTTCTTCTGCTTTTATTGAATCGGTTACTTCATATTTACGCATTTACGTCATTTGTTTTCAACGACACGGCGGCATCATGACCTGCGAAGACGGAAGAGTGCCTTTTTCTTTTTTATTTACTGGAAAAAAGGCAGCATCGGTCAGGGGCATTTCACGACGCATGTGATAGATTGCATTTCTTTTTGATTTGAGCATCCTCCCTCACTTGATACCCTTAGACCGAGAATAGAGGAACTTTAACGACGTTGGCAGAACGTGGTGTTGAGGGATCTACAGTTGCTAGATCTAGAAGGACATCACAATTTTTTATGTTTCTGCCGTCTACGAGGGTTTCCTCCCCCCGCAGGGCATTTTCTCGCTTTTCATGATAGAGGGTCATGCTATCGCCGTGGCATACATAGACAAAAGTGGATTTACTCGGTTCTCTGGTCGGATTTTACGCTCGACAGTCTCCACGGATTTGGGACGGATGAGAGAGCTATGAGCATAGACTGGGAGTACAGAAGGCCTATAGGTTGGTTTCTCTATTTCATTCGAGAGCAAAAGAACTGGGCCTCTCGACGCTAGTTATGGATTTTGGTTGGGAGGGCATGGATCAAAGGCTCTCGGCTCTTTGACCGTCATAAGCACATGGAACGCTTCGACTCGGCCGGAAGGGTGTCGAGTACGCAGCCTTGAAAGGACAGGGTCTCGGGGTTTTTTATTGTTCCCGTGATAGACAGACTACCAGAGCGGACTGAGGAGTCCCAAGTAAAAAAAAAAAGTTTTTGCGACATATCAACGTGCCCATATTACATGTGACTGTACTGCTAATTCATACTCTGCATATACCTACGTGATTGTGATATCTAACATCGCTTGATGTTTGATGCCTGTTTGTTGTATATAACGGTTGGGCAACAGATTGGTGTTGCACTGAAGCACCCGGGAGATATTGCTCATGATAAGACATCTCCATTTTCTCCTGCATAAACTTGCGTGACCGTTGCTTCTTTTTTCTTTAAAGCACTATATATACCTATTAGGTAGTCTATCTGCATTACCCTGGACGACAACATCATCATCATGTACCCTTGTGCCAAAGGATTGCGGAGAAGAAACAGTTGCTGCAGCGTGTCAGCGTTATTCATAAATACTACCCTGCCAACGCTCTGCCTGCACTGCGGCACAGATAGTATTCTCTTCCGCGTGGAAGATTCTGGATGACGGGAGGATTTAGAGCTGCCATTTGCGTCAACGCTACTACGCAAGCCACGGTAAGACGAAAAGACCACCAAGGTACATGTGGCAGGTACTACTACCAAGCAACATCGCTGGGACTTGGAGGAGGCTGATAATGCGCTAGAAATTCCACGGCAAGTTTAACGGCATTGAGTTTGTCAAAGTCTATTGTCGGACAAGGAGATCCACAAAAGCTTTGCCTGTTATAATGATAGTTCTCCACGCCGGTGCAGCCGGAGAGCCTCTGGTAAGGCTTCTGAGGGATTGAGGGATTGGGCACGAATCAGTGGTCAAGCCGCTGTATTAGTACATGTACATTGCAGCACGGACATCATCTGCTTATTTAGGAAGTGGCCAACTGGACGGGTTATCTCGCATTGTCATTCTCCCACCCCACCATTGTGCGCAGCTGCTATCGTCTCCTGCTTTTTTCCCTCCTCTCCCCATCACATGCCTCGACTCTGAGAGGGGAGTGCGAGCAAACATCACCCGAAGCTCTGGTTTGAAGCTCCCTTGCCCTCGAAGCGACACAGCATCGGCGCCGAGATGGGCCTCCTCGAGAGCATCGACGCTGGCCTCACTGGCTTTGTGGGCCAGTGGAATGGTTACTCGACTGCGCTGGTGACGCTGCTTATTGCCCTCGTCACATACCGCATCTCGTCGTCACGCGAGCCTGATGTGCACCCGCTGTTGCTTGCCAGACAGGCGAGCGCCTCTGCCGTGCGCAATGAAGGCGAGAGCGCCGTCTATAGAAACCAAGCTGCTCCGCACAGCATGCCGTTGAATAGTGGGCTGGACGTCAAGGACCCTGGTGCTTCCCGATGGGCGAGGGGTCGAAATGGCGACCTTCGAGACGTTTGGCGCAAAGCGACTACTGGGAACGACCAAGGAAAGAAGGGAAAGCTGTTTACTGTGCTTGGATCGGAGAATGTCATTGAGCACCGCCTAGGTATTTGAGCCCGAGAGCCTTTATATGCCCTATACTCTACTCGCAGCGACAGAGGTTACGATGGTGGCTGACTGTTTCTTTCTGCAGAGGATATCAACCGACAGATCAACCTCATTGGACATCATATTGCTGAGCAAGGCGGTATTAGAGTTGCCATCTACCTCCCCAACTCGATCGAATTTCTCATTACTCTGCTGGCCTGCAGCTTCTACCCGAACTTGACTACCGTTCTGATTCCATTCGACGTCTCCAATGAAGAACTCATTTCCATGATGAGACGATCCGCCGTTGATACAGTTGTGACCACTCCTGGATCCTTCCCCCTTGACGATATTACCAAGGCCTATCCATCGCTGCGACAGCTCATCTGGGTTGTGGACGAAGGAAGCGCACATCTTGATTGGAACGAGGTTCCCGAGGGCATGGGAGGCAGCGTCAACGTCGCTACATGGCAAGAAATCATCCGGGATGCTCCTGCGGACTCTAGCACCGAACTGCCTCCTCTGGATCTGGAAAAGGTTCCCATGGATGTTGTGACTTTCTGGCAGACAAAGGCCGGGACGCTTGAGGAAATGGTGCGCTTTACGCAGGCTAATCTAGTTGCTGGCATCTCTTCTCAGATCCACGGTATCCCCGTAAAGGAGAGACTGACTCCATCTGACTTGTTTCTTCCCGCCGAGTCTTTGGCCGGCATCCACACCCTTGTCCTTACTCTAGCTGCGCTTTACCAGAATTCTTCCGTTGCTTTGAATTCGGTTGCTGGACGATCGCCAGATCTGATTCTGGCTGCTCAGGGTATCGCTCCGACGGTAATTGTCGCCAGCCCCGACAGCTTGCTCAGAATTCACCAAGAATCCTCTGCCAAGCTCAACACCCCTCTCGCCAAGGCCTCTCATGCGCTTTCCACTCGTGCTCTTACACAAGAGGGCGTGCTTCCAGGCTCCAACCTGCTATCTGCATTCGCTGCTGGAGCAAAACCAGCCCTCGGCACCGACCCAAGCAAGCTACGTATCGTGTATACCGCAGAGCGCGTTGGCGGATTTACCCCTTATCTCTCCTCCCAGGTTCTGTCTGATTTGCGTGTCTTCACTGGAGCTCGAGTTGTTTACGCATTGACAAGTGCTCGGGTGGCAGGCGCGGTTACGCAGACGGCCTATTTCGATTACAGAGTTGAAGAGGGCGACAACGGCCACTTTGGTGCGCCGACGACAAGCATTGAGATCCGTTTGAAGGATAAGGGCGCATTCAAAACGACGGATGACAAGATTGAGGGAGAGGTTAGTTTTACTTTATTGATTCTCGTCCGATCTGGTTTGCCTAGTACTGTTTGAGCTGACACAGAGATTGTATAGATTTATGCGACGGGACCCAGCGTTGCTGGCGGCGAGACTAGCCTCGGCGTTGTTGGAAGGCTTAGACATGACAACACTCTTGCCTATGCGTCTTGAACGGTGATGTACGTGAACCAGCCAGTGGAAGGAGGAAAGAAAGAAAGAAAGAAAGAAAGAAAAAGAACAGAAAGACAAAGGGGAAAAAAAAAATTAAATAAATAAGTGAATAAGAAAAGACCTGATAAAAGGGGGCGGTGTTCGCGATAGGATGGGCGCGCAAAAGATACGAGCATGAAATGAAGCGCTCTGGAGAGTATTGTCAGGGGTTAGGTATGGAGGGGATTTACGAGGACGTTTTTTTCTTTTCTTTTCGTTTTTTTACTCATGCATTACAAAGAGCTAGCGAAAGAGCAACGGCCATTTGAGGTAGATTGATGATGATTCTTGCGATGATGCACGACGATAGGCTTAGGATAAATGGGAGCTGTCCCAGCAGCAATTTTGCCAATCTTACACGGGCGCCTACTTACTAGATATGATAGGTAGAGTGCTATACTTACCACTACCCCTTACCTCTAGCTTGTCTGTCAAGAGAGGCACTTGCTTGTCTTGTGCTCACGTAGCAGTAGCCTCTACTAGCAACACTACTCCGTACAGCCCATCTGGATTCCTAAGTTGCTTTCTATTTATATCCGCCGCATGGAATCATCCCGAGGCTCCGGGTTTCAAGACTCCAGACTCCAAGCTAATGCTGCCACTCCGCGTGCGCCAGTGCCGGGACAACCTTGCCAGGCGCTTTAAAGCCAGGGCCCTGTCCCGTCTGCGGCACGGGCACCTTTGCATTGCATGCAAGATGACGCCGAAGTTGGGGGATTTCCTGCCAGGGCCGCGATGGTTTTACGGCTAAAGCGTTGCGAGGCCATGATGCACGAGACTTGGGGCTTGGGTGGCTGTCCGGATGCAGTAGGGCCCTGGCAAATTGTCAGCGGCACCTTGGCCTGATAGAGGCAGGTGGTACGATCCGCCGAACGGCGCCGGGGGGCAGAGCTGTAAGGGGGCACCATGAACCGTCGTGGCGGCGCGGGCATGCAAGGAGCGCAACTGGCATTTGAGCGCTAATGACAGCTCGGACGCCTGTCGCTCAGGGACCTGGGACCTGGCCGGGAGGACTGGCAGCGGCACTAGCCAGTTCAGCTGCAATCGCTGGACGCATTCTGTCGGTGCTCTGTGCGCGCGGCCATAAGCAGCGAGGATGGAGCAAATGGGCAGTGGGCGATAGCAGATCCTTTGGTTAGCATGGACTAGCGCAGCGTCCAGTCACTCCGTATACAGTAGCAGCTTGGGTTAGTGCTCGGTATTTCATTTCCAGCGTCCGTGCGACCTAACCATGAGATAGGTGGCAGCAATAGCTTCTGACGTCTGCTAAACATGATGGAAGCTTAGTACCCACGAAGAACCACTGTAACGAAAACTTTAAACACGACAAAGAGGACGCACGTCAGAATCTAAGCTTAAGGCTGTGTCCCGTCCAAGCTGGTTTTTTTCTTCTCGTCTCTTTCCAGCGTTTAAGCACGGTGGGCTAGCGAGGGCATACCTGTACTTGTTAGTTTAGCGCCACAAAAATGGGGGGGGNAGCCCATCTAGAGTGGGAGCGGCGGCGCGCGTCGAGTGGTTTGATTTAAAATGATGCGCCTTTAGCAGGGTTTGGCAGAGAGAGAGAGAGAGAAGCTCCCCCCATGGTTCCCGCAAAAGGATAAAAGAGAACAGCAAGGACAAGGGAAAGAGAAGGAGAAGGAGCAGAACAGAACAGAACAGAAGAGCAGGGAGGGCATGCTTTAAAGGAAAGAAGAAAGAAGAAACTCGCCTTCCGTCAACCAAGCGCCAGCTGCGCAAGCCCTGGGCTCCGGCGTTACTGCCATTTGCGCACTCGTTGACGCTGCTCTCCGGGATCAGCTGGAATGAGGTTAGGCCTTGGAAATATTGCCATCCTCTTGTCCCATAACAACTGCGCTGAGCCTGGTGGGACCCCTTGAACCTCCTGTTTCCCCGATCCGCGGGCCTGGTTGCTCATTTTTACCACCTTTTTATTTTTTGGGGGGTCAGTCTCTCAGAGAGTGAGGGTGAGAGAGTGTGTCTTATCTCCTTGGTCTTGGTCTATCCCTCGATTTTTTTTCCCTCTCTCGCTTCTCTCTGCACTTAATATATCCGAGGCGGCACCTTGTTTGGGATCTCTTACGTCGTTACTCGCCCTGTTACCAAAACCGCCTGAGTCTCTCTTTTCGTTAATCTGGGTGTATTTTCTGTTTATTTTTGGAACCGGAATTGGGAGTTATTGCGGATACTACTTGCGATCTCACTCGAAAGGTTGAAGAGAGAAGTGTCTTACCGCTTTTCTTTGACAAGACGTTATTTTTCGCGCTTCTTCTCTTGCCAAGTTTCGGGAACAATTGCTTGAGAGTGGGACGAATCGACGTTTCATCAAATTACAGCTTTCAACAGCACGCGCAACTGGCAGTACGAGAAAATGCGCGCGGCATAGCGAGGCGAGTGAAAGTGAGAAGTGAGCACGAAGAGAGAGCGTGAGAGAGCTACGTTGGTTATTTTGAACCCTCTTTGCTCAACTTTAATTTTTTCCTTCTACCTGACTTTAACGGATCCTATTCAAGAGGTGGGAGAGAGAACAAGAAAAAAATAATAATCTGGCAATGAAGAAGTTTTCCAAGATCTTGTCGCGGCGGCTGGGGCGATCTGGTGGGGATGATCATCACCGCTGGGACGCAGGACTGCAGTCAGGGTTAGATTTCCACCAGCTTACATCCAGGCGGTGGCGGAGCGGCGATGATGGCTTGGCGATGAATGGCGAGAACCACAGTCGGATATTTACAAAAGAGGTTCCCACCTATGGCGCCGGTAGAATTTTGGCCGACGGGAGCGAGGACGCGGGACAGCTATGTGATGTTTGCGAGGCAATCGATTTCCCGAGGCTGTTGGATTGGAAGCCTGGAGATGCAAGACCATGGGTTTCTTTGGCACACTGCTTGAGGCTAAAGCTACCGGACGAAGAGGAGCTGAGCAGACATCGCAATGGATCGACATCGGAGGAAGAGGATCTTAGTGAGGATGAGAGGCGGAGGAGGCGGAGGCGGGAAGGGAATCTATGCCCCTGGTGTGTCTTTTTCCACTCCATGATCACCACAGTACCGGAAGGAGATGAAAATGGCGGCGCAGATGGAAGGGATGGCAGGGCTATGAAAACCAAGTTTACCCCGTATCTGCGCATTCGCTTGGCATTTGAGCGGCTTGGCGGTGGAGAGAAGCATCCGCTAGCAAAATCAGTGCTCTTCGAAGTGACAACTAGGAATCGGTCTCTTCCGTGGGGTTACATTGTTAGGGCTACACCTGCTCTAGAGGCTGATGTCCAGACAGACGATGTGGAAGAAAAGGCCAGGACTGAGACTGAGAAGAGAGCAAGCACAGCCACAGCATCGGAAAGGGGACTGGAATCAGAGATGGAACCAGTAACCACGGTTGAAGTAAAGGAAGAGGTGGAGTCCGAGCTGAAGCCAGCAGCAATAGTTGCAGAAGAAAAAGTGGAAGAGCCGATTGAACAGAAGCAGAATGGCCATGCCGCGGCAAATGGGAAAGCCAAACGACGAGAGGAGACAAAGGTCATCTGGGGAAGGGAGATAAACCCCCTCCTCCATCTCGACCTCGCAAAGAGCTGGATCAACTTCTGCAACGAGAATCATGCTACAGGGCCCTGTGCCGTCAAGGATAGAGCCTTGGTAAAGGGACTGAGGCTGATTGACTGCGAAGAGAATAGAGTCGTTCTTGCGGAGAATCTATCCACACCGACTCCCCACGACAAACCCCAGGACGCCGAATGTCAGAGCATCACTCCTAGCCACAACAACAGCATCATGCATCAGAATCTGGACTATGTTACACTCAGCTATGTAATGGGGACCTATCGCGAGGATGACGATGATAACAGCGATGATGAACACCTGCCACGCAGACTTCCAAAGGCCGTTACCGATGCCATTTCCACCACCAAGGCCCTCGGATACCGCTATCTATGGGTGGATCGATACTGTATTCCGAGAAAGGGAGACACAAAGGGGGCATCAGAACGCCAGCGGCAGCTCGATCTTATGGGCCAGATATATAGCCACTCGGCACTAACGCTCGTTGTCGCCGCGGGAGAAGGGGTTCGCGATGGTATTACCGGAATCAGCGCGCCACGCGAAGAGCAGCTTTCAATCCAGACTGAGTCCGACCTCTTCACTACTTCTCTTCTTCGCCCGGATCTAGAGGTGGCTTCATCGATATGGGCGTCTCGCGCATGGACTTACCAAGAGGGTCTTTTGTCGCGACGACGGCTCGTCTTTACGCCCTCGCAGGTCTATTTCCAATGTCAGGCATTACACTGTCACGAAAGCCTCTCTCTTCCTCTGAAATACGCACCCGGATTGAACTTTGGTCGTGTCTTTCCCTCTTCTATCGACGACGCTCTTCAGCCTAACAGATTTAAGAATCATATCAAAGCCTACCTGGCCAAGAGCATTAGTAACACCGACGATCGCCTAGACGCATTCAGGGGCCTGCTCCATGAATACTCTGCGCGAGAAAAGCTGCCAGTAGAGAATCTCCTCGGCCTGCCACTATTCCACCCGGACGATTTCACAAAACACAAGGTTGTCAGCCAAACGGACCGCCTCGCCATCGCCCTTGGCTGGATGCCCAACCGCCAACTCCCTTCTTCATCCGTATCCTCCTCCTCCGCCACCTCATCCCACGACGACCTTGTCTATAGCCCCGTCACCGACCCTTACTCCCTCATCGACAACCCCAACCCGTTCCCCTCATGGTCTTGGCTCGCATGGCGCCTCAACCAGACGACGTACAGCTACAGCACCCCCGGCTACTCCTTCAACTTCAACCTTGTGGACGACGCCTCTCCACTGCTTGATCGCGTATCTGCGCCGCCGGGCATGGAGATCTCTGTCGGTTTCAGCGACGGCATGGTCCTCTCATGGGAGATTGATGGCGACGCCATTGCCCGCAAGGCCGACAAGATCGAGATGCTCCGCCTCAAGACCTTCTGCTTCGACCTCACTGTCAAGAAAGCCGCCGCCGGCCTGGGCGCGAAATATGGCTTTTCTCTAGACGAGCCTGTGGCCTCCGCGCTGGGCAAATCCGCCACCGACTCCATTGAGTCCTGGATCCGGCGCTCGTCCGTCACTGTCTTGTCTGTCTCCGCGGACGACGTGCCGGCTGGCCAGGAGTACTCGCTCGTCGGAGTGCTGGTATCTGGGCGGCATTGGAAGCCTGATAGCACGGTGCAGCAGCATCATGGCCATCATCATCGCTCGACGGCTCCGACGGCGGCGGCGCCTGCCTCAACGGCGATGGCTACGGTTTTGATATGCAGGCGCGCGAACTGGGATCCCGAAGGCCGTTTGCTTCGTCTTGGAGCGCTGAACGTGGCGTATGACGGCCTGGTTCCTGCGGCAGACGAGAGTGATGCGTCGATTATGAAGGGAATTGACACAAGGGTCAGTGGGGAGAAGAAGGATTTGAGAGTGAGGCTGCGGGAGTTGGACATTTACTGAAACGAAAGCGTTTTCCTCATTTTCCCTGTCTCTTGTTTCTCTATTTTCTCTCTATCTATGGAGTAATTTTGGTGAACCTGTGTGTGTATTTACGGGAGAATGGCGTGGTTGTATGGAAGACTGGTGGAAGGCTAATAGCGTGTCTGGCTGGACTGGTTAATTGATTTTGTTTTATATACATGTATTTGTATATATGAAAATTTACGTATACGGACGGATTGTTGTTACGTTGATACGTTGATCGTTATACATGGGAAAAATAGAAAAGTAATGAACGGCGCTTCAATGAATACCATTAAATTAATACAACGTTATCAAAACATGTCAACGAACATCTACCTAGCATCTATTATTAAATGTGGATTGTACTCCCGTCGCCAGCTCAATATCGATGCACATTCTATCCCTTCAGCAAAGGCAGCCAGCCTACCTATTCAGGCGCCATTTCCAATACCGCTCTCACGGAAAGATCTTCCTGCACCCAGCTCACAATGCGACCGCTAACATCGCCCACCAGCCTGTGATAATGGGGCCCCGGAAAGAACAGCCCACAATGGGCAGTCACTTCGTCCATACCATCCATAAACACGCTCACCCACGTAGGATCCATGACGCCGTCCGTCTTGTGCGGCGTGGTGCAAAATTTGCCGAGCTTCTTGGACTTCCCCCCCCGCGTTTCAGCTTCCGTCTCAGAACGAGGAGAGGCGACGGACGCAGCTAGGGAAGACGTCGACGATGCCATGTCTTGGCTAGTGGCGGCAGCCATGGCGCGCTGTTTTGTTTGATCTGCGAGCTGCTGTTTCGCTGCTGCTGCGGCTTCCTTTTCGAGTCGCTTCTTTTCTGCCTTTGCGGCCTTTTCTTCTTCCTTTTCGAGCTTCTTCTTGTCTTGTTCGGATTTCTGCTGCTGCTTCTTGGTGTCCTTTTCTAGCTTGTCCGCATCCTTTTGGGCCTTCTTTTGGAGCTTGTCCAGTAGCTTTTCGCGTTCGCGGATGGCCTTTGTGCGGTCTTTGGCGGCTTGCTCGTAGGCCTTTTGACGACGGGTGAATTCTTTTTCTGCCTGTTTACGGGAGTCTTTGTCTGTATATTGTGATAGGTCGGGCTGTTCGGGGGGGTTGGGGAGATTGGGAATTGGAGGGAGATCTAGATTAGGAGGAGCCTGAGCTTTTTCTGATGGATCATCCTTTCCATCGGTTTTGTCTTCGGTGGAAGGGGGTGGTGGTATATCTAAGATATCCGGCGCGGCGGTTTCTGATTCTTGCTCTGCAGAATTATGCTCATCTTCATCCATAGGAATAGGATCAATATTCTGCATAGATTGCATAGACTGCATAGATAGCCGGTTTATATCAACAGATTGTTCTCTCAGTTCGTTTTGCTTAACAATTGAACTGGAATCGTCAATATTTTGGTTCTCTTTTGGTCCCAAATGAACCTTTGCCGTCTTATCCAGATCATCATCATTAGCAGAGGCTTTGACTTCAGAAAGGCCGGCATCGGTCTGGTTTCTTTCCTCGTCCTCTAACCTGGCTGAAATTATTGCATCGACCAGCTTGTTATTTATCTCGTCTTCAATCTTGATCTCAGGTGCAGATTCTGCAGAGAGATCGACCTGGCTGGTATCCCGACTGCCCTTGGTTGTAGCTGGTTGTTTAGGACGGCCAGGAGATAGTGTGTAATAGTTGAGAAACCGTACACGAGAGCGCGGTCTGTTGGACGAGGTAACACTCAGGGATTGAAAATCATCAATATCCTCAAGAGCACGGAGCTGGTTGTATCTGGATTTGAGCCCGGGATAGTCTGCCAGGCATCCGCCGAATTCCAGGTGCGCAGCAACGTGATTACCCAAGGCAGTGAAGATGCCCTCAGACCAATGTTTAGAGCCGAAACGAAGCATGCGGGTGAGGAAAGGCTGCTCCCTAAATGGGCTATCATTGAAGTATGGGGGGTCGAAGTTGGGATCTCTCGATCCACTTGCTATACTATTGAATGAGGCGGGAGATGAGGGCCCCAGGTCACCCGAAGAAGATGAGGCGGCGTCCTGGTTTGGGGGAGCTGGGGAAGAATGGAAGAGGCTGGAGATTCCCGAGGCTACAATTCCGGGGTGAAGTCCCAGAAATGGTGAATCTAATGATAGAGATCCTAGAATACGATGCCTCAAGGGCTGTTGGCTGGATGAGATCCGATTGGGCTATGGCAGTGGCAGTATCAGAACATGGAATGGCCAACGTCATAATATCTATTAGATCGGAGATGGCTCACCATGAGAATAACCTCGGCAGCCAATAGGCCCCCCATGGAGTGGCCAATGAGGATGACATCGGTTTTGGGCGACTCGTGAGGCTCTAACCAAGCACTGAAGTTATCCCTGGCGACCTCTATTGACTTATACGTTTTGTATCTAGGGTAAACCTTGGAATACACGGCGTGGGTTTCTGACAAAGTCTCACGCAGCACATTGTGGACATGCGCAGGGAACGACTGAAAAGACTGGTCATTGCCATAGAATCCATGGATGTAGACCAAGAGGAGGGTCCGCCTGCCATCCGAGTCGGATCTTGATGGTGCCAGAGACTGTGATGACGAGGGACGAGGGACTTTTGAGTCTAGAATCGACGGGCCCGTGTTCAGCGAGCCCTGTGATTCCTCCACCTCTGAGTAAGGAGGCGGTGGAGGCAGCTGAGAAGCGTCCCTTGGAGGCAAAGGAGGCGGCGATGCCATGATGTTGAATACAAAGGCCAAAGATGGAATAAAGGGTGGATAAGATAACTGGAAGATGAACCTATGTCTCGGGTAGCTAATAGAAGGAAACGATGCTGGCGATTTCAGGCTAAGCAAAAAGTTGCAATGAAATATTATGGTATATTATTCCAAATGCAGCTGCTAAATCATGCACTGCTATAGTCGGAGGATGATTGGCATGCATATAGAGAGGAGCACTGCATCACCAACCGCCAATGTTGGATCCAAACTCATCAGTGGATTGGTCATGCTAGTACGGGCGGGGGAGGCACGAGGCTGAAGGGGGCTAGTTCCTATTAGAGCCCGGAAGCCTCCCGCGCTGCTTAATCGATAAGAACGAGCGATTCATCGGAGAAATTATTGCTTGGATACTAGTAGGTACGATAGGCTGTCTTTACCAGCACAAGCACCACAGAGTATCCGAACACATACCTACATGTAGTACGGAGTGCGGAGTACCAGTTGACGTATTTGTTCTCCAACTGAGCAGGCATCATACGGGATATTACCGGGCAGGTCTTCAGGGCACCCTTTTTTAGCGCATTGCAGACGTGTCAGGGTTACGTACAGCCGTGCTGACCAGCCAGGGCCTGGTGCCTGAGCAGCGTACCGGTACCTAAACAGTTGCGAGTTCATGCGCTACATGGCTGGGTCTGGCGCCACTGACGGCGGGGACGGGCTGTCTCAGCAAGCTTCAGCCGCGGCCAATGGCGGGCGATATTGGAGCGTCGGTGCATAAAGAACAAAGAATTACGCAAACAATCACGGGTCGTCATTGCGGCGCAGGTCCTGAAATGACAAAAGGACCTGTACCAACGGAACGAATATTCATGACCTGCAGCTGAGTTTTTTTTTTTTTTTTTTTTTTGTTGTTTCCACCATCACGTTTCTTGCTCACCGTCGACGCCATTATACGGCCCCAGCGTATCCGTATGACTCTGGAATCGAACCCGTGCATCAAATGCTTCCATAGACAGCATGCTTCAGAGACACGCATCGCAGATAGGCGCTCCACATTGGAAGAACGTTGAAAATTAGCAGTAGTCGTAGTCGTCGTGCTAACACTCTTCTAGCAACCTGTAGATTAGCAAGGAGCTCTCGCCTTGCTCCTAGTCTCCGCCGTTTTTCGTCGTGCAGTCTCTAATCGGCAAGATGCAAGCCGCACTTAGAAGGCACTAGCAGGGTTTGCCTAGGACTTGTTTTTGCCCATTGCCTTGAGCAAACACCGAATAGCGTGTATAAACAAAGCGGACGGGCCGTTGATAATAGAGAGAGAGAATCTCCTCAGGCCACTAGGTATGTATTGGTGGTAGCAATAAGAAATAGTATACGTATTCGCAATCTGACTCGTGGAGTACCTATTTTACTGAATGAAAAACATATATCCGAATCTTGGGCCTTTGCACCCAACTCCCCTGTTAGTTATACGTGTGAACCTGAATAGGTTCTTGAAAAGACTATACCAATCCATATACATGACAGCTAGTGAAAGGCCCATAGAGCACTACTACTGTATAATATAATGCAATTACTGCTACAATCCTCTCTATTCGGGCCCTATGTTTACTTTACCGTGCCATTCCGTTCGCTTTCTTGTCCCGAGATGGATCCCTTGGGCGGTTCACCGTAGAGGACTATTATAGATCAATGCTACGATACCTAGCCTGAAGCATCTTAGCACCGCCCAGTTCCGCCATCAGGTGCCTCGACAAAGTTCAGGAGGATACGAAGTGCATTAGCAGCCCGCTCCTTGGTCCTTTAATAGCAAAGAAACCCGCTGGTCTACCGCGACTGCATTTTAACTTTCCATCCCAGCCGCATTTGGCATGCATCCATCTCGACAGCTAGTCCTGAGATGGACATATTCAACCAACGCTTTATACCATCGCCATCGCCGTGTAGGTAGAGTTGTGTGTAGTATGTACAAGCTCAGGCACGCCATAGCATACGCTACTGCTCTAGTACAGGTACAATTACAGGGACACGCGGACCTGCATTGCTTTGGCGCATCTTGGCACTCGACGTTCCGACGCTTGGACCCGCGAATCGTGAGGTTACTTGCCTGTGATTGGCCGCCAGCACCGCGACCCGCACCAAGCGAAATTACCTACAACTTCTGCTTGCTGGTCGTCGGACTGGCATGCGCTAGAATCAGGCTACTCCCAGGCACAGACGACGCCAAAGCAGGAATTGGGGGCACCTAATCAACGACATCCCAGCTGCAAAAGCCCCGGCATCCTCGTCAGCGTCGTGCAGCTCGGCTTCGGACCCAGGCACGCTCCCCAAAGGGTCCTATGCCCGTGCTATGGCAGAGCCTGGTGCCTGTGCCTGTGCCTGTGCCGGTACATAGGTAGTAGTATCTGTACCTTGCCTGTGCCTGCACCTCGATGCTAGTGCGCCTGTGCCTGGCAGTAGCAGCAAATCTCAGTGGCCCGGTTCGTCCCTGCGCCTGGTCGGAGAGATTGCATCTGTTGCCCCTTCCTTCGCTTCTCTGTCTGCTGGCTCTTTTCTTTCTCTTTTGCCCTTTTCCCATCGTGGCCAGCGGATGTGCGCGCATCATTGCTTTGTTTCTTCTTCTTCGTCGCCATGACCGTTGCCTTCCTTTTTGTTGAACGTTGTTGAGTCATTCATTAGAAAAGGGGAATTTTACAAGCCATTTTAGCATTGCAGAAGCGGATACGAGAAGCCCAGCGCACCACGAGCAAACGAAACGAAACGAATTGCCGCCACGGCACTGGTTCCTGGGTCTTCCATCTTACGTTGAATTTTTCTTTTCCTCAGTCTTACGCGCCTGACTTCGATTAAGTCCATCCTCTAGTATCACGGACGGATGGTAGAGGGACATTGGTTGCGACGGGATATTCCAAAAAGAACAACGGCAACGACGACGACAACGACGACGACGACGGGCAACGGCATATCTCCAGGACCCTCAAGATGCCGCCAGCAGGAAGAATAGCGAACTAGATTTTCACTCTCTTCATCCCCCACGACACCCCGGAACACAATACAATCGTCATTGCTGGGCATATCATTGGTATTGCCCACCGACATCGTCGCAATGACAAGCCACGAGTCTTCACTCCTTCAGGCCCGTGGTGGCGCTCATGCCCACGCTCATTCCGCATACAAACACCGACACGCACATGGTCATGGCCATGACCATCTGCACCATCATTATCCTCATGACGCCGTCTCTGGCCCCCGGCCCGGCGACGACAAGCCAGACACCAACCAAAGCCCGGATCTCAAGAAGCGAGCCAATGCGCCCGCCATAGATGAAAAGTCTACCGATGGGATAACTCCCACCGCAACGTCCCTCGTTACCGAGGTCATCCAGACCGTTTCGCTCGTTCAGATCGTGGACACCCTTGGATCGCCGCTCTCCACGCTGACTCAATTTGCTGTACCAAACACTGTTGTTATCAACAAGGACACGGGCAAGACCATTTCTGCTTCGAATCCGGATCCCACTCCAGCTCCAGCTGCCCCGGGCTCCGGCCCAGATCTCAGCAAAGGGGTCTCATCGTCGTCTACTATTAGCTCGCAAGCAAAGGCTACTCCTCTCCCGTCGATATCTGCATCTTCTCCGGCGTCCCTCTCGCCATCCGCTCCTTCTTCATCGCCATCAACGGCTCCTCCACCAGCATCTTCACCAGCGTCTTCGCCAGCGTCTTCGCCAGCGTCTTCGCCAGCGTCTTTACCAGCATCTTCGCCAGCGCCTTCGCCAGCGCCCTCACCGGCCCCTTCGTTGGGAATAGGCCACCATAACGGAACAAACAGTATGTCGCCTTGTATTCAAGATTGAGAGAATAGCACCTGCTTGCTTCCATATTTTGTCACTCGCTGCCTCCTTGTATGCTAACTTCAATATAATAGTCCATCGTTCTAGCAGTCATTCAAGCGCAGCCAATTCCATGTTCTATGCAGAATCAGTAAATGCTACCGCCACATCAACAACGCTTTCTTCGACAACACCGACAACGCACTCTTCCACTTCGCTGACAACAAAAACAAAAACAACAACCTCAGAGTCTTCTTCCTTTGAGCCTACGTCCTTTACAGAACCAGTCACCTCAACTATCTCTTCTTTTGAGCCACAGGCTACTGATGGCGGATTTGGTGGCGGATTTGGTGGAGGTGCCACTCCGTCTACCATAGACAGCACACAGCCTACCCCTTCTTCGTCTTCAAACTCAACTGTGAGCGCACTCTCCCCCCAGCAAAAGCAAGTTATTGGAGGGGTACTTGGAGGCGTTGCTGGCGCCGCTTTCTTTCTTGTTTTGGTCCTGGTAGCTTTGAGGTGGAAGAGGCGTCAAAATAACGCGGCTCTTGTTGCCGGTCAACCTACATCGGAGTCTCGTGGGTTGCCTCCAGCCTCCGGCGCTCCCAGTGGAGTTCCCAATGGCGGAGATGGGAGCGGCGGCGGAAGTGCCATGGCGGAAAAATACAGTGCTGTAGCCCTTACTGCGGCTTTCACCGGCTTGGCTCCTAAGAGGAGCTCTGCTTCTGTGAATTCTTCGGAAATGGGGGAAAGAGGTTTCTACCGCGTGTCTGGCAGAAAGTTGCCTTCAGTGCTACAGGTAGGGGGCGATGGGTACTCGGATCCTCGCTCGAGTTTCATGAGTGGCACATCAGACTACTATCGAGGTTCGCAAGCTTTTGACCCCTTCGGAGAACCAGGAACCCGGTTACAACTAGGGGCTCCCATGCGTCCAGATAGCGGCGTGCCAATTGTTCGATCCGGCCCGGCTCGCCCTGTGGTTGCAGAAGAGAATCCATTCGCGGACCCTCCGACGTCCCCCCCTGGTGACGTTTCGGCGCCCCCATCGGCGCGGCCACGCGGCAGTCCACGGAGGGGATCTAGATTCCAAGAGGGCATTTGATTTATATCAAGCTATCACACATATCCATATGTGTACAAGTTCATACCCTATACCCATGTCGTTCCTGTACATTTTTCACTTGATTTTGCTTTTGTGTCTATTTTCATGGCACTCTAAACATACTAAAAAGAACATTTCCTTTCTGTTGCTGTTGCACTCACCGGGCTGCTCCCCCTCTTAAGGAGCGTCGAGTTTGGTTTTTTATTCAGTCGACCCTATCTTTTTTTTTTCTTGATATATCTTTTAAGATGGCGTTGATGTGGGATATGGCGGATTTTCGGGGCTGTTAATTTCGAGGAAAAGGAAGGAAAGGATATAGAGGAAAAGCAAGGGCAATAGTTTTTTCATACTTGGGAGGACCATTTTCTTTTGTACTTGTCTGCCTCTTCTCTTTCTTTTTCTTTCTTGTCCGTCTCTAACGATAGTCGATTTGCATCGGTGGAGATTTGGGAGGGAGCGACTCTTACATTTATACACCTTGCAATTCTTGTTATGTGTAGGATAATGCAGGTTATCAGAAAATAGTAGAAATATTGCATATATGTTACTTTTTATTCTCTGCAAGAATGTGATGTGATGTTCTGTTTGGAGTCTCCGTCTTGTTTGCCTTACCCTACACGCCACGAATGTTTTTCGCAAACACGGATGCGAAGAAAATAGTATATATTAGATGCCGCAATGCAGGCTCCATATGGAGAATCAGATAGCGCATAGTCGGATCGTGTCTACGTTTAGTTTGTGTTTTGAATGGGACATACGTACTGGCAATGCGTTGATAAGCGGGCGAGACATTGATGAAACGATGAAGGATGCGTGTGAACGGCCCGGTATCGAGATGAAATATGGGAGGGGCAGCTCATACAGAGTTCTCTCGCAGAACCAACTTTTCCCCCTTGGTATTGAGTAGCAGCCCGAGTCATGAGATCACCGAGGCCTTGTGTTCAACCAATTTCCACGTGGGTGGTATTGTCTGACGGATTCTAGTTTGCTGCGAGAGAGCCAAGGCGAACAAGAGCGAGCTATGTATAGCACTCAACTGTAGCCCAAATTTAGATACGATATCGTAAAGCTATAATAAGACTAGAGAGGGCAGCAAAGCTTGGACGTGATAGGGCTGGTGACCTTGCCTGTGCTCTTGTTTAATACTATGCTTACTCAATACTATTGCGGGCTATTTTGGGAGGTTCTTTTTGCGAACTCGGGGGCGTGATTGGGCTGGGCCGCTTTTTTAGAAAGCTGACGGGGACCGTTTATTGCTGCTGCTTTGGCACTAATGCAACTAGTCCTAGAGTTTGCACTGTTTTGTCGAGTTGTTGGTTGGTTGGTTGGAGCTGGGCTTTGAAGAACAATGTCGCCGTCATGCGCGCGTCGTGTTTTCGGTAAGCCGGGAGGGGGAGGGGAAAAAAGAAGAAGAAGAGAGATGGATTTCAAATTAGTTCAGGACTTTCGAGTGGCGTTTCTTTTGGACGGTAAACTTGGTCTGAAGATGTTTGTGCGTTTCACATCTGATTTATTCTTGTCGCAGTTAGATGGGACTTTCGCCTGTTCCTGACGGTGGCGGGTGGGGCAATGAAACATAGAAAAGAGAATGCGAATAAGAGAAGGGGGGCCGGTGTGGCTGGGTATTTTGCACGGCTATTGTCTTTTTATTCTTGTCTGAACCTATAATAGCTAACAGAAGTCCTAGTACAGCATTAGTGAGCAAGTCCGCCAGCCCGTTGATAAGTTCGATATCCAGGTCCGCTCGTGTAAGATTGCTAGCAAAGGATTCGTTTCCATCTCCGCAATTGCCGGCCCGGGCTCACACGTGCTCATTTCGTCTTCTCCCTCTTCTTGAGTTGAGATGCCGTTTTGCCAGAGCTGTACGGAGGCTAGGGTGGAGGATTATTACTATTACCTTGCTACTAAGATAGGTGTGTGAATGCATAGGTACCTGCCTACATTAGGCACCGATACGTACCTTTATATAGATTCCTAGGCTTATACTTGTAACGCTTGGTTGGCAGCTTTATATTACCGATTTTCTCTGCAAAAGAAGAGAATCATGCCGGTAGCTACGGGGGACGTAGGTATTACGGGGTAACCAGTAATCTATTACTACTAGCACCTGTGTGAGTAGCCCTGGGCTGACGAAGAACCCCCGGAATGAAGATAAAGCCCGCAGGTCTGGAGTGCGGACTCCGAGCATGTCCGATTTGAGCATAGAAAGAAGGGGAGAGGGACAGCTGCTGTGTTTTGTTTCTGCTGTCACAGGATGCTGCGTATTGGATAGGATCTGGCTGGTTCTCCTAGCATGGGAGGCGAGACAGCGATTCTTGTGCCTTGATGGGGTGAAGGTGAAGGGGTCGTAGAAGAAGAAAGATGTAAGCATATCAATAGTAATATCAATCAGTCGAATTGCGAAGACGCGGAGTTGCCTTGCTTTTATTTTCTTGTACTACCCAAAATATCTTATCATGCTGTTGTATGTGCAAAAGCCCTTTATCGCAGTCAATGTTGTTGATGCCAGGACGCTTCAAGTCCATTCAATGCCAGGTCCGCGGCGCATTGACGGCGTCAGGCGCACTGTTACACGGCATGACGCCAGCGGTATCACCTTTGGCCAAGCCCCTAGCCGTTAGGTAGGTAGTGACATTACAGGTCCGGCATGTACTGCCAAGTATTGACCCATTAGCCCACCTAAGGTACCTGTAGTGCTTTGGGTTTGCGTCTGCAGCAGCACACGCGCTGTTTCGGGTATTAGTGGGCTGATCCGGCGAGGAACGGTGCGCGCAGCGTGACTCAAATGGCATGTGTTCGTTCGTCCCTTGCACTGCTGCGCATCCAAGGCCTACTGCCTGCAGGCTTCCCTAATCTGGAACGCTGCGGAACGACATTGGTTGTCGGCAAGAGGCCTGTAAAGGGGACCCGAGGCTGCGGAGAATTCGCAATACCTCGACAACACCTACAGTCCAGCACAGCCCTTCCCATCCGCAGTGGGTTTCGGGGCTCAGCGGCTAAGAAAATAGCCCGCGTTGTCAGAACTCCAGCGGCGCCCCCGCTTGCTCTTACCCAGTCCAGCGGCGCCTGCAGTGGTAATGGCTACTGTGCTACTGGTGCCTGCAATTAATGCCGTACCTGCCAGTACCTGCCAGTACCTGCGACCCTGGGGATGCGGTGCTCAGTAATCCTTCCGAATCAGATCTCCCTCTCACTCACTTCAATCCTTATCCTAAATCCTCATCCCCGTCCTCTCACAGCCTTGACCTGCTTCTCCCAGATGCGCTGCCCAACACCGCCTCGCTGTATCTTTTTTTAAAGCAAAAGCGAATCATCGCGCCACGCCCTTCTTTCGAGCGCAAGTCGTATTAATTTCCCGCGCGGCCCTCGGCAGCGGCCCTGAGTAACGGTCACAGACGGACAGGCAGACACAATCGGCCACAGGCAGCCAGTCAAGCCTTTCCCTAAATATCCTGTCAATCTTTTGCTTTGCCCCGAGCAGCACAGGCATCTCATTCGGCGCGGTCTTCTCAGCCCAGTACGGCCCTTTCCGGTATTACCAACAGCTCTCTGATGATATAGCTACGCCTCCGATTGCATATGCTTGCACTCGCTGATATTTCGGCAACGGCGGCCATCTATTGACACTCCACCTGTGCGAATCGACAACACCCGAAGCTGGGACTTTTTTTTTTGGTTCAGTTTTTATAAGAGCCAAAAGAGACAGAGATATCTCATTTTGCAACGCAAACCTCAGTACTGCCGCCTTCGATACATAACATCCACTCACCACTCACCACTCTCCAAACTCAACTCCATCATACCGCCTTCCACACCACCGCAGGACGGCAAAATACACACAACAGGACATCGACGAACCGAATATTTAACACGGGAGCTATCGCTTTTCAGCCTTCACCACCATGGATCGAATGGGAATGTTCCAGATGCCCCCGTTGGTGGCACCACCGCTTACAAACCAACCGCCCCAGATCTTTGGCTCGTATCTGGCCGATGGCCTGCCGCAGCTGACGCCGGACATGGCGGCCCAGCTGTTTCCGGATTCCAGCATGCTGCTTGACGATAGTCTTGATGCTAAGAGGAGAAGAATTGCTAGGGTAGGTCTTCTATATGCCTGCCGGGGCGATATCTGTTATCTGTGTTACGCTGGCTTCCACCCTTTCCCCCGATTTAGTGTGTGATGCTAATCTAATTTCTTCGTGACCCTTTTCTAGGCCTGTGATCAGTGTAGAAGAAAGAAGATCAAGTGTGATGGCAAGCTGCCGTCGTGCACACACTGCACAAACTACAAGACTGAATGCGTCTTCACCCAGATTGAAAAGAAAAGGACGCCGCCAAAAGGGTACGACTAATCCAACATTCCAGGTATTGCGCGTGATGCTCACATATACCATAGTGCCAAGTACATTGAGGCGTTGGAGAACCGTCTAGGCCGTATGGAAAAACTTCTTCGGTTAGCTGGTACGCTTTTCTCGCTTTCTCTCTAGCGAGTACGGATGTTAACATATATGTTCCCCTCTTTAGGTATTCTCGAGAACGAAGATGATGATCTTGCCGAACTCGAAAAGAGACTTACCGAAAAGGTACATCAAGGAGCTGCCGCCCACAGCTCAGGCCCTTCCTCACCTTCGCATCTTGCGTCAGAAAGTGAGGCCACAGCATCTCCCAGAAGCTCCGTGACATCGCCAGGTCTACAAAAGGACAAAGAAAAGAGACAAGAGGATAAAAGCAAGCTAGGCGCTACACCAGCAAGTACTCAAGGAGAGGAAGAGGTTGAGGCTTTGTCTGAGATGATGTGCTCTTTGGTAACTAATCAATCTGGCGAGACGAGATATATCGGTGAGACTATATAGAGAAGCAACGTAGCGTTCATGTATATGTTGGCTAACTTGACGCAGGCTCCTCATCCGGATTCTCCATCTTTTCGCCAAAGGGCGTCCAGTGGATCAATCACAAGACCGGCGACAACTCTTTCCAGAATATGATTTCCGAAGTCTCGGAAGACGACCACAAATGGACTAATTGGAAACCCGAGATATTCGGGGACCTTTTCAAGCGACCCGTCTTCCGGCCCCTACCCTCTAAGCCCGAAGCCATGTCCCTGCTCAAAGATTTCTTCGAAAATTTCAACTGCATGTTCCCGCTCTTCCATCAGCCGACTTTCATGCACTTAGTCGAGCGTCAGTATTCCGATGATCCATACCAGGGTTCCGGCTGGTGGGCAAGTCTTAACTGTGCTTTGGCCATTGCTCATCGCCTGCGCGTCATGAGCAATCTGGTTCCGCAAGAGGAGGATGTAAAAGCATGGGGTTATTTGAAGAACGCCATGGGCGTCTTTTCCGAACTTGCCATGCGCAACACAGATTTGCTGAGTGTTCAGGCTCTACTGGGGATGGCGCTCTTCATGCAGGGAACTCCCAATCCCCAGCCAGCTTTCCTCTTAATATCTGTTGCTATACGGCTTGCGCATAGCATTGGCCTCCATAAGAAAGGAACAGGATTTAACCTCAATCCGATTGAAATCGAGCAGCGTAAGAGAGTGTTCTGGATTGCCTACATGCTAGATAAGGACCTCTGTCTTAGAGCAGGTCGCCCTCCTGCCCAGGATGACGATGATATGAACGTTGAGCTCCCTGACGCCGACCCGGAGGATAATATTGGCAATATTCCTCTGGCTGATGGAAAGGGAAAAATGAACTTGTTTCGAGTCATGTGCGAGTTTGCCGTCATTGAAAGCAATGTGTATAGGAGACTATACTCAGCCAAGGCGGCCAAGCAATCCGACGGTGAGCTTCTCGCCACGATTGGAGAATTGGACCAGCAACTGGAGGAGTGGAAGGACAGGATTCCCATCGACTTTCGACCTGAGCATGAAATCAGGGCTTCACATACGCCGCTCATTCTCCACATCGTCATGGTGCATTTTACCTATTACAACTGTCTGACCACAATCCATCGCATGTCGGTGCACCATGGTTTTTGGACAAGCCGGCTGGCCAACTATGCCATCTCAGGTCAGAATGTGCGACCACTGAATCCGAGAATATTTTCGTCAGCTATGCTGTCGACAGCAGCGGCACGGGCATCTATCTCTTTGCTTAAATATGTCCCTCAAGGCGATTTCTCATGTGTTTGGTAAGTTTAAAAGATGTTCGAAAATCCTAAGCAAAAGGGGCTAACCGTTCCACATAGGCTCGTTCTTTACTTCCCAGTTTCAGCGCTGGTCACCCTTTTCGGAAATATCCTACAGAATCCTCTCGATCCGCGCGCGAAATCAGATGTTAAACTAATGAACCTTGTCGTCACGTTCCTCTCTATGCTTGGCCAAGAGGCGGAGCAGGGAGGAGTCCACAGAATGTTGGGCGTGTGCTCTGAGTTCTGCCGTATCGCTCAAAGTGTCATCGAAAAGGCCGACAGGGAGCAGTCTTCACGCCGAAAACGAAAGGCAGCAGACACTCCAGGAAGCACGGAAGGTCGCAATCAATCTTTGCCGCCTAGTACCACAGCAGCTGCAGCGTCAGCCAAATCGTCGACACCGGCATCTTCTTCTGCACAGGACACTCCAAAATCAAGCTCCACGACAGCAGCAACAACGCCTCAGGCCACTGTCCATGACACCTTGTCGCCTGAATTCGTCGCGGCACGGGCTTCGTTCCAGAATGCAGTGAATAAGACGCCCTTAGGGGCATCTCCATCGGCTGACTCGATGCAATGGGGTCAAGATTTTCAGATGGGCCAGGACATGGACTTTGATACTTTTGGTGACTTGGCCGGATTGAGCGGTGACATTCAATCGCCGCCATTGCCTGGTGGTGGTACTTTTCAGCAGCCTCTGCTCCCGCAAGATCTCTATTCCATGACCATGGGCCTGGACTGGAACTGGGTTGAGATGAGCGGAGGGGCGTATCCCACGGTAGAGAATGGGAATTTTGGCAACCTCGAGAATACCGGGGTGATTGATCCGAGACGGCAGATGTCATAAGCTGACGATCAATCAATGTTGGAAGTACATTTATGCTTGCAAGACTATCGGTGCTTCAAGTTAACGTACATTTCGAGATGTGTATTGGCTCATCTTTCTTCTTTTTCTTTTCCTTCTCGCTTTCAAAATTTGCGAAGAAGTTTTTGAATGTTTTTCTTGCCTAGCGGTTCGCATGTATTTTAGCACGACTGATGACCGTATCGACTTCTCTTCTCTATCATATATTTGTTGCACCTTGTTTACTGGAGGCTCTTTTGGGGGATATTATCAGAGATGTACGATATTCTACAGCAAGTGATTATACATAGTACATGCACTTTTGCAAAATATGACTTGCATGTGAATTATATAATTTTCATTTTATGTCAATCAACGCTCGGTATCGTGTCGCGTTAAGCCCCCTGCCCCCTCCATGATTATTATAGTGTTTTAGCCAGCTCGATATTTGATAAAACAATACAGCCCAAGTATGCCAATAATGTGCTGGGACCCAGCTTTCTTATTGTTTCATCTACTGGTATCTGTGTGAAAAAAGCACAAAAAACACAATGAGCCTTACGCCCTCTCTTTTCGAGGGGGCGATATAAAGACCAAAAAACCCCCATGTCACCCGCCTTTCCCTGTTCCTTCCCCGCTGCCGAGGCAGGGCTGAACTTTGTAAAACAAAACGACATCAACAACAGGGGAACCCCCATGAAAGCCCAAGAATGCTTTACCCTCGTTTCGTTCAGCCGTCCAAATCGTTCCGTTTCGCTCGATTTCCCATTTCGTTAAATTGTGGCTTATGCTTCTCGGCATCCAGTTCCGCTGTTTTCTCCCCCACGCCCTCCTTTCCCTTCTTCATTCTCCCTCCAGTCCTCGATTTTTTTTTATTTCAAGCTTTCCAACCGCCCCTTTTTGATGGTCTGCTGAAAGGGAATATATGAGTGAGTAAAAGATAACAAATAAACAAAGAACCCAAAAAGAAAAAAAAAAATCAACGGAAAAAAAAACATCGGTGAGACAGAATTTTGCCTTATAGTTGAATAAGGGACAAGTCTTCTGCTCGCTGGGGGGGAAAAAAACTATATATATCCCTTTCCCTCTCCTAAACGCCATGCTAGACAAAAACCGCAAAAATGGAGGATCAAAATTTCCTCTTTGTCCAAGGATGCAAAACAAAATTGTAAGATATGAAGAACAAGAGGGTAAGCCAACCCGTCTTTGATCTTCTGTGAGTGTCGAACCTTCGTGTATCGTGGTATAGAGCTTGTACAAAGTTATCAAATCGTTGTTTCCTGTAACTTTCCCTTTTTTTTGGTCCTGCCCCAATCATGTAAAGAATTATCATGGACCGCAAATCAATGACAAAAATCAAAGCTACTGAGTTTTGCGAGAGCATTGATTTCAGCTCTCTGCGACTTCTCCACTGGTGAAGGCTGGTGAAAGGCAAACCAGATTCAGAATAGTTGCAGTTGTCATACTCCAACCATTCCAGGGCCATAGCTCGATTGGCGCATAGCGCTCGGGTAGGGTGGCGTGTTTCCTGAGCTCTGCACGGTGTTAGAATTTACCGGCAGCATCGTAATTCGGGTTTTGGCTTGCCTTCTTCCGGCGCTTCTGGCCTCCTTCACCTTCCCCCGTAGAGTAGCCTGTTTCAAGGCCAGTGTCGTCGTCGGGGAAGCCTTCGCCATATCCTTCATAGCTGCTATCGCCGTATGACCGCTTCTTGATGCTCCGCTGAGGTCGTGCGGGATTTTGGCCAGGTAACAGCTGAGACTTGGACCTGCTCATGGCGGACGCCCCAGACATGGATATCAGAGGTGTATTTGGCGCCGTAGGTTTCGCAGACGGTGCCTTTGAACTATCACCGTTAGATGGGCCAATGTCCCCTAACACTGACGAGTCCCAAAACGATTTGGGAACCGGGCCCTTAGCCATAGTCAGCGCGCGACCTAAGGTCGATTTGGTTACATCTGATAAGCCATCCATAAGAGATCGTCCTTTGACTTGATGGACGTTCCATTCATGGTCGGGAACCTGCAGCATGGATAAAAAGTCTGAGGGAGCGTCGTCGTTCTTCTTAGCAACATCAAAATGTCCAGTGACGCCCAGCCGCTTGATGTGGCCCTTATACGTCTTGCGGAGCGCGTTCTTCTCGCCGTTTGGCTTCTCTCTGGCGACTTCGGTGGCCAGATCGACCAAGTCGTACATCTCGTAAAGATCTTCCGATGTCCTAGGAAAAGACTCGGGATGCGCTAAAATGATAGCAGTGTCAACAAAGCAGAGATCTCAGAAGAACAAAAACGTCCCAACGACTGTCGAGATCTCGCCTTCCAGGGGGCGGAGGAGCGAGACGAGGGCAGCGGAGGGAGTCTTACGAGATTGAAGAAGGAGATATTTATGGCCGACATCTCGGTGCAGGTCTTCGATGGCGAGCTTGTAGTCGTCCACGTGAGGCTTTTTCAGCTCGCGGTCGTCGCCTACATCTTCGAGAGGCCGCTTTCGCTTCTGCGGCGAATCGTCGAGCATCATGGAGTCCAGCTGAGAGGAGCTGCCGTTGACGCTGTGTGCGGGAGTCGGCAAAGTCGTCGTTCCTGTTCCTGCGGCAGCCACAGAGCCGGATGAGCCGAGAGAGGGATCCGAGGAGGTGGCGGGCGAGAATTGCGAGGGGCTTTGGGGAGTCTGGGGATGGAACGACATCATGAAGGAAGTCTCCTCGCGAGAAAGCGAAGTGGCGTGTCGCGCCAGGCCAGCGGCCGAGATGTCGCTGCGGTAAGGGGAAAGGGCCTTTGTTCAGGCGAGCGGCGTCATACACTCGTATAATCGTGATGGAATGCCTGGAACTGTGTCCCCTGTGCTCTAGCGATGGTTTGCGGTGATGCCTGCGCAAAAAGCAGGTCCCGTGTCGGCGAAGGAAGAGAAGCAGCCGGCGCCTTCAGGGTTTTTTGCCGTAGTCGGTAGGGGGCGAGAGACGGTGGATCGCTGGGAGAAACTCGCCGCGGCGCGAGGCGGATGGGAGAGCGGATGGCACGCACAAAATCGCGGCGTCGTCGGTTCGGCGGGCTGACGGGGAGGGCGATTGCAGGGCGACGATGGCGATGATTGAAGCGTTTGAGGGCTGGGAGATGATGAAGCAGAAGGTGGAGTTGGATGGAGAAGCAAAGGGAATCTCCGAGCCTGAAAGACGAGGCAGTAGCAGAGAAAGCGCAGGGCGGGCGGCACAGGACAGGCCAAACACAGGCGCTGGCGTGCCAGGACTGCCTTTCCTGGCTAAAAGGCTCACTAGCGGCTGTCAGCACTGAAGTGTTCGGCGAGCACAGAAGGGCTTGCGCGCTAAGCTCCAGCGGGTTGGCTCCCTTGAAGCGGCGGGCCCGTTTGGGGAGCGCGTGTTGCCGAGGGCCTGTCCTTGCGCCTTTGCACGGAACGGAGGCGCTGGGGGCGTGACAGGCAGGCGCTTAGAAGCTGTCAATGGCCAAGGAGCCTGTCTGAACAAGCCAATGCAACGCCTTGTGCTGCTCTTTGTTGTCGGCGCACAGTGCTAGGCGGGATTCCTGGCAGCTACATACGTGCTCGTTGTTCTTGATTGCCGCCGTATTGCTATGGATTGCTACTAATAGCCTTAGCACTTCGTATTATCTCTGGGCAAAAAAGGCCTTCAACGGCATGTGCCTGTATGCATGTCTTAGTCTCATCCAGCAAGTAGAAACTCACCGTTGCCACCGCAAGTCCCGCTCCGCTCCGCCCTTTTTTGCCAAAACAGTGAATCGCCAGCCTCAGCTTCGCAAGCGGTGTCTCGTTTCTCGATGATTAGACGCTTATGTAACTGGGCAAATAAGTGGGAACGAACAGCTATACTCCATAATAGTAGCAGGCTATTGCTGCTCGTGGCGAGGTAACCGTCGGAATTACCTACTAAATCCTGGAGAAGAGACTTTCTATAGGTACTAAGTTACGAATACATGTAAGTAGATTCTCTGATACTGCATACCACACACACTCTCTCTCTCTTAGGCTCTACACATTTCTCCCTGTACTTTCCAAGTCCATCTACTTCTGTACCTATCCATGGACCCTAGCAATTGTCCACAGTCTATCGCAGCACTGCTATACGTAGTAGGTATCACGCCGTACCGCACGCCGCAACCGCAGCCGCGGTAGGCCGCTAAAATTCCAGCCCGTCCTGCCGTATCCGTAAAGGCCAGTTGCATCACAGGATAAGTCACATGACCTGCGGGGCAAGATATTCTCGGCAAGGCTGCAAAACAAAACTGCACGTCCCCTCTCTTAGTCGATCTTCTTTCTCTTCTTTTTTTTTTTTTCTCTTCAACCTTACGACCAGCAATCGATGCAAAACAAAACATTCGCCGCCGGCCTGTTCTGATCACTCAGCGACAATCCGATGCTGTTCGACGATTCTTCGATGTCTGGTCCAGAGCGTACTTTTTACAGCAACCTTGCCTAAAACCATCATCACGAGGGCCCCGTCTGTGTGGCTACCATGATGCGATGATGACCTGATGCAAGTGACATATTACTATCAGAACCACCGTATTGTTGAGAAACAATCAATTGGGCGGAAAGGAGAAAGAGGAGGGGGAGGAGAAAGATGGACGATTAAGAGTGGCCACAATATGTCTCTTGCCTGCGCTTGTGTGTGTGTGTGTGTGTGTGTGTGAATGTGCTGCCCATCTTCGTTTTTTTCACATGCCTGTGATTCACTAAAGGGATGCGATGCTCTCCTATCACACACATACGCACGTCCTTAGAATTGAGTGGCAGCGCCCTCTTGTATTGCTGCCTTCATAATTTTTCACTCGAGATAATCAAGGTAAGCCATTTCCTGGCACTGATGGGCTTGAGTATGCCTCAACGCCTTTTATTCAACTCAAACACCACTCCTCCATCATGATGACACTTTTACATCTGGTAAACCTATCTGCTTTGATGCTGTTTTCTGGGAGTTTTGAATAGCTTTTTTAATCTTTTCAAAACAACCGTCAACCACTTGGCTGCGGGCGGAAAATCTTAGGCTTGACTGAATTTGAGATGGTTCAATATAGAATAAGAGAATTAACTGGACATCGTAACTTGCATACTAACTCAAGTCATTCATTCAGGTGAGCCTATGATACCGAGCAAATATTCATCAATCTTTGTGAGACGTAAATTTCAAGTATCTTGAGTTTTAACATTACCCAAGTCATAATTTAAAGCACAGAAGATGACTCATTATTCAACCATTATTGAAAAGGAGCCAGGTTGGATAGCGTCCTTCGTACCCTCTTCAAATCCAGAAGCCAAAACCTACACCAGCGGTAAACAGTGGTTACGCAATAACATATGTATATTGTTTCATTGCCATATCTTCGCCCAGCGACGGGTAGCATCCGGCTCCCAAGAAAGTAAATATATATACACAGATGAATGAAGAAGGTGAAGAACAAGAAGAGAAAAGAAAAGGTGAGAAAAGGAAGTGGAGAGAGAGGTAGAGGGAAAAAAAAAAAGGCTGTCACGCTTCAACGTGCACCAAAGTCTCCCAGAGTATAACCCTCAAGCCAAGGGGTAAAAATAGGATATGTCTTTGTAATCTATACAAATGAACAAAAAGAATTGAAAAAAGTGAAAACAATAGAAAAGAAAACAAAAGAAGGAAAAAGAAATGAAGAAAGGGAAAGGAAGAAAGAAAGATAAACGAGCAGTGGAAGAAAAATAAGGCCGGATGTTAATAAATGGAAATTGCGTTGTTCTGCTCCCGCCAACTCTAAGAGGGTATTTGGTATCTCAAATTCTCTCAATTTCCGCATATGGTCCCATCGTGTCGCTCCAGGTCAATGTTTTCCCTCTTTATAAGTGTATGATTTTTTTTTTCATATATAAACACCAGCCTCGTTTTTGCAAACAACATAACTTCGCTCTCTGCAATCATTTAAGCTGATTTGGTAGTGCTTGGTGTTAATCGACTTCGCTTTAGCAGTGCGTGACCTGCTGGCTTTCTCAAAAGCCAATAGCCTCTTCGCCGGTTTTCCGGCACCTGCCGAGCCTACCGGGGCCCGTCCGTATACTTTACCGTTGCATAAATCATTTGCTGTCCGACTCCGAAAGGGACAAAAGAGATGTAAAAATAAGGGGGAAGTGAACCAACTTAAGGGGATGGGCAATGTTGACCTCATCCATGCTGCCGCTAGCCAAATGAAGTGCAAATACCTTATAACCGCTCCCCTTTCACAAAACTAATCGGTCGTTTATATTGCCTCTGGTTGTAAATATCCACGTAATTTAAAGATTACGATTAAAATCGTTTTGGCGACATGGATTTGGTTCGTCTTCTTCGCCATTTCATCATCTCATTTCATAGAAATTGAAGATTTAACGTTATCTTGTGTTATGATGTGAAGGAGGTCTTGGCCTATCCAAGGGTGAAGCCTCCCCTCTGTGAGCTGCATACCCTCGATGCTGGTGATCTGCATAATCAGCTGCTCCACTGGTGTACATGCTTCTTGCTTCAGTTCGCGTATCTTGGCCATTCAAGCCGCTCGGCATAGTTTGAGAGAATTCAGTTGTTCCTGTAGGATCTTGATAGCTTCTTGCGCTTGGTTGGCCACCCGACGCTCGTGTCAGTGGAGCTGTCATAGGCGCACCTCCGTAGTTGGTTTGATATGTTGCAGAGGCTCCATATTGCGATGGAGGTCCAGTTGATCGATGGCCATTTGGCTGAGGAGAGTGGAGCGGCCGATATTGGTCTGTTGTATTTAATGGTAAAGAGGCTGAGGCGGCTCGAAGCCGAGATCCATTCTCCGACGCCTGTTGAAAGTTCGGATAGGTCAATGCCGTCGGCGATGGTTGTGCATTGTTACTGCCTTGAGCTTGATAAGTCTTAGTCTGGGAGCTCAAGCAATGTCGCAATTTTGAATTCAACTCACTCGTATAAGGACTCCGATCAACGCCCCCCGCGTTGCCAGATGTCTGGTTTACTTGATTTGACTGATAGACCAAGGGAGATCTATCAGCTGCATTTGAGTGGGCATTCGGACCTGAATACATATAGTACGATTGTAATGACTCAGACCTTGGCCTCGTTGAATCTCGACCGTGAAAGCCTTGAAGTGGCCTAATTCCTTGACGATGCGCTTCCAGGGATCCGTGAGGTCCGGCATTTCCGTGAGGAGGGTAGCGGTCAGTCGTGTGTGGTGATATTGGGGATAATACTCCGGACGAGTTTACTGCATTCGGAGGATGAAATCCGATACTACCAAACGATGGGGTTAGTCCGGTTGGTGACATATGCTCTGGCGCATCTTGACCACGCCGAACATCCACCATTAGAGGCCTCATTATTGAATTGTTCGAATATTGAGCGTGCGAAAAGTCAACGGGTGGCGCTAATGGCAGAGGCATTCCGTGAACCGCGCCGTATGGTGAGTGTAAAGCCTGTACGTTATCAAAATCATCCGGAACAGCCCTCATTTTGATCATTCGGTCACGATCATCAGCATTGAGTCTTTTAATCTTCGCACGTCTGGCAAAATGGTTAGATCTCCATACATGCTTCATTTCTCTCTTGTAATCTCTAGAAAGATTTCTTTTTTGGACCGTCTTACCTGTTTTGAAACCACACTTGCACTTGTCGAGGACTTAATCCGGGGATTTCTCTAGATAGGCGCTCCCGATGTGCGGCATCAGGATGAGGCTGCTTTGCGAACTCGCTCGTTAGGAATCTTGTTTGTTGATGGGTTAGTCTTCATCGGTATGTTAGCACTTTATTCGCAACCAGTAATACCCGAACCCTACCTAAAGCGCTTCATCTTCCGGCGGGCCGCCACTCGTTCTGCTGTAGTTTGCAGTAGCGAATCCGCTTCTTCCTCTGCCATGTCCTCGTCTATCAAAGCATCATCTGTATCGTCCTTTGGCACTGCCATGGATTGATCATCTGGTCCGAACGTATTTGGAGGGTTGCCTAGGCTTTTGGACATGGCTGCAGCCGCATTGATATGGCTCAAAGGCGCGGGGAGTCTAGTAGCATCTCTACCAGGCGTAAGGGATTCGTCTAGCAGCAGTGAAGCCGTCTTCATGCCTCTCACTTCATCCTTTCTCTCTTCTGCCGCTCGGGAAGGGTAAGTAGTGTCCTCTGCTCCTAGACGATAAATATTATGGCGTGAATCAGGTCGTAGAGCCGGTTGTCTGTCAGTATGGGCTTCCAGCCGAAGGTTCTCGTTCTCTACCACGGGCTGTGGTTGGATTATTCCTGAGCTGGTATGGTTCGATTCCGAAGGTTGAGCATAGACCGATCCGGTAGGCTGCGGCAGATACGGATACTGGCCTTGCCAGTCTGGCTGTGTTGGAAGCGAGGCGTCGTACTGGTCTGACATGCGTGGACCGGTTGGTACTTTGCCTGAGGGAGGAAAATATTTGCCAAAGGACCAGTGGCTATGTTCGGAATCGGAAGGTCTAGTGACGAGCATTGGGATATGTTTTTGGATCTTCGGATGAACAGGCGCCAGTAGAGCCACCCAGGCGTCTTCTTCGACAAATCTTTGAAAACGCTACCAACATCAACTCGATAAGAGGTCGATAAAGCCGCCGGCAGGCTATTGACAGACCCAGGCTCCGAAACAGGCAAATAGCTTACGAGTTGTTTTCGTGGAAGCTGATAATAGTAGGTGTTACTGTTAACTTGTTCCTCCTGCTCGCGAGCAGTGTAGATCAGAAACTTGAAATGAGTCAACCAGATAAAGTGTTTTATCACAAAGAACAAGCTTAGTTATGCTGAAGAGCGGCTGCACGAAATAAAGACCGTGCGGATATGATCTGGTCAGGGTTGAGGGGGAGAGAACTCTTCGAAAAGAGGCTGCCTTTGATGTCGCCCAGCAAGAGGAGGGCTACAATACAGTGGACGTATCCCTTTGGCCGAGTTAACCAGGACAGAAGTAGGTAGTTAGCCGCCTGCAAGAGCTGTAGAGTCAGTGATCAACCCCCCTGTCGAAGCAAAGTTAGGGCATGAGTGGCTATTCAAGTTCAGGTCGCAAGACTGATTTGAAGGGGTAGCATCTGAATTAGTTCCAGGTTCCACGAGGTAGGATTGGGGATATACTTGTATGGTGACATGAGAGCTCAAGGACCATATACCAGGCGCTTTTAGTGGGGTTCAACATCGATATGGGTGTAATCGATGGTCCTGGAATCATCAGCTCGCATATATGCCTCGTACAGGTATGAGGTGCTGGGTCCTCTCCAGATGCTGGTAGGATGGCCGACTTTTCCCAAAGCCTGTAAGCTCCAGATCTTGTCAGAGAGCGAAGTACTCGTAATATCTGTAGGGAGGGGTGTCAGAGAATTGTCCGGACAGAATACGGCAAAATGGAGGCTGCCACTAGACACAAGTGTTGATTGAGAAGCTGCTGTGGGGGGNTACCTGATGAAGGAGGATGGGGTGGGCGAGCATATGCAGCTTGGAAGCTTCTTGATTCGAAAAGCCGCACTGCAATAATGGGCCAGCACTACAGAACATGCACTATTACCCTTGCGGTTGTCGGTTGAGCTACCAGGAGTCTTCCGTGTTCCAAGATCGGGAAAGAGGGCCCGCTACCAGGAAGGGTATAATTGAGAACGGCCCCTTGTCTGCTTTCTGATCGAACTACTACGACTACTCGTACTCTTAGTATAAGTACATATAGCCAACTACGAAGTAGAGTTATGATTTCAGTGAAAAGGGAGTGGCAATAACTCACTGGCAATGACATCTCTTTTCATCTTCCCAGTTGAAAAGGGTGATGGACAATGAAAACAAAAGTTCTACTGCGGGCAGCAGCAGAGCAAGCCGAGTAGGTACGAGCATCCTGAAATTTGCGTGTCGGCCGAGAAGGGGAGCCTTCAGAGGCGCCGATGCAGTGATCCGATGCACATTCTTGCTTCGGGTGTGTAAATCAGACCCATTAGGACACCACATTCAGGTTTTTCGTCTGCACGATTCTGAACACCTTGACTATTGCGATATGCCATTCTAGACCGCCGATTCCAACAGCGAGATACATCCGCGCAAGCATAAGCTGAAGTGAAGTGGCCATCGTCCAGCCTGGGCGCCATGGCATCAGTCTCATTAACCAGCAGTTTTGGATGTTTGGCAGGGTTCATAACAAGATGAGAGCCAATAGCAGCAAATAATTAAACTGGAAAACCAGACGGCACCTCGGCTGAGCTATTCCATGCTCCTGGGAAGCAGTATAGCACGTTGTTCTAAGCCAACTCCACAGACGAACGCATGACCGTCGCTCGAGGCGTGTTTTCGGTACTGAGCCAACGGGCTCTTTGACGGGCCACAAAGTCCATTGTAGTCGAGGGCATAGCATGTACAACGAGCAAGGGGCTAAAGAAACGCAAAGGCTTGACGCCCGGGGGCGCGCATATCGGTGAGCATGGGACCGCCGTCGAGGACAGGGGTCATCAGCGGCAAGCAAGCAACAAGAATCCGCAGGGGGCCTTGTGAGTGGGGGGGAGACCGCCACAATTTCGAATGCAGGTAATAGTTACAGAGGATCAGGTAGCAGTGGAGCTGTACCCTTCTGTCATTCAATCAGAAAAACAGCTATAAAGGATGCAAAGGCGGATGTCCTTGGTCATTGTTCTTTTGCCGTAACTGGAAGAGGGTGGGAGAAGCACTAATATGCCCAGCCTTGTTTCGCTTGCTTAATGCAGACAATCAATTGGGCTAGGAGAACATGTGAAGCGGATGACGCTTGGGAAAACTGCAGCACCGATGCAGCTCAGGTATCCACACCTCCTCCCGAGTGTGGCGTAATGGAGCTAGAAGCCCTCCTCTCACTGCAGAGTTGTGCCTAGCACATGCCTGTTAGCTCTCATACGATGGAGGCAGAGCAAGACGGCATTTGCGGCCAGGGCTAATTGGATTCTCATCTTGGATCAGGCTGAAGCGGGAAAGCTGCATCCCTCGGTCTGACCACAATGGTAAACGGCGAGGGGGAGGGGCATCGGCACTGATATTGGAGGAACGCAGTTGGTTTGTCTTTTTAAAGGGCATCGCCAGGATATCTATGCATGGATTAATTAGTGAGTGGAAGAATTACAGGGCAACGCTAGCACCACCCGGACATCAATCTAAGAGTCACAAGCCTTTCTCATGGAGGCATGTATATGCAAGTACGAGTATTCAGGCCATACTTCGTATGAAGTGCTAGTACATAGGCTGAGAATGGCTATGCACCGGTGCAACCGGGCCAGACTTAGTGGGGCCAGCTCAAGCCGCAAGATGTGGTTCGTTCAAGATGCTCATTCCGCGTAGCATTTCCCTCGTCGTGTGCGTATTTCGTACATGCGTTACCTGCCTGCATTTAGTCAAAAGTGAAGACAGCAGCGCGATAAGACACGGAGCTTAGTCGCCTCAACCAGGAAGTGTAGTCGCAACAGCACGTTCATGCCAGCAGCAGCAGCAGTAGCAGTACTATTCTGAAGAGAATACTGGTGGCAGCAGTACTCGTAGTACTCTTGCTACCCGTATCCTGCTGTTTCATCTCAAACCGGGGTGGCTGGACAAACTCACGTTTCTAGCTTCCTCAGGGGTAGCTGCAGAGAGAAGGTTCAAAAATGTCGTTGTCTTCGGTAATTGGCAGGCCCACGGCTTGTTGAATCGTTGTTTTACTTTGTATATCCCGCTTTTGCAGACATGTAAAGGCGATATGTGAAGTATTAACGGTCCCCAGCCGACCTCTTATTCCTAGTAAAATCACATCACCGTCAGCAAGGGCCCATGACCGGAACAAGCATTCTCCCGCAAAACCAAGGCTTGCAAGCACTATGAACAACCACCCGTATGTGCAATTTGTTTGTACAATTTGAGGTCGTAGGCACTCCAATGTCGCGCAGATGTTTTGTAATGAAAGGAGGAGACGCCATGTCGTTTCAAGAATGCCTTAGCAGCGGTGGATCTCAAGGTCCGGGCGGCTTATGCTGTCAACGGAAACAGGAGTGAGATTCTAGAAAAAAAGAATCGCTCCACAATACAAATAGTATGATGAGACGCCATGGAAGAGAAGAAAAAAAATCTACACAAATATCGAGCGTGTTAGATTAAGCATGAATTCCAGAAATACGACGGCGTGGGGTAGTGATTCGGGGGGTTGCGGTGATCGATGGTGCTAGTAAGCTGAATTGCCAGCTACCAAGCAGTAGCATATCGCACGGAACATGGAGCAGAGACCTGCAAGCCAGACAATAAGCCTTCGCGAATCTGTCAGGCCGCAGTTGCTGCCCCTGTTGAAACACCTGCGCATGACTGAAAGTAGCTCTTCTTGTCATGGTGCTTCGTGCTTCGTGCTTCGTGCACTCTTTTACTGCCAATGGAGTGTGCCAGCAGCAGCATGTACAAGCTGGGACACATTCATATGAGGTCGCACGCGGCACGGCGCAGCTAAGGCGAGAGATATCGCATAGTCCCTGGCGAGGATCCCTTGAAGCTTGCAGGCCTCTTCTGGTCAATCGTTGACGTATCTATAAAGTCATCATATATTACAGAGCAGCATCTGCTCGGCGGAACAAAACACGCACGTTGTATTAGGCAAGATCCGACCACATGGCTTTTCGTGCCAGGTCTCGGATGGCCGCCGGCCACGCGGACGCAAGTAGCCGCCATGTCGGAAGTGGGAAAGCCTCAGGGCCACTTGGCTCGCTGGGCATGGGTCGTGGTGTTTGACGCGGCGGGTCTCGCGGTTTAGAACTGAAGTTTTGGTGGTTCTGCTCCCTGTCTGGAAGATGGAAAAAAGACGCCCGGTCAGCTGTGGCACGACTGTGCGAGTGCGTTTCTAGCTGCCGCTGTTGTGAAGCAGCTAGAAAATGAATGGATCACCCGATGGCCCATGGCAGGCCGCGACTGGTGAGAACGGCCGAGCTGGCATTGTCGTCGACTTCTTTCTTTTCTCCCAACGCTCGCAAAGTGCGTCGAGGTTGGTAGCCGGCACTGTGCTTGTAGATCCCAAGTCTATGTAGGAACAGATAAGAGCGGAGCGAATGCAGTGCAGAACCGGCTTTGGGTCACGGCTGTGTGCATATATGGAGCGAGCTGCCTTGATTGTCACGTACCAATAAGGTATGTATGATAAAGTGTTACTATCTCGATTCTCCGAAGGTTCGTGCTAGAAGAATACAACCTAGCAGGGCCTGGGGTGGCAGGATAGCAGGAGCGGCACGAGGGCGATGCCGTACCAGTACCAGGGCAGAAATAGCCTATATTGTACTCTGCACCAACACTCGAGCCCTGGAACCTGAAGTCTTTAACCACTAGAATCACACATATATAGTAGGTACCTACACGACAGCTTCTGTTGTTTTGTTTTCTCCCACCTACGTACAGCAGTAGTACCTGGAAGCAGCTCCGACCACAGTAACGCAATGCACTGTCTGCATGATACCAAGGTAGCGCACCACTCATCAGTCGCTTGCCAGCTACAATTGCCACCCTCCAAGGGATCCGGAGGAATGTCGGGCAAGAAAGAGGAAGACCATCAAACCAAACACGCCGAAAGAGAGCTGTGCTGGGGGAGGGTGCACGATGCAGCAGACGAGATATCGGCACTCCCTTGGACTAAGTGGGCAAAGGGCCCGTTGAGACAGGCACCCGGCTTGTACCTGTACCTTGCGCCCCTTGCCGCCAATGGCTGGCCGCGTGAAAAATTTCAGGACCTCTCGCGTAGCCTCGCGGTGCTGTCTTTTTCCCCGCGCCAGACGCCTTGCCAGCCCCGGCCGCTGTCCTCCAGCCGCCCATGCAACGCTCTCTCCCAGAGGCCAGCTTCGTGCGCAACAAAGCGGGGAGCTCTGTTCCAATCGAGGCCCGGACTATTGCCTCAGTCAGTGCTAGTTCCCGCCCGAACAGACTACGGAAGAGAGGCGGATGGAGCAGCCGGGCCTTTCATTTCGAGATGCTGCCGTGTGCGGAACGCTGCAACCACTGCAGCTGGTCGAGCTGCACGAGCTGCCGCTGCTGGGACACTGGAGAGATGAGCAAGCAAGGTACCCGGGCTGTAGGGAGAAGAAAAGAAAGGCCTGATGGAGTCTTCAAAAAATCTTTCCTTCTCCTGCACTGTGGGTGGCCTGCCGGGCGGCGGCCCTGAAGCGTTCTCGGTTTTACTCCAAGACTGCCCGAGCAGCCAATGAACGCTGCCTCTCGCCTCTGTTGCGGCTGGTTCTGGACCTGCTGAAACAAGCAGGTGGTGTGGCGAGGAAGACTGTGGATGGACAGCTGATGTGATGCCTCCAAGGCTGTGCGGAATGCAGATGGGACGGCATGCGGGCGTCGAGTAGCCTGTACTTGGATTCACGCAAGCTTGCTGTTAGCAGCGGTGTTATGGCAGCCGGCCTGGAGCTATTTGGGAACAAGCTTCAGCCAGACACCCAAGGCGAGCAAGGTGTAAGAGAGCGTGTGCCTCTTCCCCTGCACGAAGTAGTATCGCTACTTTGTTTTGATTCCACTTTGGTGTGTACACTACCCATCAGCAGATCCTTCCATGAAGATTCTAGGTACGCGCGTACTCCAGTAGGAAGAGGGCGCTCCTATCAGGCATTGCCCGGCTGGCAGAGCCTTGCTCAAACAGCCTGCAAGCAATCGTGAGCACATGGGATGGCCACATGCTCCCCATGGACTAGGCCAGGTCTTTAACCATCGCCTCAGCAGGCGGCAGATCTGTCCCCGAGGAGCATAAAGATGGGCAGAACTGTGCAGATTCATCGCTGCAACTTGGCTATCGGACAGCAAGTGCGGAGTCCGTGCCGGTCTATATTAGCCGGAAGTCGACATGACCTCTCAGGAAAAGCTCGTTCCTGAGGTGCAGAAGCTGAGTGTTGGGGTAAATGTACGGCGCGCTTCGGGACACTTAGTTCTTGGATGTGGCAAACGACGAGCCGCTCTGTCTGCTCATTTCGGATGCGCCCAGCCAATGTTCAACGATGTGCGAGCGTGCCCATCTAATTTCCGTTCAGCTCCTGCCGAGAGTCGTGATCAAGCCATCCGCGTTACGGTGGATGGAGGACAATCCTCCAATTCAGCCTCAATTTCTTGAGCAGAACTTGGATGGTTTTCATCCTGGGCAGCGTAGCACCGACTACGGAGTAACATGTCGCCAGTATGACACGGTCCGTTGCTTGCTTCCCCCCTTTTCCTCTCTTTCTTTCTCGACCTCTCTTCGAAATTCGCGATAGTGGCTTCAGACACGGCTAAACATCTGATTGTGTCGAAAGCTGAAGCGAGAACCATAGCCGCTGTGAGTGCTGCATCGTGCATTAAAGCGCCAGCCTATCTTGCCTAGTTCCAGCAGAAGCGGTAGGCTAGTCTGCTCTAGTCTTCTGCCTCCCAAAGGCATTCCCGCGTTTCTGGTCGGAAATGGTGACTACGCGCTGAAATTGCTATTTCGCACCATGAGACGTTTGTCGTCTGATCGGTGAGCGTATGAACGAAGTAATTGCCGCTTGACCTCTAAGCGGCCTATCCCCTACTAACTGCGACATTACTTACTGCCGTTGTCGCACGGTTATAGTGATCAACAGCAGGTACTTCGTATTCCGTACTGTTGCCGGTAGTAGGTACTCGTACAAAGACTGCATAGACCTACTACCTAGGTAATTATCTACACGCCATCGACCGTTATTGCTATTATAAGGCTTGGTGAGACATGTCGCCAGGGACAGCCCGATCTTAATCTATTATTAGCTTTCCTAGCGCTGAAACGCTGGGAGCACAGACGCTAGGCGCCGGTGTCGTGCCTTTGATGAGCTGGGAATAAAGACACTTGCTATAATAGTGGCTGCAACCCATTCATGACACAAACACCCACTCGTAGTGAAAATAAGCAATATATCACCGCAAATCAGCAATATAAAGAAGCCAGTCCGTTCTCCACAGAAGGGCGGTGATACGCGCCCTGCTTGGGATTTTCAGATTTTCGTATGCATGGCCGTCACAGTCACTAGGCTTCTGCCGGCATATGCAAGTCAACCGTACATCATGCCATAATGCTGACCGGCACGGCTACTCAACCTTGCTAGAACTTTATAGTAGTTAATATATCACCGTGTGGTCACTTGAATA